ACGTGGATCTCTTCCAAGAATACGAGCAAGACCTCGACATCCGGAAACGCTTCGAAGAAGCCGCCGCCGCCGAACTCCAACAAGGCTGGGACCGCGGCACGAAAAAGTCTTCCTTTGAACTTGCCCGTGAAGCTGCCGAGCTTGAGGAAATGGATGCTCGGGAACGTCATGTCCAGGAATTGCTTGCGCGTCCTCGTGTGATGACGGAGTCGAAGCCTGTTGCCCATGAGATTGAGATGGAGGGGTACTCGAGTGCCAGCGCCACTGCTAGTCACAGTGGTAGCGAGGCTGTGGAGCGAAGAGTCTCGGTCTCGATCTCCGGCGCGGATGCAGGTGCGGGTCAGTCTGAACCGATGTCCCCGACTGAATCTTGTGCGCCGAGACGATCAGTCGAGATCCATGAGCTGTTTAGTAAGGGCTTCGGTACTATTCGCAAGGGTCACTTGAAGTGATCTGCGATCTGTGATCTGTAATTTCTTTTCTTTTCTTTCCTTTTTCATACCCTGTGTTCCCTTTTGGAGCGATGTATATCAAGTGTACATGATGGCGGTGTCATTCTTCCTTTTCTCTTCCTTGGTTGTCCCCATCACCATTCCCTCATAGCGTGTTCTCCGTCCCGGTCTTGCATTTTTATCTCCTCGCCCATCACGCTTTCATGTGATCCATCCCACTCCCACACTCCCTGATATGTCTACATCTCGGTGTCGTTTCACTCGTATGCGTCGGTGTTGGTGGTTTTCTTCTTTGATACTGTTCCTTCATTCCTTTATTCGGACTTTGATACCCCGACTCGATGTGGTCTGGTTTTTGGTTTTTGTGTTTTTGGGGGGTTGTGTTTTGTATATACTGTTTATGGGTTTATACAACATGGTTTCCAGCCTCGACGTTAAGTTTTATTTGTAGATGAGCATACTAAGCATCCTCTTGCTGCATTTTTGCCAAGATGTAAAATCAACATCACCGATGTGTACTCACTATCGGAGATAGATACTAGTAATAGGCAAAATAGCCGAGGTACAGAGTAATACCCAAAGAGAATGGATACCGGGATCGAAAATGACTATCAAACGTTTCAACACAAATGTATACAGACTCAATCCTTTTTACTAACTTATGGGGTGACCTGCACAGCATAAGACCTTGGATCCACCAAATTGCGACCCTGGCTACAGTAGCCTGCAACTGAGAATAAAAACGATCGCTAGGCGTCCACATGGACACAGTGAGACATGGGTATCAGACCCCAGCATGGATCTGACACCTGTCTACGGTAGGACTGCATAAAAGTACGCCTTACAAGGTTATGCTTATAGTCCCCTAGGAGCTGCAGTACAGTCACCGCCCCCGAAAGTAAAGCGTCCCTAGATCTAGAGTGTAACCCTGAGGCTGGGGTTATTATTGCTAATGGGGCTGGGGGTTAAAGGGTTCAGGTAAATTGGGGCCGAGGGTGATGGGAATGGGGCTCGGTGGGACTATGTACTTATTGTGGACTTTGTGGTGTTGGGGGCCATGACAACTTTACTTGGGGTAGGTAGTTTCTGTAGTTAGACTCTTGTAGGTGATGAAACTTTGCGAATAGAGTAGAAGGGATTGTGAGTGGCATTTGTAGTTCATTATTATTAGTGACATAGTAGTGCTCGGATCCAGACATGTATGTCGGCATTGGTGACGGCAGGTTCATCGACAGGGGTGGATCGACACCAAGATCATCAAGGATCATCGGTGGGAAACAAGGGTCCGAGGATTATCATAGCAAGTTAGGGGAAAAAAAATATTCTTACAGTAGTAATGTACTTAACACGGTCGAAAGAAAACTCCCACGGAGTGATATCCGAAATCTATGGGGATTATCGATACGAAAGCGAAGAAATGGCGTATGTCTCAGAAAGCCAAGCAAAAAAAAGATAATGCCGAGCCCGAGCCCATACAGTACATACTGTGAAAGTGTCTTTCGGGCTTGCCTCCGACAATACTACTACAAACAGTACTATTAACCGGGCAGTGTCGAGTGACGCGCGGACGTGGAGCGGCGCGATGGCGGGACTAGAGGGTTTCAGCCAGTCGCGGTCCAGGAGAGTTGGGCTCCGCAGTTCTTGGCAGCTTAAGATGGCAAGGGTTGGCGCTCGGATGGAGGAGAGGGTGTGGATGGACAGTGATTGAATACGTAGAGTGATGGAAGGAGGTGGTTATAGTATACGTAGGCTTTTGAGAATGGGGAGGATAATATAATGCTGTGGTATCTAGAATAAGAGAGTAGTGATATTGTAGATGTTTGTATAGAATCTTTTGTATAAAAATGAAAAAGTTTAGAGGAAATAAAAGAGACACGTGACGAGTACGTCATGGTCCAAGAAGACTCCAGGAACAGTTAACAATTACAAGTACTACAATATACTGTACTCTACGATCGAATGGGATGAACGAATAGAAATGCAATGCTAGTTTGATATTATGATCGCATATACGTACTGTATACTGTATACTTCCTTGATTAATTGCCCATTTTGACCCGCCCCAATTAAACGCCTCTCGCCTCTTTTTTTTGAGATTTCGTTGGCTGTCATTCAGCCGGGCCCTGTTTCGACCTCCCGTGGAAACGGCCGATCGTTCCTCGCCCGTTAACCACTATTTCGCTTCGGCTCTTGAATTATTCCCCTACTCGCTTTTCTCTCGTTTCCCTCTATTCATCCGAGACACTCGTTTTACTGTTCAGCCCTGCGCTTTGCCAAGCGAACTCGTTCTCGGCGCCGCCTCTTGATCTCCGCCCCCTCGAGATCCGTTCGAGACCCTTGAAGACTGTCGGAGCCACTCAGTCTCCGCAATGCGGATGCTCCCCTCAGTGATCCTCCCCTAATCTTGTGCCCTTTTGAGTCTACGAGTATAGACACCGACTGAATCCTCGAATTCTCTCTCTCTCTCTCTCTCCTACGACTGTCGCTACCAAAGTCCTCCCCTCCCGCACGAGACACACGACACACACGCGATGCTGCTCAAGGGTCGGGAAGGGGCCATTCCCGCCTCATGGGCATGGAAGAAGATCATGCGATTCGTCGTCGTAATCATTGCCATCGCAGGCTTCGCGGCCTTGCTCTGGCCATCTTCTACGAAAAAGACCACCACCACTGTCGCCCCGACTCGCGCCCATTCCAACATCACCATCTCCGCCAACGTGAAATGCGACCCGGACGCAGACATGTTGCAGCGCCTGGGCGTCCGCAAACTGGCCCAATATACCCGCCGAGAGATCGTGGTCGACTTCACGGAGGACCCTCTACCGATCAGACAACGGATTGATCAGCCCTTGTTGGATGTCAAGGTCCGGGGATCCGGTCACACAAACGAGCTCGGCGAGCCGCAGGACGGCTGCACGATCCCGGCGCCGGTCGCAGTCGTGGCCCCTAAACCCCCCAAGATGGCCGATGCCTCTCACATTGACTTTGGCGTGGCCACCTCGGTGTCCCGATTGAATGAGTCCCTGGACCAATTCGCCCACTGGGCGGGATACACTCGCACGCGCATCTTCGCCCTCATCGAACCCGAAGAGTCAAAGACTAAGGCCGGCATTGCCTACGTCAAGGCCAAGGCTGATAACCTCGGTATTAACCTGTTCGTCACGGAGTCGGAAGATGACTATCTGCACCGGTACTTTGCCCTCGTCGCTCTATTGGAGGAGAACATGCGGGAAGGAACGCGGTGGGGATGCATCATCGACGACGATACTTTCTTCCTCTCCATGCCTGCATTGGTCAAGGCACTCGCCGAATACGATGACACCAAACCCATGTATATCGGTGGACTGTCCGAGGGAATTCCACAAATCGCAGTCTTTGGTATGATCGCGTTCGGAGGCGCGGGCGTCTTCCTATCACGACCACTACTCTCCGATCTAGCCACTGTCTATGATGAGTGCGAGCAGATGACCTATACCGGCGACCGTCGCATCGCAAACTGCATCTATCAATATACGACCACCCGGTTAACCGTGGATCACCGTTTACACCAACTCGATCTCATGGAAGATGCATCGGGATTCTTCGAGTCCGGCCGCGAAGCCCCTCTTTCAGTGCACCACTGGAAATCCTGGTTCCACGCCGACATGCCCAAGCTCAGTGTGATCTCCGAGCTATGCGGTCCTTCGTGTCTACTGCGGCAATGGCAGTTTAGCGATGGTTGGTTCTTGACAAATGGGTTCTCCGTGGTTCAGTATAGCTTCCCCCCGGAGCAGAACGATCTTACTATGGAGATGACCTGGGAACCGCACAATGGTGCGACGGAGGAGTCGTATCTGCATGAATTGGGTCCACTTCGTCGGAAGGATGATCATAAAGTGAGTTATTTGTTGGAAGACGCCGTCCTCGAGGAGAACGGCCGTGTTACCCAGTGGTATATCAAGCGCGATAAGAGAGAAGGAGATCAAATTCTCGAACTCTCTTGGCGAAAGCGGTAGGCTTGGGTACAGCACCTAGTCACTGCTTTATGCTTGGGAGTCATGTCTGAATTACCTCTTGTACTTTTTTTTTCTTCATGTTGGCTTCGACTTGTCTCTTGTCTTGCATACACCTCCTCTTATACATAGGGCCAAGGGGAGCGGCCCAGGCTTTTTCATGTTCAAGCCACCTCGGTTCGCGGTTCTGCTTGAGTTTATCCTCTGTTTGTTTCTTCTTCATCAGTCTGGCGCATTTTGGTCATGGGCAAATTCTGCATTTTTTGCCTTCGTTTTTTGCGCGCTTATAGATTCGGTGATACACCTTGATGTCTGTACTGTTATATTGTTATAATGACTAGGGATGATTCTGTTTTAATGTGATATGGAAGATTTGAATATGGCTCTCTCTGTTTATCTTTTCTCTTCTGGGTTGTGCTAGTAGATCATTGTCCATTTCTTGTATCCATTCAAGATCGTGAGCCTAGATAAAGCTGAAAAAGTCACGACATACATCATGTCTTTAAGAAATCTAAGCCCCTAACACAGCCATTCAAATAAAATGAATACGCGGCTGCTAATACAAAACAGTCTTCTCCGCCAACTGCTCACTGACCCTCTCATCCTGAAACGACGTCAAAACCTCACCATCCTCATGCCGAATAACCAGTGTCCCTTCCAACCTACGCACACTCCTCGTCCACTCAGTCACAACCTCAAACCCCCTCTCCTCCCTCTGATACCGCCCCAACTCCTCACGCGTAACAATACAATCCGCCTTCCGCGGCAGCCCTAATTGGATACGCTCATTGAACGACTCAACCAATAACCCCGGGATACCAGATAACAATGCATAGCGAGATTTAGATTGATCCTTGGGATCGGGAAAAGAGGATACGGGCCATTTGGTGTACCAGAAGTATTCGAGTTTTTTTCGTAGACCGGTGTTGTAGTTTAGAGGTAGGTGTTCGTAGAGGCGGTACAAAGAGAAGAGGGGTGAGTCTTCTTGTTGGTCTCTGGGGGCTCGGTAGATGCGTTGGGGGAGGTTGTAGAGGTAGGTGGATGGTTTGGCGAGGAGTTCTTCTGGTGTTGGAGGGAAGATGGGGTATGCGTTGGTTTCGGGGGGAGACTTGCTCCAGAGGTGTTTGAGGCGATGGGCGATAAGCCGCGTTTTGTCAAGGAGGGGTTTCTTGGGTATGGCGTGTATCGGTGGCCTTTGTGAGGGCGAGACAACGGGAAGATGTTTTGAAGGATATGGTGGTTTTGTAGTGAGAATCTAGAGGGGAAAGTTCCGGTTTACAGCAAACACCTATCATAGCTTAAGACATTAAGGCCAGATGGTGTGACGAACCTCTTTATATACACGTTTTAGTCAACCACGAAGACTTCAGGGAGCTTCTAGTCTTCCATAGAATATTTATAAATATGCTTCAAGACTATACCGGATGCCGGGAGATGGAGTAGGCGCCTTCTAAGGCTGGAACTGTTCTTCAACTACAACCTCTGTCACCACCTACCATCTCCTCCTCTCCTATCAGCCTCTCCTCTACCCCGACAAGTTTTGTTCAAACGCTTCATCATTCACAAAAATCCATCTTGTAACAACATTCAGGAGAGGATTCTCTCTTGTACATCCCTCAGAAACTCTTCAATCTTGGAAACCCGGCTAATCAAGATGGGAAATATCTCTTCCTGGCAATCTATATACTCCCAAAATCGGCATACTAGCTATAGGTCACAAGTTCTATAAATACCGGGTTGGTGGGGCAATCTGGTGCTCATTTCATCGCCCCAGATGGATGAAACTGGCCGACGTATTTCCCACCAAACATCCAAGCCGGGCCGTGAGGAGCTCCTTGAAGCATTTCAATACATGGCCAAATACATCTGTCAACAAAAACCCAATCTAACAATCTACATGGCCGGGGGAGCAGTCAACACAGTTTATCTCCATTCCCGAAAACCCACCGGCGACGTCGATTTCTTCGGCGCAAACAAGCACGCCCGTCTGTTAAAAGACGCCTCTAAATACGCCCAACGTGCAAAATCAGATCTTCGCGCTAACTGGTTCAATAGCTCAATATTAAAATGATCTGCCCGCCAGCCTGAAGAAGATTTCCCAACTAGAACGCCAAGCAGCCAAACTCAACGATGCAGCCGTGTCTACCTTGATCACATTCAATTCATCGGTTCAGAAGCAGTTCAAGATGCATTTTGACAAGCAGGGCCGCTTCTTCAGGGCACACCTTCCGCTTCTCCAACAAACCAAGAGGATTGGCGACGCAGACGTTCCCTTGTTTACCCCCTTTCCTAACACCCAGAATGGAGTAGGATCTAATACATACGTGCATCACGCCGTTAGAATGCTATCATCTTCAGCGAACCCGAGCTGACCGTCTACGCCGTCCCTTGAGACGATGCACTTTGTGGGAATACGGGTCAAATAACGAAACGGACTAGGTGTTCGTATGATGCTACAGACGCTGTGGCATATCTTCGCCGATGTATCAAGGCGAATCGTTGGTGTGCGATTAGTGCACATTCGATTGAACGATGGGTACGGGGATTTAACAAGGCGGTTACGATGAAAGTTCTGATGGAGATTGATGCTTTGCATTATATGAAATAAGGGCAAAGTGCTATTCGCTCCTCATATTTCTAGTTGGGCTGGATTTGCATGTAGGAGCTCTGTTTTATATCCTGGTTTCTATTTCCACGAGTTTATTTCGCAAGATTACGGTGTTCATGTTGTAGCGGTCTGGTATCATCTATAATTGATACGTTTCTTTATCCAGAGTTCCTTCTTTACATTGTCCCTACATGCCTCTATCATTGACAATCCCTACGTAGTTGACTTGAGAGCAGTCTTCGAATGGAATGTGAGCTGCATAAAACTCTCTGATAACTTGATGAAGAGAGTATACGACCATAATAGAACCCATGAACTGTCCCATAATGCTGTGAGATGGAGAAGACCCTAGGAGTCGTCAAGATATTAGATGACCTCTGATTATGATGGAGTGTCTACCACGCCATTTATATAGAGCCACGGAGATAATCCATATACAGCGGATCACTTCTCTAATTTCATCTTGCACTGCAACCTCTTCTAATTATCTTTATCTATCGGAGATATCTCACTGATTATGTCTTTCGGGCCAAGCTGAAGTTATTGTGATGACCGTCAATACCCGATCAGTAACTTAGACATTCTACTCTTGTTGACATGCTCGGAAGTATTTTCCGTTACTGAGAATCTTCGCCTTCATAGTTCTTACAAAATCAAATCATCACATGACCAGGATAAACGGGAATGAGAAGACTACCAACAGTCAATTGCCCGACTTTCGGCACAGCGAGCCTTGAAATATAAAGCTCAGACGCCCGATGCGCCAAAAAAGATGGTCGCATCGATAACCTAATGCAACACTACAGTTTGATTCCTTTTTGTTCCATATTGCTTTTCCTCGATCATCTGATTAACCGTGGGGAGCACGTACTTCCTACTAGTTACTAAAAAGTAAGAAAAGTAACCGCGTGCGGGACCCCAAAAGCGAAAACCAGCTTAGCCAAAGCCAAGCAATATTCGACCCCAAAGGATCATCGCTAGTTTTTACCTATTATTATCCTATTCCCGAAAACCTTACAAGATGCGATCGGGACAGTTGAAAGACAAGCGAAATGAACCAGGGCCGATCTGAGCTACACCAGTCATTATTAATCTCTACGGTATGGAATATGGATACATAGTCTGGAAATGTGTAAATGTTCTATGGGTCCGGTCCATCTCCTGATGAACCGCGTGGGCCAGTGCACGATTTCCCCAGTGACATCATGTCAGGGCCAGGGCCAGGACCAAGGCTGTGGTCATAGCGTTCAAGGCATCGGGCCCTGACATCGTAATGAATGGAACTGGTATCCGGATAGAGGCGTGACCTGTGGCTCAAGCCCGCCACGCAATGCGCCATATAATGATTGGAAATCACGCACCGCCGCTGGGAGTACTTTAATGAGCAGTATGAGACAGGGACCTCCCGGGGCAAGAAAAGGGAGGAGGACGCGACGCAACTTTCCTCAATTTTTTTTTATTTTCTGGTCTCCTGTTCCTGTTCCGTTCTACTAATAATAATCGAGTTATGGAGACTGGTACAACTAGCGTGAACTTGATACACCAACGCACGTCTCAGCCACATCCATGTGGGAACCGCCTTGTGCTGGATTAGCCAATGAAGAGCGTGATGATCGCCCTCTGCGATTACAGTGAGGGTGACGGGCTGCGAAATTCTTGAATTCGAGTTTCGCATTGGATCATTGCGGGTGTGCTTGGTAAATTATGTGATGGATCGTTTGACTGGGCAGGTGGCTGGGTGTTGAGACATGGTCGGTATTCGGAAGGAGGTTCGGCGGTGCGCGGAGACGTAATTAGTTACTTGCATACTGGAGATGGCTTTTAGGGCTTTCGGCGAGCTCGGATTGAGGGTCTCCAGTTTCCGTGGCAAGCCGTCAATCCGGAGGGGGGAGCTTTGTCTCCGGAGAAAAGATGGTCGTGTAGTTATAACGGTTGATCGACGGGATGTTGATCAGGGGAGGGGGATGTCTTAAAGAACTCGAAGATGGCCACGAGCAAGAATCAGGGATAGCTATTGTAGGACGGCAAGGCTGATCCAATCGAATAAGCACCAGAAACTTGGAAGTTCTCCTGTCCAACCAACTCTAACTACCGCCATATTTACGGCTTGATTCTCGTTCTCGTGTCTCCCCTAATATTCCCTCGAGCCTTGTGAACCAACCATAATCCCCCTTTCGCAGTTTAGCTTGTTCAGGCATATACCGGATTCTTCCTTAGCGGCAGTCGGGCACCAGATCGTAAGGCCATATACGTACCGTAATTCACAATTCACTCTTCAGGAAATAAGCCATGAAAGGGATAGGGCGGAAGTGCACAGCCTCAGACTGGGTCCGGAGGATGCATGCATCTGGGCCGTCTGATCCAGTAAGGACTGTAGGTAATAGGTATAACCAACGACCTTCACAAACCAGGGGAAGAACAGCAGGGTGGTTATTGGCCACTGGGTCAGTCCGGAGGAAGAGGACTCGGACCTCCGGCGCACCGTCCAATTCCAGGATGATGCGCAAACGGGGGGACTTTTTTTCTGCGGCTTCGACGGGTCTTCGAAATTCCTTCTGGAAGGCGACCAGAAGGTCAGGAGAAGGCTTGGCGTGGGCCATTCTGCCAATCCTGAGAGATCATTTTCCGTGCCGTGTGGCCAGAGTGGAGAGCCAGTTGGAGAGGCTGAAGGCGGCTTTTCTTAGCGTGGAAAGGGAGGCAAGGAAAAAAAAGGGGGTTTTGATGGATCATGGATTCATGGGGAGGTGTAATTACCGACGCTTAGGGTGGGCTCCACTCTATGTCTTATGTTTTTTTGGGCAGATCGTCACAGATAACAGGGATTATTGTTGGAAAAAAAGGGGGAAATATAGGAAGGAATAGAAGTGTAAATAGGGTGTTCGGTAGTTGGTGGCATGACTATCCCGTGGAAGAAGTTAAGAAATGCAGCAAGTGGAAGCCGATGCAGAGTTGAAACTTGAGGTTGCACGATCATTGAATCAATTGACATGTGCCGCGGTGTCAAGTGTAACGAGCCACCTCGCGTCCCGTGTTTGGATGGGATGGGGTTCAGAGAACTTTTGGAAACCTTCTAGAAGGTGAATTAGCCTTCCACCGTCCGTGTATAGGCGAGTCAATAATTGACTAGTGGGAAATCTGGGAACGGACTATCGAGATGGTGAAGCACATCCCCCCCCTCTTTTCCTCCGCTTTATTCGGAAGTTTGTCTAGTTCGCCAGGGCTACGATTTAAATGATTATTTTCCTACGGTAGTAGAAGAAGTCAAGGAGTTATGCTCTACTCGAGCAGTGTATCCTTCGTAGACACTTGCCATTGCTACCTGGGCGTAGGTAGGGCCTAGGATCTAGGACTTATGGCGGGCACATCACCCTGTAATCATATAATCATAGGGTTACTCCCTTTGCATTCGTGTCGCACCATCTCCTCCGTATAGTCCGTATCAACATGCATGTCATCATACTTTAGAGGAGTTGCCTAGTATTACCTCCCTTTAACCCCTTTGACCATGATATAAGGGGGTTGCATGAATTTATAGAAATCGTTCTCTAAACTGTACTCCATACTCCATCAGCGAATATACAACCCCAAGAGCAAAGACCATTCAACGACCATGTGGCCACCACATGTAGTGGTTTGACAGCCCAGGGGCCCCTTTCCTGCAAGTTTGAACTTGGGGGAACCGGGACGAGGCGCGTCAAGGGGGTCCCACATCCGATCACATCTTTCCTTTATGGTAATAGTCGGTCGCGGTAGTATAACTAGTCTGCATGCACTCCGTACGGAGTGCATTAGTGAGTTACATGAGATGAGGTCAGTTGGAATACTCCTTGTTCTGCTTAGCTCTGGTATACAGGAGTACCTATAGTATACCACACTTGCGTCATTATGTATGCCTGAACCCCCCCCCCCCCCATTAGAAAGTTTACTCTTGCGCTCGTTTCACACGAGGCTAGTACTAGTAGCGTAATATCAATTCACTCATGTCATATTTTCCCAATGAACTCGAGACAATCCAATTAATAAAAACTACTCCGTACTTGAACAGAGAAGAGAATTTCATAGTCCCCCTAATACGTACAGTATAGGATAGGAGGCTTCAAGCCATAATGACCTCAACAACTCACAAGACCAATGATAGAGATCTCTACCCTCACTAGCCTCAGTGTACCACGATTCTGTGATTCAGATCGGCGTCGCTATCTCGTATCCACTCCAGTCGTGCGGCCGCAGGGACGGGGGAAGACGCACGTTGTGGAGCTGACGGCCCTTCTGGTGCGGCCTGGTTTCCTTCTAGCGCTTCTTCGCTGGAGCCAGCTGGAGCCCACTAGGGGAGAGGCTAGAACGAGTTGGGAACTTGGGAGGTCCTGGTGGTCTTGCATTGCAGGGATGAACGAAGTCTTGGGTTTTAGTGTGACTTATTTTTTTGTTTATTATTATTATACTATTATTTGCTTACCAGGACTACTAGGAAAAAGGAGGGAAATAGGAGGTGTTTGAGTGTCCGCCCCCAAGCTGTTTCTCCTAATACGTGACATTTGACATGGTCATCAATCTAATAACTATTCACAAATTTTCTTACTAAATTTACTTTCTAAGAGAAATGGGGGCCTATACAACCAGTCAGGTAGTCAGAGCGTTGTTGGCAATTAGGCAGACAGGAAGCCTAGAATAAGGAAATAAAGGACAATAATAACACAACAAAAAAAAGAGGCTAGGAACGTCTAATTTTAAAGGGATAAAAAATAGTAAAAAGCCCAGATCGTCATGGGGGAATCAATTTCCAGAACAACTTCCGAAGGTCTCCAAGTGGAGTTCATTAGTTTAGTCCACTACTGTCCAGTATGTACCTAGAAAAAACCATGTAAATAATGATGTATTCCCAGTGGCACCTACCACACCTAATTCTCCTAATTCTTCATCTTCTGTTCCCTTTTCCCCTTGTTCCTGTCCTCTTCTAAATTCCGTCATCCTAAAACCCTCTTGTTCCTCGTTACTACTCCTTCTAATCCTCCTCCCCTACATTCTCGACCCGACACGACTTACTTTCCGCCTGCTCCAACTGGACAACGAACCTCCTCCCCACCACCAACTTTGTTTTCGCGTTTCCCTCCTTCATCCTCCCAACCAACAACGCGCGCCTCTTACCGGCGGGCCATTTTAACTCGATCCTATCTCCTCGGCTTCCGTGAAAGGTTGGTTCCCTCTTGATCTCTGCGACGAGTTTACACATCGCCGCGGTTCTCCCCGAGTTGCCCGTGACGTTGCTGCCCGGCCGACGATACCTTTTTTTCCCTCTCCTCTCGACGCCCGACTGCTCGCCCCTCGAACAAAACGTGCTGGGCTCGAAGATCTGGAAACTCGGATCGACGGGCTGCTTGTCTTTCGCCTGCACGGATCCCTCGTGCGTCCTGCGTCCGCGCCTACGCCATCCCTGCTGGCTGCGAACCCACCGGAGAACAAATACAGCGGGCCTGCGCTCCGGTTTCGAGGGGACTGTCGGAGTTGAGCTCGAGGGAGAAATCGCTCATGCTTTTTTCTTTCTAGATCTCCCTGTCCTAGGCCTTAAGCTAATTTACCATTTTTCGTCATAGCCACTTTGCCCCTTCGTCGCTACTTCATCGCGACAACCTCGATCACTGAATACGCTTCCCCCCGACGGGACTCGGTCGTACCGCACGAAACTCTTGACTCTCGAATATTGTCCCTATCACGATCTAAGGACCTCTGTTGTCTGATCAGACCTCTACCGGAAGCCCGGAGATCTCCACTGATTAGACGCGTCCGACTTCCGAAACACGCTACCCGAAGGCGAAGACAAAACCTCGGACGGGTTTCAATACAGAACGAGAGAAAAGGGGACTTTCCAAGACGTGTGCAGAACTCTCTGGCCTCGGGTTGCTCCCTTCTCCCCAAGAGTCAGTTTCCGCCGTCTAGACTCGTACTTTGTGTGCAACCTTGCATTCCAGTGCATGGAAATTTGAATACCTGCTTCATTCTTCGCCGCAGAGTCAACTAATCAGGCGTTGACCCGGCACGGTTCAGGCAGGACAGGAGGCTTTTCTTGGAGCTTTCCTTAGCTCCGGTCCTTTCAGCTTCCCTCATCGGGCTCGTGTCCATGGACTTCACGACCATTCTGAACCGAAAGAACTCTGCCGCCGCAGCAGCCGCCGCCGCAGAAGCACAACTTCACCAACAATATCTGCAAAACGCACAGTTGAATCAGCCAACCATGAAGGCGGAGCCAGGTGCTTCGGATAACCCCGTTAACGTATACCCGCCTCATCCTCCCCCCGGTGTCCCCATGGATCAAGGACTAGCTGAGTCCTTTTACTATGGGCAACCCCCGGGTGCGACTCCTCGGAACATGGGCTTTGTCCCTGGTGGATATGCCGGTGAACCGCAGATGCAGCAATCACCTATGCCTTCTGGAAGGGCTAGTGGTGATGCACCCCCGAAGACTTTCCACTGCGGAACCTGTAACAAGGGATTTGCTCGACGCAGTGACCTCGCGCGACATGGTATGTGTACACTAGGGTACGGTGGTTTCGCGTGATTCAGTTGCTAATCTATCCTCGCAGAGCGCATCCATACTGGAATCCGGCCTCATGCATGTGACTGGCCGGGCTGCGGGAAACAGTTCATTCAACGCTCGGCTTTGACAGTACACTCACGAGTACACACCGGCGAGAAGCCTCACATGTGCGAGCGATGTGGCAAGGTATGTCTTCCAAGGGCGTTATCTCCCTGATTTTGGCATGTTCAATTCTAACCTCATTTGTTCACCTTTATAGCCCTTCAGCGATTCATCATCACTCGCCCGCCACCGTCGAATTCACTCTGGAAAGCGACCCTACAAGTGCCCATATGCCAACTGCCAAAAGACCTTCACGCGCCGTACAACCCTCACCCGTCATCAAAATCATCATACTGGGACTATCGAGGAGGCAGCGGCGGAAACGGAGGCCAATCTGCGCCAAAACAAGGAACGAGCTCGTGGGCCCGAGGGAATGTTCCCCGATCATACCTCTATCCACTCTACCCCATCTCCTGCCCAGCACGCCTCCATGTCGCCCGGTGGTGATCTTCCACCATTGACGATGCACCGTTCGGCTGGCGATTATTACATGGGTAGCGGGCCGATTCCTCCTCACGTTCGAGGCGACTTCTCCCAAGGCAGTCCTCGTGCTTCTCCTACAGCCACCTCTCCGTCACTTTCGAGCTTTGGCAGCGCGCCCCATGCTCGACCGTCGATGACCTCCAACCCGTACGGTCCTCCGCAGCCCCTCGAGCCCCCAGCGAACAGCGACCACCGACCCAACAGCGTCAGTGGCAGCCCACATATGACCAGCCTGGGCTGGGCCTCGCCTTCCCACGGCAGCATGCCTTCACCTGGATCGGCCAATGATTTTGCCTATCCTGAACCTACTGGTCCCGCGTACCCAAGCTCGATGCCTCCTCACATGTACTTCCCCAACTCCACCATCCGTCGACCTACCAGCACCGAGCCAGAAAACTACGAGACCAAGTCTCGAATGGGTGATCATACTTGGTCCACCCCGGTATGATGTGGGCTACCGCTGTTGCAAGGCTTCATCACAAACTTTCTCTTTTGTTTGAAAGATATCCACTAGCGTCCACCTCCACCCTCTTTATTTTCCTTTGTTAAATTGCTTCATCTGCATTATCCCTCGATTCCCATGGAAAAGAAAACACTTTTCCACCGCTCTTCGTTTTATCCCTCTATGCGTTTGTACTGCGCGATTGCATCTTGTTTTGTTGATATCTTTTTTTATATCTCTACCGAGGCGGGGCGTCATACCGACTCTCCAACTTCCCCCTCTGGAGTCTGATCGTGCCTGGGGAACACTTTTTCCATTATTTGCTTTTCATTTTTGTTGATCAGGTTGTCATCCTCACTGCCTTCACAACAATACCCCCTACCCATCATCTCTTTTGTTTTGATTGCTTGCGTGCGGATGACATGGCTTTACCGAGACACGACCAGACGAGGAAACAGCATAGATAGAGCGCAGGACTGGGGAATTCTTATGGGCTAACATTGTACTGGATTTGGGAAACAGGGAAATTGGGGTTCTTTGATTTGGGTCGAGTGTCCCCATTTTGTGGTGCGGTGTCTGGTTTGGTATTTGGGTTATTCATCTGCTATTTATTGGAGCTTTTTTTTTTGTTGCTACTGATTTCTTTACTGCGTCTGTCTTTTCAGTCTTTACTCTTGTTGCTTGCGCTGCATACCTCTTGTGTCCCCCCCCCTTTGTTCTTTCTCTTTTCCTTCTTGTGTTTCATATACATCTTTCTTCTTAATATCTTTGTTTGTGGGGTTATTGTATTGTTTATGCTAACCCTTTTTCTTTGTGTTTTTTTCCTTTCTGTCACCCACTGCTTTTTTGCTTTGCTTTTTGCTCTCGCATCGAATACCATTTTGTGAGTGCGGTCTCGACCTTTTGGCGAATCCGAGTTTGTACGATTAGTGTGTTAATAGACCAACTGCTATCCTTCATATTTACAAGACACCCCGATATATGACCTGGTAGAAGAAGATTTTCAATGGAGACAGCAAAATAATCAGCTTTCAGACGTAGTTGATACAACGAAGTATCTAGTTAGAAGAGCTGCCATGAATGGTAAAGCTTGTGAGATACATCAGCCAGCCACATGCAAAATCGAACACAACGATGAAGTTTGAATAGAACAATGTTGATAGACCAGACTCAGGCACCCTTTACCAATCATTTCTTACAGACAGAACTAACTGCTTTGAATACACACGTATCATACTCCGTACGCCCCGTCGCGCTATCTCATACCATAGGTAAGCCTTCCCAGCCTCCTTTCGACAAGGCACGGAACATGAAACAAACGGTAGGGTTGAGCCTCCTACTCTATTCGCCCCTGAATAACCAGTCTAATCCCTGAAATCTGAATCTTAGTCCAAGAATATCCATCAGGTTACAAATGTCCAAGCTCCCTCAAATCCTCGATCTATTTATGGGTAGAAGTATCTAGACCATACTAAAACAAACGACGGTACGTACCAGGCTTAGGCTGGCTAGGTTGGGACCTGTTACAGCCTACAGGAGACAATGATTCTCCGTAGGGCGACGATCCCCGTCTAAGCCACGGCCCGCAAGCTTGGCGGGAAACAGCCCGGCAGCCAGCATAGCCAGCATTAGCCCAACAGTAAGCTTGCAGCAGGTTCTTTGTTTCTGAAAATTTCGAGTTTTTGGGTTAGGCAGGATAGATTTGGAGAATGGGGATAATTGATCTTGTACTGGTACCACGTATTGTAACTATGTCAGCCTTATTGTGAGGGATGGAATTGGGGCTGTCATTGGGTGGTGGTGCTTGTTGGATCAGGCGCCCGGGGATTTCCTTGTTGAAACATCAGCCCCAGCCCTGGGGGTTCTTATTCTAGATTCTGGACCCTGGACTTGAGGGTTGGGGTCGGGTGTTGGTGCTGGGTTGTTTGTGGGATATTGCTTCTTCCTGGGTCAGCGTAACTGTTAACTGTTTTCTGTAGAGGAGATGGCTATTTACAGACTGAGAGCTTTGCGTGAAATCCTCTTGCCCGGTAATATCCGTTCAAACAATATATAGCTTCTTATTTAGATACATAGATCTATATTCTACACTAGATATGTAGCAACAGACCAGCAAACCAACCTCGAGGAGATAATCACTCCCCGGCTCCTTTCCGCTCCCTCCATACAGTGCCGAGTACGCCAGGGTCTCAGCCTACTCTACCCCAGAGAACTCTACCCTCAATAATGACCGAAGCCGAGACTTTCATAACCGAAATGTCTCAACGCCATACCAATTGTAATTCGGCACGTCTGGCGGGGGGAACAGGTTCCATATTAACTTTCTCGTATTTAAGTGGCGGGAGACATGCTCGACCGCGGAGTAGGCCTCCCCGCGAACGGAAACCCCAGGCAATTTGTATAGCTGGTTGATTGAAATTGACCGGTTGAGATGATGTCGGGCTTCGTATTTAGGTTGTGAATGTCTTGGATCATGATATCAAAATATCAAATGACTTGCCTTGTCTTGGTTGATGGGAGGGGGGTAAGGTTGGGGTATAAAGATCGGGGTGTCTGGAGGGGGGGAATATGTCATGTCGTACAAGGACGAGGAATCTATCTACTTTGTTGAACATCTCAGATCAAACACAATTCAATATCAACTATGTATTTCTCTAAAGCCCTAGTCGTCCTCGCTTCTCATCTCGCGCTGTCTTGTATGTTCTGTTACCTCCCCAGTAATCTTTCTATTTCCCAGACACACTTGCTGACCAGGCCTCCCTTCTAACCCACACAGCCGCAACAGGATGCGGCACCGCTGATGCCTGCGTCGGAACAGATATCTGTACGACAGTCACATTCACGAGTCCCACTTCCACGACGGTGACTACTTGCGTGCCCACACCTACATGTCTAGGTGTTTACGGTAAGCCTTGATTCCAGCCCTACAGCCAGGAGATGGTGATTTGTTTCCATTGATTATATTGACAATTGTTCAGCAAACTGCTATTTACCTGACAACACTGTTGGTAATTGCTGCTCGGGCTACTGTGCTGCGAGTAAGTGTAGGTCAACGGATGAGAAGTGGCCCAGTTGCCAGGAGGACAATGGGCCTTGTCTTTCGGATGAGAATTGTTGTTATTCGTATCGGAATAAGTGTGTGAATGGGATTTGTACTCGGCCGCAGGTGTGTAGTAAGTCATGATGGCGATGCACGTGTGTGGTTGAGAGACGGATTGGAGATTAAATTGTAGGGTTTGGTATGTCGATTATTCGAGCAGATGTATGTCATGATTTAATGAATGGTAATTTAGTTATGTTCCTATTTGCCGTATACTATGTCGCGTTTTTTTCTAGCTAGAAAGCAGGTAGGTGTAGCTACATAGCTGTACATACTTTTGCACTATCAACTACATCCACTCCTCAACTCTATCTACTACTTCAACAATAACTCAGCCTGCTCCTTAACAGCCTTCATAGCACACTTCCACAACTCTGGCCCCAAACTAACCCTCGCAACCCCCAACTCCCTAATCTCCTGGACCCCCAAAAACCCCTCCCTAAGATTCATCTTCACATTAACCATCCCCTTAAACTCCCTAACCAAAACCTCCACCTCCTCCCTGGACACCCCTCTCCCCCCAGGACCCCCCCCAAACAAACACCGTGCAAGCTCCCGCCTCCAAAAACGCCCTACCCCTAACAAGAACATCCTCCAACGTCCCCCCTCCTGAAACAAAACATCCGTCCGCGCATTCAACGCAAAATCAGGACACCCCGCTTCCCTAGCTGCCTCAACGACCGTCCTAACCCGCGCAACGGCTTCATCCAGCGGGCGCAGCGTCCCAGCCGCATTATCCATATCCTCGAGGTTACAGCCCACAGCGCCGAGCACGATAGCTTCCTTGATAGTCGCCGCTAGCGCGGGGAGATCATTGCCGTAGCCGTCCTGGAGGTCGACTGTGACGGGGAGGGCAGGGTTTATACGGTGGACGGCGGCGATGATGGATTTCAGGGCGGAGAGGTTCTGGGCTTTTGTTAGGTCTTCGTCGTTTACGCCGAGGGTGGCTGCGACGGCGAAGGAGGCTGTTGCTATGGCGCGGGTTGTGGGGAGGGAGGCTATGAGGGAGGCGGTGCTGGCGTCGTAGATGTTTGTGAGGATTAGGGGGTCCTTGGGGTTGTGTAGGGTGCGGAAGTGTTTTGCGATGTCGTTTTGGGAGGACATTTTTGATGGTTGTATTTTGGAGAGACTGATTGATGTTGTAGATGGGTGGTTGAAGGTTTATAGTAGGACTTGGAGTTGATCTTGCGTCGACAAGAAAGTAGTATCTGTCAATGTGTGAAAATTGGTTCCTGAATTCAATTAAAGTAGAGTAATTGCAGACTGCTTTTTATACTTTTAATTCGCATCTATGATTCCCAATGGGTCCCGTGTAACTTAGTTAATTAGTTAGTTAGTTACTGAGTCATGGCTAACACGAGAACTTTGCTGTCAAAGTGACCAATCCGAGTGCTTCGACAGTTTCGGGTCCCCGTCGGAGAGGGGACCTCTGTGGAAAGTTATATACTCTTCACTGGAACCATGAATCATGAATAATCCGGGGAAAACGAGGTTCCTCGAACAATAACATTCGACGCAATTCTAATTCATGCTTGGTAATACTACCTCGCTGACCCTGGAAGACGTGCGGGCACTTATTTAGTACAAAAGTAGGTATTCTGGAACTCGGGACTTGGTGGTCAGACAAGAGACCATGCCGGCCCAGGACTGGTTATTAATAATTCTTCAACCCTGTCTTAGAACCCCACTAGGAGTTACTACTGTTGTCACTACGGTAGCTAGCTCAATACAGTATGCAAGAACTAGCTACTGTAGTAAGATCAGTTTCCAAGGCTACACAGCCAGGTGTGGCAGGCTGAATCCACTGGGGCGGACTCTGCAGCAAGGGGATCCACGTCTAGCATGCCCCCCTCTCGGCCGGAGACCGACTACTGAGGATTACTGCTTAGTCGATGACTCGATGGAATGGTTAGATGAAGAGCTGCGAAGGACGGTCAATGTAAGAGAGATAGGAATCATGTTAGTCAAGATTGTCACTGTAGACGTTAACCACCAACAATACTCTATAGCGAGGACTACTACTATACCGCAGTATACCATTCTACAGGACTTCCAACTTCCAACTCTTATCACGGTCAGATCAGATCCTGATCTGCATCCGATCTGATTTCCCCGTGCACCCCCTACCTACTGTCCTACAGTATATGTACCTGCTCCGTACAAAGCCAGACTACATAACCATCAGTACAAACCCCGTACTGTACGTAAGACCGATGGAACATCAACGATGCATGCATTCCATCGTCAACGAGTCGGCACCGTGATCGGATCGAGCTGATCGACTCGCAGGACGGAACCCCAGCCGAACAAGTAGCCCTGTTCTGTCAGGGAACGCCCGCCCGGAGCCCGGCTTATTGGGCGACGGTCGGATTTGGATTCATTGGAGGGGGGCGCATGAACGGAGCCCATGCGGCCGTGCAACGGAGAAATCCCCAATCAAAGTCCGGCGAATGCCTGATCGAGGGGGCGCTGGCTGGTTCGCTTTTCGTTGGCTGAGAATGACGGAGGAAAGAAATCTTGCCCTACGTCGCAGGAAATTGGATTTGTCCATTCCCCCCGGGTTTTTTTGCCGTCGAGGGGTGATGAAGGGTGATTTATAATTTTTTGAGGAGGGGGGTTTTCTTAGATTGGGTACTCCGTACATTTGTTAGTCTTTTGGGAAGAGGTGGATAGATTACAGAGTACATACATAACTGGAGTATTGTAGATTACACTTGTAATAGGTACAATACCTGGGTTTGGAGCCAGGGGAGTTACCGGAGTGATGATGGATTTAACAGTTAGTTCACTTTGTACATGTACAGCAGGACCTCCCCTGCTGGAGCAGTCGGCACTACTGGATTCTGTACGCCGTACTAGAGGGGACTATGTGCGACCTACACCCCAGACCCTTCCTATTGTATGCATTCCATAATCCCCCGACTAGTTTCTGAGGAATTGACTAGGTACTGCGTTCTATAATCCCCCCCCCCCCCCTCACCGTCACTATTAATTACCATTCATATTTCGGCCCCAGTGGACCATGGACCACTTCTCCGGAGAAGAGGGCCAACTCAATAATCGGCCTTATCAAGCCTAGCCTGTTAATTAAACGCCCGTCAGTCCGTCACCGGTGGGCAAGAGTGGGCAGAGGAGGGCCCGACCGGAACGGCTTAAACTGGTAAACTGGGCATCAGTACTCCGTTGATTCATCAGCAATTGCGACCGGGGAATTTGCCTCTTGTTATCTACGGTGACTCGCTAGCCCTCGGAGATAGATGTAGATACATATGGTGTTTACTAGTCGTCCACAGTTCAAGAATTCATTCATAGTACAGTGGATCTCAACAGAGTGAGAAAAAGAGGCATTCAAGTAAGCAGAAATTATTCAAGTATCTACTATCGAAATACATCTATCGTAGTTCTTGGCAAAGGCACTTGTACTCTTCATGAGTATAATCCGTATTACTTATACAGTATCACATCTTTAGCCCACACGGTGCCCAGGTACTCTGTACAGTACTTCCAACTCGTTAGTTTGTTAATTAACCCATTTAACCCAGGTACAAGTAACCCAGGGTGATCCTTCACCAAATCACCACGGGCCGGTCCCGTTGTACACACTGCCTGGATCCGTGCCTGCGTGCATGAACGAGGGGCAAAATCCACCTGTATAGTCCTGTACACTGACATTCCTCGGGGATCGTGGTGGTTGGAAGGCGGGTGATCGGCCGTCATTGAGGCACGATTACAGGTCCCGGGTAGTAAATGGATCCTCCCCGTTGGCCCTGGCACCTGGCCCTGGTATGTTCCATGCCAGGATTGGGGAGCACCAGGGTTGATGAACTACCGGAGTGTTGTCTTGTCTTATGCGTGTTTTTTTTTCGCCTTGTTCCTACAAGCTACCAGCTACGTATGTCGCTTAGCTATACAGATTGTATATTCGTACGCATGTTATACCGTAGTTCAAACTATGGAGAAATCTACCGACTATTTAACTTGTTAATTATGAGGAGAGGGGAAAAAACTGGAGAAAGGACCCGAGCAACAAAACCACCCGGACACACCCGTTTTTGTTTTTTTAACCTTTGGAGTCGTCTGAGGGGGGTTGTGGTTTGGCTGGACTCGGCAAGCCCCATTTTTTTTGTCCGCGGATGGAGACAGGTTCTCCTCACACGACTTCCCGTACCACTTCCGAGGGTAGCGCGGAAGATTAGGAATTGGTAGAGTCACGGGTAACTCTATTATGGGTTTGAAAGAGGAGACTCTGGTGTAGGGTAAACTGTGTGGACGGTAAGGATACATTGAGTCGGCCTATCCTATACAACAGGGTATAGGCTCTTCAATGCTGGCAATTGTACTTTATTCTAATCCCTCGCACGAGCTGGAGAGATAGAAGTCGTCAGCAATTTGTCCCGGACCTCCGGTTCTCTTAAGTAGTTTTTCGTATTGACTTTCCACCCTCCCCTCTTCCGGCGGCATGGCGTTAGGTTAGTAGGTCGGCTGCGCTTAGTTCGTTTTGGGGGGGGTTGGACAGGGTCGACCAGGGTGTACAACGTTACAACTTGCCCGGACTACGTTCGGAGCAAAGGAGACAAGTAACGAGGGACAGGGGTACATAATAGTAGTAAAGAATGAAAGAATCAAGTTTTTAAAGTTGGTCAAGTTACAGATTCTAGACTAGATCAAACACATCGGTCAAAGGATAATCGGGGGTTCAAGACAAAAGGAACGTAAGAATAGAATAAAAGAACATTTGAATAATCAAAGAATTAAGAACCATCGTTCGTTTCGGATCTCTATCTTCCTTTCTTTTTGCTCCCCGGAAACAGAGAGGGGGCGGTTTCAATTTATTCTTTTTTCCCGATATCAATTATGGATCTTACCATATTAAAAGGAAGGGAAATTTATGGAGCCAGGGATGATGAGACAAGACGGATCGCTCTTCCGGGGATCAGCCCAAGGCCTTTACAATGCAATGGACTTAGAACTTGGGGGAAACGTAAATAGATTGCAGGCAAATCATGGTCCTGAATTTTGAATAATTAAGAATAACAATGGGAGTAAAGAAAGAGGGGAGAAGCAGGAGGCTAATAGACTAAGAACCGGAGTACTGTAGGACGAGTTGAGAAATAAAGGCTCTCCTCTCTTATAAGAGTAGATTGTATAAATACCGATCAGACTGATTATTCTTCTTAATATTCTGACTATATTATTAACTAATCCGTCTTCCAGTGTTAATTAACGACTAAAAAGAGACTCCGACAACGCCCTATTCGGGACCCGAAAAAAGAAAGAGGCCCCTGTAATTTATACAGTCTCCGTACGGAGTGTATTTCTGTACCTCTTCTTTTTCGTACGGAATTACCCTACGGAGTCAACCCAGGGCCCCCGTCAGCTCCTCTCCTCCCCACTCTCCGCTTCGCCTTGCTCGCCCTCTCCTCATTCCTCTCTTCCTCTCTCTCCCGAACTTTTTCACCCTCCCTCCCTCCTCCTCTCAAGACTCATTTCCTCTCTTTACACTCTCCCCAGATCACCCTTCACATCCAATCTCTCTCGCCACTCTCCGGCACTCTCTCCTCGGCTACTCGATCTGATGCCGGTGTTGCCTCACTTCCCCGTGCAGTTGGCCGCCTGACCTGCAGCTCTCACGCTGCCATCCGACCCTGTTCACTCGATCGATTCCTCCCGAATCCCCTCACAACTTCTGTCTCTCTCAGATCTTCTGGCGGGTGACTCTCACTTCTTCACCATGACCGGCCTGGAGATCCCCGAGACCGGGCTATCTCTCCGCCCCGGAGATCAGCCGGGTGACGCAGCCGCCAAACCGGCCCAGTTTATGCGGCTGAACCTCGCGCAAAACACACTCGATGAACTCATCTCTAGCCTCAAATCCGATGATTCTACTGCTAAAGTCCGCCTGGGAAAACATCCTACCCTCCATTATGGCAACAACAAGACCCAATCCTTCCATGCATACCCCGAAACTCACCGGTCCGAGATCTACCACACCTCCGATGACAAGAAAAACCTGTACTTCACTGGTGTTTTGAGCCACAGTCTGGAAGTTGAAAAGGCCAGGGAAGCGACTGCTGCCACCGATCAGGCCCTGGCCAATCTGGAGGAAAGCCTCAATGCCTTCGAGCGAGGCAAGGCTTCCAAGTCAACACACATGATTCAAACCCCCGATGAATTGAAGGCTCTCCGAGCGGCAAACTCTGGAAGCTCCATGCATCGAGGCTCACACATCAAGTCAGTCTTGGAAAAGGATCGGTTGATCCGGAATGCTAGCGGCCGGTCTCTGACCTCGAGCCCGACCTTGGGCGCACCCAGGTCTCCTCTCCCGGGGATGACCCCGACCTCTGCGCCGTCCTCGCAGGCCAAGAACAACGCTCGCCTGCAGGCCCTCAAGACCCCCCTCATCCATCTCCTCGCGATCCGTCCCGTGTCGACCAAGTTCCTCGCTCGTCAGACCCGATCCACAATTGAGGACTGCACCGCCCTTATCCAGAAATACGGCACCGAGAATCGCATTGACCGCGAGAAATACGATTTGAAGGACAAATTCTACAAGGACCTGGACGTGTGGAAATTCCCTTACCCAAACCAGGATGACCGACAGGCTGCCATTGATAAGGCGATCTCTGCCTTTGATCGCATGCGCCTCTCGCGAACGGACAAGCTGTGGCAGGGCTTGCTGCCAAAGGAGGAACGGGGCAAGGGGAAATGTTTGTCGAAACTCAATCTCCAGAGCAACCTCCAGAGTGGACTGGCAGGTAAGAAGCCTGCCACGCCACGGGTGGGCATGGACGGTGCCGACGATCGGAAAGACGGTGACACCACTGGCAATGAGACCGATCGCCCCAAGGTTACCTCTGCCGCGACTGTCAAAAAATCGAGTACCCCCGCAGTCAAGCCACGAGCAGAAAAGGAACCTGCCAAGCGACCTCCCAAGAACAAGAATACCAACAGTACTTTGACCGGCCGAATCACCAAGAAGACCGGTGGAAGACCTGCTGCAAAATCTGCTACCGAGACCAAGTACAAGTCTGCCGAGTTCGTTCACGATTCCGACGAGTCTGACGATGAAATGCCTGATGCCTCGCCCCCTCCTGCACCTGCACCTGTACCTGCACGAGCTCCCTCGCCAGCTCCCGCTCCCACTCCAGCCGACCGCCCGAAGCCAGCCAAGGCGACTACAGCCAAGAAGACGACTCAGCCCCCGGCGAAGAAGCCCGCACAAGCCCCAACCAAGCCTCGAGCTAAGGAAGATACACCTGCGGCCCCGATTCCCAAGGTCCCCAAGGTCGAGGCACCCATTCCCAAACTCGAAGCTACCAAGGCAGCGGCTAAACGACCCCCCTCCGCCCGACCCTCTACCTCCCCTCAGAAGCCGTCTCCCCTTTCCTCTCCACCGGCCAGTGCCTCCGATGCGACCGGTCGCAGCCGGTCCGACAGCCATAACCAGTCTTCCAGCTCCTCGTCATCCTCCCCGCTTATCTCCCAACTTGGCCGGGCCAAGGCCTCGGGAGCAGTTTCTGGCCTTTCGAGCTCCACGCGGCCAGCCAATGGCGGCAAGGGAGGACCTGTCAACGTCAACACCTTGAAGCGCAAGGCGGAACCCGAGCGATCGGCAGCCCCGGCTCCCATGGCCGCCCGAGCGACGACTGGCAACAACGATCCCAAGCGGCGCCGAGCGGTCAGTACCTCCAGCGGGGGCAGCACGGGTAGCGCTTCTCCACCCATGAGCCATAAAGTCGCGCAGCGACGACTGTGGGACAAGTCTCAGCGATTCAAGAAAGCCTATGCCAAGTACCACTCCTTGCATGACTCCCTGGCGGGCCAGGCCAACCCTCGACCGGAATTGATTACGAAACTGGAAGGCTGGCACGAGCAGCTAACGCAGATGAAGAATGAGATCTGGGAGGAAGATCGAAAACTCCGTGACGGCTCTTATTCGTGAAGCTGATTGATATTTTTTTGCATCTCTGTTTTCCCCTTCCCGCAACGTTGCATGGTGATGACACCGATTGTTATCTCACCCAATTTCCTAGCGAAAATCGTTCCAACATCTGGTTCCCATCTACTCATTGTCCTCATGGAGATATGATGATCTTGGTGAACCTACCCAAGCAGTCGACAGATCGGCAATTCGGTGTTTTAATGGTTGTGATTTTTTTCATTTCTTATCTATTATTCCCTCTCCGTTTGATCTCATCTATCCGCATCTACCCCCTGAAAAACATTTTGCGGTGACCTGTGCCATACATAGAATTTTGCATTTTCGCTCTGAATAACACGAGAGCAATTAGTACCTACGCATTTAGTATCGATAGCACATTCTTAATGAATTATGCTTTTCAAGCCATGGAATCTTGATACTAATGTCCTAGTAAATAAATCGAACCTAGTAACCGCATTAAACGCAGCAAGTCCATGAAGTCTAGACGATCCAGCTTACCCCGGATCCGCGAATCTGCGAATCCGTGGTTCCGCGGCGCCGATGACCGGCCGGAACAATGTGATTGGCCCACAAAACACGTGGCACATCACGGGACCCATTACTGAAAGATTTCCGTCTCAATACACCCGTAGTACAGCATTACGTCATCAGCGTTGGTTCGGCTATTCCGCAATGAGACTAGCGCCAATTGAATGGGACAAGCTGGGCGGAGAGGAAGCTGGAAAAGAAGCAAGTCCAGATATTCCCCAATTCCATACGATACGACATCGCTCTCCACTCCCCTGTTCTGGCGAAGATTTTTCAGGAATTGGAGACACACAATTTGACGCTGCCAACGAAGGAGTATCACAATGACGCCCCCTCCTCGTGGACGGGGTACCAGTCAGCGCAGCCCGACCGTCCTGGTAAGCTACAAGCTCTATATCCGCCCGCCATCCCCTCCCGGAGACCAGGGAAGGGAAAAAGCAAAACGCAGCAGCAGCAGCAGCAGCAGCAGCAGCAACAGGGATCTACTGCATTGCATGCGAGACAAGTACCAACATGTCGTCCCAATGAAACATACTGATGCGCTGCCAACTTCCTAGGTCACCGATTCCCGCGACCAACAGCCCGCAGCAACCCCCCGGCGCCGCAGATCCCCTTCCACCCGCTTCATCACCGTCGACAACGTGCTCCAATATGCCTCGGACGTGCCATCCATGCAGCAGCGGCATCCACCGCCAATATCACGCTCTCGCCGCCTTGCATCCGCCGCGGGGGGACTAATCGCCAGTGCCAGTGGTAGCAGCAGTGCCAGCGCCGCAGCCACCGCTACCGGCAAGGGTGGCCGACTCGCCGCGCAGCCACGCCTACCTCCACGAACGACCAAGGTCAGCGAGAAACTGGTACTACTCCCCGATACGGGCGGTGTCGGGGAACCGGACGACGGCGAGGAGGAAGATGAGGGTGATGGGCGGGACGAGCTGGATCTTGTGGATGAGGAGCTTGTGCAGCGTTTGGCGCGGGATAAACATATCAATCCTGAGGCTATTCGGCAGCAATTGCTTGCGCAGAAGAGGCTTGGTGGGGATTTTGGAATTGATAATGAGATTGCGCCGCTGTTGGCGGAGGAGGAGACGTTGAGGAAGAGGCGTGTTGGGCCTGAGAGGGCGAAGAGTTATGCGGAGCGGTTGCCTAAGGCTAGGCGGACGGAGAAGCTTGCGCGAGTGACGGCTTATTGTACAGCGCAGGCGTATAAGATGGGATCTGTGGCGGCGTTTGTTAAGGAGGCGCATGGTGCGAGGACGAAGCTCTATGACGATTGCTTGTACACGGCGTATCATTTGCCGCTGTTACCGGGTCACGAGGGGTATCGACTGCGGAGTAGTCCGGTGTTGAAGTTCCCTGGTGGCAGGTCTTTACTTGATGAGGAGATTGAACGGAATGAGCTGCGTGATCATCATGAGGATTATATGGGGGAGGCTGAGGAGCATTCGGTTGTTGGGCATGGTCGACATGAGGATGATCATAATGCCCAGGCTTCGCCGGGCGATGAGAGTGGCCATGGGCCGAGACAGGAGCGTCGTGAGGGATATCTTGATCGGATTTCTGAGGAGGATGGTCGGATTCAGGACGATCATGGGAATGCTACGGGTGCCGGTGATAACGGTACAACACATAGCACGACTCGTCCGAATGTTGAACGGCCTCAAGATATCCCCGAGCCACCGCCTCGACGCCGTCGTCACAGCTCTGATGATGGGCATGCTCTACTCAGGGATCGCACGTCCCCTCCATTACAAGCTACATCGTCCCCCAGGCCTGAAACCCCAGCCCGGACTCTGTACAACGTTGCCGAGATGTTCGTCTTCAGCTATGGCGTGGTAGTCTTCTGGAACTTTACAGAGAGACAGGAGAAAGATCTGCTGGCAGATCTAGCATTTGCCACGTCCTCGGCGACAGGGACACCTATCCCGCTAGCGACTATGCCTCTCCATGAAGAAGACTTTGAGACCGAGGAGTTCCACTTCGAGTACTCGACTGAGATCTCTCGACCTCGTGTGTACAATGATATGATCACGCTACGCAGTGGTGACCATATGATCAAGCTCGCTATCAGTCATGGCATATCTCAAAGTACGAAATTGTGTTTCTTTGAAGAAGTCATGGCTCGCCAGATGGCCGATGCAAAGGACGTTCCGCGCCGACTGGCTATGACTGGAAAGTTGGGTATGAAGCGTGAAGAAGTCTTCCGTATTCTGGGCCGGCTTTTCAAGAGCAGAGTTGAGGTTAATCTTTGTAAGTACTGTTCTACTGTTTCTTTTTCTAAGGGTGAGGTTTGCTAACTGTTATATCCCCCAGCATCGAATATGCTCGACGTTCCCAACTTCTTCTGGGAGAGCGAGCCCAACTTGTACCCTCTTTACATCGCCGTGCGGGAGTACCTCGAGATCAAGCCTCGTATCCAAGTCCTCAACGAGCGCTGTCGCGTATTCCTCGACCTCACAGAAATCCTATCAGATTCGATCGCCGACAACCGAACATCTCGTACGTCTCGCATTCGACCCCCATCCTGCTTACCATACTAACATATATCCCACAGACCAAACCTGGATCATCATCGTCTTAATCATAATCTCCATCCTCGTCACAATCTCTGAAGTCTTCTTACGCTTCGGCCTCCTGCACGCCCGGGAAGGCGCCGCAGCCACCCCTGCAGCTATTATTGCGCGTGCCATGGGCCGCTCCCCTCGCGCTGCACCCTCGGGTTTATCCTACAGCACGTCTAATCCTCCACCGGGCTGTATTTGCCCGTCTATCCCGTCTGCGGGTGGATCGGATATGGGGATGAATGGGATTACGGGGCTGGGCCTTTGATTGAAAGGGTTGGTGTTTAATAGTGTGCATTCATCATAGTCGCCTGGTGCGACTGGCGTTTAGGATGGGATATGGGATTCAAATGGACAAAAACATGGTTTCTCTTTGCACATGGTTTCCTTCTACCATCAGTCGAGCTTTCATTCAATGTCATCCAATATGGACTCTACCAAATCGACTTAATACAAATCCACCACTTAAAATCTAAACATCAACCTCCAACCCACGAACAACCTCCTCAATCCTCCCCCACGCACCCGCTCTCGCAAGAATCTGCACCCACCAATTCCCAACGCCATCCCTCCCCGTCACAGTAACCAAATTCCTCGCAACATGCGGGCCCAACGGCGTCGGCCCCGCAGTATTAATATACGACGGCCTGCAAACACCAGTACACGCTTTACCAACCCTCGCCGCCAAAAAATCCAACTCAAAGAACCTTGCACGCTGCCAATTCGTACAAGTCACCGAGATCTGGCGCGGATCGCCTACGATAGGTAAGTATCCCGTTTCCCGGAGCGTTTTCTTGCGTAGGAACGACATGGCGTGGACTTGGGTTGGAGCGCGTTGTTCGTTTAGGGCGTTGCGGATGTGTAGGGCTGTCGTACTTGGTGGATCTGTAAGGAGGGATTGTGCGATGAGGCTTGTGCAGGATGGGATTGTAGCGTTGCCGGTGTATGCGCCTGTTTGCGAGATATTTAGGATAGCGCGGGTGTCGAAGACGTTTGATATTTGGACGGGTGTTTGCGGGGATGGGTTTAGAGCTGCGACTAGTGTTTTAGACAGCCATGCTAGGAGGATATCCCCCTCGCTGACGAAGACCTCCTCAGATGAAGACTGTGATGATTGAGCTCTGAGTTCTTGTAGAGCCCTTTCCCGCAAGTTTTGTACGAAACTATTCGGGATGGCGATGACTTTGTCTTCGACATCCCGGTACCAGTAATTCTCCCACCAGCGCAAGAGTACAAAAAGCCCCATTTGGAATTTGGTAAACGTCTCTTTTGCAAGGACGTGTTGTTCCGCGGGGACGTATTCCGTTTTCGCCTCGATGATATCTTCGTCGAAGCCTAGGAATGGGGGGATCCGGTCTTCGTGCCCGGAGAGGATTGCAGTCCAGGCTTGGAGGAAATAGGATAGACTCATTGCGTCGAAGAGGGTATGTGGGAATGTCACCGTTATCAAAGTTGTGTCTGTGAAGGTTACGACGTGGATGAAGAGTTGAGGCACGTCAGAGGAGAGGTAGTCTTCGACTGCGTTCGGGGCATTTCTGTGTTTGGTTATTGAATTGAAGTTTGACATGCATCCCAGGACGGAGATTTGGTTTGTTTCTTGGGTCGAGGGGATTTGCGAGGCTATTGGATGCGAAGAGATGGGATTTGGATGGTTGGCAGTTGTGTAAATAACGCCTGGTCGGTCCTTGGTAAACTTTGGGGGGAGGTGGTATTCTAGTTTGCCGGATTCCTGGGGATAGATTAGTAGCTGGATTTGATTGTCAAAGGTGGTTGTTAATTTACATTCTGGTGAAGCCGAGCTCCTAACTTTCTCCAGTTGCCTATTTCTAAGAGGCGCTCTAGGGAATCATGCAGTTTTGCGGTATCCAGAACTTCCTCGAAGCGTAGGGTTACGTTAAGGCATATTCCCCGAGTATAGGGAACATCGTCCCAAAAGTGAAATGCGATGATCGTGTCATTCGTGGCTATCTGGGATGTTCCTTGGGACGTCATATTGTTGGGAAAAAGAAAGTAAAGGATATGCTTTCCGTATAGTTCGATGTCAAAGGCTTCAAATTGGAAATACTAAGGTCTCGCTTGGAAAATGACTTTAGCTGGAACTCATACGCGACGGCATAGGGACCGATGATAATTGCTTACTCCGAATGATAAGGGTCTAAGCCTAGGTTTCTGAAATCAGATAGATAAACTTGGGGCGGAAAGCCATCCTTTTGACTAGCGTCGAATAGAAGACGGGGCTTGCATAGTGCATGCGAGTAAGAAGCCGATAAGCCCTAGCACACAGTCAATGGTTTTTCATTTTCCTATTTAGCCGGCCGGCGTCTGTCGATGCGTGCCCGAACGGGAAGTCCAGCTAGGTAGGGTATCTTACGGGAGCTGAATTTCCTGAAGAAACTCAAAGCATACTTTGCCGTCGAAAGACCACAATGAGATGGATAGCACCAAGCAAGAAAACAAGACACTGAAAGGGTATTTCGAAGACTATTCTCCATCTAGATTGATGTGACAAGCCTGACAGACTGATAGAGATGATTCCATTACTCCTTCCACTCAAGAATCAACAACGGCAGAGCTGGAAAAGGATGTCGAGACCGGTACATCTACACATAAAGCTGAGAATCAACCAAATGGGGAACAAGCAGAGACTCGACCTGACGAAGAAGACGCTGGAGAGTCATCAAACTACATCAATGGCTCCCGATTATACGTTCTCTCCGCTGCATTCACGATGGCCGGTATCATGCTAGCCATCGATGGAAGCATCCTCTGTGAGTCTTCACCATATATGCTTCATTCCATTCCATTTCTTGTCGCTAACTATTACTAAAAGCTACGGCAATTCCACGAATAACTAGCGAGTTCAATTCAATCGACGACATCGGCTGGTACGGCAGCGCCTATCTTCTTGCCCAAATGTGCCTCCAACCTACCTTCGGCCGCGCATACATCTATTTTGAAGCAAAGATTATGTTCCTACTATCATTGCTCACTTTCGAAGTGGGCTCGGTGATCTGTGCCGTGGCACCTAGTTCTCTCGTCCTCATTCTTGGGCGCGCCATAGCAGGAGCAGCGGCAGCGGGAATGTTGACGGGGAACTTGGCAATCTTCGGACAGGTCGTTCCACTACGGAATAGACCTCGAGGAATGGCTATCATGACCGGATTATACTCAATTGCAACACTTGCGGGACCGACTGTCGGCGGTTTGCTTACGGACTCGCGATTGACTTGGCGCTTTTGCTTTTGGATTAATCTGCGTAAGTGATATCCAAATCAAGAGAGAGAAAACAAGGGTATTCAAAACTTACTTTGGATACAGCTTTCGGGTTTATTGCGGCAGTGATTGTTATCTTCATTCTGCACCGAAAGCCAGGCAAACTTTCCGACTTGCCCTTAAAAGAGAAAATCGGGCGCCTTGATTTGGCAAGTGCAGCAATTCTCACAGGGAGTCTAGTGTGTCTTTTTCTCGGGCTACAATGGGGTGGCTCGACGGACCCCTGGTCTGCGCCTCGTGTTTGGGGCTGCTTAATTGGGTTTGCGGTGCTATGTGTTATTTTCATTGGGCTCCAGGCTCGCCGAAAAGAAAGGTAAGTCATGCCGGGAAAAATGCCTTAATTTCCTTCCAAGTTTAACATTGGGCAGAGCAACTATTCCGCTTCGACTTTTGCAACAACGGACGGTGGCCATTTGTTGCATATTCTCTGGCTTGTATGGGGTCGCAATTGTAACGCACAGCTATCTCCTGCCAATCTGGTTCCAGGGCGTGAAAGGTACTGATGCGACCATGTCTGGTGTATACATGTTGCCATTCACAGGAGCCAGTACCATAGCCGTTCTGGTAGCTGGGTTTTCGATGACAGCATCTGGGCACTATGTACCATTCATGTGGGCCGGCTCATTGGTCTATGTTGCAGGTAGCGCCCTGTACACGACCCTGAAAACTGACAGCAATGCTGGACGATACTTGGGCAGCCAGGTCCTCGCCGGCGTAGGATTCGGTACTGCGATTCAAGTCACCTTCATTGGGGTCCAAGTGGTCACCCCCGCAATCGACATGCCCACTGTCTGCGCTCTCGAGGTATTCTTTCGCCAGCTTGGTGGGTCTGTTGGGATTAGCGTGGCACAGAGTATCTTCTTGAACACACTAACAAGTCATCTCCGGAGCATTTCTGGAATTAATCCGGAAGCTATTATTCACGCTGGGGTTATCGAAGGATCATGGTCAAACGATCTAATGAATCCTTCGACAATCACTTTGGTCAAGGACGCATTGAACACGGCAATCACCAAAGCTTTCTTACTACCAATTGGGGCAACGGTTGTTGCAGCTGTGATTAGCCTAGGGATGGAGAGACGCCAAATCGAGGATGACAGGGTTCCTTCTCCGGAGAAAGGGACTGGCGCTAGTGAGAATGAGGGCATTTCTTCGGGTGAGCGGCCCGCCGTGGCGTTGACTGATTGTCAGCCAATGAAGGAGCATATACTGAGCGAAAACGAGATGAAAGGGGGGAAAGAAGAGTAAGTAAGCGCTTGCGCAGTAAGCACAAGCCTCGCGGGCCGGGCCATAGAGGAGAGCGAGTTCAATGCGGGAACATAGTCCGGATCTACAGAAGTTTAGGGGTCCTGCAGCTTGATCCTGGCGCATAATCGCAATTTATTCATTCGGGACCGATAAAAGTCTACCAATTAACACCCATGTCAAGTACTACGCGGAAATCCCATCTTCCACTTTCCTAGTGCGATTTAGAAGTAGATGCAATTCCTTCGGAATGGTTCACACTGAGATGGATTATGGTCAATCTACGAGGAGACGGAACTTTTGCCTTCAGTTGAAACAAGATATCTTGCATTTTAGTCACATTAATGCGTTCTAGCATATGATACAGCTTTGCTAAGTCCATAACCCGCAGCTAAGATGGTCAACCATATTGCAGCACCCCTCCACCAGTATGGCGCCCAGCTAGATTTCATCGAAGCTCGATCGTGTACTTGAGGAAATGGCTTCTCGGGCACTGGGACGTCCAGGAATTTACACAGCGGTTCCCAGCCATCCTTCATGTTGAAGAAAAATAGTCGATCCTCTGGCACAACTCGCTTCAGGTAGTCGGAGTGGATTTCCATAAAATCTGATTGAATAGGTCGGTTAGCCGAGGACGTTAGGATATTGGATTCGAATACTGACGAGGACCCAATGGCTCAAATTCTGGGGGATAGATCTTCCTTCTCCGCTTCAGAATTGCCAATTTCCATGCCAGTGAGTACCTCAACGTAGGTTGAACCAGCTGTAAGAGAATAAACAATGGATTGTCGAGTGTGTTGATCAGCTCCTGATAGCTATCCCACCACCGGTTGGGCTCGCGAACTGTACAAACGACCTTCGCGTCTGGGTACAACCGAACTAGTTCCTCAACAAAGAATATCGCTGGAGCATCGGTTGTCGCGACATATCCGGCCAGCAATTCCTTCAAAGTATCGTCAACTTCCTCCTGTGAAACGCCTTTCCCCGGGTCCAAGACTTTTGTCCATCCTTTGATGATATCTAAGAATGGTTTCAGTACCGAATTATGGCGCTTGTCAGGAAGTTTTGCGTACGCTCTTTCCCCCTCAAACAAGCTGAGCCCCCATGGCAAACATCGCCGTGGAGAGCCCACGACAGAGCGAGCGTGAGGGAAATTGTCCCAGTGCGAGGCAATCCAGCTGCGATTACCTGTAGAGTGCGAGTCGGGTCATTAGGTGGCTCCCCAGCGAACGGATCCCTCCACCGTTTCTGTTCTTTAGGCTCTTCCATGTAGAGAATATGGAGTTCTTCCACGGAGAAAGAAAAAATATCAAGGGCTTAATCGAAGGATGGCAAAGGGGATTTACCACCCCCTAGCAGTGGCTGTACATGATTAACTATTCTGCCACGGACTCTGACTCGATAAGATCTCCTGATCAGTGCAGACAAACTTCCGTTCAGGATTGGTGAATGCAAGCATATCTCTGACATCTCAGGCAAGGCCCTGACTGGTGGCTTGAAGCTCCGCGTTCACCCCAGGAACTCCACGGGGATTTAAGCCAATATCCAGACGCTGGCTTATGCTTACATGCATTAGTCTCATGGGCCATAAGAGGGTTTTGCCAAGGCGTATGGTGTGGAGAGATCCAAGATCGGGGATGTCCCGGTCAGCCCGTGATAGATTCGGGATCCCTGGCGCCACCAATGGGGGCCGTTTATCGGACAACAAGTCCCCACGATCTTAGAGCGTGAGAGCCTGGCATCGGAGCTATCCACCCATGATTTTGGCTAGTCATGGGGTAATTTAGCCGGTGAGCGTCAAGGGTTGGAGGAGGAAACCATTACATGGGTATTCCTGTTCTTTGTTCGAAAGGATAGAGGTTCAACCTCAGTATACTCTAAAGCAAGACGTTTGTCCGTCACCCCGACTGTGGTGTTTAATACTACTCTCGAGGAACCCATCCACAGAGATCAAACTCTGAAGTCTCCGTTTTCGACGACCCCTATCGCCGTACGCAAAGATCATCGCAATGGCTGTTCCGACCGTATGCACTCTCAAAAATTGTCCCATCGAATGGGGCTACGTACACTATCAGCCCTCAATCGGTGGGAATGCATTCATGCTAGCGGCCTTTGGCTTGCTCACTGCCCCGGCTCTCTACCTGGGTATCACCCACAAAGTCAAGCTATTCACGTTCTGCTTCGTGATGGGACTGCTGGGTGAAATAATCGGGTATATTGGGCGGATCCTATTACACAACGATCCGTTCAGTAAAGACTACTTCCTCATATATTTGATATGCACAACTATCGCGCCCACATTTACTGCTGCCGCCGTTTACTTAACGCTAGCTCGGATTGTGGTTGTATACGGTGAAGGGATCAGTCGAATCCGCCCCCGAACGTACACGCTGGTTTTTAGTGGTCTCGACCTCATCGCTTTGGTGGTTATAGCAGTAGGAGGAGGCATGGCAGCCGTTGTAGTTTTACAATGGAAGGTTGGCAGATCTCTGAATTTTTCTGACTAGCAAAGTCGGCTCTACTAACATATTCATGATTTTTCTAGATTGATCGTGGAACGCACATCATGGTGGCAGGGCTTGTGGTTCAGGTCGTCAGCCTGGTCATATTCCTTGCTCTGTGCTTCGAGTACTCTTTACGAGTACGCAAGTATCGAGGAGATATGAATCCTAAATACGCTGTTCTTCGCGAGTCACCTCGCTTCAAGCGATTCCTGTATGCCCTCGCCGCGGCAACCATCTTTTTGTTCATTCGGGCTGTGTACCGAGTGGCAGAGCTTTCGGGAGGGTTCAGAGGCAAGCTAGCTCAGGACCAGGTACTCTTCATGGTTCTTGACGGAGCAATGGTTCTATTAGCATGTATCATTTTGACGGTCTTCCATCCGGGACTAGCCTTCGGGGGCGCATGGAAGGACGCATCGTTCCGCTGGGGTTCGAAGAAATCGAGTAATGAGTCGTCGATGCAGGATATTCCGGTGGAGTCCGTTGCCTACAACGGAAAGCATTGAATTAGGCATTGATGGGTTTTGATGGATTTGATTATGAGGCTAAGTCTTGGGTGTTTAGCAGCCATTGCTCTCAATTTTACCCAAAAGGGAGCTAGAGTATCTACAATTGTCTGCAATTGAACGAGATTCGCATATCATGCCTAAATGGGATTCGGATATGCTAGTGGATAAATTTCAATATTCTGACTCTCTATCTTGTATGGTTGCTTCAGAGTTAACTCTCCACCCTTCTTGGAGAGAGCCAACGTGGTGTTATGCCGAATAGCGTACCTGAGCCTGCTTTTCCTGTCATCCTTAGTCCGACGCCACCATGCAAACCCAACTGTGAGGATTTTCCTAGTCCATAATTGTTCTAGTTCTTATGTCAACATCTCGCTCTCTTGCAGATAAGCAGAAATCCGAAATAGCAATCGCGAGGCGGACTCTCAAAGTACAACACGTTTTCCTCGAATTTCTACGGAATGCCCTCCGCTGGGTCGCTGCCGATGCAACGCTGATGGGTCTACAGATCTATTATCTCTCTCTTACCGAACGAAAACACGGCGCAAGTGCCGACCGTCATCTTTACTAAAGTTCGAAAGGAATGAGGCGCAGAGCTAGAGCGCCATTCATCACGGAAAGATAGGATTTTTGGATCAGCCATAGTTAGATGACCGAGCTCGTAGTCATCTTACCCGCCTGGTCTGATTGCCTAGTGAATTTTCAGCGTGAGATTAGGACAGGTTGGCAATTTACAGATAGTGATACTTTTTGGCCCCCATTGCAGCTATGAGAGCTTGATGGCGGAGCCAGTCGTTATATAGAATGCTGCGAGTAGCAGGCAAATCCGTGAATTTATCACGACATTCTTCAATGATCTGTCGAAAGAAATCGATCTGAGTCAAAATTATACCTATTCCTTCACACTAGCCTATCATGTCTGAGCACACTCCAATTGCCGTCATTGGCATGGGGTGCCGACTCCCCGGAGGTGCTAGCAGCCCTGAGAAGCTCTGGGAGATGCTCGCAGAAGGCCGCAGTGGATGGGGTGAAGTTCCTGCAGAACGTTGGAACTGGAAGTCATTCTATCACCCACACAATGAAGCCAAAGAGTCACTCAATTCAAAGAGTGGCTATTTTCTGGATCAAGACATTGGGGCATTTGATGCCAAGTTCTTCAACATTGCCTCATATGAAGCCCATGCAATGGATCCGCAACAGCGAATCCTGTTGGAGACAACATACGAAGCTCTAGAGAACGCTGGAGTATCTTTGGAAAGTATTAAAGGCTCCAACACATGTGTCTACGTGGGATTGTATGCCCGTGACTATGATCGCATGGGATTTAAAGATCTCCCCCAAATTACGAAGCTTCACATTACTGGAACGGGCGAAGCTGTCGTCTCGAATCGAATCTCGTACCTCTTTGACCTCAAGGGCGCATCTGTCACGGTGGACACGGGCTGTGTAAGCACATAATCTTTCCCTTTGAGGAGTATTTCCCCCAAGTTACTGACTTCAAACTTTGTGTAGTCTGGAAGTATGGTTGCCCTGCATCAAGCTTGTCAGAATCTCCGGACCGGGGAGTCAAACATGGCCATTGTAGGAGGAACACAGCTTCTTCTTCATCCGGATCAGGCTATCGCAATGAGTACAGTTGGGTAAGACTACTATTTCTAGAAGAAGTCCTTCCTCGGGGTACTGATTTTTGATAGCATGGTGAATCCACACGGCCGATGCTTTGTCTTCGATAGCCGTGGTTCTGGTTATGCACGAGGTGAAGGCGTTGGCACGATTATTCTCAAGCGCCTGGACGACGCCATAGCAGCTGGTGACCCTGTTCATGCGGTTATTCGGAATTCTGGATTGAACCAGGACGGCAAAACAGCAGGCATTTCACTCCCCAATCCAGATGCGCAGGCCGCTCTCATGAAATGGGTCTACTCTTCTGCTGGCGTGGATCCTCGGAACACGGTATATGTGGAAGCTCACGGAACGGTCAGTCAAATTCTACTTCCAATTTACATCTTGCCATATTAAAGCTAACTGTTCTTCACAGGGCACACAAGCAGGTGCGCAGAAAAGATGATTTCTCAGTTCTATTTGTGTGAGCTAATGTAGTCAAAACAGGTGACAATGCCGAAATTTCCTCTATTAACCAGGTCTTCTGTGAGGAGGCTGGACGAAAGTCAGATATCTATGTTGGATCCGTCAAATCCAATATTGGACATTTGGAAGCATCCAGCGGTATCGCAGGCCTGATCAAAGGTATCATGATTGTGAAGAAGGGTTTCATCCCGCCAAACTTGGATCTTGAAACACCCAAGCCAAGTCTCAAGCTTGACGAGCGGAAAATCAAGGTGAGGATGATATGTCTGTTAAAGGAGGATTTGAAAGCTAATTTATACTTTCTAGATCCCTGTCCAGCTTACTCCTTTGCCCCAGCCAGAACAACCTGGGCCCAGCCGGGTGTCTTTGAATAGTTTTGGCTACGGCGGAACTAATGCACACGTCATTCTCGAACCAGCTCCAGCCCGTGACCTCAATGAATCTGATGTGAATGGTAACTCAATCCATGAAGGCTCAAATGGAGTTCAAGATGATCTTGAAATCAAAGACACCCCGAATGGCGTTGCAGATGCCGCTCATCAATCAAACGGTGATGAGAGCCATGCCAGCCCCGAGGAGAAGGCTCAAGCCAATCCTCAGTTGTTTGTGCTTAGCGCTACTTCGGAAAAGTCTCTTCTTGAGGCTGCAAAAAATGTGCAGAGCTGGATCTCTACTAGGGCCTCGGAGCAAGACTACCTCTCCGATCTTGCATACACTTTGAACGTTCGACGATCACTCCTGCCACTCAGGCTGAGTGTTGTTGCTTCGACCCCGGATGAACTCGTTTCTGCTTTGGAGCCAAAGAGTCTCCGTATCACAAAGCTTCCACACTCTGTCTCCGTTGCCTTTGTCTTCACGGGCCAGGGAGCGCAATGGTATGCCATGGGAAGAGAGTTATTGGCCGTCAACTCTGCCTTCAAAGATTCGATTCTCCAATCAGACAAATTGATCCAAAGCTTTGGTTCTGAGTGGAGTCTTGTGGAGGAGCTCTCAAAGGACGAACAATCCTCCAGAGTGAGTGACAGCGAGTTATCTCAGCCTTTGACGACAGCCATCCAAGTCGCTTTGGTTGATTTGCTTGCCACCTTTGGTGTGACCCCGCAATATGTCTGCGGTCACAGCTCGGGAGAAATTGGTGCGGCTTATGCGGCTGGGGCCTTAACGCAAGAGGCTGCGATTGAAATGTGAGTTTCTTATCCTTTGGCTTTTCAAGATGAAATTTGACCTAATGACTATTGATCCAGTGCGTACCGACGAGGTTTATGCTCAACTGCTGCCAAAAGGGCAAACTCGACCAAGGGTTCCATGCTGGCCGTGGGAGTTGGCGAGATCGAGATTTTGCCATACATCCAGCAGGTGAAGAATGGCCTTGTCACAGTGGCTTGTTCCAACAGCCCGGATAGCACTACGATATCTGGAGATGAAGCTGGTATTGACGAACTGAGCGCCATTCTGAATGATCAATCCATCTTCAACAGGAAGCTCAAGGTGGACACGGCCTATCATTCTCATCACATGAAGAAGATCGCGGACCAGTACCTCCAGTCCTTGCAGCATGTGCATACCGGTACACCACGAAGCAATGTTACTTTCTATTCCTCCGTGACAGGGGAGAAGAAGGTTGCCAATTTCGGACCTCAATACTGGACAGACAATCTGGTGTCAAAGGTCCGATTTAGCGATGCCCTTCAACTTTTGGCCGAGGACATGGCACGTTCGAAACAGTCCAGCAATGTTGCCAACTTCTTTGCAGAGATCGGTCCTCATGGTGCATTGTCTGGGCCCATCAGGCAGATCATGGCCAAACTCAGTATCCGAACCTTCAAGTTTTCCTACGCATCTGCACTTGTCCGAACTAAGCATGCACTACACTCAGTTCTGGAGCTGGTTGGCAAGCTATTCGAATCTGGATGCGGTATCCAGTTTGAGCAGCTTCTTGCCTTGCACAAGGCCAAGCGTTGGACTACAATCGGCGATCTGAGTCCTTACCCCTGGGATCACTCATTATCTTACTGGTACGAATCTCGACTCAGTCGGGATCATCGTCTGCGTCAGTTCCCCTACCATGACCTGCTGGGATTGTGGGATGTTGGGAGCACTATACATGAGCCGAGATGGCGGTACCATCTCAATGTCGATGCGCTTCCTTGGTTGAGGCATCACGTTGTCGATAGCTTCATGATTTTCCCAGGAACTGGATACATTTGCATGGCCATCGAAGCGATGAAACAACTCGTCCAGCTTCGGAAGACCTCGGGGGAGATATCCAAGTTCCATGTCAAGAATGTGGTTCTTTCCAAGCCTATCATTGTTCCAGATCAACGACCGGATAGCTTCATCCCAGATGTGGAAGTTCAACTTACCCTGACTCGTATGAAGACCAACGATGGCAGTCGATGGGAAACATTCAGAGTTTTCTCATACTCGCCTGAGGGATCTGGGTCATGGAATGAGCATTGTTCCGGACTCATCACTGTTGACATGAGTTCCAAGGTTGACGAGGTTGAAGGCACCCGAGAGGAAGAATTCCTGGTTTCATCCCACAAACGCAAATTCGAAGATATCCAGCAAGCCTGTCACTTTGATGCCACCATCAATCCTGAGAAATTCTACAGTGACCTTCGTGAGTCTGGGAATGATTTCGGCTCGACTTTCACCTGCATGACCGAGATGCAACTAGGACACCATCAAGGTTGGGCCAAGGTTGAGGTCCCCGATGTTCCAGCCTGCATGCCTCGCCAGTTCTTACAGCCACATGTGATACACCCATCTCTCTTGGACTCTTTGAATCACCTTGCGGTAGTTTTGTTCAAGAAAGAGTGCAGCAACGCACCACTTATGGCGACGTTCTTTGGAGATATCATCATTTCAGCAGATATAACATCTACCCCTGCCGATGAACTGATCGTCGCTCTCGAGATGAATCCCGAGGGAACGCGTTCAGCATCAGGAAACACATACGCATTCCAACAGAAAGAAGATGGAGAACGCTCTCTCGTCCTGCATGTGCAAAACTGGCAGCTGAAAGCTGTTGGAGAAGCTCAAACGAAGAATGAAGAGACTCCATTCCATCGCAAGATGAGCTATCGGATGCAGTGGCAGCCAGATGCGTCTTTCCTAAACGCGAAACAGCTTCAGGATGCAGTTGATGTAACTGCAACGGAACAGCATCTCACTACCGCAACAAGTACCACTGAAGACGTCATAATCACCGAAAAGCTGACATTTGAGCAAATAATTGCCCTGAATGAGCGCGCAGCGGCAATCTACATTCGGGAGGCCTTGTCCCAGGTATCCTCGGAGGCACCAGCGGTGACTACCCCTCATTTTGCAAAGCTTCTCGAGTGGATGAAGTCTTCCAGGGAGTCTGAGGTATACAAGTCGATGCTGAAAGGATTGACTTCTTCCGAGGAGGAACTCATCCTTCAGAGGTCTTTGATCTCCGGTCTTGAAGGATTGATGCTATCCCGTATCGGGCTCAACCTGGTCTCCCTTCTAAATGGAGAAATAGACGCCAGTGAGCTGATGCGGGAAGACAATCTCTTGTCGAGATTCTGCGGGGATGACCTTTTCTCAAACAGCCATCAATTCATGGTCAACTACCTAAAGTCAGCTGTGTACAAAAAGCCACACATGAGAATTCTCGCCATTGGTGCTAGTATGGAAGATGGGATTGTTGCTCTGCTGCGTGCAATTGATCGTCCAGAGGGACTCATGGTTGACCACTTCGACCTCGCTGATAGCTCTTCGGCGGCCCTGGAGCGCGCGAAACCTCTTTTCCAAGATTGGCACTCTATGGACTTCAAGGCTTTGGATCTTGATGATAATCTCAAGGATCAGGGCTTCGAGATTGGATCTTACGACATGATCATCGCAGCCAACACCCTTTATTCCGTGAAGAACGTCACAACCTCGTTGAATCAGGTTCGTCAGTTGATGAAGCCGGGTGGAAAACTAGTTATGGTTGAACTAATTCGGCCACCGACATTGGCCATCGAGACTATCTTTGGAGTCTTGCCAGGGTACGTACCATTGACTTGAATATTTAACAGCAATTCGCTAACACTTGACAGGTGGTGGGCTGCTGAAGATGATCGCCAGAATTGTCCTCTACTCTCCGAGTCACAATGGCACGATCTGCTGCTGGAAAGCTCATTCAGTGGCACCGATATTGTGATGAATGAGAACGATGGTCCAAAGTCCAGATCTGCCATGATCATCTCGACTGCATTGAACCAGACTGAGGTGAACAAAACTGCACCTTCGCAATGCGTTAAGGTCCTCTCATTTGGCAAATGGTCTCCGGTATTCGCAAAGTTCGCCGAGGATATCTCATCTGCTCTCAGTCAAAGGGGCTTTGATTGTTCAACCGGTGTTTTAGATCCTCAGGCCATCGAACAAGACATTACCTACATCGTTCTTGACGACGTGGAGAATGCTCTTCTGTCAAGTCCATCTGCAGAGGAGTTCGAGACTCTCAAGACTCTTTTCATCACGAGCAAGTCTCTCCTTTGGATCAGCGGACAAGAAAAGGTCACTCAGAATGGCAACGCTGCAAAGGGTCTCATCAACGGTATGGCGCGTGTGGCTCGACGTGAAAACGAGGGGATCAAGTTCATCACCATCGACATACAACAAGATCTTGCGAACTCTGGGTCTGAGGTTTTCAAGCAGATTCTGGACATTGCTGAGAGCTCCTTCTGGCCAGCTTCTGGGACCGAGCAGTCCAATGAACATGAGTTTGCGATTCAGAACGGCGCTGTCTTGATTCCTCGAGTTCAGCCTGACACCAAGTTCAATGAGTGGATCGACCGAGCCGTCGGAGATGATCGACTGGACACTCTGCCTTATCACCAGCCCAGCCGCAGCTTGAAGCTTCACGTGGAAACGCCCGGTCTTTTGAGCAGTCTCCGATTCGTGGAAGACGAGACTCTGGCCTCGCCTCTTCGCGCCGATGAGATCGAGATTGAAGCAAAGGCATACGGTGTCAACTTCAAAGACGTCTTTATTGCTCTCGGTCAAATGCTTCCTGGAGTCAACATGATCGGAGAGGTCGCCGGTATTGTCACAGCTGTGGGTTCAGCTATGCAGGGCCGATTCAATGTGGGAGACCGAGTTGCCGGCGTTGGCGCCCAGCCCTTCACCAGCAGAGCCAGAGTCAAGGGATTGATGTCTTGTCGACTCCCTGACTCGATCACCTTCACTGTCGGTGCATCAATTCCCATCATTTACATGACAGCCTACCACTGCATCGTTGAAGTGGCTCGTCTCCGAAAGGGCCAAACCATCCTGATCCATGCAGCATCCGGTGGTGTTGGTCAAGCGGCAATTCAATTCGCGCAACACATTGGAGCTGAAATCTTCGCAACTGTCGGCAGTGCAGTCAAGCGTCAGCTACTGATTGACCGGTACAACATTCCCGAGGATCACATTTTCTCGACAAGATCGAGAACATTCAAACATGGAATTATGCGTCTTACAGCCGACAAGGGAGTGGACGTCGTTCTCAACTCCCTCTCTGGTGAATGGCTGAATGACTCTTGGGAATGCTTGGCTCGTCTTGGAACATTCGTTGAAATTGGCAAAACGGATATCTATAAGCGAAGCCACCTCAGCATGGCACCGTTTGACCGAAGCATTACCTTCGCAGCCGTCGATCTGGTAGTCCTATTCGAGAGTCAAATTGAACGGATGAATGACGAGTTCCAAACGGTCATGTCAATGTTCGAGTCAGGCATTCTTGCACCCGTGGCTCCTGTTGCAGCGATTCCTATCTCGAACATTGAGGAGGCATTCCGCTTGATTGCTTCTCGGAAGCACACAGGAAAGGTTGTCGTTGAAGCTGAGGCAGATGCTCTCGTGAAAGCAGTGATTGCTAAGCCCGAGCCGTTGCAACTGGACCCTTCGGGATCCTACGTTGTAGCTGGTGGTCTTGGTGATCTGGGTAAGAGAATCTGCCGGCTTCTAGCATCTCATGGTGCAAAGCACATTGTGACGCTGTCTCGTCGGTCTCTGTCCGATGATGATCGACAGACATTCGAGGCTGATATTGCTCAGCTTGGAGCAGTATTGCACATTGTCAAGTGCGATATCATTGACGAATCCTCTATGACTGAGGCTGCGATTATCTGTCAAGAGACTCTTCCACCCGTCAAGGGTGTAATCCATGCCGGCATGGTTCTCCGGGTAAGCACAATAGTTTCCCCTCCTATAAAGTTCACAAACTAATAAACTCCCAGGATCATCCTCTCGAGCTCATGACACCGGACGACTATCTGACCGCTACCAAGCCCAAGACCCAAGGCACCTTGAACCTGCATTCCAGCTTCCAAGGCCCTGCACTTGACTTCTTCATCACTCTTTCCTCCATCACATGTATCGTCGGCAAGACTGGCCAAGCCAATTATTCCGCTGGAAATGCCTTCCAGGATGCGTTCGCCCATGCGCATGCTGGAAAGTCCCACACCCGCTACATTTCCCTTAACCTCGGTGCAATTGATGGGTCCGATGCCATCACGTCTCTGCCCATCCGCCAGCAGGAGCTGATGCGTCAAGGTGCAATTCTGGTCAAATTTGAGGAACTCTTCAAAGTCCTCGAGTATGCCATGGGACCTCAAGCAGTACTCGATGACTGTGTTCAATCAATCATGGGCTTCGATCGACAGTCCATGGAGACGGTGCAGGACACCTTTGGACTCAGTAACCCGATGTTCAGTCAAGTGCCCTATCTTTCGGATCAGAACAGCTCTGGTGATGGTGCGTCCAACAAGGTAGACACGGAGAAGGCTATTCGGAATGCCGCTTCCATTGCCGAAGCTGAGGAGATCATCACTCAGGCAATTGCAGAGAAATTCGCTCTGTTCATGGACCGCGCGATCGAAGATGTCAATCTCGACCAGTCACTCGCTGCCTTCGGACTTGACTCGCTGGTCTCAATTGAGTTGAAGAACTGGATGGTTCGAACATTCCAAGTTACTTTGCAGACATCAGAGATTGCAGATGCCCTTAGCGTGGTTGCCCTGGCAAAGACAATTACCTCACGTTCGAAGTTGGTGAGCGATGAGCTGCGTGGAACTCCTTCCAGCTCAGACGAGCCTGAAGAGACACCAGCTGAGCAGCCAGTGGCTGAAGTACCCTCCGGTCCAAACCACAGCTTTGAATGCTGTCGATACGCAAAGGATCTCCCCAAACAGCCATTGATGGACCTAGACGAAGCATTGAGCTCAATTTCAAAGAGTACTCGCCATTTCGCAACAGAGGAGGAGTACACAGCTCTCTGCCAGGCAATTGAGAAATTCGGACAGCCAGGAAGCATGGGACGTCAAATGTACGAGAAACTCGTCAACATGTCGAGTGACCCGAAGGTAGACAACTGGATGGTCGACTTCTTGACAGATGCGACATTCCTCAGGAAGCGATTCTCCTTGGTACCACTCTCAAGCTTCTTCGCTACACATCATGACGCTGCAGTTCCCCATCCTCAAGCAGAAAGGGCTGCTCTCATCGCGACAACGGCTTTCCGATTCAAGGAGGCAGTAGATGCTGGGACTCTGGAGCCTCATTGGTATTTCCATATCCCATCTTGCATGGATTCTTGGCAATGGCTTTTCAACACCACTCGTGAGCCTCAGCTTGAAGTTGATCGTATGAGAAAGTACCCTGGAAACGACTACTGCGTCGTGCTCCGCCGCGGCCATGTCTTCAAGGTGGCGCTCAAGAACGGCTCCGAAGCTGTCTCATACTCCTCCATCAAGGCACATTTCGATATGATCTTGGAGAGCGTTCAAGATGAGGGCTTCTGGACAAGCATACTGACTAACGATAACCGAGACTCCTGGGCCACGGTAAGTTCACAATCTCTTCATCGCAACAAATTCTATTCTAACAATTTTTAGCTCCGCCAAAAGCTCATCTCCATGAACGACGCAAACGCAGCATGCATCCAAGTCATCGAGCAAGCAGCCTTCGTCATCTGCCTCGATGACGGCACACCAACAACCAGCTCCGAGCGAATCCGAAGGGCTTACCTAGGCGACGGCTTCAACAGATGGAACGACAAGGGCCTCCAGTTCATAATCTTCGAGAACGGCTCATCAGGCTACCAAGTCGAACACACTATGATTGACGGTCTAACAGTCCACCGGATGAACGAGTGGATCCACGAATCCATCCACGCACATATCCCCAGCCAAACCAGCGGTCATACAAACGGCACAGCCAACGGATTCCACCCAGTCCTCGAAGAATACACCCTCACCACAACACCCAACATCGACGAACACATTCTCGTCGTGCGAGATGAACACCTCAAAACCACCTCCGGCCGTGAATACGGCTACCTCACGCTCTCACACTTCGGCAAAGACTTCCTCGCCGAACATGGGTGTCCTATTAAATCCGTCTTCGACGTTACAATCCAACTAGCCAGCAAACTCTACTTTGGCCACAACCCGGCCTCCTGGGAACCAATGTCGATGGCGCATTTCCACAAGGGTCGCACAGAGATCTTCCAAGGTGTCCTCCCATCCGTAGCGCAATTCTGCGACTCGGCAACGGACGGAGACGTTCCTGCGACACAGCGGCGTGAGATGCTCATCCGCGCTGCGAATGAGTATACAGCTGGTCTGCAGAATTCTGGAAAGGGAAATAATTACTTCAGGCTTATGACTGTTTTGGAGGGTATGTGGCCGGCTGGTGAGGAGTTGGCGCCGTTGTTTACGGATCCCGTTTGGCTGAGGACGTATCCGCGGTTCATTATGTCTGGGTTGACGGATGGTGGATCATTGGATTCGGCGTTTGCCTTGATTGATCCTGAGGGTGTTTGGATTTGCTATTCGATTGGGGAGAAAGAGTGAGTTCCATTGATCTGGAGATGATGAGAAGCTTGAACTAACCTTCTTTTCTTAGGGCACGCTTTTCTATTGTTGGCCCTACAGGCAACGTGTCCAGGTTTGAGAAAGTACTGGACGAGGCTACGGCCCTTGTTAAGACACTGGTAGAGTCGAGCTAGTTTTTTGTGTTTTATAGTGGGCTTGCGAGTCTTTGGAGTTTGTTGTAATCAGTCATTCGTGTTCATTGTGATGTTAAGGCACCCAAGAATGACATTTATGAGGAAGATTGTAATTTCCATTCGCATCACCCCATCAAATACGCCACGCAATTACATCACAACGGTAGATAACGGTAAATTCGACGCCGAAAGTGGCTATTCTTGACGCTGTTTAAGCGTCGTTTTTACTATAATCTTCGTCATCGATTTCTCACGTGGTCTATTTCTGCCCATCATTTACGTATGCTCCCCGAGTGATCATGAATTACTCCCTGAGCGCTCATGGCCGCTCAGGGTTGCTCAGGGGTCTACTCACCCTTCACTCATCCTAGTTCGTCTAGATGAGTCACCTTGTAACCAGGTTTACTTTAAATCTAAAGATCTAACTGTGGAGTTTCCCGTTTTTCTCAAAACCATCAGGCTATAATCGTGGAAGCTACTTTCCACGACGCTAAAGACTATGGATTGAATGCAGGTATATCAATAGCTATTTGAATTCATAGTCTGGTAAGAAGTAGGTATAAATAAAATAGATGGTAGAATGGTGGGGCCTTGGTACAATTGAAAACATTGAATCAAGCCTACCTTTAAGATCTGCGTTACAACTTGGTATGAAGGTTTACACCCCTAGGTCGACCCCTTGCTTTGCGGCTGATACAAGAGAATGCTCCGCCTTTCCTCGAAGCCAAGGCAATATGCCTAGGAGAACTAAATAATTAATACTTATAATGAACTTCGGGCTTGCTAACTTGAAATTCATTCGATATAGCGTATGTGCATCATGAAATGGAATCGAGCTCCAAAGCTGTCCGACCCCCGGAAGGATGAGCTGTCTAGATCTGATTCTGACAGCTTTCGGAGTGTCAATCTTCAGATACCTGGTCTACTTGAAGTAACTTCCCCCTGGCGCTCGCTGACATCCGATACCTGGATGTGGGAGATTCTAGCGATCAGCTTTAGTGGTATATGCTTCATCGCGCTTTCTGTCGTCGTCTTCGTATACGATGAAAAGCCCTCGCCTTCGCTACCTCACGATCTTACTCTCAATACTGTCATTTCCATCCTAGCAACTGCTTCAAAGTCATCCTTGATTTTCGCCGTCGGTTCATCTCTGGGTCAACTGAAATGGATCTGGTTCCTGAAATCCGATAAGCATCTCCGGGATATGCAGTTATTCGATGATGCCACCCGTGGCCCCTGGGGTTCTGCAATCATGTTGCTTCAACATAAGGGGCTATCTATTGCGTCACTAGGAGCACTGATCACCCTACTTGCCCTGGTCTTTGAGCCTTTTCTACAACTTGTCATGACATTTCCTCTAAGACAAGTGCCTGATTTGTCTTCGTTTCCTTCAGCAAAACAGGTTCGTTCAATGTATGCAGTATACAATGACCAAGGTCCAAATACGGCATTTGAAGATATTCTGGGTGGCTTCTATGATGCTCAGATGCAGGGCATATGGACTGATGTCTATGAGAGAGACTATCTCACCTGTCCCTCAAGCAACTGTACCTGGCCAGCATTTAAATCAGTCGGTTACTGCAGTAAATGTGAGGATGTGACATCCGAAGCCACCTTGGTGGGCTGCAACAACGTCCCCTACGAATTTGATGGACACGGGTTTCACTCCAACATCACTGAGCGGTGGTCGATAAACTGCACCGTCTCTCTCCCTCATGGGTACTCACCTAATACACGACTTCAACTTTTGCAGGACGGGGGGCTGTATCAAATGACTCTCCCTGGGATAATTGTGTGGCAGATACACAAACTGCCGAATCAAATCTTGTTCACTGATGGGCCTCCACTCAACACCACCTTTCTGGGAATCGAGAACCCCTTACTGGTCATTGGATTTGCCGAACTAGATATAGTGACTACTGATCAAGATGCTGGCGGGAAAGCAGTATTCCGTCCAGAGGAGAGTCTCAAAATCAAAAAGGTGACGGAATGCGTCCTCTCTCTATGTTCGCGAACTCATAATTCCTCTTTCACGAACGGAGTACCACAAGTCGGTATTTCCCCTCCGGAGTTTGGTCAAATCTGGTATAAATACATATCGCGTAACTTTGAGGAGGGCCAGGCGTTCTACGACACTTGCTGGACCCAATGGGGGGAGTACCCCAGCCTCAGACGCGTATTGGCGGCCTCAATGACTCGAGCTGGTTGACGAAGCCTGAGCTACCGGTTTCTATCCAGCAAGATAAGAGAGATCCAACTGGGATGGGTGGCAAAGCCTTTGCGTTTTGTCACGTCGAGGATCTCATTCCAGATATTACACAGTATCTCATTGGCTCCCGGAATTTCAGCACATTCTGCTGGGCTGAAGAGGAACCCTATTGTTTACGAAATACGCAAACAATCGATGAATTGTTTAGGCAGACGCCAGAATACGACAGATATTGGGATCCCACACAATCAAATGGAGAGGTTCAGGCCTTGGATGGTTTTGATCGAATCACGAGAAAAGGCCTTGAAGGTGTCATGCGGAGTATAGCATCATCGATGACTATGTGGGCTCTTTCCCATACCACGGACTTCATTAACGGCACGGCAATTATTCCAGAAGTTTACGTCAAGGTGCATTGGCCATGGATGGCCCTTCCAGCAACACTTATTATACTTTCTGCTGTGCTACTCGTGTCAACCATAATGCTCAATCGCAGGCAAAACGGTGATTTGTGGAAGACCTCTAGCTTACCGACCATTTATCATGGATTAGAGGATGATATATTGATCAGCCGGGGTCCAAATTTTGAACTTAGTACGATGGAGACCTCCGCAGGTTCCATGAAGGTTCACCTACAGTATTCTGATATAAGGGGCCGATTTGTCTTACAGGAGAAATGATGAAGGGGGTGCAGTCTTGCCGTCATGATATGTATAAGGTCTACACAATTCATATAGTGCTTTCGAAGAAGGATTGATTGCGGGGCGATGTTCATGAAATGGCACAGATGTCACTGGTTTCTTCCAGTTTCCCGTAAGAAATAGTATTATACGTGACACTGCTATTTTAACAAGTGATGGCGATCTATTCTGGAAAAGCGATCGATTCAGGTCTAGCTAAATACGGTGCTAGCATAGTTTTAGGTTGGTATATCTATACTCATCAATGGTAGCAAAGGAATCGTCAAATTCACCGGGTTAGGCTGATCTACGCGGGAGGCCGCGGATACTAGCTATTAAGTTCTTGATTGTTACATCGGTTAATAAATGCATAGGAACACCCACTGTACGCGTGGCCATCAGTATCCATTGAATATCGATACCGCCAAGCCTCGTCTTAGGAAACGGGTTAAGCTAGGTCATCAAAGGGTCACAAGTCTTAAATAACAGTGAAATAGGTATGAAGGTAGTTCTTACTAGTCCATCCGCCATCTCTCCCGATAATACACCGTGAGTATTCGTGTCATTCCATAAAATACTGCGCTGATTGTGGCCACGTCAAGTTTCCAATCACTCGCCATCAGACCAAATTCATCTATGATCCACCCTGGCCCAGGAACATCCGAAGCAGCCAGTAAGCAGTACGGTTAGCGTCGAAGGACCTTATCCAATGAAGAGGTAAAATGAGATCAAAGGGTCGATCAGCCTGAGCATTAGGGCGAGCGATTAGGTTACTCAGGGAGCTGCTCGGGCAGTTTTACCGTCACCTAGATTACAACAAAACCTTGGAAGTAAATGACCAATCCAAAATCTCAGTTGAAATGGACTAAAGCCGAACCATGCTAAATATAAAACACAGAGACATTAGATATCAGTACAAGGGCGCACACAAGAGGAAGAAGCCATCCAAGAAGCTCCTCCCATAACATGCAAGCCCGTTCTCGTTTCGTTCGCACATTTTTGCCTCGCTTCTTTATCCGTTTAGAAATTTCCCCTTTGCGCATTCCTTTTCACCCGTTTAACCGGTAACCTTGAAGATGGACTCGGCCAGGCGCTTGACGTTGCCGGAGGTGATACCAGCGACGGAGATACGGCCGTCCTTGGTGGCGTAGACGGAGTGCTGGAGAGGATATTAGTATGCTAGGAATCACACAGGAATTGACAAACGGGGAAGGCTTCGCGATACGTACCTCCTTAGCGAGAACATCCATCTGCTCGGGCTTCAGACCGGTGTAGGCGAACATGCCGATCTGGCTAGTAATGTGGGACCAGTCGTGCTTGCTGCCGAGCTCCTCCAGGTTCTTGCGGAGCAGGGAGCGCATCTCGATGATGCGGTCAGCCATGCCCTTGACCTCACCGAGCCACTGCTCGTTCAGCTTGGGGTCGTTCATGATGGTGGAGGCGACGCGGGCACCGTGGATGGGAGGGTTAGAGTAGAAGGGGCGGATCAGAATCTTGATCTGAGACTCGACGCGCTTCTTCTCCTCGGTGTTCTCGCAGACGAGCGAGAAAGCACCAACACGCTCACCGTAGAGACCCTGATTAAACATATCACGTTAGCAAAATGAACAGACTTTGGAGCTCTGCGGCGCATTCGGATAATTTCTCACCATGTTCTTGGCGAAACTCTGGCACAGAGCAATGTTGTGGCCCTCCTTGACGAAGTGGCGAGGAGCGAAAGCGTCCTGGTCAGCGTTACCGCTGGCGAAGCCCTGGTAGGCCATGTCGAAGAAGGCAAAGTGGCCCTTCTCCTTAACGACATCGCTGATCTGGCGCCACTGCTCCTGGGTGGGGTCAACACCGGTAGGGTTGTGAGCGCAAGCGTGCAGCAGGATGATGCTGTTCTCGGGGGCGGCCTTGATATCGGCGATCAGGCCCTCAAAGTCCAGACCGATGGTGTCCTTGTTGTAGTAGCGGTACTTCTCGACCTCGAGGCCAGAGTCCTTGAAGACGGCGTTGTGGTTGGCCCAGCTGGGGTTGGGGAGGTAGATCTTCTTTGCGTGGGGGTAGAAGCGCTTCAGGAACGCACCACCGATGCGCAGGGCACCGGTACCGGAGATGGTCTGGGTGATGACGAGGCGGTCCTCGGTCAGGGCGGAAGAGTCCTTGCCGTAGGCCAGCTCGGCAGCGGCGTTGGTGAAGGCGGGGACACCGGTGATGCCGGCGTACTCCTTGTCGAAGCGCGAAGCAACGACTTTGTCCTCGGCCTCGCGGACGGAGGGCAGGACGTAAGGCTTGCCCTTGTCGTCACCTAATCACGAAATTCACGCGCGAATTAGCAATCCATGGTATTTCTTCCACTGTTTTGATTTCCCAGCTTTCGCAAATCGATGGTGGAGGACTCACGGTAAGCACCGACACCCAGGTTGATCTTCTCCTTGAAGGAGTCGGCCTTGAAGGCCTCAGTGATACCGAGAATGGCATCCTAAAGCAGGCGAGCTGCGCATCAGCATTGATCCTTTATAGAGTCGCATTGAATCGTATTTCCAATGCTGTCCACTCCAAGTTCTAGAGTTGATCGATTGACACCTACAGGAGGACCCTGGGGCACGTTAGACCAGGCCGAGGCATGTCTAGCACCGATGATCACGGTGCGCATGTTCGCATCGCGGGCAACAGCCGAGCGGCTGGCAACACGCAGAGTGGAGAGCATTGTGTGGAATGACAGGAGAGCAGATAGAAGGGGAAAGGAAGAAGGTAAAAAAGCTGGGGGAAGAAAGAGAAAAAGCCGGAGAAGAAATCGGAGATGCTGCGTGTTTTGGGGCCTGACTCATGTGATACTCAAGGGAAGTATCGGGTACTTCTCGTCGAGTGTGGGGTTTCACTCATTCCGAAGTCACGTCTACTTCACCGCCCGGCGACATCTGCGAGGCCGATCCCGTCGGATTGGTTGCATCCTCCGCAGGATTTAGGATTCCCACAGGAGTAGTATTCCGTGTGGTAGATCATACAGTAATAGTTAAATAGAATTAGATATAATCCATTAGTCCTTAGCATTTCAATTGACTGATAGGTAGAATACCATATCCTATACACTCTAGAATCACTCCCTTGTGTACCTACAGCACTCTACAGTGTAAACATTTCAGTCCCAAACACGGTCTCGCCCTATTCTCCCCGACATCATCATTGCACCATGTCGGGATGTCAAGCCCCGGTGAGCTGAATAAGGGCGAAAAGCTCCACCCGAGAATTTCCCCTCACGCACAGAGTTGGGGTAAAATCCGTCGTGCGGGCAGATCCCGAATGCAAGCATTTCAAGGACCAATTTACCCAGAAGGGGTAGTAATTTGATATTTCAAGGTTTCTCACCCCCTATATGGCCATTTGAGAACAATTCATTCTAATTGATTATCCAATTATAGGTGTCAGGGAAAACCAGGGCAAAATATCAGGGCTTAAAACTCGGTTAAATAGGGTGACGAAAATAGCCGGGATGACACGAATGTATGTACTAAGTACTTTAGCAACTGTACAGTGTACACCGTCGACTGTTTTAGCCTGTCTGGACTTTATTCCATAGTACCCAACCTCCCATCCCCACACGCGGAGACCGAGACGTCTGATCGACGGCTGGAGAACCCCGACAATTCCAGTATCTCCAGTTAATTATTATTACGTAGCCAACGCGGAGGGTCGGCAGGACATGACGGAAACAGCTAGCCGCATTCATAAACAGAAAACATAGTTTATGCCGGTTTTGGACTTTCAAGGAGTGTTATTGTTTGCATCTTGCGAATGTAATTAGAGTGCAATTTCGAAGCTAGATAGAAGAATAGTGGACAATAGGGAGTGACTACCCTTCCTACTGTATTATTATCAGCGATCTATATACTCTGCTCTCGTCTAGTCTACTAAAAAGCTTTGAACAACCTACTCCAGCATCCAATTAAGAAGCTAAAAGGAAAATAAATGACACGAAGGAACCAGCCCGCCTTCCCAAGGGCATAGGCCGTACGTGTCAGTAAACAAATCTGTGCAGCTGTTCAAGGGGGAATATCATTGGTCATCTCGCTGCTCTATACAATACAAATCAAGCAACACAGTCTCAACCCTCAACCCAACCGAACACCAGCCTGCCGATTCTTACGCGCCTGCTGGCCCATGGCATTATTCATACCCGTATGCTGGCTACTATCCAGCGCAGACATCGCCTCCCGCTTCTTCTCCTCTTCAATCTTCTTCAACCTCTTCTCCGTCTTCATCTTGCCGCTACCCTTGCCGTGGAACTGGTGACTCAGATGCTTGAACGCCTCCTTCTGGTTCATCGAGCGTCCGTATTCATCCGTATATTTGAGTTGCACATCCGGCTTGTACTCGCGGTTGAAGATCTCCGCCATCTGTCGGGCTTCTTGCTGATCGCGCTGTTTGTTCTCCCAGCGTGCGTATTCTTCGCGCTCGCGGGCGGACATGCGATCTAATTTGCCGGAGGCACGGTCACGCTCACGCTGTGAGCGGGCACGGCGCTCGGCATCGGCTTCGCGGTTGAGCTTATCCTGTAGGAAGCGCTGGCGATCGCGAAGTAGAGCGTTCGAGCTGCTGCTGTCGGTCTCCTTGACGAGACCGCGTTGCCGCAGCATGGAGAGTGTAGCACCGAGACCCTGGTCCAATGTAGATTCTTCTTCCAGACCCGTTCCGGTGAGTTCCTGCGCGGCCTGGTTGGACTCTTCGCGCTTGAGACGTTCTTGGAGGTCTTCCTCATCTTCAATATCGTTGTAGCTCCGCTCCATATCCACGTCTTCGGGCTCCTCTTCGTCTTCTGGTTTGGCGGCCGCCTCGGCAGCGGGTGTCGCAGTTCGGCGTTCTTCCCGCTCGGGGAGAGTGGGCTTTTGTAGATTAGAGACAAACTCTGAGGTCTCGTCAATTACCAGACCGGGTTCCTCGGCGCCGTCCTCTGGCGTGTCTGTGTCCATGGGTGTTTGAGAATCCTCTTCACGAAGTTGGCGAGCAAGGTCTTCTGGACGCATCTTCTTGCGCTTCTTGAAAGCAGCACGTCGCTGGAGTGCAAGTGAAGCCTGAAGGTCATCATCATCTGCAAAAGAAACGTCTTCGTTGATGGGCTTCCGGGCAGCCGTGACTGGTGCTCCGTTTGTAGAATCGATTTCCATAGATGATCCGTTCGTTGATTCGGCAGGCAAAAGACCTTCATCGTCTATCGCGGCTCGCTTTGTCGTCTTGTTCTTCTTCTTTTTGGGCTTCTTAATCTTGACTTCGCTGATGTCCATGTAATCTGAGGTCTGGATTTCTGGCTCCAGCTCAAGACTGAGAGCGCTCTTCTTCAAGCCCGCCGAAACCTCTTGTCGCTTGGCCTGCCTTTCCTCCTCGGTCGAGCCCTTTGCATCAAGAGTGAATCTCTTTCGCTTCTTGCCGTCAATCTCTTCGTCGTATTGGGCGAGGATTCCTTGGTTCTCGGCGGTAGGGTCATATACAGGTTTGCGCTTCTTGAGCTCGAGTTTCTCCGTAGTCTTGTCCTTCTCAACCAGGTTGATATCCTCGAGTTCATCACCCTCTTCCTCGTCATCCACGGCCGCATCCTTCAAGGTAAGAATGTGATCTTCGCCACCCTCAAAGTCGCCAATCGCGTGTCCGACCTTGATACCGGCCAGGTCTTCGGCGGTGTACTCGGTAGCCGCAGCGCGCTCGCGCTCCTCTAATTCCTCGGCAAGTTTGCGCGCCCGTTCTTTCTCGATTTTCTTGGAGCGTTTCTTGGACTGCATCAGCCATGCCTTGGTATCCAGATCTGCGCCATCGGATTCTCCGAGGGTAGCGCCTTGTAGCTTCAAATTTCTCTGAGCAATGTCACGCGCCCTCTTGATGGCAGCATTCTTCTCCTCTCGTTTCTTCTTGGCGTCGGCCTCATCCTGGAGTTTCTTCCAGTTATCGTAGCCCTGCGCTTGTCGGGTCTCTATCGTGCTCGCGGGTTCTTCGTCGGAGTCGTCTGCGCTCGCGTCGTCCTTGAACTGCGGACCGGTGGCGTCGTCGGCTTCAGCACCAGGGACGGGGAGTGGTTTGAGTCCCAAAGCGACTCGAATTTTATTGTTCTGTTCGATGGAAAGAGCGTCCGCCATCTTGACAGAAAGTGTGTGCGAGCACAGCGACACAAGAGGAGAGAAAATGAAAGTTGAATAATCTAAGCTGTCTCGAAATGAAAGGTGCTTGCTGGGTCCTCTGATAACGCCGCCCGGGATATCATCATGTGACCTGGACCATTTCGAGACGCTATACCCGAAATGGACTAGTTCCAGAAATTTCTCCTGCCAATAAATAGCAGACCAGCCGCACTTCTCTTTCTCTTTTTCTTCTTACAACCACGGATCTGTGTCCAGCATTCCCGTTGACGGAGTACCAGTCTGACTGGCATCTCTGTGTTTCGGTTGAGAGCTGGGCAGATCGACGACCTTGGAGCCACTCATCTTCCAACATGTATGGCACCCTTACGGTTTCCTGTCGACAGATCTCAGATTAAGTGTTTGCGCCGGGTGTCCCTCGGGTCTTGAGCTCCCGCCTTGGTGAGCTCGGCTTGAGGCCCTGGTTGCGGACGGCGTCATATTCCACCCCTCTTTACCGACTGGCCGTTGGCCTGTGAGGTTAGGGATAAACCATGACCAGCCAACATTTCTTTCCGTAGCCTACAGAGTGGTAGATTTGATTTTGTGTAGATGCGCTTAGTGGAATTCAGCGTCAGCCATGCTCTCAAGTGGGCATAGTATTACTGCAAGAATCTTCTCGCGTGTATGCTATTGCTATCAGCATAAGCTCTATGCGAATTGCAACCTGCAAAATCCTACTGGGTTGATGGTCTGCATCGGCAAACCGAAAGCTACGGCAAAGTTCTAGCTGGTCGCCCGAGGAACTGATATACGGCCGCAAAGCTGTACAGTATTCATCAAGATCATAATCATGTCCCATCACACAGACGGATGTGTATCATATCTCATTCGTAGTTTACAACAACTTCAAGTGTCCCGTCACCCCATCAACAACGCTCTTAGGTCCCAAAACACCCAGCACAGTGCGACTACCACTGGCAATCTGCGTGCGCCCAGCATCCTGAATAACGCGCGCGCAGAGCCCGAGGCTCATCGCCTGCGCCTGGAGCAACAGCAGCTCATCCTCCGACTTGATCTGCAGCGCGATCTTGGCCTGACCGCCACGCTCCCAGCGGCGCAGGATGGGGGAATCGGGTTGGTGGGTGATGAAGTATTTGTAGCAGGCGAGGGTAGCATGGGAAGCTTGGGCGGCGATTTTACCTAGAAGCGCAAAAGAACAGAGTCAGTCGATGTTTCCAGTCTCGCGATGAGGCTTAAAATCTCTTTTTCGTAGAATTAGACGTACCCTTGGTCATGCCCAGATCTGTCCGCACGACCAGCACAAGCTTGACTTCCTCCTCGTTCTCCTTGAAGGACGCCAGTTCTTCACCGTTGCCTTCGTCCTCCTCGTCGCTCTCCTCGTCCTCGGAGTCTTCTCCCTCAAATTCCTCGTCGGAGGAGTCCTTGTGGACCTTCACATCGTAGCCGTTGGGCCAGCCCTGTTTCTCTCTGAAAAGGCCCAGCGAGGCGCCTTGCCCGATGAAGTATCCTGTGACGCCGGCAACAATGGCCGTGGCGATCACGCAGGCAGCTGTCGTTGGGGACGTGCGATCTAGTGGAGCCGCCATTTTTGTCTGTGAGGGCGTGAGGGGGTAGGTATTTGGGGGAGAATTGTCGAGGTTGAGGTTGTGTTGCGCCAAGTTCCAGTAAATCGGGTGCTCTGCTCCGCGCCTGGCCGCCTCCCGCGGCCTCGACCAGCAGAGGCTCCGCGACTAGCAAGAGCTCGAGTTAATCTACACTAGTATAAATCGGACTTTTATTTTTTGGTGTTTGTATTGTAACCCATGTTTAGTAACCTCTTTAATTGATCTAGAATTACGGATTTAGTTACATATGATACAAATGGAGCTTCGATCCTAGATGTCCCTGTCGAGATATATATCGAGTGCGAGCCACACTATGTAACTATCTAGCCGCACAGCGGTTACAAAGTAACTCATAGGTCAACACCTCAAGATCTAGAGCACTATGCCCGCTGATTCAACCTGAGAGGACCTTACAAATCTCATAGAGATAGTTAGGTACCAATGCTGACGTTATCCACAACTAGCAGGTAGGTATGGCCTATTCGATGGACCACTCCACCTGCACCTGACGCAGAACCACCTGATATACACGCGATGACCGCGTTGAAACTATCTTCCTACGTGTTCACGCTTCAACTTGGATCAAATCAATTAAATTACCTATGGGAGCCAGTGCCAGAAAAGCCATAAACCAAAAGCAAACCACAGAAAAAAGGGGACAAGATCACCCAATGCATTGGACCCATCAATAGCCACTATTTACAACCCAAAAGTAAGGAAGCATGGTATAATTGAGAAAGAAAAGCGACACCCTTCTAGTTCGCACTTCCGGCGGGAGCAGGACGACGAGGTTGCGTGCCAACGTTAGCCATACGGCGGCCCCTATATCATGAGAATGGTTAGCAGAGCCCAATGTAATTTCGTGACGCGATTAGACGCGTCGACGCGACGATCAACCCAAAGAATGGCACTTACATGACGGTACGGCTGAAGAAACTGATGGCAATCATGAAGGTCCAGCTGGGGACGGCACCCATCGCCCAGATGGCGTAGCCGAGAGGAACGTTCAGCTGGTACTGGGCGAGCCAGCCGTCGGTGGGGTGCAGGGCACCCTCGTAGGCCTCGACCTTCTCGAAAGTCTTCTTGGAGTGAACCTGGTACAGCTCCTCAGGGGTGACGGTGGTGGTGTTCATGTACACGACGTGGAGAGGAGTGGGGAGACGCTCTTGACCCTCGGGCTGGGCCTGGGGCAATTGGAAGTAGAAGACGGAGGGAGCGCCGGCGGACCAGGTGGCGCAGAGAACGCGCTCTTCCTCGCAGTTCAGCAGACCAAGGTTGGGGGAGGTGGGGTCGGCAGCGAAGAGGAGGACGGATTCCTAAGAGCCGCGATGGAGGGTTAGCTTACGTGCTCCGTTGATGCTTTGGGGGGTTCAACGACGCGGTATTTCAGAGGGATACGCGCGCAATGGGGATACTTCTTACATTGAAAGCCTTCTCGGCGACATCGCAGCGGCCGAAGCAAGTCTTGTTGCCACCAGTGACGAAGATGTACCAGTCCTGAGCGTCCTCGGCAGGAGTCAGGATGGACTGCCAGTTCTGCATGGTCACCGGGGTGACGCGCTTCTCCGAGACCTTCTCAGCCATCTTCTGGATAGGCTCAGCCGGGACAGCCGTGGGGACAAGGTTCTTAGCCTTGTTGAACCAGCCCTGCACGCGGTCGGCGAGGGGCACCTGCTCCTGTGCCAGAGCCAGGGCAGGGAGGAGAGTGATGAACGAGGTGAAACGCATCTTGATGGCTATGGGCAGGCGAATTAGCTGGGATCAATAGAGATAGGACAGACCAAATGATGAAGATAGATGGCCGGAGGAATTTCCTGATGAACTCACCAATTATGTTGACACAGTCGATCAATTGAAAGCAACGGCACCCGAGGGATTAAGGAGGAGAAAGCATTCGGGTCAGCTTGAGCCTTGACGACAGCTGGCCTGAGCGCCCGGGCCACCCGAGCCAACCAGACCGGACTAACCATCGCGGGGAATTCGGCCGATCCACTCAGCGGCCGTTATGTTAGTATAGTGTTTGCCATTGACTCTTGTAGTTCTATCGGAATTGCATTGTATTATGAAGCGATTAGAGATAGGCATTTATTTCAACACAGAACATACTTCTGGAAGCTCCACCAATACATTCCGATGCACTACATCGCTCCAAAATCTACACGAAGGTGTACCTTTTCATAGTTCCCGCAATAGTCTCCACTCGGACATTGAACTATGATATGCAGCCTTCTAGAAAACACCCGAGAACTTCCAATTCTTTGATATACTGGCAGACAATACATACTTTCGCTATGCAATATGTTTTGAGAGGCTACAATATAGGCTTTCAAGTGCACTTCTCTAATATCATTGATCTTTTGAAGAGAATATCATCGATGCCTATACCAAGTCAATTTCCTTCAACATACGAAGCCTGCAAAGGCTGCATCTCGCTGATAGTCCATGAGTATATTGTTAGTAGACAGCCATTGATATCACACTCTATAGAAGCCGTAGCCTTTCAGCAAAGACATGGCCACCATACCATGCAGAAGGCACCGCCATACTCGAGGTAGGAGTGACTGTCAGGCATCGATCGATTGCCTGTTTGAACTGGCTATATCTCCGCCAGAGTCTATGAGAATCCGAGGCGGCGATGCCATCGCTTAGTCGTCGAGGGCATAAAACCGCTGGAGACGATTCGTTTTGTCTTTTCTTTTCCTCTCCTCCCATCGACAACGACAGCGCTGAACCACCACCATTACCACCATCTCAAGCCATCTCAAAAATGGCTTTCATCAATCAGCGCACTCTCCACCTCGCAGCTATCATGCTGCTCACCATCACCACCACCCTCGCCTTCGCCCTCGCAATGCCCGTGGCCACCCGGGCTTGCTTGGATCTTGGCCCTGTCACCGGTAAGTCACATTCACCAGTCAGATCAAAGAATATCAGACAGCAGCTGACGTGTTGAATACAGGCCACTCTTTCCTTACTCCGGCCCGTCTTCAAGTCGGCCAGGGAAATCCCTATGGTAAGTGTCAACAAGATCCTGATACACGAAGTACATCACAAGCATTCAAACTAATTCAATTCAACAGGCGGCTCCGATGATCCGCAGTCAAAAGCGGCACGAGATCACGGCTCGTTAATTGTCATCGTCATGATCTCTGTCTTTTTGGCTGCTGTCGTATTCTTCCTCGTGTCCAAGAGACTAGGACTGATGGAGGTGTACGGTGCGTGGTGCCGAGGCTGGCGAGACAATCTCCGGCAACTGAATCCCAAGAACATTTGGGATAAGTGGTGCGCGTTCTGGAAAGACCGCACCCGCCAATACCGACACCGCCGGGAGGGCTTTGAACTGCAGCCATACCCAGGCCCACCACCAAGCGCACCTTATCAGCGCCTACCCTCTCCTGCCCGTCCTGCTCCCGCCCTGATACGACTTGGCCGGTTCCAAGTAGGTAGAGGGGTGCTGGGGGCCGGGCAGTGAAGGACGAGGAGAAGAGACGTGGGGAGGAGGAAGGGGGGAGGAGGAGGAGGATACCCGTTTGTTTTGTTGTTTGTTGTTTTGTCGTTTGTTGTTTTGTCGTTTGTTGTTTTGTCGTTTGTTGTTTTGTCGTTTGTTGTTTTGTCGTTTGTTGTTTTGTCGTTTGTTGTTTTGTCGTTTGTTGTTTTGTCGTTTGTTGTTTTGTCGTTTTGTTCGCGGTCTCTCGAACAAGAGCCGCTTTTGTGAGAACTTAGCACAGTCTGAGACCACCTACTATCAGCGGTGGCTAAATAAATCGTTTTCGCTGAGAGTTTGAATCATCACCTAGTGGGAAGGGTCTTCCCAAAACGTAGAATAAAATCCCCAGAATCGCGTGAATGGCGTAAGTAGTTGAAGGTAGATCTAACATTGCAGGCCATCAGAAAGTTGTTAGTGTCGGAAACCCGCATGATTCCCCACTTTATATGGACATGGCTCTGATCTTTAGGGCGGTCTGGGAAGCTACAGAAGAGCCATGTTGGACGAATGGCTACTTAAAGTCTCCTATTGGAATACTATTCCCTCTCAAGCCGGAATTCTTGGGGAGAGGGCCGTGTTATTTTCGCTCAGAAGGGTTTCGTGCGGAAGGGCAGGAGAGGTTAACATTTTACGGACTCCGCAGCATCCTTATGACCCTTAACCTATACTCACACAAATTCCATTGCAGTTGATGAACGCCACTCCCAAGTCATGCCCCGGAGGACCCTAAGTTCATGTCCAAGGGCACTGGTTGACGTGGCGTCAAGGGCAACGTCCGCGGACTACAAAGACTTTGGTGAAGCACTTGATATTATGGTGTAGGTAGGATAGAAGGAATCCATGAACAATCCAAATCCTGGATCCCGGTGCTTTCTCACATTCAATGTCGAAACCTAATAGTAATCAAAGGAGCCAAAGACTGAACGAGGTCAATTTTGACTACCCATGTTAGTGGGACCTTTAAACTGCCAAGGTGGTGTCTTCAGAGATAAATGATATTAAGTTAGTTATTGTTACGTGGTTCCAATTCAATCTGGAGGAGACAGGAGACGAAGCTCTGACTATTTATCTTGGTGGGTTCAAACCATTGTGAATCTCATGAAATTTTGCCTTTTACCAGCGTGCCAGGAATCCTACACACGCTTCAAGTCATCGGGTATAGTTCAGGATTTATCTACCTTTCTGGGAGAAATCTTGACACCAATGTAGAATCAGTCTCTTTCAGATGAGACATACTGGTGACTATAATCTCACAGATACATTAGGAGGCCATCACAAGAGAAATAGATGGTACTCTATTTCTCTCTCTACGAGGCAACACCCTCTGCCGATATATCAAATAATCATTCCGCTTACTCGAGAATATCATGGCATCTGGTCCAGGCTTTGTTAACAGACGGCCACACTCAATCCAACTAGCCCGCCTACTTACATTTATCATTCGAAGCAAGACACCGACCATTAGGTGACTGACTTTGACTCGACACCCATATGCATGCCCATCATTGCGAAAAAGAAGATGAAACCGAAAGTAATTCACACATATTCCCAGTGTCTATATCGTCACGAGCCTTGAGAACGACTGACTTCCTCTGTTCGTTTTCGCTTAGATTTAGGCCGTAGAACTAGTTGCTCTGCTTGCCTATGATACGATGAATGACCGAGTCAAGGGCATAATACATGAAGATCATGGACTGGTCTCACCACCAGAATTAACACCCTTCAGTCGCCATTTCGATGGAAAAGTGCATTTTGAAAAAAATGATGAAGCAGAGTCGGTGGCTGTCAGGCCGAAGTACATATTTCCGCTAAGTGGACGGGAAGCCCTGTACCCCACATCCTGTAGTCGTATGCACTGGTAGGGCAGATTAATCGCGCTATAACGCAATGAGAGACCTCGGGTGAGTGACTAAGGGTTACCTATCACTTTATTCACGGCTAGGTGGCTTCTATACGTATTCAAGCACGCAGCTACACCTTTGCGAGGGTGGTACTTTCTATGGGAATTGTGATGGACCTAATTTTTCGAGACTTCTTTTTGTGCACATAATATTTGGCCAGTCTCAAAGCTCCACCAATTATATCAAGTGTATGTAGATCGGCGAGTGTTGGCAACTTGGCCCTCGTGCATGTACGAGTATGAGTATGACGAACCTAGGTTAAGCCCAGCGGGGGCAGGAATTGCTATGACGACAGCGGCCAATTTGTCCAGCAGAGAAGGGGCTCAAGGCGGCGGCATCTTATCGATAGGCGAGGTTGACGAGGAATTGAGTGATAGGCCCTGGAAAGATTATCAATCGGGCGAGTCTAGAGTGTGGAAAGTCCTTTCACCGGTGAAGTCCGTTGGTGAGTCTGCCTGAGACGTGAGGCATATAAGCCTGAGGCATCCAGTTGCCCCGATGTCGGTTGCGGCCTCAAAGAGGAGATGTACCACGATGACATACTGCATTTTCATCTAACCCTTGACTTTCGGATACTGATGGATATAAATGATAAAGTACAATACCACGCCCTATGCACAATAAGAATGCAGAATCACATTTATTGACCACCAAAAAAGTAATGATCAGATTGAGTCATAGGCATCTCTAGAGTGCTTTTCAGTACTTCGGGCGAGGGCGGCCAGTGAGCGACTCCGGCGACTTCCCCACCCCCAGCGAAAGGCGAAATTTTTCAGTTTTTTTTTTTTTTTGCCGCCGAGCGAGGGAGCGACGATTACTACGCAGAAAGGAAGTACACCGCCCACTCCACTCTTTTATGACTCTTACTTCCTCTTCCAAAGTTTCAAGACTTAAATATCATCTCTGACCGTGGACTTCGTTGTGTTGGTCCATTTGTCTTGTCTTTCTTGAATCCCGAGCTTCATCTCCAAAGCTCCCCCGCTACTCCCCCCGTCTACCCCTCCACCACTTATCACCAATCTCCCCCCACTATCTACGCACACAATGTGTCCCGGTGCCGACTCCGAGCCCAATGGGCAAGCTAACGGCGCCAACGGTGCCAATGGCGGTATGATTTCATCCTGGGAGACCTAATACACGCCGCTCGGTTGGCTGACTTTTGATATCTCTATAGCTGATCACCCCGGCTTCACCGGTATTGAGACCCGCCAGAACCCTCACCCCTCCGCCTCCCGCAACCCCTACGGCCACAACGTCGGTGTGACCGACTTCTTGAGCAATGTCTCCCGTTTCAAGATTATCGAGAGTACTCTGCGTGAGGGCGAGCAGTTCGCCAACGCTTTCTTCGATACCGAGAAGAAGATCGAGATTGCCAAGGCCCTCGACGACTTTGGTGTTGACTACGTGAGTCATCCACAAAAGATCATGGCCGAAACCAGCATTTTGGGCTGTAAAAAACTAACCACAGTCATGACAATAGATTGAGCTTACCAGCCCCTGCGCTTCCGAGCAGTCTCGTGCCGACTGCGAGGCTATCTGCAAGCTTGGTCTGAAGGCCAAGGTACGTCTCCAATGCCAATGTGGCGAATATCACTGTGAAACTGCTCGGCTAGACAGTTTCTAACCATCTCATAGATTCTTACTCACATTCGCTGCCACATGGATGATGCCCGTGTTGCTGTTGAGACCGGTGTCGACGGAGTGTGAGTCACCCCGCATCTACTTTTTTTTTGTGGCTTTTTCCCCAAAAATTTCCGAGTTGGACCCTGACTTTGTACTACAGCGATGTCGTCATTGGTACCTCCTCCTACCTCCGTGAGCACTCCCACGGCAAGGACATGACCTACATCAAGAACACCGCCATTGAAGTTATCCAGTTCGTCAAGTCCAAGGGCATTGAGATCCGTTTCTCCAGTGAGGACTCTTTCCGCTCTGACCTCGTCGATCTGCTCTCCATCTACTCTGCCGTCGACAAGGTCGGTGTCCAGCGTGTCGGTATCGCCGATACCGTCGGCTGTGCTTCTCCCCGCCAGGTCTACGAGCTCGTCCGTGTCCTCCGTGGTGTTGTCGGCTGTGATATCGAGACCCACTTTCATAACGACACTGGCTGTGCTATTGCCAACGCCTACTGTGCCCTCGAAGCCGGTGCCACTCACATTGATACCTCCGTCCTCGGTATCGGTGAGCGCAACGGTATCACCCCTCTTGGTGGTCTGATGGCCCGCATGATGGTCGCCGACCCCGAATACGTTAAGAGCAAGTATAAGCTGGAGAAGATCAAGGACATTGAGGACCTCGTCGCCGAGGCTGTTCAGGTCAACATCCCCTTCAACAACTACATCACCGGTTTCTGTGCCTTCACCCACAAGGCCGGTATCCACGCCAAGGCCATCCTCAACAACCCCAGCACCTACGAGATCATCAACCCTGCCGATTTCGGTATGACTCGTTACGTCCACTTCGCCTCGCGTCTGACTGGCTGGAACGCTATCAAGTCGCGTTGCCAACAGCTCAAGATCGACCTGACCGATGCTCAGTGCAAGGAGTGCACTGCCAAGATCAAGGCTCTGGCCGATATTCGCCCCATTGCCGTCGATGACGCCGACTCCATCATCCGCGCCTACGCCCGCAACCTCAAGCTGGGTGAGGACAAGCCCTTGATGGATCTGACTGCCGAGGAGCAGGCCCAATTCGTGGCCAAGGAGAAGGAGATTGCTCTCGAGGCTCAGAAGAACGAGGTTACTGCTTAAGCGGTGCCTCTTGTCTCTGTTCAATAAGCGTGCGTTCTTTTGTTCGCCCAGAATATCTACGCGTCTTGGCTTGCGGTATACCCCGCTAGACTTAGACTCGACCAGAGGAATCTCTGATGATTTGATGTGATTTATGCGTTTGGGACTTTTCCTTATTTTTTTTTCCTTTGTCCTATGTGGTTTTGAAAAAGTCTTTTCTTTTTTTTTCATATCTGGAATTCGTTCAAAGAAAAAGAACGACTGGACTTGTGGTGTTTGGAGAGTCCTATACCAATGTACATAAGCGCCAGCCTTGATACGGCTGCAGCAATTCCAACAACTTGATTCAAAAACAAAGTTCATCGAAAGCTTCCTACTGTAATATCGAATACGCTATCTCAAGGCTTGATATTTTAAACATAAATATTATTTTGACCTATACGTAGAGCATCAATGCCTCTACGCCTATCCAATCTTCATGTGGCAATTTCGTAGGTGCAGCAATCCCCCAACCTCGGCACGGCGCTAGACTGCGTCCGGCCAACGGGGTCCCGCGGACGCCGGGTGCTACTTAACGACCATCTCTCCGCCAAGTTTCCCGGCGCTCGTCAGCATCATTACCTCCTAGAGACATACCACTAGGGCCACCATGAGTTCCGCAGTGCTCCCTGTCGCCCTGCAGAACAAGCTGGTGGGCTACGGCCGGGCCTCCCGTGCCCATCTCTCGGCCGTGAATCTGGATCTGTAAGTATGACAATCTGGCCCAGCACTCATCCATCAATGGGACCTGCCCATTCCCCAGGAACCCCATAGCGACGATCGCCCGCTGACCAGCACCTTTCGTATCGATAACAGGATCCGCAATATCGTATTCATCCTCTTCCTGTTCCGGTACATGCGCAAGACCTTCTACTCGCTCCGCGGATACGGCGTGTTCGGCAGCATCCGCAACGTCTACATCGCCGCCCGTCTATTCTGTTACTCCCTCTTCCTGCGCGCCCCGGGTGTGCGCGGCCAGGTCGATAAGCAAGTCTCGACCGCGATCGAAAAACTCGAGACTAAGCTCGTGCAAAGCGGGCCTGACGTGAATCGTTATCTCACCCTGCCTGCGGAGGGCTGGTCCGCCGATAAGGTTCGCGAAGAGCTAAATAAGCTCGCTGGCTTGGAGCACACCCGTTGGGAGGATGGTCGCGTCAGTGGTGCGGTTTATCACGGCGGAGATGATTTGTTGAAATTGCAGGCCGAGGCCTTTGGGCAGTTTGGCGTTGCAAACCCGATTCATCCGGATGTTTTCCCTGGTGTGCGGAAGATGGAGGCTGAGGTTGTTGCTATGGTATGAGATTTGTGATGTGCTAGGGTTGTGGACTCAATTGTTAACGATGGTTGTAGGTTTTGAATATGTTCAATGCTCCCACGGATGGTGCTGGTGTTACTACCAGCGGTGGTACCGAGTCCATTATTATGGCTTGTCTGGGTGCCCGGCAAAAGGCATTCTTGGAGCGAGGAGTGACGGAGCCTGAGATGTAAGTTTGGATACGCTTTCCAGTTCCAACCCGCGCACTTGCTAACACGTTACAGGATCATCCCTGATACCGCTCACGCGGCCTTCATCAAGGCTTGCAACTACTTCAAGATCAAGTTGCACCGTGTACCTTGCCCCGAGCCCGAGTTTAAGGTCGATGTCAATGCCGTTCGCCGCCTGATTAACCCCAACACCATCCTACTCGTGGGTTCGGCACCTAACTTCCCTCACGGTATTGTCGATGACATTCCCGCCTTGTCACGCCTTGCTACCAAGTATAAGATTCCTCTCCACGTGGATTGCTGCTTGGGTTCCTTTGTTATTGCCCACTTGAAGAAGGCTGGCTTCCCCTCGCCATACGAAGAGGAGGGTGGCTTTGATTTCCGCCAGCCCGGTGTTACCAGCATCAGTGTGGACACTCACAAGTACGGATTCGCTCCCAAGGGTAACTCAGTCCTGTTGTACCGCAACAAGGCTTACCGTAGCAACCAATACTTCATTTACCCCGACTGGTCTGGCGGTGTCTATGCCTCTCCCTCCATTGCCGGCTCGCGCCCCGGTGCCCTCATCGCTGGCTGCTGGGCTAGCTTGATGAACGTGGGTGAGGCTGGCTACATCAACAGCTGTACCGAGATCATCAACGCTGCTCGCAAATTCGACTCTGCCGTCCGCGGACACCCCTTGATCTCTCTCCACATGGAAGTCGTGGGTAACCCGATGGTCAGCGTTGTCGCGTTCCGCAGCAAGAACGGTGCTATTGATACCTACGATATCGCCGATGACCTGTCTGCCAAGGGCTGGCATCTCAATGCCCTCCAGTCACCACCCGCTCTGCACTGCGCCTTTACTATTCCCACCTCCAAGGCCGTCGACCAGCTCATCAATGACGTGGTCGAATGCATTGAGAAAGAGCTCGAGAAGGCCGAGGAGCGCCGCCGTCAAGGAAAGGCCTACATCCTGGAGCGCGGTGAAACTTCCGCTCTGTATGGTGTTGCTGGCAGCATCCCCGATAAGAGCATCGTCAGCCGTCTGGCCGAGGGCTTCCTTGATACCCTGTACAAAGCCTAAGTCTCTCTGCCAGAGCATAAAACCCCCACCTGACGAATGTAACACCCGCAAGTGACTGCTTTTGCTTGGCTTTCCATACCCCCCACTAGCTGGCAGGTTACAGCGGCGTTTGCGGCGTGTTCGCTCCTGTCATTTCATTCTTGTCCACCAATGCTAGAATTGGTTCAGCGTCGTCTATCATTACCCTCCTTACAATTCAAATTGCACATATTTGCCTCGGCCATCTCTTTCGAGAAGTAGATTTGTAATGGCGTCCCATATAGTACAGTCGACGAATGCGAGAATTGACCCGTCAGAAGATAGGTGGACGTAGATATAGAGTACATGACATAAAAGAAGCCCGCTCCATGCAAAAAAAAGGTAATCCGACAAAAACACAGAAATGAAAAACAAGGGTGTCAAGAGTAAACAGCCCTCATGGCAGAACCCGGTATAAAAGACCACACCCAGCCACAATCAAGGAAGAGCGTTATAGCAGAGCATTATGCAAACGGACAGAAGCCCTGAGAAAGTGAAAAGAGAGAAGATAGAAGAAAACCTCTCAATCTCCATCTTTTTACTGCCCACTCAACTCAGCCCGCTCAGCAACACCACTCTTCTCAACGTAATAGCCCGGATCGGGTTTCCGCTCCAAACGAACCTCCTGCTTCGTAAGAGCGCGATCAACCTCTTCGACGGAAACAAGCTCTTTAACCTTCATGATTTGACCGGCGACGGACGGGGTAACGCGGTGGAAGACGATGCCCATACGCTTCTTGAGGCCGAGGGCCTTCAGGACGTCTGTTGAGCGGCGGGGAAGACCGATCGCTGAGCGGAGCAGTTGAACACGGAAGTAGCTCATTTTGAAGGATTTGAGGAGGATTGAAGGGTTTGGTTGACTTTTGGAGGTGTTTGGGATGTGATCGTTGCGGAGTTTGGTTGTAGAGAATGCAATTGAGACCCTTGGTCCGGGCGAGGTCGGAGAGGGCGTAAGTGGTGTATGTGAGGTAATCGCAATACCGGATTGGAATTGAATATAATTGAGACTTCCGTAGAGGAAGATTGACTGGATCTCTGAGTTGAAGAACTGACCGAGTCCAAGTGAGTCCGGCCGACGGAGTATGCGCGATGGCATCGCAAAATCAGGAGCGGTGTGTCACGTGGATCCACATTCTGCCAGCATCATCAACGGGGGGCGACAGCTCCGCAGCTCGGGATCGCGGGTGGACCCCCTCGATTGCAGCTCACGCCGATGCAGTGTAGTGCCTGGTCATGACCATTGACTCGGCCTGAAGTGTCATATCCTTACGATCATTCTCGGACTTCAAGTCCTACGCCCGCACGCCGATCCCCTCCCTAGCACACCCCCACACTCGATCTACCTTGCGGCCTTACATCCGAGTCTCATAGTGACAACGACGGCCGTCTCTTGGCCGACAAGGCACAGTCGACATGGCGCAAAATGCAAGCGCCGATGGCACGGTATCCATGCCAAAATTGGAGGACATCCTGCGCCATCCGGAAGATCTCGACAAGATCAATGGCCTGAAAGCCGAGTACCAACGCAAGAAAGCCGCCGTCGACTCGCGACTCCGTGAGGGCCTTCGTGAGCAGCTCGAGGCTGTGCAGCGCAGTATCGGAATATTGACCGAGGGTCAACGACAAGTCTCCAAGACCCGAGATGAATTACAAGCCATTGATAAACTATGCGCCGAATCGCAGGATAGCGTGGAGGACTTTGCTCAGATCGACAAGTTGGCTCGGATTCAACGGCATTTTGATGCTACGTTAATGATGAAGAAGGGATTGGAGAACTTTGGTGCGGATCTCCAGGAGGTGGAGGAATTGTTGAGGGAGGATGATGATGATTTGGAGAATCAGCCGAATCTTTTAAAGGTTCATATGCAGATCTCCCGTCTACGAGATTTCCGTGACGAGGCGATGGACCAGATTCAAAAGTCGCGCGATTCCAGCAGCGAGGAGACCTTGACGGAATATTTCCAAGGGCTGGACTCGGCTATTGATTGGTTCGATGATCATCTCGGTACCGCTTGCATGAACCTGATTCCATTGGTCCAGGAAGATAACAGGAGCATGGTGGTTCGATTAGCGGTGGTCGTAATGAACGAGGAGAAGAATGACGATACTGTCAAGGCATTGCAGGAAGCGCAAAAGGACCACAAGGACCTAGCAAGCCGCTTCAAGTCTATGAACATTGGGCCCAAGACTGTTCGAGGCTACAAGGATAAGTTCCTCCAGGCCATCGAATTCTACGCACAGAATCAGTTCAACAATACTAAAGACGAGTTCCTTGAGGACCCAGATCATATGGAGAAGAGCTTCCGGTGGTTCTTCAACGATCTCTTCACAGTCCAGCAGGGTATGCAAGCCCTCATGCCGAAGAAGTGGAAAATCTACAAAACATACACCGATATCTATCACCGCATGATGCACAATTTCCTCGTTGAGTTCATCGACGACCCCGAGGTCCCTGCAGACAACCTGCTGAAGATTATCCACTGGAGCGACAAGTACTACAAGAAGATGAAGAAGCTGGGCTGGACCCCCGCCGAACTCCAACCCAATATTCTGGATGACCGTGAACCAGAACTGGTGCGACAGTGGCAGAGTGTGATTATCAATGCTGTCGAGGAATGGATGGACCGGATCTTCGACACGGATAAGAAGGGTCTTGTGGAGCGACAAGCAGATGCCCTGGACACGAATGCAGATGGTTACTTCCGGACCAAGACGCAGGCAGATATGTGGCGTATGCTTCACGAACAGATCATGGCGGCTGGACAATCCGAAAGAGCCGACGTGGTCGAGGGTGTCATCGATGCCATGTTCCGGGCTCTGAAGGGCCGACAGAGTGCCTGGCAGGCACTCATTGATGAAGAGTGCAACAGGGCCAAGGCTCCTAGCGGTGATAACGAGGGAGTGCAGCTGCTGCAAGACTGGTTGGTCGGCGTGGCCAATGACCAGATTGCTTGCATCGACGACAATGAGGAGACCGGTCAAATGGGCTACTTGACCCGATTCAAGGCCGACGTCGAGCCCGTCGTGACCGCGAAATACATGGCGACTCGGGCCACGTCAGAGCTGGACGCTCTACGCGACGGATATGTGGACCTTAGCACGCACTGCCTGGCACTATTCGTGGACATTGTTTTCACTGTAGATCTCAGCTCAGTCCTCACAGATCTCTTCACGCCCCGATGGTACGGTGAATTCGCCATTAAGCGTATTACCACAACCTTCGAGGATTACATGGTCGACTATAGCCCAGTTCTACACCCCTCTCTCGTCGACATCCTAGTCGAAGAACTCTCAGACGAATTGCTGGTGCGATACCTCTCATCAGTCCGCAACAAGGGCGTCAAATTCCGCCGCCAAGTGGATCCCTTCACGGATAAATTCAAGGACGACATCCTCACCGTCTTCGATTTCTTCCAAAAATACGAGGACTCCTTCCAGTCTACTATCAAGCAGAAGTGGCGCTTGGTCGACTGGCTTGTCCGCTTGCTTGAAGCCGAGAAGGGTCAGGCTATTGTGAATGTCTACGAATCGTTCAAGAACGAGTACTGGGATCTACAGCTGTCTTGGGTGGAAGCTGTCCTCCGGACTCGGGATGACTTTGAGCGCAGTATGATTAGCTCTATTAAAGCCAAGGCGGCTGAGTTGTCTGTTGAGCGTGGCATGGAGACTATCATGAGTCGTCTGAGGTGATCGATTCGGGCCTGATTATCTGGTATAGATTGGCCATTGAAGGTGTTTCCACTTTGTGGAACCAGTGACTCCCAATCGCGAGATTCCAAATCGCTCGTGGCACGCCACCAGCACAAGAGTGCTGCTCACAACGAGACCTTTGTCCAGCCTTGCATCACTTTTGGACGATGTGTTTGTAAGGATGCTGTTTAATATCCGAGAATACTTGGTCTCGCATCGTGGTACTTGAGAAACTCACTTTGCGACAATGCCTGAAGGATTGAAGTCTTGGAGCGAGATAGTTGCTCGAGCTACATCAGCACACGATTACTCTCTGGAAATTTAGACTCCAAGCTGGCTTGGAATAGATTACCCCTTTGTTGCTCCCCTTGTGAACGATTTAGCAGGCAACCGTTGCCATGATCTTGTAATGAAACTATTATATCTTCGAAGATATGGGTATTATTTAGTTTTCTTGAGCCTGATTCATTCGTAAGAAATTCAGACAAGGCCCACTCCTCCATCTAAACTCTCTTCACTACATCTCCCCGAAGAAGCTGATCGCGATCGAGGGCGGGAATCAAACCTTCGCTCAGCGATAACAGTGTATTCCTCGCCCAAGCGTGCATTCAACCCCTGATCCCCAGGACCACCGACCTCGAGCCTTTTAGCGCCCATTTCACAAATAGTGACTGAGTTGATCGCGATATCCTTCGCCCAGACGAAAGGATACTGGGGATGAGAAGATGCAGAAGATGTATCAGGGTCAGATTTAACCTCACCACCCTCCGGCTCTCCGGACTCAGAGAGTGAGGAACTCTCTGTTGGTGATCCGGGTTGAGTGGACGTATCGACGCGTGCTACCATTTGCGTCTCATCAACATAGTAGTTCCGGTACCTGGCCAGAAGACCGCGTGCATCGAACTCAAGCCTCTTCGAGCCATTTCTCCCATTCTTGCCATTATTCCCAGGCCCGAAGTTCCGTCGACCACGAACGTAAATAGTATTCACGAGCGTAGCATGTAGAAGAAGTGGCCTTGGTTTCGGCTTGCGAGCAAGAGCAGCGGCATATGGGTCCAAGATCTGTGGAACTTTGACATTCTCAACTTGCGGGGGCAGCGTTGTCAGCTCTTCAAGAAGAGGTTTATCATCGCTTTTTAAATCCTTGCATTGAGATGCTTGGACTTCATCCACGGCCTTTGGGTCCTTGCTCTCTGCAGGAAGTCCATTTTTGGCCTCACTGAGAATGAACCCTGCTTCTAGAAACTTGTCTCGTAGCATCACACAGAATGGATATAATCGTCCTGTGCGGTCACTTGGAGAAGCATGCAAGACCGTTGCAGCTTTGGCACGCGGTAAAGCATGTAAAGACTCCAAGGAAACAGAGAGTGGCGGAGGGGCCTTCTCCAAGTCTAATGACGAGCCAGATGAAAGAGACGAAGCTTCTGCATTATTTGGTGCTGAGTTTGATGATTTCCGCCTCGACACCCGCTTTTGATGTAGTTCAAAGGCTACTCGCTCCGCTTCCCTGAGCAAGCTCGCCAGGTCGAGTGTTTGAAAGAAATTCAGTGCCTCTGCAAGACGCTCTTTTGTTGGGAGACTCATGACTCCAATGGTCAAATGGATTGTTCCCACGGGTCGCACTGCACCTTGCGGGATAACTGCGTGCGAGGCATTTTGCTCCGATGTCTGAGGCTGACCGTTTGATAGGTCTGCGACTGGGACTGGCGGATAAGCCGCCGTGAAGGCAGCAATTGACGCTTCCAGCTGTGGAAGTGATGTGGTATTAACTAAAGGTAGACAGAGAAAGTGTGTGAGTGCTGGTTGTCTTTCCCGTCGTTGGCCTCGAGGCCTTTGCGACTGATTTGGTGTGTTCTGTTTGCCACTGGACATGGTGGATTTTGTCCCAGTAGAGTATTGTTTTTCTTTTCTAAGAACCAAAGAACTTCTGAAAGACCTCCAGATCAACCGGGAACACATCCGGGAGGATATAATCAGGTGGAGCAATGAATGATGGTTATTGTTTTGGAGTTGATGTCAGCGAAGAATAGCTGGTCACGTTGAATCTGGGTGACGCACGGACCACTATATCTCCATCTCCTTTTGACAGCAGCTGAATTGCTTTAAGCCCTCGTTGTGGGAGAAACGAGGCACTCTTTGTGATTCAACGGAATGCATCAGCTGTCTGAAAGTACATGATGCTTTTCATTTTTCTTCGTGCAATAGACAGGAAACTGAAACTGTAGAAGACTTGAGCGTCACCAGAACCCCATTAATCAATCCATCACTCTTGTCCTGCAAATGACGATGAACGGAGACAAGGTATTAAATACACTTAAGCCGAGAGCAAAATCCCTTGAGAGGATTCCCCTAGCGTGGAAGAAGAAACCATGCTTCTCTTCGAGGAGTGAGAGCGAAGAATTAGAAGCCTGGACAGAAACGGAAGACGGGGCCTCCCATCAGCATGCATACTGGCGAGGATATCATACATCTTGTCACCCTTCAAGACGGACCGACTCACCTAAAAAGACTTCTCTCAAGAAGGGAGAGGAACGATGAGATGCCAGGATCTTAGCCAGGATCATATCTGGAAAGCCTAACAGAATAAAACAGACAACGGGGTCTGCTCTCAGCATTCAACCTGGCGCAAAGGGGAAGCTGGGAGTAATCACCATGGTATCAAAACTCACCTGGGAAGAGATGGCCGATGCTTAATGGTAGTTCGGGGAGAATTGGGATATCCTGACCGACCTGCAGACACCACAAGCATCTGCTCTCAGCATTCGGCCTGGCGCAAAGGGGAAGCTGGGAGAACTCAGATCGTTACTCGCCTTGGAACCTGCAGACACCACCAGCATCTGATCTCAGCATTCGACCTGGCGCAAAGGGAGGCTGGGAGCAATCACCACGAAGGTATCAAACTCACCTAGAAATAGATGATCGATACTTGATGGATATTGGCCGGGGGATTGGGATATCCTGAATCGCCTGCAGACACCACCCGCGTCTGCTCTCAGCATTCGGCCTGGCGTAAAGGGGAAGCTGGGAGAACTCAGATCGTTACTCGCCTTGAAACCTGCAGACATCAGGCTATCCCACTTGAAAAAAGAGTCGTTTCTGCAGCCGCTGCGTCAGTAGCCGGTGAGGAAACCACTTTCAGAGAGCGGCCATCTCACCTTTGACCAGAGAAGACTTCAGTCCTGAGCTCGAAGACATGACAAGAAAGTCATGGCACTAAACAACCTGCATAGAGAGTGTCAGTTCACACTGGGGATTTTCAGAAGGAATGGACACATCATGTGTACAGGTCAGACAAAAGGCAGGTGGTCGGTGGATGGCAGAGGAGATGGGAGATGGAAGGAGATGGGAGATGGGATATATCAACAAGAAGAGGCAGACACGTAAGACGCGAAGACACGTCAACAAGAAAAGACTTACGTCGCGATCCCCAACAAGATGGACGAGGCCATATGAGGCCAAAGGAGAACCCAGCCCTGTCAGAAAAGATCAAGGTCATATTAGATAAGGCATAAGGTTGAGAGGGGAAAAAAGACTGAAGGGGGATATGGGGAGGATGAGCAAGAGGAGGAGGATGAGAAGGAGAGTTGCAGAAAGGAAGAGAGTTGCAGAAAGGAAGAGAGTTGCAGAAAGGAAGAGAGTTGCAGAAAGGAAGAGAGTTGCAGAAAGGAAGAGAGTTGCAGAAAGGAAGAGAGTTGCAGAAAGGAAGAGAGTTGCAGAAAGGAAGAGAGTTGCAGAAAGGAAGAGAGTTGCAGAAAGGAAGAGAGTTGCAGAAAGGAAGAGAGTTGCAGAAAGGAAGAGAGTTGCAGAAAGGAAGAGAGTTGCAGAAAGGAAGAGAGTTGCAGAAAGGAAGAGAGTTGCAGAAAGGAAGAGAGTTGCAGAAAGGAGGAGAGTGGTAGAAAAGAGGAGAGTGGTAGAAAAGAGAAAAGGCTGGGAGGGCAGAAGGTATTTGTAGGCAAAATCCCGATTGGGAAACGGCAAGTTCCATTTCGACGAGAGGCATCACGGCCTTCCCGATTAGGAAATGGTGCGCCTATGCTACTTTACCCAATCGGTGCCTACATACAAACAAGACATACGGAGGGCTACACTCTATGGCTGACTATGCCCGACAGCAAAACGGAATACAGGCGAGTCGACCAGGTTGGAAAGAGTGTTTGAACGGTTTCAAGTGGGGTTGGGATGCTTTTAGCCCATATCTATTTGATACGCCTCAAGTCTGCCGAGTCTACGGGAGCCGAAAATTGCCATAACTAGTGCATGGGGAAGTAGTGTTTACAATCTTAGTAGACATTTGTCCATCCTAACAGTGTTCTACGAGTAGTATTGGGCCGTCAACGGCAGAATCGAGATCAAACCACATGGAATGATAGATATCTGCTGCAAGATCCTAGCAATGAGCTTGGTACTGGCGAGCTACAGAGTTGAAGGAGCGGAACAGCGCCAAATACGTGACTTGTCTACGACAACAACACGCCCAAGGTACACTGGTTTACTCTCCCAGACCCAATACACTACAGGGTAAACAGATCCAGGCCAAAATAGTGGTAAATATTAGTTCCATGATAGAATCAAGGGTATCTAACAGCTCCAACGAGCCCAGCACCATCACGTGGATCCAACGACGCCACAACAACCTACTCAACATTCTTCTTCTTCCTCCCCTCCAGGACACGCATAACATCATCAGCACTATCCTTATCCCCCTTCCTCTTCTTCGGTCCCCGTTTCCTCTTATTCCCCCCACGCTGCTGGCCCTCAAAGTCCAACAATGGACCTTCATCATCATCCTCACCATCCTCGATACGACTTCCGCCAAAGCCCATGTCCATATCCGCAGCGTCCATGGCATCGCGCCGGCGGGCTTCCTCGAGGAATTTCTTTTGTCGGAGGGATGCATCTGCTGAGATGTCGGGGTCCTCCTCGGAGGGTGAGGTTTGACGGAGAGCTGCGGCTCGTTTGAGAGCGGCGAGGATTGTGGGGTCTTTTGTGAGGGGGTTGGAGCGGTCCTCAGGTTCTTCGGGGGCGGTGGTAGATGTGGTTGCTGCGAAGTAGTTGCGTGGTTTGGCGGATTGTGCTGTAGTAGCATCGGTAGGCTGCTGGCCTTCTTCTGAAATCGTAGCTGGGGCATGATCCTTGCCAGGTTTCCCAGGTTTCTCCGGGTGCTCGCCATCCTCATCGGATGAGGAATCGTCGTCTTGCTCGATGCCAGCAAGTGGATCGTAATCAGCGCCAACGCCGGCGAAGATATCATCATCCTCTTCCTCAGGCGCAGCGTTAGCAGCTTCCCGGGCAGAAATATCAGCGGGAACCTCCATTCCAAGAGGTTTAGCATCCTTGTCAGGCATGGGCAGAGAAGGAGTCCCACGCGGCTCGTTGGGTTTATCAAGCCAGCGCACTTTGCGCTTCGTATTGCCATCAGCATCCGTAATGAGCAGAACTTCCCGTCGACGGCCATTCTCATCTGACTCGATGAAGCGCTTCTTCTCCGGCTTGCCGTCGCCGACCTTCTTGAACTTGGAACCGAGCGTCGACTCCGGCACCGGGGCCGGCGCTTTTGCAGCCGCCGCTCGACTAGCCTTCAACTCCCTTAGAATCTCATCGCGTGTCTTTGGCCGAGGTGGAGGCGGAGCCATAGTTCCCTTCTTTTTCTCCTTCTTCTCTTTGGGAGCCGAGACGAGCTCTTCCTGGCCCTTCTCCTCCATCAGCCGCTCGAATGCCTCATCTGCATCTTCCTCGGTAATCGGGGGTTCCTCTGCCGGGGGAGGAGCGGGTTTCTCAGCGGCTTTTGAGATATCCTCACCAGCGCGGACTCGTTTTAGCAACGCCCAGTCCAAGCCCTTGACCATGTGTGTGCTCTTCGTGTCTCCGCCAACCCCGAGCTCAGCGCAAAGCTTCTCGAAAGTCGCCTGATCGATCTGACCCAGTTTAACCATCTCCTCGAGGGCCTTGACCCGTTTCTGCAAATCATCTTCATCCTCACCCTCCGCATTCCGTAGTTGTGCGCGGTCCTGGTACCCGGTGGGCAGTTTGCTGCCCTTTGGCGCGGCAGAAGATTTGAAGCGCTTCGCGGGACGTTGATCGCCCTCTCTGCGGTGCTCCGCGAGCTGCCAGGCAAAATCTACTCCAGTAACAGAGCGACTAGAGGAACCTATCAGTATCAACTGCTTTGCGAAAGAAGGATCCTGGAAACATACGGGGTCATGGGAATACTCGAGCGCATCCGCGAGCCCAGCATCGCGCCCGGAGTGGCGCCACCGCCTGCTGCATCGCGCGGCGACGAGGCGGGCTTGCCTCCGGACTTGGAGGTAGACGAATCGTCTGCAAGAAGTCGCCGGAACTGCTCGTTATTCATTGTTGCAAGTTGGGGCTCAGGAATCGCTGGCGCCGACGTCAATTTTGAGATTAAGCAGGGTCCGTCTTGGCATGCGATAAGATAAACCTTATCGCAGTCAAGGCTCGGCCTGAAAGCTAAGAGCTTTTGATTCTCAAGGTTAATGAGTGCATTTTCCATAGACCACATAGCATCATGGATGGTATTGAAACCCATAAACCAAACTAAAATAAAAGAATGTCGATATACACATAAAAACCAAGAAATACAAAATGAAGTAAAAAGTCCAAAGAAAAAGCAACCCCTCAAAATAAGAAAAATGCAACGCTCAAGTCACCAACAAGAAAATGAATCCTCTAAAGCATCGGATCCAACGCAACACAAGTGATCCAGCTTTTCATCAATGTCATTCATTAAATCGTTTCCCATCCGCCATTGTTCATCTCCGATTCCAGCTTGCGGCTGATCGTGGCAGGGATCGAGTGTGACAGCCATACGTCGCGCAGGAGTCGGTCGTACCGCTTTTGGTTAAGGATAAGTTGGCGATTGCGGCGGAGGCCGGGGTCAACTTCGCCGTGGCGATCGAGGTAAGGGGCATAGTGCCATGAGCCGTTGTGGTTGTGCAGGTAGAGCACGGTGCACTTGCGGATGTTGATGAAGAGGCCGATGTTCTTGCCACATCTGTAAGGAAAAAAAGAGAACAAATTAGTTTTGAAGCATAATTGATCGAGCGGGAAAGAGGGTCTCACTTTTGCAGATGCTGGTTGCAGCCGCCCAGCTTGTTGTGCATACAACACACTGCCTGCGAGCAGAAGATGTCACCACAGAAGAGACAAATGCTCGGGTCGCTGAGCTCCTTCTTGGAGTTCGGGCAGCGGCGTCTATTAGCTTCCTCAATCAAGCTGTCGAAGTATTTGGGAAGACCGACGAGCTCGAAGATAGCCGGGTGTGGGAGGCTAGGCCACAGACGGTGGTCTTCGAAGCGGATGCCCGAGCGCGAAGCGTTCCAGTGGAAGATCCAGCCAGAGATAACAGCATCGAAGGGGTTGTTGCTCTTCCGAGCAGGGCTGACAGACATGAAAATCTCGTCGAGCGTAGGCAGGTGGAGAGTCTTGGTCAGTCGGTCAAGTTCCGACGCGCCGATATCAGTAAAGCCAGTGTTGGGGAACTCAACACCATGTTGCACATGGAGAAGAATCACAGCCTTACGCAGGAATGTCAGGGCATAGCTAGAGACAAGGCGGCGCAGGGCGATGATAATGCTCGAAGTAGCTGACTCCTCTCCATCCTTGACGTAGCCACTCTCAGCCGGGAATGAGGAGCCTTCGGCACGACCAACAGAGTTGGCCTTGAGTTCCGCAACGATGGAATCGAAGAAGTGTCTTGTCACACCATGCCGATCGTCAGAAACATCAGAGTCGGCGAGATCTTTTTCTCCCTGGTGAGCAAGCTCCTCCTTCAGACCCAAAGGCCAGAGGATGAAGGTAACAGCGACTTTAACGATTTCAGCCACGTAGCACATCTGGACGAGATGGCGCACATCAATGCGGAGAACGGGCAGCAACGAGAGCGAGCACTCCGCCAAGAACACAAATGTATCCATAGCAAGTAGCGGCTCGATGTTCCTGACATCGTTCAACAGAGGCGTTCCGCTCAAGCAAGGATGTCCGACAAGAAGTTGGCAGAGCTTCTGCCGATGCATTTCTTGGAACTCATGGGTGGGTCGGCTCTTCGGGCTGTTGCTTGAGTGGACACATCCCACGGCTGCGTAAGTCAAAGCCGTCTCAGCCAGGATGCGGAGATGCGTCAAGGTCAAGGGAGGAATCTTGTCCAGGAGAGTCGATCCGGGCTCTGACTCAACGCCACGCTGGGCAATCTCCACAGACGAGATACTGAAACCAAAGCTTCGGATCAAGGAGTCCGTGTGCACCAGGTCATCACTGACCATGGTTTCGGGACTGTTGTTGAAGATGGAGCTGATGTGATTCATCTTGATGGTCTTCTTGAGCCGCTTGTAGATCTGCAGAAGCTCCGACATGGGGCTATCTGAAGGCGTCGAAACCTGCTGCAGTGGGCTCGTTGGTGCCAAGTCTTCACTGGCTGTAGGGAAAAGACCCGGCATAGCCAGTCGCGGAGCAGATGTCATGGGGTGAGATGCCGCAGTGGATGGTAGCGAGGAGGTCATGAGCTGACCGACTCTGGAAGCGAGTGGGGGTGTCAGGGTCTTGGATAGGTAGTCGACGAACAAGTCAGAGTATGGCTGTTGGTACGCCTTGTCCTTCTCAATCATTAGAGCGGGGAAGTTCTGCGACTGATTCAGGGCGCTCTTGAGTCCTGAACTGATCCACTCATCAAACGGCAGGGCAGCATTCAAAGCGCCGGGATATGACACTTCCTTGCCCTTCCAAGTGATGGGCAGGAATGCATTGCCGAGTGCTTTGCAAAGAGGGCAGACAAATTCCTTAAGCGTGATATTCTCGGGATGGTGACGGGCAATCTGTTGGCTATGCCGTCTTTGAGTTCCGGTATAGTAAACATCAAAGCATGAGTAATGCATGATGTGGCCACAGCCGGTCGTCACAGGTCCACGTAAAGTGCTCTTCGGGCTAAAACCCTTGCTAAGACCGACCTTTTCGCTGATGACTTCACCACCAGAGGAATCCAGCCGACGAATAGTCGTCCTGTTTTCTCCAGAGACTCCAAAGGGTCGGATCTCATCAGCAGATCTATCCAAGCTCGTCGGGGTCCTGAGCGCCTCACGAATCCTGTCGGGGTCTCTGATGTCGGTCTGTCGCAAAATTGTGCTATCTTGAATCAAGGCGAAAGTACCGTAAAGCCTTGAATCACTGGTCTCATCCTGGCAGAAGATACACGTCCCGCTAGGATACTTCCAAACCTTAGCCTCGTGGGGAGTATGAGCCTCTGGCTCCGAATCACTGAAGTCTTCTTCGCCCCAGTCAATGTCTCCTTGGGTGTTCAGGAATTGCTGCTGTTGTTGCTGGAACTGGGCCATAACTCTAGCTTGCCTCTCCAGGGCCTGCTTCTTCTTGATTTCCTTTTCGTTATCAAGGTCAATGGCGGGCGAGTTCGTGTCGATGCGATCGAAGGGGAACCTGAGAGACGCAGTGGCTGAAGTATAAGTCCGAGGGCGCTTCTGCCACAGGCGCTTCAGAATGTGACGAATCTTAGGACCGCATGCAGAGAATTCGTTGGTCACCGAGATTCTTTCCAGTAGACCGACAATGGTCAGGTTACCCGCTTTGATCTCTCGAGCCTTGGACAAGGCATGCAAGTTGAATGACTGGCTTTGTTCCGTCTCCATGCTGCCATCTTCAGAGTTGTCCTCCAGCACTGCAGCGAGCACAAGGTGCAAAATGACCTGAAGGAAGGTCTCCACGCGAGTTGGTGGGATGGCGGGGGTGCATTCCTTGAATGAAACGACATACTCAAGGCACTGGTGAACAAGCTGTGCGAAGAGCATAGTGCCCGTGAAGCGTGGCAGATCAGAGAATACACCCGAACTGATGGGTCGAAGCTTCGGCTCATACACAATGTCAGATGCCTTTTTGCCGGTCTTCTTAGCCATCCATTCCTTGTAAATGTTCTCCGCTTCATCTCGCTGGTTCTTGGTGTAGTGCGCGCTGTACGGGTCCACAAGATCGAAATACTCCGACTTCAACTCGAACGTTCCGGAGTCGCTCAGACCCTCTGGAGGGCGGAAGTTGGCGACTTCCTCAAGAACGTCTTGGAACATATCAGAATCCAGCAACTTGTCACTTAGACGGGTAGACAGATCGGAGAAAGACAGGGGCTTGAAGCATAGGACGTGGGCAATATCACGGCTGATGTTCTCCTTGGTCAGGTGGGTGCTGTCATCGATAGCCGTCAAAGAGGTGCGATCGGTCAGCAAGATGACGAGCAAGTGGACGAATTCCTCGGCGACGTCGACAATCTGAGTATCCTCGAAACCATTACGAGGCATGTAGTTCCGAGACATCCAATCAACCATGCCGAAACGGTGAGCGATAGATGCGAGGACCCTGCTGGGATCACAAGTCACCATTGCCGTCTGCAACAGGAAGATGTCACGGTAGTAGGCAAAGTCCCGAGAAGAGACACCACGGTATTGCGACGCCTGATGGCGAAGGCTCAGACCATTGCGAACCCACATGGCAGCCTTCATCTGGGCAAGCCAGGCACAGACTCTTAGAGGGTAGTCGAACATGGTGAGAAGAAGATCCTCCGGGCCAAGCGCGAGAAGATTATCGTCGACTTGTTTGCCAGCAACCTTGGCAGCGTGGAGCTCTGCCCTAGCATTCTGGGCAGCTTCAAAGAGAACACTTCGCATGACCTCGCTGCTCACCCCACGACCGCACTCAATCAACCATGACAGGGTATAGTGAATAGCATGGTGGAAACTGATTGAACCCTTCTCCACCGCAAATTCGACCACGCGGTGGCAAGGAACTTGACCAGATGTCCCCATCTCGAAATCGAACGGAGGCAAAGTCTTGAACTTGACCTCCTCCTTAATCTCTGCTTGATCGAAACGCTTCCGCTCAACACCTGCCGAGTGGATGATTGCGGTCATAGTGGTCGTCTTGATAGCTCGCAACAGGTTCTGACCATTATCAATCTCCGGGTTACGGAAGGATTCGCAGAATTGTCGACAAAGGCGGTTGATTTCTCGCATCAAGATAGAGGCACTGATCCAAGCGTCTGTCTCATATTCGACGTGCTCGCCAACGGCGCGTACGTTGGGGCAAATGCCCTGCGAAAGCTTGACCAGATCCAGGAACTGAGGCAAATACTGTTCCTCGGTCCGCACACGATGTTGGACATACTCGGATTGAAGAAGGTACCGCAGATCAAGGAAGAAATGGTACAGCCGCCGGTTCGTGACGGAGCCGGCATCGAAAGCCAACGTGGCATTCGGGTTAACAGCTTGGGGCTCGCCTACCTGTCTTGTCGTCAGGAAAGTGTAGAGAATCGCCATGACCTTGGTGAGGAAATTGCCGCGAAGAACAATCTCCTCGGTGATGGAAGGCGTTGTGAGGAGTTGAAGGGAAAGGTTAACGATAGAGTGGTCTGGTTCTCGGTCTGCAATGAGATATAGCTGCGCCAGAGCCGTATACAATGCAGACAGTCGTAGACCCATGATACGCTTGAATTGAGGCACATTGACCACGGTGCTGATGTAGAGATCCCGCAGATCCGTGCGAGTTTTCTTCCACAACCGCAGGTCAAAGAGAACCAGCCAGTCAAGACGAGTGCGTTGCCAGAGATCTTCATAAGGCGCAACCTTCTCACCGACAGCCGGCATGGGAGGTCGTACTTGCCAGTGACCTTCAGTTCTTGCGGGAGGAGGCCTAATCACACCCGAAGGGGTCTTTGGAATAGAGACATAGCTGTCGGAAGCGGATGGCTGGCTCTCGGCCTCGTTGGAAGCAGCGGCTTCATCCTGCTGAGCAGGCTCCTCTGGGACGGGCTGCGGAGCTGGGCGAGGAGCCAGCTGTGCGCGAGTCAGCCCTGCCAGGATTTGTTCGGCCAAAGCAAGTTCTTCTTCATTGCCCATATCCATTTCCTCATCATCGTCTCCATCTGCTTCAGCTTGTAGGCGGGCGAGTTCCATATCCATATCATCGTCTTCATCGTCCGCATCATCGTGAGCTTCGACGTAGTCTTCATCTTCATCTTGCTCATTGCCATCATCTCCTTCTTCGTCCTCGTCTTCGTCGGTGGTCGCAAGCACTATCTGGCCATGAGGAGGGAGAGTGAGCATCACAGTGCGACCGGGGAGTTGGTTCTCCGTCCCCTGGTGGTCATCGATACCCTTCATACCGATATCTGCGTTGTAAGCGCCACTCCCCTTGCGCCATGGGGTGAGCAACTCTTCGCAAATAATCTGGCGGAAAATCTCGTTGTCATCCATAATACTACAGCCAGCAATATCTGCCAGCCATTCAACGATCGCACCGCACATTTGCTCCCGGAAAGTGTCGCGCGCAGACCGAACAGAGACTGTCACCTTGATCTCCTCAATGATCTTGGACACTGCCAGCAGCCGTTGCAGATCCTTCGAGTACTTGATCACACTACGACCAATGTCGTTGGTTTCATGAGCGCGGGCAACACCGAAGCTGTCTCGCTCGCGACAGGCACGGGTGACCTGATGAGCCACGTCTCGAATAGTATGCTTCTCGTCGTTCCAAAGCATCAGAGCGAACTCGGGTTCTTCTTCCTCCTCGTCACCCGCGCCATACCAGCCTGGGCGCAATCGAGAAGCCTCTTCGTCTTGCTTGATACCTTCCATAGTCTTCGCCAGACGCAGATTCTCGGGCGAGCAAGAGATGACATCACAGAAGTAGTCCAGGACACGGGAGATAGTCAATCGAATTGTAGCCACCAACTCTTGAGGCAGCTCTCGCTCTGCCCGCTCTTTGCCCTTTACATTTCCACTATCGGTATGTATCGCGCAGAAAAGCGGCAGCCGCCAGGCTTCATCGTCACCGCAGTCACAGCAGCCACAGTTACCCGACGAGAGCGAAATCTGATACTGATGGCCCGTATGATCTGATGAGTCGAAGCATCGGCTGCACAGCACGCAAGTATCATCAGCAGCACAAGTTACGCAGCGATAAGTCGCCTCTCCCGCTCGGAAAATGTGACCGCATCTCTTGCCTCGCGCCGCCTCGCTATACTCGGCTCCTTCACGAGCACCTTGAGCTTCGGCCAGTTTCCATGAGCCCTTCGGTGTGCCATCCGGGAATAGATGAGCTACGAGCTCGTCGTTGTGCCCCACGAGCGACCGGAAGAGAAGCTCTAGCAGGTCCCGTTCCGCCTTCGGGCCATAGCGATAGTTGTGCTGGGAAGGCAATCGTAGAAGACCATCACCGAGGATTCTCTCACATTCTGCGAGCATGTGCATGGCTTGGGTGTCGGACGGAGGTAGAGGGCAGGGTGCCGCTCGGCTGTCACTGGCGTGTGAGGAACGGAGGGCCCGTTGGCGCGTATGAAACGGCGTTCGAGGTAGTCCGAATCACGAGGAACGAGCGTACCGAAGCCGTGAGGGATATGTAGTCGGGGAAGAAATTTCGGCGATGCCAGGGAGCTTTACTTTTCCTTGCCGAGTTGTGGCTGGTGGGTGGTTTGTCTTTGGTTTCTCGATCACAGCAGATCGTAGTGGGGGGAAGGGAAGACAGGCGAGGTGTGGACCGATGAGGTCGACAACGGGCAGGCCAGCACGTTTGCGGTATTAATTTGAGAGCTAATAGAGACTGATCGTGTCTCAGAGTTCTACAAGAAATAAGAAAGAACAGAAAGATACCATTCAAGAAGGGAGAATGAGATTACCGGAGTTGACCCTCGAAGTATTTTCTGCGATGACATCGACGGAGCGGTCTCGCTCCAAACGCCACAGCGATCCAGGCTCCGAGGCATCATCAGTCATCAACTGCATTTACTATCAACACATCCACACCATCGGAGAAAAAAATTAAATGATCGTGTCAAATACAGAATTCCAAATTCTATCACATACAAGCCCACAGCTAGAATGAGTACAATAACAGGGTGATAGCGAGTTCCGCCATGCGCTTTTCCACTACCAAAAGGCCCCCTTTATCACGGTAGATTTATACCGTCGCAATCAAGAGCTCTGAGACTCCTTTACTCGTCATCCTCATCCTCCTTAACCAGGTAGCGGGGCTTGATGTCCTTCCATTGACGCTGTATATGAAGAACCGTTAGCAAAGAAGTCCGATGCGGACCGCGGCCCAATTGACGGTCGCGGCGGCTGGGGAGAAAGTCGGGTGAAAGGGTATTGAGTCGGGAGAACATACGCCGGCGTTCCAGGTATCCCAGATCTTGTTGGAGGCGGTGTCGAAGGAGCTATATCGCAATCATTGGATTAGACCGGTGGTATGAGATGAAGGGGAGATTCGAATTGTAACGCACAGCTCGAAAGCGAAGGCACCGGCGAAGATGGTGGTCAGGAAGACAGCATTCCGGCGGATGATGCTCCTAGATAGGTCGGAAAGTTCCACGGTTAGAGTCTGGGCGAGCAATTGCGACCTTCAGGTCGGGGGTGGGAAGACATGCTGGTAGATAGCGTTGGAGATCTGTGAATGCGACCAGGGTCAGTCAGGAACCACTCAATTTGAAATGTATAGCTTTGAGAGCCACATCAGGGGAGGAAGAACGTACGCCGGCCATTGTGACGGAGGTGCTGGGGTTGACACGACGGGGGGATTGAGTCGAGGACGAGAGTTAAAGACGAGGGAAGTGGAAGTTGGAAGTTCGCGAGGACGAAAAGCACGGGAATTCCCGGCCCGCTGATTGGCCCGCCCTCCTCCGGCGGTTTCCCCATTTGCTGTGAATCACCACAAACTATTTTACTGCAATTACACACTGCACGACTCCCTGGATTTCGATTTGACTTGGGTCTCTTTGCGGCCTCGTGCCTGATTGGGTCGCAAATCTCCTCTCCTTAGAGAATTATTAATTATACCCAACTCTCCTTCACCTCATCCCTCCGACAATCATTCACCATGTCTTCCAACGTTTCCTCCGCCGGCATTACCACCGACGCCACGACCGGCGAGCGCTACATCCCTTCTTCAGTGCGAGCAGATGGCTCCAAACGTCGGGAAATCCGCGTCCGACCCGGCTATAAACCCCCAGAAGATGTCGAGCTCTACAGGAACCGCGCAGCCGCAGCGTGGAAAAACCGTGGAAAAGGTGGGGTGCCGGGTGCGGAAACCATGAGCAGTGAAGACGACAAGGCTGCACAGGCCGCCAGCACGGCCGCTAGCAACAAAAACGCCAAGCGCAGGGAAGCCAGACGCAAGGCGAAGGAGACCGATGGCTCTGAAGCTACCACCGAGAAGAAGGGAGCCGACTCGGATAATTGGCGCGTGCCAGCTGCCAAGAAAGAAGAGGCGCCCGCACAAGACCCCGTTGATATCGAAGCCGAGAAAGAGAAGAAAGCTCGCAATCTCAAGAAGAAGCTTCGCCAGGCTCGAGACCTGCGTGACAAGAAGAATGAGGGTGAACTCCTTCTGCCCGAGCAGCTAGAGAAGCTCATCAAGATCCCTGAGCTGATCCGTCAACTCGACGCACTCGGGTTTGACTCCAACGGCGACAAGAAGGAGAATGCTTGCCCAGGAAAGGCCTGATCTCATGGCTACCTGCGCTTTTCGTCACCCCCTCTCTCGATCAACGGCCATTGCACTCTGCAAAACTACTTCCATGAACCCCTGGCAGGCTGTCGGTGTCATCTCATATATATCAGATCATCAATATTGAGAACCACGTCTCCCAGCCCTACCAAGACATATATGTTTTGTTCGGCAATCTGCTTTGAGCAGTCTGTCATGGGTTGTGTCGTCACCGTTTCAACCACACCCCAGAGGCAATACCTCCATGCGAATCCCGCCCAAAGGCAGGCAATCGCCATTTGAATCAGTATCTTCCTGCCGTCATAAACAGGAGAACAAGGAAATCGTTGATTTTATGGAGGCTTTCGCTGTATGTTCCTCGGCAATTGCGCCTTTGGGGCAGTGAGGTTCAGGATCTGGTATATGCCAGCCATCTCTGGTGTTATCCATCTAGCATCTAGATTCAATGCGACTATGGTACAATGATTTGTTCTAATGTACAATGCAACCCCACCGAACAAATTTTTAACCCCGCTAGAAAGCATGACAATGACATCAAGAGAAACCCAAAAAAGAGCGAAGAGGGAGAACCTGGAAAATGGAGTAAGGGGTATAACCTGAAGTATTAAGCTTTCGACTCAAAAAGTCGCACCGGCGCAGTAGTAATACCACCTCTCAAATCCCAATTCCGGAAATCAAACTCCTTCCACGGACACCAAAGTCCAGGGCCAGCGCGTAGCGCATGTCGCCCAACGCCATAAGTAGCCGCAAGAATACCCTGTCTCACACAATCACCCACGCCCACGCCATTAAACGAGTTCCCAGCCAAAACTAGCCGGCCATAGTAATCATTCTTGGCCGCATGGGACAACTGGTACATACTGTTCAGGTGGCCCGGTTTATACTGCGGGATGGCGTTTTCCTGCAACCGGGTCCGCACGACTGTCGGGGCGTCAGTGATGCCGATGTGTCTTTTGAGCATGCTCCGCGCCATGCGCACGGCAGTCTTGTGGTCTGGATAATCTTCCTTCTTCCATCCGTCCCAGTAGTGACCGCCGAACATGATTGTGATCTTGGTACCAGGGGCGGAATCTTGGGAGACGGTTGGATAGGGAGCGACGGGGCTTTCGCCAACGCTGGATGCTGAGGCGAAGATCACTCCTAGACCACACTCGGGATTTTGTTCGTAGGGAACGGAGCGGGGGATCAAGTAGCCGAAGCCCTCCACTGGGAGGAGATTGGGGTTTTGGTAGTATAGGTTGACTACCATCACGGTTGTCGCGCCGCAGTGCAGTTGTAGTCTTTTAAGAGTTTCCGTGACGGGTTTAGAGCGGCTCTGCACTTGCAGGTCATATGCCAGTCTTCCCCGCTCGGGGTCCCGAACTTCGGATATTTTGAAGCGAGCCTTGGGGTCCAGAATGTTGGATAGCGCAGGCGCAGAGACTGCAGAGATTACATGATCGTGGGATTGGACGCCATTTGTCCCGGTATAGATCTGAAGGGGGTCAGCGAGATGCTCAGATGTAGTAACAGCCAGGCGAGTGTGGAAATTTACCTTTATCGGATGGCCAGGGTTATCTGGCGGATCCATGGAGGTGATATTTGAGTTGAGTACCATGTTAACCTTTTTAGATGCCCTCAACGAGTCAATCAGGCCCTCAACAAGCTGCTGAGTTCCACGCTTAAAGGTAAAAGTGCTAGCCTTTTTAATCACCCTGAAGATGTCTTCGGTGCGATTCACAGATTCAGGCGTTTTGGTAATTGCATTCACGGCCAAAAAGTCATCCATCGATCTCGTCTTCTTCCCCAATAACGAGTTCATCACTAGGTTGTACAAGACGCCACCATCTTCCAGGTTGCGTATGCCGCCTAGAATCATCTGCGCGCTCATTTGATCAATGTCACCGGCATAGATGCCGTGCATCACTGCTGACACCAAATTATCCGCGACCTTATGGTTGAAGCGCCGAGTAATGAACTGGGCGATAGACTCGTCTTTATCCCATAGGTCTGGTGGGCGCGAGGGTTTGGTGCCCTCGAAGAGAATAGCGGGTACCAATCCTTCGAATAGGGGCTCATCCATAAGGGCCTTGGCCATGTTTTGAACATTCTGGATGAACGACAGACTGGGATCGGGCGAGGGTAGACGGACTAGGTGATCGGGATAGTAGATATATCGATTTAGCGCTGCGGGACTTCGCCTGGAGGTGGTGATGAGTTCGTCAAAGAGACCTAAATTGGAGACCTTAAAAAATAAAAGTCAGTATCTTCAATTGGTGTAGAAGGACAGGCCATCATCGCGTAATTACCAAGTACAGCAATGGCAACGATGCCGGCATTGCACTTCTCAGAGTGCGAGGCCCATACTCAAAGACCACTTCTCCGCCGTCGACTGGGATCGTTTCAGACTGCAGCCAGCCACCAAGACGAGACGACTTCTCATATAACGTGATTTTGGAGCATTGAGGGTCTTGAGCTAGCTGCCAGGCGGCCGTCAAGCCAGTGATACCGGCGCCTATCACGGCAGCTGTGTAACCGCGTTGTTGGCACCGGATCGCGGAAACTAGTGGCCTTTGCCTGGATCGGAGTCCATTGGAGGCACACAGTAGCCGCATCTCAATGGCAGTGTATTGAGGTCATTCAGCTGGTTGGGGAATGCGGAGAACTGGAGGGTCTCTGGATGGAAGTCCCCGCGGCCGAGGCCGACTTACTTAAGCTACGCGTGAACGCCATGGCATGAGCTGGGTATTTTATTTACATGTCATACGATTTAACAAGCAAATCAAAATTAGTGAGAGTCTTCTGGAAGTAGGTATCATGCGAAGCAAGAGTAATTATGCCTTCGCTTTCTTTCTTTCATGAGTATCGGGGAATATCTATGTACAGGCAAAAGGACCCCATCGTCTCGGTCCATCAAGCAAATCATCAAGTACGAACGCCCTCCCTAATCACCATTCATCACAGGTCAGATTGTGTACAACAGTGCTCCCGTACGGAGCAAACTCTTTCTTGCGCCCATTCAAAATTCAAATCATTTTATTTTCGACGCCCGTCAATTGAGACGTAGTCACGCGGTAAGCTCCTGGCTTTGCGAGGTATCGCCCGTCTCGGGCTTGACCAATTCCTCTGGTGCGTTTTCATCTTCGACGAATTTTCGTTCGCTAGTCGATCCGGCTGCTGTCCAAACCTTGTCGCCAAAGTTACCGCGCTGGCCCTCGGCATGCTTGTATGTACAGCGAGGGTTCATGCAGGGGTTGAACTTGCAAGCAATCTGGACATGGGTGAACTTGCAGCCTTCAGTCTTGCAGTCGGCGCCATTGCGGCACAGCGGCATATCGGGGTGCTTAAAGTGGCAGTGTGGGTTGGTGCAGTTGGGGAAGAATCTGCACATCTCTTCGGCTTGGTGAGCGGACTTGACGGCTGGAGACGGGTGGCGACCGGTGCATTTACGGTTCTTGCAAGCGGCGCCGTATGAGCAGACATCTGATACATCGATGGATGTACCCTCGGGCGCAACGGGAGATTGGTGAGCGAAGGGGCAGTCTTTACGAGTGCAGCGGAGGTTGAACCGGCAGATGTTGTTGGGGTTGCTCTCATCCTGCTCACCATCCATTCCAGTATCCATGTCGACATCGCCGTTGTCCGCGCGGTTGTTTCGTTGTTGGTGGCCTCCGCGTCCTTGGAAGCGTCCACCACGTCGGCCTTGGGGCTCGACGCGGTCGAAAAGTGAGCGGCCTTGTTGGCCACCATTCTGGAAGGCGGGGTTGACAGCGGGAGGAACGAAGCCAGGCATAAGTTGAGACATCATGCGTGCCTGCTCTTCCAGCATGGACATGATTTGCATCTGATTTTCGGGGCTCATCTGCATCATGCCACCACCCATATTGCCCTGCATTCCCATTCCACCCATGTGTCGACCTCCACGGCCACCTCGGTTACCCTTCATTTGGTTCTGACCGTGGCCTCCGATGCGTCCATTTCCTTGGTGACCGCGAACACGGTGAAGTGCGCTGTCACCTGGTCGGTCCAGGTTGCGGTTGATCTGGTTCAACATTCGTCCGCGACCACCCTGTCGGCCGTTACGCATAGCCTTGGGGCCAGTGGGGCTGTGAAAGAAGCGGGTCAGAAAACTAGACTGAAATAGACCATGGATAAAGCAAGAACTCACATAAAATCGCCGGAATCGCCCATCTCTGAATCCATTCCGTTTCCTTGAGGGGTAAAGTCTTGAGCGTTGGCGGATAGTACGTGCTCGGAAGCAGAGTTGTTCGCGGCAGGTACACCGTTGATTTGTTGATCAAGAATCTCGACTTGACCGAAGAGCCAATTTGAGAACTCAAGGGCCTGTGTGTCACCTTCCTCCAGTCCGAGGAAGTCGTTCGACAGCTCAGTTGCCAGTTGTTCCTGAGTCTTGCCGTTGACAAGCATCAGAACGATGTATTCGATGAGAGCCGACTCCTGCCCGTCATCGGTGCTCCAGCCGATTTCTACCAATTTCGGTCGAACGACATTGGCGACGGCAGTCGCAAGCTGGGAGTCTTGTGTGATTGTCGGAAGCATATTGAGGGAGGCTTGAGAGTGGCGAGAGGATTTAGTGATGGAATTTGAGGTCTGGAGAGTTAGCCGGTCTTTTTGCGCCACCGGGATTAAAGCGCGTTTCGGATCGGTTGGTCGTAAAAGGTCGGGTATCCAGTAGGAAGAAATATCAATGTTGAAGAGCTTTGAAATGGAATTTAGTTTGCGCTAGGTCTGATCAGGCAGCAGTTCAGAACCAGGCAGATGAAGTTGACGCGATAACGGAAGCTTGCCTTGCGGCGGTCGAAAATGCGACAAGATTAGTCATGTGACTCATTATTCTGCAAACATGTCAAACATAACACTTCCCGAAAAGGCTTAGCACGTGCTATCGACTAAATAATGATGGTAACAATAGAAGCGTTCTCCAGACTAAGGGGGATTGTATGTTTCTTTTCTTTGAAGTATTTGTATTAGAACACTAGATTAAGTAAATTGTCCCGATTGAGCTCTTTAGAAACCCCATTATCTTCAGAAGTATGTGAATATATATTACGACAAGTAGACTCGGAGACACCTGCATCTAAGATCCCCATCTTCAGCAAGAACAAAAAGCAACTATATTTAGGGCAGGTTGTCAGTAACAAGTGTGACATTTAAGTAAGCCCTATATATTAGATTTAGGAGCCCTAGAAGTCTCATAGACAACTGATCTTCATCTAAAGTGTTTCTAATTGGGTTGCTAGGAAATACTGGCCTACTTTGGCAAGTTTGGGATAATTTGCTCATATAATCACAATGCTAGATGTTCTTCTATTCAAAGATAAGTCAATAACGACTCCTCCTCCTCCTCCTCCAAAACACTCTTTTGAATCTCTGAATCAGTTATTCTCGCACAAGGGTCCATAGAGTGTAGGACCCTTGACTTCATCCCAGCCCTCAGATCCGACGCATCGCCAACACCAAAAGACATTGTCGGGGTCATACTTATTCTTGGCGACCTTCAAGCTGTCGTACTGATCTCCATACCATGCCTCCTTCCAGTCTGGGTCGTAAGGATCAGCTTCATTCAAGTAAGTTCCCATGCCAGGAGTGACATCTTTCATTGCCTTGAGCTTCTTATGAGTGGCGCGGCCCCAAACCTGTCTCAGCCCTTCCATTCCGCTTTCAGGAGGGGCAATTTCAACCTGCTCAGCAATCATATAGGTCTTGCGCCATGCGGGATGGACGGATGTATAAGGTTGAGACTTCAAGACTTCGCCGCCACCGATGAGGGCCAAGGTAAGAGAAATGCCCGGAGACTGGACCCCAGAATCAAGTTTACTAAACAAAGTGGTGAGCATGCTGGTCAGGTTCTTTTCCTGGTGTAACATGGACTTTTTGTCGAAAAATCGCGAGATCAGGATAATGCCCTTGGCAGCACCTTCATAATGACTTCCGCTAGCGTAGTAGTCTTGGAAGGTGTCGTGTTGGGCAAACTGCGATTTCACGGATAGTTGGGTCCCGTTATATTTGCTCAAAGCATTGGCAACCTCTGTGGTCATGACTTCTTTGGCATGCTCGATCTCAGAGGATGTGTTTTTCTCGAGCAAAACCCCAAAATTGTGCGTGTAGGCAAGCACATTTCCAATTTTGGTGAATCCTCCGATGCCGGCGAAGCCTTCGTCTGATAGAATAGGGAATTTAGAGACAATACCCGCAACTGTCTTGATGATACGACTCTGGTTTCCGGTCTTGGGGGTGATTTCTAACGTATGCTGAAGCACCGCACGCGTCGGGTGCGCCTTGATGGTGGCGGATACCACCACGCCGAACGTGCCACCACCACCGCCGCGGAGAGCAGTAAACAAGTCTTGGTATTGGCAAGCATTTGCAGTGACCAGTTCACCCGATGCAAGCATAACCTGGTATTCGAGAACCTGATCGGTGGCCAGACCAAAGGCATGACTGGCAGGGCCGTGACCGGCGCCCTGGATGTAGCCTCCAACAGCGCCCACAGACTAAACAGCAATGCTATCAGTGCAGTCCATATAACCCAAGGATTGGAGTTCTCACTTTGTCATCTCCGCCGACGGCAATGACCCCGTGTTTTGCAGCAAATGCATACACATCATTCCACACATATCCGCCGCCAACATTGATTGCGCTTCCCGCCCAATCTGACTTGCACGAGTTGTTGGATGAGGTATAAGTTTTTTGGAACTTGAGTTTCGGCTTAATGTTTCTCATCCAAATGGACAAACTGCCGTATCCTTGGGATCTATCGCTGCAATTAGTCTCTAGCCAACAAGCTTGCGTGTGATTCTCTTACCGTCCGCGAACGTCATGGCCCGTGTTCTTGATCACAAGTCGCACGTTGTTGTCCTTGGCGAATTTGATGCCCGCCACAATGTGATCAGGGTTGGTTGCGTTGATACTGTAGACTGGTGAATTTCCTAAATCGCACATTGGCTGTCCAGCTAGTGGCTTGGAAGAATTCAAAGGAGCACAAGTGTCGATGGCGGAATACTGATATCCAATCGGAGATTTCTCGAGCGTAAATGAATCCAGATATTCAGCACTGATCTCTTGACAGCGCTCCATGTCACCAGTATAGCATGGCTTCGCAAGGGGTTCGTTGGCTATAAGATGTCCCTGCACAGTGCTGTTGAGGGCCTTCCACTTCAAGGCTGACGGCCAGCAATCATCGCCTGGGGTCTTTATAATTTTCGATTATGTTAGTCCTCAACTTTAGATTTCATCAGACTGCGACCTACACATTTGCACTTGGCCAGGGCGGAAGGTGCCGCGAGAAGAAGTAAAAGACTGCAGTAATGCATCTTGCTATCTAGATGGTTTGATTTTCGACAATTGGTGCTGGGATCCAGGCAACTTATATATTTTTTGGATCATACTTGGTTTTTTGACCTCTCTAGTGAGTGGAGCTATCCTAGAGGCTGAATGATTATAGCCTCCAAGCTGGAGCCCAAATTGTGGACCTTGTGATTCAATCCACCATTTCTTTTGTCCCTGGATCCCTAAACCGACGGCACAAGCTCGCGGAAACCTAGTATTCTGGCTCCACTGATCGGCTCTACCATGCGATTGATATGCCCGGGTAATAGACAAGTGAGAAGGATGCTAGTTGTAACATGATCTCACTAGGCACCGTAAGCCGGCGTTTAGTCTCCGCAATGTCGATCGGAGGTTTATTTGGGCGCCCATATGTGGGTGGCGGTGTCATTGCAAAACGAAGCCACCATTCTTTTTACCTATAACGTCTAGCGCGAGGAGTTACATTGTTGTGGAAAGCAACGTGAAGCGTCAGGGCCGAGCTTGGAATTGGCCCCAAACCCGAAAAGGGAAATCATCAAGGCCAAGACTTTTATAGTGGAGAACCGAGATCGACACGCCCCCCCCACCCCCGAAAAGGGAATTCACAAAGGCCAAGACTTTTAGAGTAGAGAATGGGGATGAACAGCATCCCCTACTGTAGTCATGTCAGGGTTGGGTGAGGATTTTGAATTCTGGTAGGAGCCTGAAGGCGAGTGCCTTGTCAGTCATTTCCTGCTGAACGGCTAGTTTATTCAGCCTTGTCGGCTAAGGTTCGCATTTGAGTACTATTCAGATAGCCTTGGAAATCCGGACAGCAGCGGCCGATGGCAGTTTGTGCTTTCCTCTCGAAATACGTTGAACAAAGTGAGGGATTGTTATAGATTTTCGCTACAGATTAAATGGAATTTTGGACGAGTGGATAGTTGCACAAAATCTCCATATACAGTTATTACCTCCGTTTCTTCTGCGTTGAATACTACATTCGTCTGAAGACATAATATCTTGCGGTGGCGACTCGAGATTATCAAGTGCCAATTTCAGTAAAACTCCTTTGTTTTTTAGATGTTATAAAATATGTAACTAGTATATAACTTCTTGGCGTCTAGCGTTTTAATGTACTTCGTTTTAGAATTTAGTCTAACATGCTGCAGGAGGGGAACCGAAGACAATTATCTTGAAGCTGTCGATAGGACCACCAATGATGTTTGCGGGAAAGTCTGAATACGTAACGGGTAGCTCAATCACTTTTTAATCAAGCTCTCCCACTACGAGCGCTTGGAAATAGGCCCTTCTGCTGTTAGAAGCGAGGCCGTGTCCGATATATTGTAGGTCGCTGGCAGCCGATACTAGCTGCAAGTGTTGAAAGCGAAACGCCAGGTTATGCTACTTGAATGTCTGCTCAGTGACTGCCCAAGGACCAGAAGGGACCTTCTCGGTCCATTCTCCTCGAGGCGGCCTCCAAAGAAGCAAAATGCCGGGCGGCTTGCACTCATGCACTAACCGCAACCACTCATCACTCGGATTTTGCTTGTCAAAATCAACATGTAAACCCATCACTCGCCGATATCCATGTTTCTCATACAACCAACGTCCTATCGGACTACCTTCAATGAAACTCTCATAGCCCAGTGGATCAATTTTCTCATGACCCCATTCCATAAGAAGTCGCCCAACCCCACGTCGTCGATACTTGGGGTGTACGCCCATGGCATTGACACCAGCATGTGGACGCTGAAACCAAGATTGCCGTGGAAAAAATGCTTGAGAAAGCATACACTCCGCGTACTCGGCGCGCTCTGTTCCCTCAGGATACCAGGTGCACTTGATAGGTTGAGGCCCATTCGGGAATGGGTTTTCGTGAAAAATAAGCCATTCACAACCTCCCGCCACTTCGCCTGTTTCTTTATCGATAACGTATATCAGCTGCGAGTAGGGATTCTTTTCGCTTGCATTCCAGCGAATTTCGGTGTCGAGGGCTTTATCTCGGGCGCGATCTTCGGGTGTATGGCCACTAATTGGGTGGACAGCAGTGAAAACGGGGCTGGTAGTGAAGGAGTCAAATCGGTTAGAGACACAGAAGAAAAAAATCATACTGTGAAGTTATATGCAGGGATAGCCCTGGTTTGGGACGTACTTGTATGGATTGAAATTCGCGGCCCAGAGGACGTCGACCAGGCGGGCATACTCCTCTTTTGATGGAATAACTTTCACTTCGAACTGAGATTGAGCCATATTGCGGAGTGTTTTCAATTGAGGCGGGGGAAGACAGAGACGGGCTAGATAGAAAGACAAGGCTGGATTTATCAATTGATCGACGAGATAACCGGACTGGGGGCCAAAACTACGCCCGCCTGGGTTGGGGGCTTAAACTGAAACTCGGCGCCGCTCCCTCCCCGAGACGCAAGGCTGAGTGTTCGTCCATGATTATGCATTATTCCGTATTTAGCGGTGATGCTCGCTAAATTTTGCAGATAGGAGGAGGCAAAAAGAATCCTCGGATCTCCCTTGGGGTGGAATCATCAACAAGAATATCACCATCCAAGAGCAGGGTGTTTTTGTGGGTGGTTCACTATAGCCTCTAGATCGGTTCTGACTCATTTTTAATGTACTTCACGACGCCAATTTTGACAGGCATTATATCATCCACAATAAAGGCATACGTAAACAAATATTCATTTTTCCGTCGATTACCGAGAATTTGTACAAGGCATAGGGGCCGTTGATCCGATCGGGCTCATCTGATTAGATTAACAGCAGCATAGTGTAGGGTCAATGTAGCCAATGTTTGGTCTATCCTAAGGTTGAAGAAGTCATACTGGGTCCTTTCACGTATCATCTCTCCAATATTATACGCCAATAAAAGAGACGGGATTGAAGACTCGTCACTATAACTGAGACGCTTCATTAGAGCAGGTCGGGGACAACTTGAAAGAATTTGAACAATAGATCCGAGACATATACTACGAAAAAGCACTCCTACGGAAAGGCAAATGACTTAGTGCCCTACCCGCTTTGGCACTTCTGCTACGATTACTAACGAATACCACACGTGTATAGGGAAGACTACCGAGAATCTTCAGGCAGAATCCGAATAGTTGATGATTCCACATTTAGGGTCCAATCCAAAAGAACGCGAGCACCATTTCATATGTATAATCCAGACCTAGTGGCATCAAACATCTCCGCTAAATCCCAATCACCTATTCTATTTCAGACGATTTCCTTGGCAACTGACCTCGATTAACGGTAAGCACCGTTGTAAACATGCAAGGCTTATCAAAGCAATCATCCCATTCCGTTTTGCCCGAAGCCCAGAATCTTTCTAGAACGTCTTTTGCCGCAAGTGGGGAATATGTGCCGGAAGAAGCACTCAGGTCTGTCATGTTTTTTCGAACGAAAGCACGCAAAGCAGGACTACCATCCACTGCTTGCACACCAAGGACCATCAGGGGCCAGAAAGTATACCCGTGGGGCCTTTTCCTCAGTAATCTTTCGAGTAGTTCATGTAATATCTGCCTCTCCATGTCACAATTATCTCTTAGTAACGGGTCTGGCGGTAGGGCTCCGATACTTTGGAGAGAGGACATGCAGTATAAAGCAACTGCACTTTGGTGAATATCCACAATCAGTTTGCTTTCTTCTGTGACAAATTCATTTGACTCGGTCCATGCAGCCGGTGAAAAATTGTAGACACGGCGTAAGACTGCGTATGCATCTTTCCGCAAACCGTCTTTGTTTGTGTAATTTGGCTTCGAGACTAGGTTCCGGATTTGATTGATTTTGGCGATCTCAGCAAACAGTGGAGTGGGACACATTTGAAACCCATATCCAGTGCCTCCGTATTGTTTCACCAACTGATGTAGTTCATTGAGGTTTAATCCCTCGATGAGCATATCGGATGCAGGGGATGAGGTATCGGCAAGTACCACGACGCTGTTGAGCTGTGAGCACAAATACTCTTGGATTTTAGAAGTATTGGTCCACATACTGGATAAATGAAAGAATAATCGGTAGGACCCCAGGGGATATGACCAGGCGGGTCATGCCACCGCGCAGGATGATCAGCCTTCGGACCCCCTCAATATGATACCGCCAATCTTGCGAGAGACCGTGTTGAGCCTATCCAAAAGTCGCTGTTTAGTAAATCGATACACCGTAGTCATTCAAGGCAAGGAAAACTTACATCCGCCATCAGCAGTGTGAGAATTCCTGCAAGAACGGTATCCCCATTTCGCTTATTCGGTATACTGATATTGTCATTCAAAGAGCGAATCATGAGACCTCGGTAATGGTAGAAGGTTTTCTCTAGAGTCTTCGAATTTGGGTCATGGCTTGTCTGATTCATTCGGTGACTGAGTGTCAAGCAAATCAAGCCCAGTTGAAGATGAGTAGGCCGAGTGAGACCCTGCTGGAATACCGTAGGCGAGAGCTTGTATATGTTGGTATTGCTGCCAAAGCGTAAACATTCTGCCAGCTGCGGGTATACACAGGAATTGACTGTTGTAAAAGGTGAGTATTTGTGCAACCCGCGTAACTATCACGACATACAGTATTGTAAACCATCAACCAGTGCATGATAGTCCGTTCTTAGATGAGAACGGGGAAGAGCCACACTATGCTTGTCATCCGATGACCCCGAACACGTACTTGAACACTCCGGGCTTTCTTTTGACGCCGTTGTGCGAGATTCCTTCGAATCTACGTTCTCCGAACTGGCAATGGCTTTTTCCTGACTTTCTGACGGGGTCTTGCGCGTTCGAGACTTGACCTTTCCAGGCGGAAGCCACTTCACTCGCAACGGTGGATTCTCTCCATACCCAGGACAGTCGATTTCAGATGCTGCACATCGCTTACACCCAGGAACTTCGAAGTCACAGACTAAGCGACGCCGGCGGCACTCCCAACAATGCTGCTTTCGATCTTTTACCATATGGACGACTCGATATTTGACACAGACGAGTTTGTTTGAGGAACTTGTGAAATGATATCAGAGGTCCTATTTCAAGGCTTAAGTGGGCTGAGCTTTTGGCCCCCAAATGATCAGCGTGCAAGAACGGGCTGTCTGACCTGTGAGGTTGGCCATTCAGCTTGCCTTGGAGTTTCATAGGTCGCAAGTCTGACAAATTGTTGGTTAAACAAGTCCACCTGTAGGCCTAAGTAGAAGCGCGTAGTAAGTGCACTTACTGTCTCGACCCCTAGTTTTCAAGACAGAGAGAATGGTCATGCTGATACTCGGCTTAGATGATCGAAAGGAAGAGAATTCTAAGATTGAGCTATATTTATGATTACATGAACAATTTACGCGCTTTATAATTCGGACATCAGTTTCCAAGACCCGGGGTTACCTGATAATCCTGATTGCGCTGACAAAGAGGCTGCCCATTAGAAGTATCTCATTCTGTAGGGAAGGTGTCCGTAATCATTTGTCCCCTTTAGTCTCTACCCCAACATGTAAAGGGCTCATCAAGATCAATCAGATTGAGTGAAATTATAAATGAAGATGCATGATTTCCCATCAATATCCTGTTCCAAAATGGTAGGAAATGTACACAGCGTGGAATTATTGTCTTGCTAATATTGGATATCCTCATATTCCGCCCCTGCATCGCCGTTTCGTCCCAGGATGGCAAAGGCATGACTGAGAGCCCTCCCTTGCTGGTCAATTCCATATAAACCTTGCTCTGAACTGAATAATTTCTGGAAGAGACGCATGACTGCCCCTCGATCCTGTAAGTGTACATACTGGTCGACGGATGAAAGAACAGGGCTTCTCTGACCGAGAGCAGTGAATCGGCGTAGTACATCGCCGTCATCCTTGCCGTCCAAAAAGAAGACTTCGTCGGTGCTGTGATTTTCAGTCACTAGAGCCATTCCCTTTAGCGAGAACACCGTCGCAAGTGACCACATGGCCAGCCCACTGAAGTACACGCAAGCAGCCCGAGAAGCCACAACTGATCCTGGGGGCATGGATCTTGCAATACGTAGAACCTGACCGGCATGCCAGCTCGCCTTTCGCAGAATGGTTGGGCTTATATGTTGGATTAATGACTGGTAGATGGCAGACGATCGTTCTTCGCCATCCTTGCCCGAAAAGGTTTCGAGAACACCAAGCGGCAAATATAAGGAAAGTGAGACTGTTTGGTAAATAAGAGACAAGGCTGGTAGTGAATCTTTGAGGGGCTCGACTGCAAAGAATTGAAACTGTTCCAGAAGTTGGACCAGCTCTTGCTGCCATAAATTTGCGACCGCGGTGCTCCATTGACGGGCTGAGCCTCGAAGGATCCGGTTGCAGTCAGATATCATATTTGATATACCATAAATAGTTATCATAGCGGCTAGTTGGAAGTCAGCGTGGCGAGGGATGCTGCTAAAAGTTGTCATATTCTGCAAGATGGTGGACAGGGATACTGAAATAGATGGACTTTGAGGAATCTCTTCAATGTATATGGCTTTCCACTCAGCGGCGGTCTTTGCGTCCCAAAGTTTGCGCGAGAAGGGGAGAGGAAGATCAAATTCTATGTGAGATATGAGTGGAGTTGTAGATCGCAACGAAGATGTTTGGGCATCGTGAATGAACACGTAGTGAGCGAGCCTGTAATATTAATGAGCACATTGGTAATGCAATTTGTCGGAGGGGACCATATGCTGATCACCTTTTGAAGGATTCGTGGTCCACCCATGCACGCCATTTGCGGTTAACGGTTGGTTGATCATCAGTCGCAGAGGGAGCGACAATGGGATAAACTTCGTGTTTGAAGCGTGAGGCTCGCCGTAGCATCTGCTCTGTAATTAGGCCAACATCACTCACACTTGGAATTGAGATCCTTGATCTCACCGTCACAATAGGTTGGAAACAGCTCTCGGCAATTTCGACGCGCCGTTTGTCACCGCTCCAAAGCCCAATTTGTAGAGCGAGAGTGTACATCTGTTGTTGTTTCAACTCACGAGTGAGGGTGTTGTCATCCTCAAACTACTGAAAGTCAGAACTTCAACCTGTAAGTAATGATCGCCAAGGATTACCATGCTATTGACTTTGAGCCTAGCTACCTCTAGCATAGCATAGCCAAGTCTCTGAATTGCCTCCACATTAGAAAGGACTGCCCCTGCAGCGGCAAGCGCAATGATCATTTCAGGGCGTTCTTGATTCAGGTCCATAGTTGGCTCGTGAATCCAAGCGTCAGTTTCTGACCTGTGGCGGACAAAGAAGTTGCCAATCAGGCTACCTAAGAGTTTCGTGCTTGGAAAACACTGCATAATTCGATCGAGATTTTTCCATTGACAGATTTTGACAACTAGTGCGAACGCTGCATCCCGACTTTCAGTTGAAAGAGGGTATGTGAGGTTTTTTGAGTTCAGCACACCGTGTGACTGTGGATTATCGAGATGCTGGGGGAGGGATAAATACTGCTGGTCCATGTGCGCACTGTCTTCCTTGCAGGGAGTCCAATCCGATAATGGAGAATCTTGTAAATCAACCCTGCTAACCTGACCAGTAGATTCCATCTTAGGGGGCAGCTGCTCTGAGTAGTCCTGCGCTTGTCGAGCCGAAGCTGGTGTGTTCAGGGAGTATAGTAACTCCAAATCTTGGTCTGTAAGCCCGAAGTCAATACTCATACTGTCATATGAGTTCCACTGGCCAGGGCCCTGTATACCGATGAGATTAATTCGTGATCATCAAACACAAGATAGTGAGGTACGAACCATATGTGGAAATGCGTTAAACACATTGAATCCTTCCCATTCTTGACACAAGCTTTCAGTTTCGGGAAGTTTTGCACTCTCTCCTAAAGTGTAATCAGCTTAGCTTCTCGTCGTAGCATTCTATGGCCATTAAGCGTGGACAGTACCTTCAATAATGCATGCCAGTTCAGAATTCTCGGAAGGGATCCTAGCTTGGGCGCTGTCCAAGAGGTCTTTCCCAGTTTGTTTCGCAGATTGTAGCTCATGTTCCGTGGTGTTTACATGAAATTCTTGAGTCGCAAGAGTGTCCTCCCTTGGGGACCATTGGCAGATCTGATTTCGCCGCACGCATCTTCGACAGGGTTTATCATCGTCACATTTGAGCTTAGACGCCGCGCATCGCTTGCATGCTTGCGACGCACGCGCAACAATCCCTGAACAACCGCCAGATTCGTCACAATTTATTTCAGAGCTATGACTCTGAGTATGCCTTCGGAGAAGTTCACTGGTATTGTATCAGGATTTTTGAGTAGTGTGAAATATGTGTACTGATAGGAACTGACATTCTCATGAATCCCTTACCGCATTTTTCGCAAACAAACGGTTTATCTGTAGTGTCTGTGTTGAAGAGTTAGACAAATTGAAGGGTATTCACAGATCATGTAATGATTTTCGAAGCCACATACGAGATCTGACATGGCGTTTCAGATGATCAGCTCGGTCATATCCTTTCTTGCATACTCTGCATTGGAAAAGGGCTCGGGAAAGAGTTCGGAGCATTTCAGGCGTGCGAGACGCCATAGCCGATCGGCTGACGTTGTTCATGGCTAGTTACAAGGCAGTGGACTCTTTCGCCGTGAAATCCTGGTAATATTTCGACGTTATTTTATCAGTCAGCTGCGATTACTGAGTCACCCTGGAGAGACCAACCTACAATATACTGGAAACCCCTTTCAAGGCGTGCCAGTGGAATCCTATCTTGTTGGGTAGTATATCGGCTCTGCAGTTTCAGACTTGCCAGCTTGCCCTGTAAATAAGAAGGGTCTTCGGCCATCGTAGATTGAAGTTCGCGGGACTAGCCTTATTTATGTTGTCGTCGGAAGATGAGTCACGTGATCCAAGTTCTAGACCTCGGACCACGGGCAACCAATGATCAGACCGGATGCTGACACGCTAACCTTATTGGGTTGCTATATCCAGCCCAAGTAGATTCACCCTGGGTGATGCGGGTGGTGGACATGCCAATGTCTCCGCCGTTTTGGGGGTCAGAACCCTACCAATAAGGATGTGCACCAAAGAATCATAGCTATCTACGATTTTGTAATTATGGCAAAGAAAACGCTCTATACTTTATTCTCTTAGACGGAGACAAAACGCAACGCTTTCTTCCACTTTCCATGAACCGGCACTGCGTTCATTTTATGCGACATTGATGTCTGCGCATTCCTCTTCCATCGTGGACAGAGAAATAAAAGTATCCTTTCTTGCAAGTGGTGCTAGATAGTTTCATATCAATAACAGCCCACACTTTTTTTTATTCGCTGGCCTTAACACCAATACCATCAACCACTTCATCAAGCAGCCCCAAACCTTCGACCTGAATGGGCTGGCAAGGGATGAGTACATAGAGCATTCTGGCGCACCCATCATCAGGGGTAACGTTCTTCCAGGCATGGTTCGTAGCTCGCTGAATTGCAACATCACCCCTCTTCAAGATTCTCGTTTCTCCGCTCTCCAATGAAAGCTCCACCTCGCCTTCCAACACAACCCCATAGTCCAAAGATACAGTGCGGTGCATTGGACTCTCAGCGTGGGGGGCAAAATCGACAATCCGACACACGGTCCCGGTGGAAATAACTAGACCGGGAGGTGTAGACAGGTTGGCTTCATATTTCGCAAGGTCGGCGTCTGCGGACAGCTGGGCAGGGAATTCGCTAGTCGTATAAGCTAGGCCGAATGGTACCCCGTTAAAAAGTTGTTTTGGCAGGGCTTGTGGGAGTTGATTTGAGAATACCGCCTTGCCATTTGCGCCATGTGTGGTGATGTACCGGTTTTGCGGGGGAAGTTGGAGTTGATTGGTGCTCATTGTGAGTGTTCAGGGAGACGCGGGGGCTGTATCGAGCTCAATGGAGTATTGGTAGTTCGGAAGTGTAGACAACAGTAATTGTGAGCAAATTTAAATTGCTTTCTGAAACCAATTGTTCCTACAATACATACTGTATTGTGTGAGAACACATCTGATCGGGTCTTCGGCCCCAACCTGTCGGGGGCGCGGCTCCACCTTCTCATGTTGCTTATTGTTGGAGCACTAGTCCAAACCAGGTCATATTCAGCCTCCAGCCTTCAAACAAGGGTTCACGACAGACTTCATCTCTCATTCCCGAATTCTTCTTCGGGAGGAGATACCCCGGGTTCTTTGATATTGCCGATAGCGGCAATTTTACACAAATCCTTTGCGACCCGAGTGTCGCGCAACCGACACAGCTACGATCTCCCCGGACAACAATGTCCCGTCTTCCCATAGAATACTCTACGGTCCACTGGACCCCGACCTTCACAGAACTGAGAACTGGTCCCCCACGCGGTTTCTTTTTCCGGGATATCGGATGAATCTGGTCAAGACCGAGAAGAGCCTGAAGTTTTAAGACTGCCTGGTCGGACGTGCTTTCCGCTCTCCTCCTGTGTTTCACGACGATCCTCCTACGTTTCTGTCAGAGACCGCTAGAAGCGTACCAATTAAACCCACCCGACAAAGTACATACCCTCACTCATTAAACATGGGGCGTGGAAGCACTGCTGGCACGGCGGTCTTTCTAGCCATTGGAGGTCAGTTCGCTCACCGTAGAGGGAGATAGCGCAACTAACCTTTTCTAGGCTTCCTCTTTGGCTATGACAGCGGCATCATTTCCTCCACAATTGTCCAGCCCTATTTTGAGCAGTACATGGGCATCCCGAGTTCGTCCCAAACTGGTGGAATTGTATCCGCCTTCACCGGCGGTGCTATTCCGGGTGCACTTTCGGTCGCCTGGCTGCCCGATCGTTTGGGTCGCCGGAAGGCAGTTTTTATTGGAGCATGTATCTCGGTTCTTGGTTGCGCCCTCCAAGCTGGGGCAACGACCATTCCGATGATGATTGCCGGTCGGTTCATCGCCGGTGTTGCGGTTGGATTGCTCTCCGCGCTTGTTCCGATGTACTGCGTAAGTATGCCCTCAAATGTTGATTCACATCGATTCCCCGTTGACCTTTTGTGTAGTCTGAGATTGCCACCTCGCAGGATCGTGGAAAACTCGCGGGGTTGCTCCAGTGGATGTTGTCTTGGGGGTTTCTCGTAGCACAATGGCTTGGATACGGTTGCTTCAAGGTCAACAGTGACTTTCAATGTGAGTGCTCGGGCCTTATTGCGAAGGGTCAAAGCCAGAACGCTCACTGCCGACTCAACAGGGCGCTTCCCTCTCTCATTTCAAGTCGTTCCAGGACTCATCATGGCCTGTGGGATCTGGTTCCTTCAAGAAAGTCCTAGAGTTCGTAACTTCGTTCTGTTGCTTTCGCCATTATATTCACTGACTAATCTGGATCCTAGTGGCTCATCGAAAAAGACCAGCAGGAAGCCGCCAAAGCGGTCCTCCGTAAACTTCACGGCAACGGATCGAATGAAGAGTTCCTTGAGCTCGAGTATCGTGAGATTAGAGACACCATCGTAGCTGAGAAGACGCTCGCAGTTCAGACATGGCGTGCACTGATCGCAAAACCAAGCTGGCGTAAGCGGCTGGCTCTTGGGTGTGGAGTGCAGGCATTTGGCCAGCTATCTGGGATTAACGTATGGCTCTGCTGACCGGTCTATGCGTCCAATCGTGCTAATTTAAATACAGGTCATCAATTACTATGGCAATGTGATCTACGAAATCCTGGGAATCGGCACCGGCACATCCCTCATGATTGTCGGTATCTCCGGAGCGCTCTCCATCTGCTACTGTACGGCAGGACTCTACCTCTTGGATAGAGTTGGGCGAGTCAAGCCTCTCATCTTCTCCGCCACCGGCATGGCTTGCGCACTCGTGGTCAACGCCGTGCTTTCCCAGTACTATGTCATGAAATCGGGTGGGCAGACCTCGGATGGTAACGCTCTTCGCGCCATGGTCGCAATGAACCTAGTGTTCTCCTTCTTCTTCACCTTTACGGGCATCATCTCGTGGGTCTACCCGGCTGAGATCTTCCCCATGGAGATACGTGCCAAAGGAAACTCCATCTCAACTATTACAAACTGGGCTCTGAATCTTCTCTTTGCACAATGCGCACCTATCGCCTTGTCAAAAATGGGCTTCAAGTTCTTCTACTTTTTCTTTGCATTTAATGCCGTTGCAGCTGTCTGTTACGCGTTTCTGTTCCCTGAAACCAAGGACAAGAGTTTGGAGCAGATGGATGAGCTCTTTGGCGATCAGATTGTACCCCATGCCTTGGAGGACCCAGAGGGTGCAGCTGCTGCTATGAGAGAAAAGCTCCAGCATGTTATACATGCCGAGGACAGTGAGTCATAGGGTTGCGTGCTGCGGGATGTTGATTTCATACTGAGACCTCTCAATTTCGACAGCTTCGAGTGGTTTTCAGACATGAAATGAGCACCATCATATTTTCTACTCAATTACCTCTCAAACTTTGAACTGTTAGACAATTTCCCGGCCATCAAGAATGTGTTAATGTGAAATATGAGAACTATGTGCTCCGTTGGCCTAATAAGGGATTGAAGAGGTAACTATAATTCCGCCTTCCAGTTTTACTATCGTCTCTTCTGGATTCCTAATTCCCCCCCCCCCCCCCCCCTGAGAGACCCGGTTGAGACTCACTGTAGGTGGGGTAGCCCAAAGTTTTGTTATAAAAATACGTAAAATAATTTATTTCCTCTCATTCCCATGTGCATCGGACCTTACATGATAATAAATTGGATTCTACCAGAAGCAATCTACCGTCACTTAATCGTAAGTCCTGACGAAATATTCGGGTCTACCTATCTCGTGAGTATTTTCTGGTCGTTTTCGTGAACCTCTACGAAGTCTGCTTTCATAGACTTCAAAATGAGTTATTCCATCGTTTAGATCTATAGACCATCTATAGTGCAGTACTAACATATGAAGGAGTTTTTAAAAAAAAGCAGGATTTTCACGGTTGTCAGCGGACTCGGGCTTAATCAAGTGTCCAAACTCAAACTGCACTCTGAACGACACACAATCTTCCCTGTTCATTTCGCACACTCAATTTCAGCACACACCACAGTATTTCCCAAACGACAATGAACTAGCAGGTCACCGCGCTGGATGTGGATCCTGTGTAGCCCAGACTAATGAATGTTTCATAGCTCCAATAATCTGCCTGTGTACCCTCGCCGCTGACCGTGGCATTTCCCGTGAACTTTGCAGTCCAATAGGAGCTACCTCGCGTATATTTTTTCCACGCAGCAAGACCGGTCTGGAGTGCTTTTTGACGTGAAGAGAAGGTATTATCAATTTCAGCCTGAATTGACCACTCTCCAACGAATGTTGGGAATTTTCCATCTCCAGCAGAGGTCACGGCATCTTCACAAATGTAGTCCGTTATATTGGCAGAGCTTGCTAAGCGGCCTTCAAAGTAATAATTGTGCACGTCAAACACCAAGTTTGTTCCAGTACTGAAATTGGATGACCAGTAGGATTCACCTTTGAAGCTTCCCTGGAACATAACAGGAATTTGAGCATTCACGGCCTGAACTTTAGAAAGAACTTGGTGGATATAGCTTGCCAAGTATGTGGCCCCACTATCGGTAAGGCAATAGGGTGATCCAAAGAGTGAAAGGTCTTGGACGTCGACAGGCTCATTGATTGGCTCGAGTGTGAATGATTGAGGAGAGTTTGAGGATTGAATAAAATCAATAGCTGCATCGACAGCTTCCAAGGAATATTTAAGAGCAGTTGCATTGTTGAACCAGCCATAGTGTCCGTAAGCTTCGCCAAATGGGAAGCCATTCACACCACCAGGGAGAGAGTGAATATCTATAATGATGTGCATACCATACTTGTTGATGGCGTAATTTGCGATGCTGGAAAGGAAGGATAACTGATTCCCATGGTACAGCTGGGATCCCGGGACGCTGACCCATGCGGCATATGTAGTCGGAATGCGAAGAACGTTGATACCAGCTGCACCTAGCGCGTCGATATCGGCAGTAGTAATCCATGTGGCATACCGGCGTTCAAGGACTGGTCCACATTGGCTACCAAGGTGGGCGCAAAGTCCCCATTCATCCACAGCGCCACCAGAGTATTGTGACCACCACATAGTATCAATGGTTGATTCCTGCTCCAGCCAGCCGCCGAGATTGACACCCACGGCATTGAAGGTTTTCCAATCCAGGTATTGGGTCGATGTGGCCCTGCAAGCTGTGGCAAGGTATACCAACAGCTGGTATAAAATAAATTTATTGATCAATGTCATTTTGGAGAATTGATCGAATAATTTTGCTGGATTGTTTTTGAAGGACTGATTTTTGTTCTGAGATAAAAAGAGAATACTACATTGGCGACTTTGTGCTCTTATTTATAGCACCGAACCAGCTTCCATCCATAATTGCAATGCCCCTATTTGAAGCGGAAATCTATTCAAGTTTTCCTCTTGATCGGCATATAGTGGAGTGAATCATGTCCAACATGGATCTTCTGAAACTCACAACAGTTACCTTTGTTGCCGTAAACAGAAGTTTCTGGGTTTTCTCAAAGATTATCCAGTAAACAGTACTCGGCTGGGTCCACATTCCGTACGAATATTCTGTCAGTGCATTCTTTCACATACACGGTCAGATCCGTATCCATATCCGCAAAGCAGACTCTAGGTATTTTTTCGGGTTCACTATACACTTGAGCTTATGGAGGCTCTTGCTCCGAGCAAGCAAATCCCGGGGCCCCGTTGCGGGGTATGAGGCAGGAGGTTAGGTGCCAACCAATGCAGAGTCAGTATGAATGACCTGGAGGCCTCGAGGAAATTAAGCTCTCGGCATGGATTCAACCGAGATATCTTGAAGCGGCTGAGACTCGCTAAGATGGTGTCAGCCGCCCCGTGGTGCGCCCGAGGTGCTGGGCCGAAGGGTCTGTCGGTATCTCTCCACATCCCGGATCTATGGGTCTCCCCGCACTCACTTAGGCAAATGCCAAATTCCCCACCCTTTTCGAGCCAATGTGCTTTTATGGAGTCGAGAACATAACTGCGGGGGAATAGTTTGCAGTCAATATACATGGAAGATAAAAAAGGATAGTGCCACCGCTGTCTCTGAGAGTCCATCTAAATATATTAGCATAAAATTTGCCCAATACAAAAAACGGCCAGAATGGAGAGGGAACTACACGAGACATCCTATTTTCAAAACTCAATCATGTCTAGCTTCAAGCATGCATTTATCTTGTCGCCAGATCAGGTTCGAGCAGCTACTCCTCCAGGCACAATTTCCATATCAGGTGAGACATTCATGAATAACAAATTATACTCACAAAAAGTTCTTTGTAGGGTTACTGCTCGGAATACTAATTTTTGCAATGACCAGCATATGCCTTGCATGAGCCTGAGCGTAGGGAATTAGCTCGAGATCGTGAATTGGTGCTCATGCCTCAACCTAGCTCAAGCCCGGCGGATCCACTTAACTGGACAACCTGGCGCAAAATTGCTACTTTGACCTGTATGTCGCTATATGCGGCTATTGGCAACTTCACTTCCGCGTCTATCGCGAGCGCGTTCCCCCCTTTATGCCACTCCGGTGGCTTTTAATCCTCCTGTATCAATGGGAGATTTGACCCATCTGGTTGCTGTACGTGCTTCAGTGGAGAATCAAAAGAAGGAAAGCTACTAATGCCGAGAAAGGTCAATGTGCTTATGATGGGTGGCGCTAACCTCTGGTGGGTACCTCTAGCTAATATCTTTGGCCGAAGACCTATTATATTAGGGAATATTTTACTGCTAGTACTCAGCTGCATGTGGGCTGGGCTTGCGAAGAGTTTTGGAAGCCTGCTGGCTGCCCGTATCTTCATGGGTATAGCAGTGGCACCAGCGGACACAGGTAAGGAGCTGTCTTTGGTTCTCGTGAAATTCAGAAGGCTGCTAATCGATACGGTGCATTTCCAGTTGCTCCGAATGTGATCGGAGAAATATTTTTCACCCACCAGCGTGGTCGAGCCATGGTAAGTCGAACTTGCCATGTCTTGGAGTTCACAACATAATCATGATTTTGAAGGGATGCTACACGGTTTGCATCTGCTTAGGACCGATTATCGGGGGTATGTCTGGCGGATATATTGCTGGTACGAAGGGACTCGCGTGGATACATTGGGTAAATGTGATCTTGGCTGCCATCTTACTGGTTGCCTGTGCTACGCTTGTACCTGAAACCTTGTTCCAAAGATTTCAGACGACACCTTCCAGCCAAAACGAAGACTTGATTAAGAGTGAAGGAGAGCTGGACGATGAGACTGTCGAGAATGTTGCCTCGACCTCAATCAACGACAATCTAAATCAGCAGACTATTTACGGCTCTATGCTAAAGTTGCGTAAGTACGAAGGGAACTTTGTTCAGAAGTTTCTGGCTCCGTGGAAAACACTTCGTCTTCCTGGTGTCTGGATGGTCATGTTCTGGTACGCCGGTCTCGTTGGCGGCGTTGTGACTATCACCACTGTTGGGCCGTCTTTAATAGCAGCACCGCCATATCTTTGGGGGAACAATTCCGGCCTAATCATGACTGGCGGAATAATTGGTGCCATTCTCGGATTCGTTGCAACAAATTTGAGTGCCGACCGTGTTATTGTGACTGGAAGCAAATTGCAGGGAAATTCATTCGTCGAACCGGAAGATCGCTTGCCGATAGCAATCCCAGGCTTATTTCTCGCAACTACAGGACTTTGGACATTTGGCTTCTGTGCGCAGAACCTTGGCCCAGAGCATATGTGGATAGGGATGCAATTTGGGATTGGTATGCTTTGCTTTGGCTTGATGCAAGCACCTTCAATTGGATTCAATTATGTAAGTGCCTTAAACCATGAGTGATAGATCTAACGCTAATTTCTTATTTTTTTTCTCTCATCTGGCAGCTTATTGATTCTTACGGTCCACTTGCAGCCGATTGCTTTGTGGCAGTGACTTGCATGAGGGCTATTATCAGCTTTTCATGGACCTTTTTTGCGGGTGAATGGGTCACCAGCGCCGGTCCAGCTATTCCGTTTGGAGTTTTTGGAGCTCTAATGGGAATATTCTCCTTATTTTCTATTCCAATTTTGATTTGGGGGAAGAGAATCAGGATCGCTACCGCTAATTGGGTTCATGGCTTTGCTTGATTGAAATCATGCTCGCTATCACGACCTAAAGAGGGATTGGATCTGGAAGGGCTGTTTATCTATCGTTTTTTCCTGATTTGATTAGACTACCTTGATATCTTTATCGCGGTCTAACACTCGGTATAACTATCTTCCGTTTAATAAACTTACCACCGAATCTAGTATCTATATTGATCTTTATAAGAGTAGTGAAATCGATCTTTCTATAATCTTTTTTACTTTTACTTATTCAACTAACTATCGATCAGATTATTCATGTGTAAACTGCTTTATTAGCAAGAGTGATCCTTTCGTTTCTTCTATATGAGATATTCTTGCTCTACCAGCTATACCAATCACGCGAAAGGTAGTTCAGCTATCGGCATTACCCTCTAATAAAGGTTGAATTAACCCATCATTACTTGTCTTATTATTGTATAATAAGACAGGTGTAGTACTTAATTAACGGATAGTGGCTTCGATTCTTGTTTGATGCGTCCTGGCGCTCTGAAAACTGATCGTTCTTCACCTGTCCAAAGTTCCATTCTGTTCATCGATTAAGGAAATTGTCCAAAGTAACTGCGACCAAACGGTTCTAAAGTTCGTCCCATGTGGAGGCCCATATGAATCGCACAGCAAGAACCGCGGCAACTCTATCCGTTACATCATGAATAAAACACTCCGAATAATCTAACTGAATGTGAGGAAACAGGGAGCGGTACAGGATAGCTTCATGAACGACGAAGAAACCCAGGGGTCAGTGGCACTAGCGATTCAAGAACCCCAAGCGAGGAGAATTCAAGGCCGACTTTTGACAACCCCGATGGGGCATCACAAATGGACGAAACTGGTCCCCTTCACCTGAAAGGAAGGCCGATGGGCAATCCGAAGTATGCTTTGGATCAATAACGTTGAATCATAGCATCCTCCGACCGGGGAACGATCTAGGCAGGGCCTATGTAATCATTATTATACTATGGATTTAGTACAGAGTAGACTTTAGGTCGCTGTTGATACAAGTGGGGCATCGCTGCCTAAATAGGCTTAATAAAGTACAATTCGAGAACTCTGTTGCGCGAACACGGAATACCTCACAGCAAAAGCGGCGTCGGGGTAAAGCACTAGGACAAGGAAGAGTGCTCAAATTTGCTAGACATAATCCGACCTATATGTACGTAGGAAACTCACCCTCGCTCCTATCTTTCAGCTAATACCAGGCTAGCGACATTGAGCACAGTGCTGCAACTCTCGCTTCATGTCTTTCTCGGATTCGCCTACGGAGATTTACCTCATAGTTGCGGAGTTCCTACGCCGCAGAAGGGACGTCAGCTCGTTATGCCGAACCAACAGTCGACTTTACAATACTCTAAATCAACATCTATATCGATTGGATTCGCAATGGGACGGCCGGGCACTACTTTGGGCTGCCAGTTTTGGAAATACAGCTACGACCCAATTATCCATCCAAACCGGAGTACGCGGCGGAAAGAGGGTATTGTTACTACCGAATTCCGTTTGGGTTTGCTGTGCGGAAGGGGCATGAAGCAGTGGCAAAGCTGTTGCATGAGACTGGTAAAGTGGACATACATGGAGAGGGCTATGATGGTCAGACGTTGTTACATCTGGCCGCTGTTAGAGGGCATGATAAAGTGGTGGCGTTCTTGTTGGGAACTGGGCAGGTAGATGTCAACGCCAGAAACAAGCTTGGTTAGACTGCAATGCTCCTTGCCTTGCATGCTGGTCATCTGAAGGTGGTCAGATTATTACAGGCAGCTAGCTGTGCGAGGGGATAGAATCAAATTAGTATGAGCTTCCAGCGTGGCCTGTGAAAAAGCAGCAACAGGGATTTTCACGCCCAATATGCTCTGATTTATGGATGCGTTACCCAAGCTTGACCATAACACATTGCTCGGGATAAATGCTCCAAAGGCTTCATTATAACACTCGATCTGAACGGAGCAATTTTTCTTATTACCAGTATAGATGTTACATGAGGACGTCTGCGGATTATGAGATAAAGACTCTGATTTGTTGGAAGCCTCTTGGTCAGTGTATGTCAATTCATCGCAACCAGTCAAGAAAGCCTCGGCTGTCTTGTCCTGGCATTTGTTGCAAAACCCCACTGACTGGAATTCAGACCAAGTGCAATTTCCGGCTGGGCAAGTAGAATCAACTGTAAAGTCTGATGTACAAATTCTAGCGTTCCAGTAATTATTGAAAGAAACGGAATCCGCGTTGTAATCATGCCTGGCATATCCGACGCCCTTTGCTTTCGCTATTGTCCCATATTCAAGATTGCTTGGGGTTTGTCGAACTGGGTAGCTAAGAATCTGCTGCACGAATGGATCTTAAGCCATGACGAGGAAAATGACAGTAGCCCCTAACGAGGCCACTGACAATCCTCGGTGCTGGAAGAGGAGAGTCAAGGATCCCATCGGTCCTCTAGTGGCATCGTCGAAATACAGTATGTCTAAGACAGGGCGATCATGACGCTGGAACCAGACCCATTTCAATTGACCAATTGCCGCAGCGACGGCGAAAAGCAACGAAGATCGAGATGCTATGGCTAGCAAGGAAACGATAGTGTTGAGTGTTAGGCCATGAGACCGCGTATATATTAGAAGCTTAGCGATTAGCTTACCTAGAAAACGCAGTTAATTAGTTTCCTTCACTCTAATTCAATCTGGAATCCCATCAGACCATATCGAATACTAGGTCCTGACATAGAGATCAAAGCCATACTTCATGAATCATGGCACTAGGTAGGAAATATCCCATCAAAATGTGGACCCGAGAGCTAATAAGGCTATAGGGATGTGGAGGGTGAAATTAGAGGAAAAAAGGACCTGCCACGTAATCCTTGAGCCAGGAGACGCTACGTATCATTACTAGAGTATCCATCTTTGACATAGCTACACGGAAACAATATCATCTCCACATATAACACGCTCTATGAATCTCAAACAAATAAATAGAACACAACTAGATCAAATCAAATCCCCAACCATCAACCCTATTTCAACTCATTCCCAAGAAAAAAAAAACGAGACCACACACATCTACAAAATAGCATCTCCAGCACTTCAGAAACCAAACATACCAACCAAAATGACCACCCTTACTCTCCAAGATTTCCTAACCTACATCCACGCCTTCAACGCCCAAAACTACACCCTCCAACACACATTCTACCACCGCACCGTCTCCCTCACCCTCCCGGACCCAGATATCCCCCCTCTCAAAAGCTCCCCTGCAATCCAATCGCACTACGACACTATCCACGCACTAGCCCACGAAACAGTCGTGCCCATGATCGTCCTCATCGACGCCAACCGAGTCTTCTTCAGTATGGAGGCGTACTTCCAGTACCGGATTGACACGGACAATGCAGTACATGGGTATAGTGTGAAAGCAGGCGATGTGATTCGGGTTAAGGTCTGGGCTGTTTATGAGATTGTTGAGGGGAAGATGGGGGCCATTGTTTGCTGTGCGGTTGGTGATGAGTGTTTGGGGAAAGTGGAGATTGGGGATGTTGTTGCGGAGAGTTGGGGGAGGGCGGATGAGAGTGTTCGAAGTGTTTGGGAGAGGGAGTTTGGGGAAGGGATTTTTTGAAGATGGTTAAGCTTGAGATGCTAAGATGGATTTGATAGTAGTATTGGTATAGAATGATACCATCACGATAACTATAAGGAGAATATCCGCAGACATGAAACATTCTCAGTACAACCTATGTACATGAAAACTAGAGAGTGATGTGATAAAAACAAATTCAAATGCATCCATTGGGTATTAACTGCTGGACCTCTAACCACACTTTAAAAAAAAGACAGCCACAAAACAAAGCCCGAGACCTCCAAACCCAGGTCAATAGAAACACAAAAAAATGCAAGCAGAGACTCTGCATGCCAACAACCGAACCCCCCCAATTACGAAAAGAATAAACAAAAAAGCAACAAGTGCGAGGATATAAGTAGACCTGGCTCGGGAGGCTCGAAACAGGGAATCGGGGTCGGGGATGATGGTACTCGGGCAGACATGAAAATGGCAAATCGTTATTCGAGAACACTTCAGTTCCATCAGCGGTACTGTTCCCATGTCTAGCTGGTGTATGAGTGTGTATGCATATGCATATTTCGTATTGCGTACTGCAGAAACGGCAGACGGGATAGTGGGTAGGATGAAGAAGGTAACGGGTACCAAGTGAACAGGGAGAGGGGAAAAATAGACAGACATCACGGCATGCCAGTAAATACGGGAGTTGAAGTGGATTCGTCATAATGCGCCAGGACGGAGAAAGAGGAAAAATAAAACGAAACAGCCAAAAGACAAGCAACCCAGAAAACCCAGAAAACTTTGCTCTAGGCTATCAAGTAGGCTTGTCACATCCAATCCGTCCCAATAGAGCCTTGCGGTCACTCTGGTCAAAGGGTACTCGGCCACGGCCTCGGGCACGCACAGAAGCGGAACCATTTGACCGCCGGCGGTCCAGGCCAGGAGCGTTTTCGTTCACGGCGATGGGGGCAGTGGTAACGCCCTCCTTGGCGGCCAGCCGCACGGTGCCATTAGTAGCGGGGGTGTCATCGGTCTCAACCTCATCTTCCTCGTCACTGCGGGTATCCTCGGCAGCGCCACTGCAGACAACGCGGTATGCAACGCGGACGATCATGCTGAACCAGACAACCGAGAGAAGCTGGATGGATAGCAGGAAGGAAAGGAAAATCCACTTGATCGTGCGGTTCATGCAGATGGGGTTCTCCAGGCCGCGGAAGGGTCCGAACATGTATGCAAAGGCATCGGGGTAGCCGTTCGTGCTGATCATCTTCGCGGTGCTGCCCGAGTAGCAGCCGTAGGCCATTTGCTGTGGGACATTCTTGTAAATCGACCACCACAGCATGTTATACAGGACGTGGCGGGTGACGACCCAGGTGGCCATGAAGATACCGAAGGCGACATTGCAGGCGTTCTGGAACTTGAGGTACTTGAGAACCTTGGCTGACTATTGCGAGAATTAGTAAATGAAAATGCCTGCTTCAATGGGAGATTCGCAGATCAGACGTACGGGAAGCAGAACGTCGACAATATCCATCAGGCAAAGTACCACATTGGACACATTGTAGAAGCCGTAGATATAAGCCGAGCCGAGCAGCGTGCTGGTAATAACGTGGTGCGACAACATCTGATAGTGATCCTTGCGCTTCTCCTCCACATGAATGACGAAGATCTGCTGTAGCAAGAACGCCAATTCCACCAGAATATACCACTTCATGAGACCGCCGAGCGGGCGCGCCGGCCACTCCATCCAAATGGCGCCGAAATCGAACCAATAGTAGGAATTCTTCCAGAGGTACTGCAGACGAAACCAGAGAATTGTCAGCAATCCATCCAACGCATATACAACAAAATATCATCTTTCCAGAAAACATACCAGACCAACGGCCCAAATGAAGCCATAGTACAGAACCTGCCAACCCTGCTCAGCCAAGCGAAGCGCCGCCTTTCGCTTCAATCCCATAGAGCGGCCGATCGGCTGAATAACCCATTCAATGATAATGGCGCGAATCGCAGTGAGCGCTAGGGTCGCGCTAGCGACAAAGTACAGATCATCCCAGCCCTGGACATATGTGTTGGAGGCGGGGTCGTAATAGGAGAGTTCGAAGAAAGGCTGGGTATACGGGCGTAGAGACGGGTAGAGGTTATGAAGAGCCAGCAACATAGCCAAAATGGTCAAGGAGATACCTATACGGACGCAATGCCAAGGAGGGCCAGGAGTTAGCTAGGTCAGGAACTTTGGCAATACAATGCCGAGGCTGGGTACCTCAACACGCGCAGAAAGTGGAAATAGATCAACAAAGGAAAGAAAAAAAAAGAAATAGACAGCTCCGCGACGGCAGGCCCTTTCCTGTCATGCAGAGAGTCCTCCTTTTTCGTCTCGAGGGTCGCCATCAATCGCGACGGGGGGAATCTGGGGGGTGTTCAATGCATACCGATTTGGTTGGTGACCACCCACTCCCGGAACGTGGTCTCCTTGGTTGGCCGCGGGCCGCTGGGGCTGGACACATAGACATTGAGCTCCGAGGCCGGCGGAGGCGGCGCGATGGTCTCTTTGGCCATGGAGGAGAGCGAGACCGAAGGGTCGCAAAGAGGTGTAGGGGAGGTTGTGGAGGAGGAGAGCTTCTTTTTTGTGTGTCGGGGGAGATTGCGGCCGGGGAAAGGGAAAACGAGCGAGGGCTGGTTGGCGGGACTTAATTAAGCTGGAGCGGGATGGGTCTGGAAAGTCTGGAAGCCTTCATAGGCGGATCCGCCGCGCGGTCAAAGCGAGGAAAAAGGGATTTCTTGCAGGATGGAAGATGCAAGATACTTTTTTTTAGGAGGAGTTGAGATGGTGATGAGGTTTTGAGGTCAAGTGAGGAGGATTGCCAGAATCCGTAGCGAGTGGAGGGGAGAATAATTTGAGGGGAGAAAGAGAGAGGGGGAAACGGTGAGAGTCTCGTTTCAAGACCTCCTCAACACATGATGATCGACGCTCCACACCGCCTCGTCGAATCGCGGTGGCGGGAATTTTGATCGAGGGGGAGATTTAGGGCTTTCTAGAATAAGGGTTATGTGTTCTTTATAATCGGAGGGTTGTTGATTGTTGTGTATTGGTTTTTATGGATTGAGTTTAAGGATGGTTGGTATAGTTTGCTCCTGCCGAGTGGCACTAAACAAACACTAAAACAAGGAACCGAATATACTCGAGTTGAAGACAGATTTGTCAACTTTTTATAGTATTGTCGAGGACAACTCTAGCCAATCTACTTCATACTTCTAGCCATGCCCGGCAGATATGCACAAAAATAGTATCAAAATGTCCCACTATACTCCCCATAGTATGTACTGTTTATACTCCGTACTACTAATCCAAACCCTCCGTAACACCGCGCACAAACTCATTCGCATTCATTCCCAATTGCGCCAAATCAACTCCTCCCTGTCCAGCCATCGCTCTCGACATGGCCCGAGCCACTTCCTCCTCTTCCCAAATATTATTGACCACGTCCACCCGCTCCACACCCTCAATCTGCTCGGCTCCTCCGGAGCCTCGAGTGGGGTTCTCGACCGCCACCATCGCCTGCCAGTAGACATCATCGCGCGTCTTTAGCGCCTTATCCCGGACGACCGCATTGCGGGTCACACTCGCCGCATGGAGCTTGTTGTTAGCGCCCGTCAGCATGGTCAGCGCGGCGGACACCGCCTGGTCTAATTGATCCGCTTGCGAGGGGGGCTTGAAGAAGAAGCGGTTGGTGGAGGAGAGGTAGATGACGATTGCACAGACCGCGTCACACACGGTAAATGCCAGTGGCCGGAGGAGGGAAATTAGGTTGTAGAGGCCGATGGGGGGTACTTGGCCCGCCCGCACGGCGGGGGAAGCCGAAGTGATTGCATCGTACCGTACCACAATCCAGATGTCCAGTGCTGCCAGCGCCAGGCCGGCGAGTGTGAACTTGGTACGCCAGCGGGCGGCTTCGCGGCCTGCGAAGGGGGCAGACGTGGCCACACCTAGGATCAAGAGGTGTACCACGTGTGGTAGGAGGATGTGGAACGGGAGGTAGTAGAGTAGGTAGGTGTTGAGGTCCTCAAAGGAGCAGTATTGGCATGAGACCAAGGCATCTGCGCCGAAGGTCAGGTAAACCTTGCGGGCTCCGAGGGAGGTGAGTTTCTCGCGTAGCCGCACGTCAGCGTCCGTCAAGACGCTGTCAGGCCGGAGGCGCGATAGACGGTGAAAGACCACATCGATAGGAGTGTTGATTCGTGACCGGGTAAGGGAGAAGATATTGGGTTCAGGGGCGTGAGGGTTAAATGGGAGGCTGAGGACGAGGAAGAGGGCGATGCTGGCGAAGAAGAGGTTCAATGCGCGATTGGCGCCGGCCGGGATTGGGCGCGGAGGAGGTCGGCTTGCGATTGATACGCGGAGACTGCGATAGGCTGTGATCAAACGAGGGAGGAGGACGGGACCGAAGAAGATGAGAAGAGACTTGACGCTGTGAGGATTGTTAGATAGAGTGTATCGGAGAAGAATGCGGAGTAGTGATTCGGAGGTGCTGGACTGGGGAAAGTACTTACGTCCCCCAAGAGATCCCGATGCCAGCCATGTTCGAAGCCAGCAAGAAGAGGACCTCTATCTCATCGAAGGACTGTAGATGAGAGGATGAGGTGTGAGGCGAGAGTGATGGGAAGAAGTGACCAGGCCAGCTTGCACTTGGGGCCAAAAGCGGTCGACTTTGGGGCGGCAGAGAGCGCGTTGTATACTCCCCGCTTTGTTCTAAACAGTCTTTACTGTGCTGATGTCTCTCCACGCCATGACTAAATTATATCTGCTACATTAGCATCACTTGTTACTATTACTGTTACTCGTCTACGATCCTATACTACATTTCCCACACTATTCCAACTGACTAAACTCACAATCATGGGTCTCATTTATCATAATCAAAGCGCCGGCTAATCAATACAATGAAATTCGAATCCAAAGAAACGAAAGAATAAGCAAACCCAGATTAAAGAATCCAACACCCACTCATGCAAATCTCCAAGAACGCCATCCCCATGCCCAACTTTATCCCTCAAACCATATTCGATCCACCATTGTGATACATAGGATGACGCGCCGGGTCCGGCATAGCAATGCCCGCCGAATCACGCGAGTACCGAGAAGACGCGGCATCGTTAACTGGTGGTGCATTCAGGCTAGTGCCATTGTTGGTGGGATTCATCGGATTGGAGATCTTGATGGGGAATCTCCCAGTCAGACGCTTGGTGAAGCGTTTGGTGGCTGACTGCGGGGTGTAGCTTGGGAGCGAGTCGTCTTCACGCTTCATATTCAGACTGGCTTGAAAGGAGCGGTTACTGCTGGCCCGACTCACCACCTTTTGCGGGGCGACAGCCCCGTATTGCCGGACGTGGCGGGCGCTGAGGCCCTGCGTGTGATTGGTGAAGATGAGGGTCTATACACGATTAGTATATGTCTTTGTGGAGGGGAGAAGAATTGGGGATGTGACTTACAGCTAGGACGTTCACGAGGCTAACAACCATGGCGAGGATACCGGCTGAAATGATGATTCTCCAGAATGCCAGGCCGAGGTTGTCCTGGCTCATGGCCTTACTGTTCAGGTTGCCCAGTATGGAGACGCCGAGAATCATCATGATGCCTGCCAAAGCGTAGAAGCCGGCCTCTTCGCCGAACATGGGATACTGCCGATTGAAGAACCCCCGGAAGAAGGGGAGTTCGGAAATGATGAGGCCGACTGTCAGACTGTTGTTAGTAATTATTCAATGGTCTTGGTATGAGAGGAGAGGGGTGTATCGCTGGGTACTTACTGCTGATGAGGGCCATGACTGCATGGGTGACGGCTTGGAAAAAGAAGAACCCGTTGTACATGTTGATCTTGACCAACATGACTGCACAGGCGGCAATGATATCGAGGAAGACGATGATGTTGAGCGCGCGGATGGTGTTGAGTATCACGTACCCTGGACCAGCCAAGGACTCCTTGAGCTTCGACATCATGACTTTTTCGGATGCGAAGGATGCAACGCAGGGAGAGTAAGAGGTGTAAAGTCAAGAGATAACCCGCAAAATGGGTTAAGTAGTTTATGCTGAGGATGTTGATATGTCTGCGTTGCGTTGTTGGGCAAGACAAGACTGCCAGTTGGGCTGGAGGCAATTAAAAAGGGACGGGAAGGAAGTCACTGGCCAGCAGGAAACCGAGTCCCGGAAAGAAAGAAACAATAGACAATGCGAGATCAACTCGAGAAACGAAGAGAAAAGACGAGAAGAAAGAAAGAGCTTGCAGAAATAGACCGAGTAATAAGGAGAGTTGGGTGATTCATCTCGGTTCTATTCATTCATTCCGTCCCGCACGGTCTACAGGCGCCGAACAGTCTGCAACGAGACAATCAGCCTATGAATAGCCGAATCTGAAACAATGGAAGGTGACTGAAAGGGGAAGATACCAGAATTAGAAGCCTGACAAAGAAACAGGACAAAGGCAAGGTAAGATAGTTTGTTTGGGGTATTTTAAGGCAGCGAACTACAGCAACCAAACTACTAGAATAGTCAAGCCCAAGGAAAGATGAGGAGGCAAACATGATAGCAAAACGTCAGGTAGAGATCGTTTCAAAGCAATCTTTAGGAATTTCATTGGCAGGCATCCAAATGGGGCTGCTGGCTAAACCCATTTGGACCAGGGGGATCTCTGCCTGAGTCGAGTTTGAGATGGCTTCGATTCTGGGCTGTTCTTCAGGGTCTCCAAGGGATAGGCTGGGAGGCTTCGGTTGTCGAGATCATGAAACTAGTCTCAAAGTAGCCCCTTGGATAGGCGCTTAGTCGATTGGCCGAGCGTTGCACTCGGCAAGTATACAATCAAAGTATGAAATGCCGGCAAGTGGTAATCATTGATATCTCTATCTCGTCGGACAGTGGTAGCCCAAAACATCGTTAGTTGTGTCCCAGAATTCTCAGTCTAAATACCCTCATGAGATTTCGATCTATGCGAAAATACACAGTTCTCCAATGTTCGCTCCCATCGAAACCATGCGCTGATTTACGCGCCCAATCACGGCGGCACGCCAACCGCCCAGGAGTCATGCAGAAACTCCTCACAACTCCAAATAACGAGCATCAACAAGTCAAATCCACAATCTCAGATCCAACTAGTCTTCAATAAGCGGCTTTTCTTCGAGTCCACAAGATGAGGCTGAAATGGTTGACCAACAAATACAAGAAATGGCCAGAAACCCAAAGACTCGCCCTGATTCGCCGAAACCGCGCGGTTTTAACGCCGGGGAAAGCGCCCCGCCCCTCTCTTCTACTTTTTTCTTTCCACTTCCTAGTTATCTTAAACCAATCCGTGCGACTTTGCGCCTACCCACCTCTCTCTCGTTCGCGCTTTTCCTTTGTCAAATTACTATCCAGCTCTATTCTAAATTCCCACCATGACCCGTGGTAACCAGCGCGACACTGATCGGGCCAAGGCCCAGAAGAAGGCGGCCGCCTCGGTAAGTTGTACCGCGATCGCTCTTTACTGCGAATGCGACAGTCGCTGACAGGATCCTGTTTTCTATATAGAAAACTAAGAACAACATGTCTGGAACTCAGTTCCAAAAGGCCAAGGAGGATGCTGCTGCTATCATGCGCGAGAAGCAGAAGAAGGGTATGTGCCATCTACCTCGTCGTTCGTGCGCGGACTCAAACTGACTCGTTACCCTTCTTGCACAGCCGATGAAAAACGAGCCGCCGAAGCCGCAGGAGGGAAAAAGAAGTAATACACATCTTCCTCCCTTAATGTCCGATACCCTCGTCGCCCCTCTTCTCTCCCGTCCCGTCCCCGATTCGTCTCGTCAATCCTGTTGGACTCGGATACACTTGGCAAGGTGGCGGGGCTGAGGGCGAGGGCAAATTGCGCGATGGCCACTCTTTGGAGAGTGCCAGCGCAAATTGCAATGCCTACGAGGGTGATGACGCTCTATTTGGAAGGAAATAAGTACATAGATCATACCCACCGGCCTTTTAAAAATCCCCCCGCAATGTTTCTGTCGGGGGCCGGTGTCTAGCGAGGCGTTTTCAGTTGTCACTACGGCGTTTATTCTATATTTTCCTGCTTTGTGTTCTTGGTAAAACTATGTCCTAATGAAAAATCAACGAGTCCGTTCTTAGGATTCCTGGGTATGCCATACATCATTTATTGATGGTGGGAGGAGGGAGAACAAGAAGAGGGGAGAGGAAGTAATTTGCTATATAGTACTATCAAGTACTACTATGTATCATGGCTAAATCCATATACAGCCCAATAGCCTTTCGCCCTGGCCAGCTGTGCTCGCCATGGCTACTTCGTTGGAGAGATTTGGGATTCTGTGGTAGACGCAGGGTCTCGCCTCCCTTGATCGTGGATGAATACTTCATCCACCACCTCCTCGAGATCAAATTGGCGCACCGTCAGGTCAATAAATGTCCACAAACTCTCCCCTTCCCATCCCACGTCTCGCGCAAAACGAAGCACCCTACCAACAGCGTCAGCTCGGAGCTGTTGGTCCGGGACATGATTGAGCAAATAGATCCCAAAAGCCCAGCCGGAGATATCGCGTGGATTGGCAAGACACCAGTCTAGCACGGGATTGACCAGCGTCTTCGCTAATAAGCCTGCCCAGCTTGAAGCATCCTTGGGCTCGACAGGGATTCCTGCGAGGAGAGCGTGAAGCTGGCGCATATAGGTGAAAGCATAGTAGTTCTTTGGGTGGAGCTCTGCGGCGCGGAGGACGACGGCCAGCTCATGGCGCTCAAGGTCCAGCAGAGCTTCTGGGCTTTGCTCTTCGAGTTTGAGGAGCTGCTTCAGCACCCATAGTCGATGTGACCACAAGGTGGGTGACTTCGTATGTCGATGCAGCGGTGAGCATTGATAGCTCTGCAACAACGTAAGCTCCCTCCTCAAGACCCGAAGCAGCTGGGAGTGTCGATCTGGAGCACCCTGACACCGCGCAAGGGCGGCCATCAATCGGCGCTTACGCCAGTTACACGCTGTTAAATGCTCGCAGTCGAAGAGCAGCATGATCTCAGTGATAACAAGATCTGACACGATGTCAGTGCTTTGGTTCTCGTTCAGGAGATTGGCGAGCAGCTCATCATCCGTCATGGACATGAGCTTTTTAAAGAAGAGTTGTCGTGCGACCGTATAAGCTTGCACCAGAGTCTTCTTGGTGGTTCCGATGAAACACCCATCCTGGAGAAATGGGGAGCCTAGACTCGGCGGGATGATCTCGATCTCGAGGATATCATCACCTCGAGAAGCGAAGACGCTGGCGAGCTGTTGGAATGCATCTTCGGGGGTCGTCATGGATAATAAGGTATGAAATGGAAGTAGCGTAGATTAAATCCAAATCATGTATCCTAACGTAACTTCTTTGCCGTGTTATCCTTTCACGAAATATGCTTTTGTGGAGAGTATGTCCCATAGTGCAAAGGACTAAAGTGGAGGCGGAAAGCAGCAGCGAAACTCCGAATTCCAGCCAGATCGCCCTCCGCACGTCATTTTTCCCATCCCGAAACCTTCAACCTCCACAAACCTCGACGACAAGTGCTCTTTAGCTGCACCAGCACAGCTTTCAAATCGCGAATATATCCGGGAGTCACATTCCCACGACTTTGCCTTGACCTTCGCGCCAGACTCGGATACACCCCGGGCCTACCGGCCAACCACCCCCGCCATCATGCTATCCCTCGTGCTCACGATCTTGTTTGTGCACATTGCAATCTACCTAGTCAACACGATTGGCGCTTCTACAATTGACAGCCTGGTATGTTGCTCTCCGATCCAGCTCTAAGTCTAGATTTACACCCCTTGGACGAGCCATCACGTCGCAAGCACAATCTCCAAGCTGACACGCTTCACTCTCTATCTAGCTATGGCACCTCTATCTAAAAATGCCCACATCGACATCCCGGAATGCCCGCGAATCACAACGCATGAAGCGCGAAGTCGTCCAGCTCAAGCGCGAAATGAACAGTACCAGCTCGCAAGACGAGTTCGCAAAGTGGGCCAAGCTGCGCCGGAGACATGACAAAAGTCTGGAGGAATACGAGGCGATGAGTACGTATCCTGTGTCCTACAACCAACATCTCAGAACATAAATATCTCCAGCCAAGATGCGGACACTATAACCTACGATTGAACCTCCTTCTAACACCCCACCCCCTCCCCACAGACAAAACCATCTCCGCCCAAAAAACCTCTTTCGACTGGAGCGTCAAAAGCGCCCGATGGCTCAGTACAAACGGCCTCAAGATCTTCCTGCAATTCTGGTACTCCAAGACCCCCGTCTTCGCCCTGCCGGCTGGCTGGTTCCCGTACTACGTGGAGTGGGTATTGTCGTTCCCGCGCGCGCCACTGGGTTCCGTCAGCGTTCAGGTATGGAATAACGTGTGCGCGACGGCTGTTGCGTTCCTAGGGGAGATTATTGGGGCGTTGCTTGTGCAGCTTGTTAGCAAGAAGGAGGCTGTGCCGGTGGGTGTTGAGTCGAAGAAGGCTCAGTGATGAAATCAAAGGGAAATGATAATACAACCATGTCCGTTATATAATGGGTATGGACGTTGTGATATGAATGTTCTATGAGGGGCTGGGTGTCTTGTATTATAAAATGGGGCGTCGAGTTCCGGGTATAATGAGTATCGCATAGCCATTGCATTGATTTCCATTCAAGTCTGAGGTGCATTCCATTGTTCTAACTAAGTCATTATTCATGTTTATGACGGGCTCATCTTGACGAGAAAGAGCAACCCAAGGAGTGGGTGCGTAGCCGAAGACAAAAGTACAAACCAGCTATATTATTGAAAGCTAAGGGTCTCGCTGTTGACTCGGAATTATGCCTGCCCTGAATTGCCACACCGCATCATGGGAACTTGTTCCATGTCGTTAAGATAGGCAGATGTGTAGTCACCCAATGGACTTCAAATCCTTAGACAGCAGGGCATAGGATGCAGCGTACCTAGAGATCCTTTATAAGGATACAGTCTTCAGCGCGCCAAGGCAGATTGTACAAAACTACCAGGCTACACATTTAAAGACGTTTTGAATACACGAGGTCGAGGGACAGGAAAAAGAGTTTACAGAGAAGCAAGCAACAAGTACGTGGTTTGATCAGTGTCGGCCATTACTTTCATATTGGTCAAGGCTAATCCCCCAATGGCTATGGATGGTCAAGTACAAAACAACCCAGTCGAGAGCTGGCTGCAACTCAACTAGCTTGGCCAAGGGACATGACATAGCTCGAGGGAGCCCACAAAAAGCAAATTCGGGCACTTTCAGGACCCAAGAACCCCGGATGAGACTGTAGGCAAGACTCGTCCGAATCTCTTGGATCCGAGAGAGCTCGAATTCAATTTTGTAGGCACTCAAGGAACGCCATGACACTTGGCACCAGCACTGTCCTGACCGAAAGAGCAGTCAAGATATTCATCAGATATATGAAAAATCGTTTCTCGTCAAGGACCCCCTGCCGTAGCTAGGGGATCTCGGGGCTTGACTCTATGATTGGTATATCATCACGCGAACATGAGCTCATAGCAAGAGACAATCGTCTCAAAAAAATCTTTCTGAAAAAAGTCCGGCCCCTTCGACAGGGCTTCTGCAAGGACAAAGGCAACAAAGGCCCAGTCCATCACCGCTTTGCCATAAGCTACAGACTCGAAAAGAAGAAAGAGAAAAAAGAACAGGAACTCCTCGCCTCAAGAATGAGCCCCATTGAGTTACCCCCCGTCCACGAGGAACAAGGGGGCAATCGCATGACTATCGAACCACGACGAAAGGCAACCCAATACAAGAGAAGACCGAAGTCCCCCCTTCTCCCCTCCAGCCCCAGGCCGCACGCCCCATTGTAACCAGTGGGACACTGTCGGACGGCGAGCACAAGAACCGGTGGGAATAGGGCGTAAGCCACTATCGAATTGCTTCTATGGCGGCGCGTTTCCGCATTGCCTGGCTTGAAGAACTCTGGAAAGAGCGCAGGGTGTCCGGGGACTTTCTCCCAAAGCGAGTGCGTGAAAGAAGAAGAATCTTCTTTGTGTGTGAGCTTTGAATGCGATTCTTTGAGCGAGGAGTTGGAGGGAAAGAGGAAGGGGAAAAAATTTTGTCGTGGGTCTTTTTTTAAATGTGATGAGGTGAGTGGTCATGTGACTATGGAGCTAGGTCGTGTTGGGACGAGGTGGGTCATGTGATGAGATAGTTGCCCTGGCCGATATTTACAGAGGTTCTCCAATCTACGATGATGATTATCTTTACAAGGCTTTGGTTGTAAGGCCAGTCTCTCTTTACGAAGATCTCATGGATTATAATGTCTAAGTTTTGTTTTCAGCACACGGGTTGAAGTTACTCATAGTTCAAAATAATGCATGACATGGCTATGGACAGAAAGAAACAAACACCTAAAACAATTTTGTACACCCATTACGCCTTGGCCTTGGACTTGCCGGTCTTCTTAGCCGTCTTCTTGGTCTTGGTAGCAGGGGACTTGGCTGCCGGGGACTCTGCGGCAACCTCCTGCTTGGGAGTGTCCTGCTCCGTCTTCTTGCCCTTCTTGGCGGTCTTCTTAGGGGTATCATCAGTGGTAGCGGGGGCTTCGATAGCCTTCACGGGCTCCTCGACGGCCTCCTCGGTAGCAGTAGCCTCAACAGCCTTGGGCTCCTCCGCCTCGGGGACCTGGATGGGCACATCCTCGACGGCCTTGAGCTGAGGCAGCTCAATCTCATAGCCAAAAGCCTTCAGCTTGTCAGCCTTAGCCTGACGCTTGCGCTGCTCATCCTCGATGCGCTTCGACCACTGGTCACGGGTCTTGCCCTTCAACAGGCGCTTGCGCTCAATCTGGTTCCAGGGGGTACGCTTGAAACGGCGGTTGGCGCCCTTCCAGACCTCAGGGTGCAGCTGCTCCGCGGGAACGAACTTGCACTTGAGGATGTGGCTGTACATCAGGTAGTTGTCCATGGTCTCGGCGACAATCTTGGCAACGGTGATGGAGGCGAATTCAATGAAGGCGTAGTGCTTGGAGCGGCCGGTCAGGCGGTTACGGGAGAGGCGGAGCTTGGTGATCTCGCCGAACTGGGAGAAGTAGGCGCGCATTTGGTGCTCGTAGAAACCGTGAGGGATGCGTCTGGAGAGCGAGGGTATTAGCATGTGTGATCAAAACGAAGCAAGACATTATTAGACTGGGCAGAAACTCACCCAACGTAGACAGTACCAGGCTCGTCCTTGGAATCACCCTGTTGCAACTTCTTCATCTTCTTCTCTGCCTTCTTGGTATCGGGAATCTTGGGGATTGGCATTTTGGAGTTGTAGCCCTCGTCACCGGACTCGTCTTCGTCACCGCTGCTCTCAAAGCCCTTGATGAGGGCGGCAGTCTGGTCATCCTCAGCGTCATCAATCTCTTCTTCGCTCTCCTCAGACTCGGAAGCGTCAATCTGGAACTCCTCGTCGTCAGACTCCTCTGGCACCTGCTCTACCTTCTTGGGCTTCGGTGCGGGCTTGGCGACTTTGGCGGCGGCAGACTTCTTCGCAGGCTGTGCAGAGACGGTCTCATCCTTCTTGGTCTTCTTGTTGACGGGCTTCTTCGCAGCAGCAGGAGCAGGCTTCTCAGTCTCCTCATCGCTGAGGAAATCGGCAGCACGCTTGCGGGGCTTAACCTCACGAGCGGGGGCACCATTGGCCTTCGCAGTAGACTTGGTCTCCTTAGCCTTAGCAGCACCGTTCTCCTTCTTCTTCAGAATGGACTTGGGGGCGGCATCTTCGGCGACCTTGGCGGCTTTGGCCTCGACCTTCTTGGTTTTTTTCGCGGGAGAATCGCTGGCAACAGGAGCGGCTAAATCGGGGTTAGGATCTTCGTGGCCAATTTCAAAAGATTCTCCAGACTTAACATACCCTTGCGCTTGCTTCCCTTCTTATCAGGAGCCATTTTTAGTCTAGTTGACGTGAATTGAAGTCTGGTGGTTGCACGATCATTGCGGGAAACTTTTTTTTTTCGCTGACCTGCATCCAAGGCGGTGAGTCTCCACAGTCCGCCGAACAACCAACCAGCCCTGACCTTATTCCACCTCCGCCTTGAGAGGCTTATGGGCGGCCATGGGGAAGCCTAAACATGATCAGTCCCTGACTCACGAGGAGATCTGGGATGACTCTGCTCTAGTGCAGTCCTGGGATGATGCGGTTGAGGAGTACAAGGTATGCCAACCGATCACACTCACGTGACCGTTATCTGACTGACCTTGTTGATGACAGCTCTATCACAGCATACATGCCAAGGGGGAGAATATTGAGGATGTTCTGAGAGAGGCTGAAGCAGCAGGTCTTGATGAACAAGTCAATGATCGTGATGGAGGAAATATGATTGCTGAGCACGATGCTATGGAGGCTGCGATGGGAGAGGCTGTCGACCAAACAGCTGCGAATTCCACTCAGGTATGCATGTATCTCATGAAGGTTCGTTTTTAATTGCTTGATTACTGACTCTTCTTCAGGCCAGGGAATCCTTTGCTCAAACAAAGCCTCCAGCTTTCGAAGGGAGTGGTGCTACCACCGTCCCAGGCCCAACCTTTCCCGCAGGAGTTATGCCTATGCCTAGCGCAGTGCTTCCTCATAGTAAGCCCTTCCCATTCTGATGCTTCCAAATGACTAGACTGACTGATTCTAGTCCAAGATGAAAATCTAAGAAATCTCATGATGTCTTGGTACTTTGCAGGGTACTATACTGGATTGTACCAAGGGCAGCAGCAAGCGAGCCAGCCGAAAAGCTGATATTGGTAGTCCTGTCAAGACCCCCTTAAGCTGCGAAGATATCAGAGCTTCCGAGCACTGAAAGAAAGCATAGTGAATGCACTTACCTAAAGCATTACCCATGCTATTGATATGACCCAGCATAGCAATCTAATATGACATGATCATGAAATAAGGGATTCTGCTTTACGTTCGACTTTCTAACATTTTCATTAATCAGACGGATTTTCCATGAACATGGATAAAAGGTACATATTGAAATAATAATTGCCCTCTCCAGTGAACGTCCAGCTACCAAAGTATCCTGCATCTAACCTTCCCCAGTCTTCATCTCGTCTATCTCTCACCAAAAACCTTCTAATAATTTACAGGAGACCGCCGGTACCACCGAGGAGACCACCAAGAACGGGGATTTTGCCCAGCGCGTTAGGCTGGGAGGTAGGGTGGGAAGTGGGCGTAGCGGTAGGCGTCTTGAAGTTACCAGAGTAAAGGCCCTTCTCGGTGGGAGTGGCAGCAGTAGTATCGGCAACTGGCTGCTCCTCCTCGACCTTCTTGTCCGCCGTGGTAGTGTCCTGCTTCGGGGCCTGGTCATTCTGAGCTTGGTTGTTCTGGTCGTTGGTGTCCTTGTTATTCAAGCCTTCCATGAACTTGGCCGCACCCTGGTATAACTTGTATTAGTATGCACAATTAGTGAGTAAATGATTTTGAGCACTAACCTGCAAATCTGAGAGGGCAGTGTCAAGTCCCAGGCCCTGGCTTTGATCGCGCTTGGTGGGCATTGACATGGCGAATGCTGCCAGGACAAGGAAGACGGCGAAGAAAGAGAGGTTGAAGCGGGCCATTTTGATTGTGTTTAGGATAATGTGTGTGAGAAATATACGTCGAATAAGGTAAACAAATGAATATTGTTGAAAGGATTGTAAATAAGTGTATACTGTCAAGAAGAAGGCAGATGGGATGAGGGAGGGGAGCCAAGAGGGAAATTATGCGAGATTTATATCCAAGCCCCTGCTTTCTTTCGCCTCCTACAGGGCAAGAATGGAGCGTAGTATGGAAGACAGGGTGAAAGACCTTGGTGGGATGACCAACCCCCCAGGGTGTACTATTACTCCGAGCGTGGTATTCTAGCTCCGATGTGTACATATAAACAGAAGCTGGCGCTCTCATTGCACATGTACCGCCCGCGTTACTTGAAGTACATGAGATGGCAGCTTATTGGATGCGAAGATAGCCATTTAATCCAGTTGTAGTTCAAGAAAGACACTCGGAAAACTAACATCAACAGTGATTTGAAACAAGGGATGGATTTCATCCAGTCATGCCCTACAGGGACCAAGGAGCAGACCACTTGCGAGGTCTCGAAGAAATTAGCAGTGGGCCCTGTGCATTCCACGGGATTTTAAAGGAATATTGTCCGGGTTCCAGTAACTTCTATATTCGAATCATGAATGGGGTGAGATCCGAGAGTGGAACAAAATTACGACTGCTACAAAAGATACGTGAATAAGGCTACAGAACCCCAAGTAGGACTCTCCTAGAAATCTACAAGTATGCCACGGATCTTAGACTGAACATTGAACAAAAGATTGTGACTGAAAATATATCTTAGTGTACTAAGCAGGCAACCAGGACCAAGCAAGGTGTAGATCCTCATATCGTCCACATTCCACAACACTCGGAATCAGACACGCAGACGACGACGTGTGCCGGTCTAACCGCGTCCCATCACGAGGCGATGATCGACTGAAACACATCTTCCGATATGGCAAGGAATGTATCTCCCTACTTTGACACGCACAGCCCCATATGAGAGGGGCGGACGCAACACGAGGGAGTTTCCAGAAAGACATTTTGTCAAACTGTGAAAGCTCACTATCGGCACAAATTTGACCTCGAATATCATGGAGAGCTGAAGGAGACGAGACTTCGAAAGTGCCAGGTGGAGAATGGGGGAGTGGTATGAAGTGCATAATGTGTGTTCTACGCGGCGGGGCTGGGGTTGTCCTAGTCTGTTAGTAGTTGCTGGCAAGGGTTGTCTTGTCTAGCAGCGTACTTCTGGTAGCAGCGACCACGCAATTGCAAGGAAAAGACATTAATTTCCGCAAGTCCACGGTCGAGGCTCCAAGGAAGTACTTGGTGCAGGCAACCAACTAGACAATGGTCCAGTTGGCATCCATGCCGGGATGGGTGTGATGACATGTCCTTGTCGGAACAATGTAACCACGAATCCCATCCCAGCTCTTGACATATCTAAAGGCCCAGATGCCTCAAGATTCCTCAAGATAGGGAAACAAATCCCTTGAACCCCGAGGGGTAAGGTGTGTGCTCAAAAGCGAACCCAATCGCCTCGACTGGGAACGGCAGAACCGTTCCAAAAAGGCAGGCGTCGGGATTAGAACGAGCCTCAATCGCTCTGGGTCTCTCTCTAAAATTTGCGGATGGAATTGAGTCCAAGCACAAGGGTATGTTGGAGACCGTGAATATGTTGAAGAAAGGAAACGGAGAAGCGTGTGCGGCAGGAATTTTTAGTGTCTGCGCTAGAGACGGCTTATGTCATCTTGCCACGTGATCAAATGTCGTGAGGCTCATCTAAAGCCGAGGAATCTGGACTGATCAAAGTAACAAAGATAATGAAATAACATTCCTATCTACTTGACAATCATGTTGGATAAGTAAATTTTATAATTTTACTAATTTTACTAAATTACTCTATATTCTGATAATTCTCAATTAAGCCCTCTCCATGAGCAAACAGACACTCAGACCAGGCTCTTTCCGAAGAACTCGACACACTTCGCACCAGCCTCATCAACCTTGTCATAAAGGTCCGCATGAGTTAGACCATCGATAACATACAGCTCCTTAGGCTCCTTGGCCTTTTCCACACCATCCTCGCTATACCACTTAGTAGCCGCCTTGGTACCAGTGATCATAAGCAAAGGTCGCGGGCTAATCATATCGTTATGCGCAAAGGCATCAAAGTTACCCATAAGATCCCAGCCGCGAGGCAAACTGGTATTCGTCGCACGAGGATGGAAAGCACGCGGGGTACGATAATAGTTCATCAAGTCTCTGAATGGCTCTGGTAAGTCTGCAGGTGCATCTTCCGGCTTCTCGGGGAGCATAGGGACGATAGGGACCTTCTCGCCACCCACGTCGCTGTTGCGGTCCTTTCCAGCAGCCTCGAGCTGCATCTTTAGGACGTCCATGTTAGAACTGTCCTTTTCAAGTCCACGACGAGCCATGGTGCCGACACAGACTGCGGCTGAGGCAGCGCAGGCCTTGATGCGTAGATCTGTTTGGGCTGCGAAGGGGGCATAGCCGCCCGATGCGCAAATACCGAGAACACCGATCTTCTCGGAGTCAACATCCTTGCGACTGATGAGGTAGGTCACGGCACATTTGATATCTTCGACACGCTGGTAGGGATCTTCCAGGTCTCGCGGTTCGCCTTCCGACTCGCCCTGGTAAGCGGCATCGTAGGTCAGGCAGGTGAAGCCGGCTTGGGTCAGAACGTGGGCATAGTTGGCTGGTGATTGTTCCTTAATGGATGTCCAAGGGTGGGCAATCACAATGGCTGCGCCAGAACGATCGGTTGAGCCGGCCACGGGAGGGTAGAAGTGACCGGCAAGTTTGTAGTTGCGGGAGAGAAAGGTGACGTTTTGGGGCGATGACATGATGATAGAGTATGTAGTAAGATTTGATGGATTGAAGTCAATGATTGTACTTTATTTCAAATGGATATATGATTCTATTTATACTGTGGGAGTGGTTGATTGGAAAAATCCAACACGTCCGATTATTTTCGGGATTTTGTGAAGCTTTCGGCCACCACAGCTCCCCTCGCCATGTGTCACCATCACCAATCTGATTTCAGATTCTGTTAACTCCGATGCACACTTGTCAGCGTTCAAAGACTGAAGACATCCATATTTATTGATACTCTTTGTAATACGGACAAGGGCCGATTGAAAAGTTAGCTGGTGGTCTGTCTTCCATTTCCCGAGGGTCTTTGCATTTTGCGTCTCTCGCCCCTTTAATAAGGTTGTCAAGGTTGCAATATACCACTTTTCTGGAATCCATCTGTCCTGGTTCAATGCCGGCTAGTGGATATATCTCCTTGTGAGAATTGAATCAAACATTTGATTCCTAGTCTCTTAAGTAGCCCAGTCGGAGACGGCGCGCTGTCAATGAACTTTTTGATTGCGATATAATCGGGCACAGTACGCTTAACAAACAGAGACGTAATGCATAATATTGGAAATCCATATCTTGAATCCCCTTACCCATCTCGTAGGTGGAGCCTCCGGTTCAAGGCTGGATGCGTGCAGTCATGCCATCCAAGATATCATGTTAATTCTCTAGTCGTAGAGCTAACAGTCCCTCGGCAAGGCATGTATCAAAATCGAGTCAAAGGCATATTAGGTAGTCAGTTGAACCAGTAAAGGATAAGTACATTCCGCAAAACAAACAGGCTGCGTGTATTCATGAGTAGGGTGAAAACATATCTCTCGCGAGACCAATAATCTAAGTGCTCAGTGCCTTGTAGAAAGACACCTCAGTCTGGCAGTGATACCAGACATATTAATCATTAAGACGTAAAACAACCTCACCCTCTCCATCAGGCCTCTCAAAGCCAGCAATAAAACTCTCCAAAATCTCCTCCGTCACCAAAAACGCCGAATCCCCATCCTTAACAGCCAACTGATTCCTGGCCTTGACTCGTCGCCTTAATTCATCAGCATCAACATCCAAATAAACCAGTACCCAGCGACCACCGGACTCTTCAATCAGATCTTTCCACTCGTCACGAGTTTCCTGGAATGCAAATGCAAAGTCTAGGATGGCATCCCGGGATCCCTGTTGAACGAGTTGAGCTAATTCACTCCGTAGTGCAGCGGCAGCTTCTTCTTGATAGTCGTTATATTTTTCTTTCGGGTAATCCACTCCGTAAAGGCCATGATGGCTGTAGATATATGAATCGATAGAGAGACGATGAAAAGATGGATGGTTGGATTGTATCCATTTGGATATTGATGACTTGCCGGACCCTGTTCCACGTTAATATATTTAAATCTCTGTAGAAACAGCCCCTCCGAGAGTATAAGATCAAACTGGACTGCGTCGCATACCTGCTATCCCACACGTCATCACCACTACAGGGCGGGGGTCACTTTCTGTGCGGCATATGAGGGGACTGAGCGCCTCGGGGGTACCGAAGCTGGATGGAACGTCTGCCATTTGCATACGGGCCGAAAATATCTCCCGGATGACGGACTCGCAACAAGCTTTTAATCAATATGAGATTTCGCCTTATGCATGCGCTGTTCAGACCACGCCCCGCGCAGTCCAAGTCAGTGAGTCACGTCTGATACGAGACAAGCTTCAAGGCGCGATTTAGCCTACATTCCTGCCTTAGGCAGCGATTCATATGTCCTTCCCCGGTCACTTCCGGCGGGCTACACCTCGATAGCTCTCATAGAGCTCTATCTTTTCTTTCTACTCATTTTTTTCTTTTCCTTTTGAATAGGAAAAGAAAAAACGACCTACACAGATGTAACAACCATGCCCCGCAGAGTCCAAAGATCAGTAATCCAATTGATCTTCTTCGGCGCCATCCTCTTCACAATCCTCTACCTGAACCGTCCCACGAGCATCCCTCCAACCTTTGCCTGGTCCAAAATCCGTTATCAAACGACCGCACATACTCTCCCACAAACCCGCGGCAAATGCCCAAACCTCTCCACCACCAAGAAACCCGCCCTTATCGTCTCCCACGTCGACGCAGACGGTGATACTTCCTGGCTCTCCTCCCTCGCAGACCGTTACCACCTCTGCATCTACGATGTCGACGCCTCGCCCGATAAACCCTCAGAATACCTCCAGGTCCCCGCGAACCGCGGCCACGAGGCCATGGCCTACCTCACCTTCCTGATCGACAATTACGCCGAGATCCCGTCCGCGGGCGCGGTGTTTGTACACGGGTCGCGGTGGGCGTGGCATAACGATGCGCCGGATTATGATAATAAGGCGTTACTGGAAGTGTTGGATGTCGAGCGTGCGCTGCAGGTATCCGGGTATCACAATCTGCGCTGTGATTGGAGTACAAGCACATGTCCACCTTCTGCGCCGGCGCAGGGTAGTCTCGAGATGAGACTGCAGTCTGTAGTGGCGCCGTGGAGTGCGCGCGCAGCGTCGGATGTTGCGCTTCCTCGTGCGTTGGCGGCGATATTCGGTGGAGATGGGTCTTTATTGGAGGGGAGGTTACATCTTGGGCGGACGGATACGGTGCGCTCGCAGTGTTGTGCGCAGTTTGTTGTTTCGCGCGCGCGGATCTGGCAGCATACGAGGGAGGAGTATGTTGCGTTGAGGCAGTGGTTGTTGGATGGGGGTGTTGATGGAGATGGGAGGCGTTCGTCGAGAGGCGATCAGGCTGCGCCGCAGGATGATCGTGTCGCGGGTCGGATTTTGTCGTATTTGTGGCATATCTTGTTTGCAAAAGTGGGTGCTGATGGGGCGGTGGATCTTGCGCAGTTGAATAAGGATGCTTGTCCGAGTGCGCAGGATTGTTATTGTCGTTTATATGGACGGTGTGGACTGCAGTGTCCAAATCCTGGGACTTGTCGGGGACAGTATCAGGTTCCGCAGTATTTTAAGCTTCCTGATGACTGGGAGGCTACACATTCATGATTTGGCAAGGGAAGCTGGATCATTTCTATTCTTTGTACATAATTTGTCCTCATATCAATGTGATAATATAGATTTCATAATCGTGTACGAACTTCCTTCAGTCTAATCGGGGAATAATTGGATTGAATCGTTATCATACTATACTATATACAATTTCCACAAAGCACAATACAAGCTTCTTAGAAACGGGCAAGAACCCGGTCCTGAGCATCAGCAACAGCCCACTCACTGCTGTGCTTCTTGCTAACAACCGACTTGGCCTGCTCGGCAGTGAACCCACGAGCCTCGACGGCAGGGTTATATCCAAGACCGTTGAGCTTGCCAACAACGTCCGAGGGAACGGCCGCAGCAACCTTGCCATCAGCACGCTTGTACACAGTGACCACGACGGCACCGCCAAGACCCAGGTTGTGCTGGAGAGCCGCATCAGTACCGGCAATCAAACGGTTGTTAGCCCAACCACGCAAGTGCCAGACCAACTCGGCACACTGGGCGATACCAGTCGCACCGAGAGGGTGACCCTTGGAAATCAGACCGCCGGAGGGGTTGATAACCATCTTTCCGCCATAGGTGATATCACCACGGCGAACCATCTCGTGCGCCTTACCAGGCTCGCACAGCTCCAACGCATCGATGGTAATCATCTCGTTCGCCGAGAAGCAGTCGTGCAGCTCGCACACCTTGATGTCCTTGACATTGACGCCAGCCTCGGCGGCGGCAGTGCGGGTAGCGTAGCGGCTCATGCCGAAGCCCATCAGGTCGATGGCGCTCTTGTTGTACACCTGGTCGGTGTCGGAAGCGAGGCATTGACCGGCGATCTGGATGGCTTGCGCCTTCAGGTGCGGGCGGGCATCGAGGAACTCCTGCGAGACGATGACGGCGGCGGCACCACCGTCAGAGGTGGGGCAGCACTGGAGCTTGGTCAGGGGCTCGTGGATCATGGGGGCTTTCATGATTTGCTCGAGGGTGTATTCGTCCTGGAACTGCGAGTAGGGGTTGCGCTTGGAGTGTTCGTGGTTGATGCGGGCAATTTCGGCGAAGTCCTCGTTCGTAGCGCCGTACCTAGGGATATCCATGTTAGTATAACTCGTAGAGCTGATAGTAAAATAATAATAAAGTGGATCAACCAACTTCTCCTTGTATTCACGGCCAGCGTTACCGAACATCTGCGCAGCACCGGGGGCATTGGTGATACCACGGGTCTCGGCCATCATCATACCGAACAAACCGGTTGGGTTGGCGCGGTCATTGAACATCGATTGCAAGCTACCAGGGTTCATCTTCTCGAAACCAACAACGAGAACACAGTCTGCGGCACCGTGCGAAACCATCGTGCGAGCCATGGCCAGACCAGTGCTACCGGTGGAGCAATTGTTGTTGACATTGTAGATAGGGATGTTGGTCAGACCGAACTGATAGAAGACGCGCTGTCCACAGGTACTATCACCATAGACATAGCAGGCAACACCTTGGTCAACATCATCGTAAGTGATTTTGGCATCCAGCATGGCCTTGATACCAGCCTCGTAGCCCAGCTCATTGTAGTCGACCTTGCCACGCGGCTTAATGAACTTGGTCATGCCCACGCCCAGGACGTAGGCGGGACTTGTCTGTTTCTTGACCATTGTGTCGGTGTCGGTGTGGGTATAGAGTATGTGAGATGGTTAGGGGTATATTTTGGAGAAGGTTGGTCGTGGATTAGGAGATGTCCGAACGGGGCGCCTATATAGGAGAACCATTTTATGTCACGAGTGGGGAGCTGGGGTTTGCGGGGAGAGGCCGAGGTCCCGAGGAAGCTGGGCCCGAGGGGGGCGGCTGAACAAATTAGTTTCCTACCAAGTTGCACAAAATCGGTGGTGCATAATACTAATTCCCCGGAGATCGTCGTTGTTTGTTTCATATTTGGAAACGATTAGATATAGGCTATATGAAGTACGGAAGCTATCAGGTATAAAAGGGCATGTGGTAGTCCACTGTCGATTATCACGTGCATGTGTCAATGGTCAACGATTTGCAGGCGATGATCTATACTCCGTCTTTGTGGTCTATGATCAATGATCTATAGCATAATATTACCAAAATTAATGCAATACCACTCCCTATCTGAGCGAGAGAATACTGACTACTGGCACTGGACTGAAACACACCAACCCCTCACATTCCCGAGCTCGTTCCGAGGATGGTAAGAAGGCAGGTGCAGGAGGTATGCCATATCTGCGATCACCGCGGGGGACATTCTCATTACGATTACACAGTGTCACCGTATAAACCACAGCAACTATCTATGAGAATCAGGTTGATTCTGAAGCAGGCGACTGCCGTCCAGCCCATCCATCTACCAAGCTCATAGCTCGTCCGGGGAAGCCATGCAAGCCCCGACCGATCTGCAGGCTGTTCCCCAATCAGCAACTCGTTGATAATCAAATCATTAGAGGGTGGAGTAATCCTCATAATATTACCCTAATCAAAACCAAGTTCCATGCCAGCCATTCCCAAGGTTTGGTTCGGCATCCTCCATTGGCGGGCTACAAGCGCAAAATATGATCGATGGCCAGGGATCAAATCCTTAGGGGAGCTATCATTGCACGGTCGGAAGACTGTCTTCCAGCAAGAGATAGTAGATAGAGCTCTGAAAGAATGGAAATCAGATGGATCCTGGCTTGTCTCCCATGGGTCCAGCCTAGTCCTTATCGGCGATCATGGCTCTTCTAATGGGTCTGGAATGAATGCTCGTCTTTAATGCGCTCTTTGGCTTTCCCGTTCCCTTTTCTGACAGCTTCGATCGACTCGCTGCTTGCTAATAGATGCAGGAGAGTAGTTCCCACAGCGACCTGTCTCTTTTCCTCTTGATCATGCATATTAGTTTGCATTATGGCCGATAGTTTGGGGTGAGATGGCCAAAACCGGTTGGCAAATGCGGAGTGCGACCGGGGAGAAGTATGTACCGCTGTCGCAGTCCCCTTTGTCTCGACATTGGGCGTCAACTCAAGCTTGCTGAAGAGGAATGGAACAGCACAGATATGGAATTGGCCAAGACCAAATGCCGCAGTCTGCAGCTATAGAAGTAGTCCTCTGATTTTAGACCACTGCCTCAACACATAGCATGCTTAAAACAGCTCATGGACACAGTCTCATGGCAACTTTAGTGGGGTCGCCCAACTTCACGACGTCACTTGGACTGGCCCTAAACCCATTCGAGCACGACTGTTAAGCTCGGTCCACATGCCATTTTGGCCCTCTTTTCCCTCTTCATCTCCCTGCTCTCGTGGGTTGGGCTTGTTGTATCTAGGAAATTGGGCACTGGGCTTCAGTATGTGGTCGCTCTCTCTCTCTCTCTTTTTTTGCTGGTCTCTGCAGTGAAGTGGGTCACGGGGAAGAACGGGCCACTGGATGATGGTCGGACGCTAACCGATCGGCTTTTCAGCTTCCTGAGATCAACCATCAACCCCCCCCATTTGCAAAGGGAGAGTCACCCCCAGTTAATCACTCCAATTCGACCTCGACTGCCTTCTGTCTGGTACAGAGGACCTCGTCTGGGATTGTCCTATTGTTTCCCGACTGTCGATCAATTGCTCCGACAAAGGTTGCGCTGTGCTGTCGCCGCGGGGGTTTCTCAATCTACTTGCCGTTCTTCGTTCCGACCTCCATAGCCGAGAACATCCCGTCGCCTGAACCGCCCGAACAACGTCCGAGTCAACAAACCCAAGCATAGATCATAGATCCTTTAGGATCATATCTATATCGATCGATCGAGAGAGCTCTCCAGGCTGTTACCAGTCTAGTAGATGGTGAATTGTGGGACGCCGAACGGTCTACTCCGAGTGCTTCTGAGAGGCCGCTTTGCGTTCCATTAGGTTCCCCAGCCTGTCGCGGTCCACGATCGCATCGTCGAGTACTAAGAGTTGTGTCCGGAAGCTCATAGAAGCTGAATATACCGGGAGGGAAAGAACACACGCCGTTGTCCAGAGCCTGTCATTGCCCCGTCCAATGGAAACTTTATAAGGCATGACTGTTGGTAAACGAACTGAACATGCTCCTCCTTTCTCTCCATCTTCCAACCCCACACCCGCCATCATGCCTACCAGGAACGCCTGGATCATGGATGAATCTACTCGCAACAGACTCTTGAAGAAGTACAAGACCCAGGTGGCTTCGGCGACCTCGACCATCTGCGCAACTCTGGCGGTGGTGAGTTGATATCATTTTCTCTGGATCTGAAGCCGCCCCGGTTTTTTGGGCTGGTCTCACGATTAATACTGACTTTGGTGGCCATTTCTTGCAGACTCCCCTGGAAAATGTGAAGACTCGCATGCAAACGTGAGTTTCTCTTTGAATATCTTATATCTGGAGCGATTGAGCTGATAAAAATGTATCTTTTTCAGCCACAACTTCAAGAACATCTTCCAGTGTTCCCGGTATCTCTGGCGGACTGAAGGACCGCGTGGCTATGTCGCAGGTATGTACTGATCTTGCTATTCATCGGCCTTTTGAGTCCTTTTATTGCGAGCCTGTTTCTTTCGTCTGATATGCATCTAATCGGACTTTCTGGAATTTCTCTGGTACTCAAAAAAATGCATGGCAAGTCTGATATACTAATCATTTCTCAGGTGCTCTTCCTCCACTGGCGAGCGTGACCGCGGTCCGCGTGTTGAACTTCACCTCTTACAACTACGCCAAAGAGGGTATTGCCGACATTGTCAAGTGTATTACCGGCACATATCCCTTAAATGCCGACAAGGCCGGAAGCACCCCGACTGTGGCTGGCGTTCTGACCTTCACGCTTGCTGGTGCCTTTGCTGGTTTGGTGGCCGCCCCGATTGCATGTAAGAAATACCCTTTTAACTCACCTTGGTTTCTTTGATATGCTAATATCCAATGTTCCCAACTTTCAGGTCCATTTGAGCTCGCCAAGAACGTGGTGCAGACCTCCGTTCTGGTTTCCAACCGAGCTCAGGCAGCTCCTGGGGCCGCTCGCGACCCATCCCTCCGCAGCAAGCCTCGCATCGGCACTGTCGAGGCCATCCGGCAGATCATCAAGCGACACGGCTTCCGTGGTCTGTACACTGGCTTCCACCTGCACGCTCTGCGTGACACGGTAGGTACGGCCATGTACTTCGGGATCTACGAGACCGTGAAGCAGGTGGCCGCCAAAGAGATCGGATCCGATCAGTCCCCTCTCGGCGCGCCCGCGATTGCTGGGGCAATCTGCAGCACCATCCCTTGGTTCTGCGTAAGTGCTACCCTATCACCCCAGCTCAATGATCAAGAGAGAATCATGAGTGAGAGTATACTAATCGTGATATTCGTTACTATAGACTTACCCCCTCGACACCCGCAAGACCCGAGCGCAGAGCGTGCTGCTCGGAAAGACGAAGGAGATCGGCGAGGCCTCCGTGGCTGTCGCCAAGTCCAGCATGTACAAAGGCATCTCCATCATTCTGGTCCGGACCGGGGTTAACAACATGATCCTTCTCAGTCTTTTCGAGTATATCAAGGCTCGAATTGACGAGTTGCCCAACTGAAGGACTTGTTGGGGGCTTCGGCCGGCCGGGATGGATGAGATCGACCGCCCTAGCTACGGGGCTGGTCTTATCTGCCACATTTGTACTTTTTCCCCAGAGATACGCCCTTTTTTCCGTTCAAGTACATACCTAGTGGATGAGCCGTGGTTGCTCATCAGCAAATATGAGAATGCCGCTGGGGCTGCAAAGAATTTATCTTTTGTAGAGTGTAAGCCGTAGGATCTCTAATACATTGTAACAGCAGTGTAATGAATAGCCCGGATCTAAAGAATAGACATGACATGATGTAAAGAATAACCACGTTCTATGCCGATCTACCTCGTGTTCATAGATCTCGTGCGCCATGCGGAGTGGCTGCCTCAGGCTCTCCACACGTCATCCCGTTGCCCGGTGGGGTTGCAGCAACGTCTCGCGGTCAACAAACGAGCTCACGTTTTTCGCCCAGACCACCACCTCCTCCCACCTCTCCCCCTCACCCCGCCAATCTCGACAATGACATCGTGAGTAAACTACCCGCCATGGCCAGCTTCCCCACCTACAATCCTAACCCTATACTCATTCTCTCCAATCTAGCAATATCCTACAATTCCCATTCCGCCGGTCCCACACCGTCTCGCTATCCGATGCGATCACCCAGTATATCTCGTCCAAATATGACCAGCGCCCAGATATGTTCGCGGACGATCTGATGATCATCGATCGTCTGCGGAGCGAGGCTGTTAATGTTCAGGAACCGCATATTAGTGGGATTAGTCGGTTGGTCACGTATGCGGCGCAGTTGAAGTGGCTTGGTGGGAAATTTCCAATTGATGTACACCTCCCGATGTCTCTGATGATTTGATTTGGTGGGGTTGTGGTTGACCGGTATCTTGTGTTATAGGTCGGGGTGGACTTTTCGTGGTATCCTGCTTTGGGGTTTAATTCTGCGCGACCTGGTGAGTTATAGCTTGGTGGGGGTGGTCTTTCATCCCTCGAGTATATACTAACAGGTTGCGGTGAACAGTATCCCAAAATAACCTCCGTTTTGAGCTGGCGAATATCCTCTTCAATCTTGCCGCTCTATACTCACAACTCGCATACGCGCTGAACCGGACAACTTCGGATGGTCTCAAGCAGGCATGTAACTATCTCTGCCAAGCAGCCGGAGTCCTGGCCCACCTTCGAACAGACATAATCCCCGATCTTCGCTCCTCCCCGCCAGAGGATATGGACGAGATGACATTGCAGAGTCTGGAGCAGCTCCTGCTAGCACAGGGTCAGGAGTGCTTCTGGCAAAAGGCTGTTAAGGATGGACTAAAGGATGCCTCGATTGCTCGGCTTGCGGCAAAGGTTTCCGACTTTTATGCTGATGCGGGTGACTTTGCCGTCAAGTCCAACGCTATCAGCACGGAGTGGATTCACCACATGTCGGCTAAACACCATCACTTTGCTGCCGCGGCACAGTACCGGCAATCGCTGGACTGCTTGGAGAAGCGCAAGTACGGAGAAGAGGTTGCGCGGCTCCGCGATAGCTTGAACTGCGTTAATGAGGGTCTGAAGGAGTCGCGGTGGATTAACAAAACAGTGATCGGCGATTTGAACGGGTTGAAGAGCCGTGTTGCGGATGATTTGAAACGCTCCGAGAAAGATAATGATATTATATATCTAAGTCCCGTGCCGCCAAAGTCCGAGCTCAAAAGTCTAGATCGGGCCTGCATGGTGGCTTCCAAGGCGCCGTCGCAGGTGACCGATGCGATTTCTATGCTTGGGGATAACGGGCCATTGGGTCAGCCGCTGTTTTCGAAGTTGGTGCCGTATGCCGTGCATATTGCGGCTAGCATCTACTCGGATCGCAGAGACAGACTGGTCAACGAGACCCTTATTGGGGAACTAGAGTCTATGACTGACAAGTTGAGAGAGTATGTTTGGATGTTCTGGTTTGCACTACTTGAGACGGAACTGGGCTAACAGAATTACTAGTCTGCTGTCATCGCTCAACCTTCCAGGCTCGCTACAGGCTCTGGAAAAGCCTCTCGGTGTTCCAGGGACTGTAGTCTCTCACGCAGAGGAGATGCGACAACAAGATGGATTGAACCGCTTGCGCCGGTCAGTCGAAGACACGGCCAAGGTCAAGTCCAACGACCGATCTATATACAACGAAGGCGTCGAGCTACTAGCAGCTGAAAAGGCAGAGGATAATGCGGCACGACGAAAGTATGGCACCGATCGATGGGCGCGCGAGACCTCCGAGGCTGCTGCGCCAAAGATCTACAACACGTTGAAGGAAATCAACGGCTATTTCACCTCCGCTCAGAGCAGTGACGATTTGGTTGAGCGTAAGCTGCGTGATTCAGAGGCCGTGTTCCGTGTCTTGACGGGAACGAATCGGGATCTCGAGTCTTTCGTGCCCAGCAGTCGTAGGGCTACTATTCCACCGGAGGTAGAGCGGGAGGCTATCAAGTTGCGAAGCTGCTTGAGTGAGGTCAATCGGATGGAGAACCGTCGACGCCGGCGAATCCAGACACTGAAGGATAAAGCCCGGGCAGATGATATCCGTGAGTTACAACCTAGATAGGCTTCCCCGGTACTCTAGTTTCAGAAAATGACTGACTGCAATTATCCAGACCCCGCTCTGCTGAAGGAGACCGCGCGGTTAGAACGCGAGTTCCCGATGCAAGCCATCCAAGCGAGCCAATTCGAGGATCTCTTCGAAGAGAGTCTACGACTGTACGATTCCGACAATGATATGCTCGCACAGGAAAGACGAGACCAGGAGCAGATCTCTGAGCAGGTCCGCGAAGCCAATCATTCTTTCACCCGAGCACACAAGGGAGACACCTCCAACAAGGAGCGTGAAACCGCCTTGCAAGAGCTGGAAAACGGATACCTGAAGTACAAGGAGATCATTTCAAACCTTGAGGTCGGCCGCAAGTTCTACAACGACCTCGCGAAAATCGTCAGCAGATTCCGCGACGATGCAAAAGCCTTCGTGCATCAGCGTCGTATGGAGACGAGTCAATTGGAAGCGTAAGCCAACCCCTCCCATTCCTCGAAACAAATTACCCGTTTCAGCATGTGCATATCAAATACTCATCCTCACGTCTCACAGAGATATTTCCAACGTAACCGCCATGTCCTCGCTGCGCCTCTCTCAGCCTCACCTACACCAGACATCCCCCCAGCCAACCCGCACCCACCATCAGCCTTCTACCTACTCAGGCGTACCGCCAGTCCAGGCACCGGCACAGGTACCCGCTCAAACAGCCCCTCAACCCCCGGCGGCTCCGGCTCCAGTCCCTGTACAGATGCATTCCCAGCGGCCCTCAGCAACTGCCGCACCCCTGACCGCGCCGCAACCAGTACGCGCCGCGGTTGCTCCACCCTCGGTGCCGATGCCGGGCATGTGGTCGCCTGAGATGGGGATTCGATTTGACTCCGCTGGTGTGCCGCCCGGTGCGAATGCTGGACCTACGACGGCCGCGGGGAGGGGACAGACTGGGACGTGGGATCCTAGTCAGGGTGTGCGGTTTTCGTAGGTGTATAGAGATGAAGTGGAGTTGGGATTGTACATACGCATTTGTTAGATATTACTATTGCATACACTGAGGTGATGAAACAATGCTGTTACGATTTCCGAAATGGATCCAGGTAGGGAGTACAGTCAGGGTATACCTATAGAGTAGATCTCCGTCGATCTCCCACGTAAACACCAGGCTATCTAAACCCAATCCCGAGTCTTGGCCAAACAACATTCCAAGAGTGCGCAAGTACCAATTCTCCTCAAATTCGCCCCATCTACCCACAACAAGGCCCGCCACCCCTCAACGAGTTAGCCAGCCTGGCACAGCCTTCAGACATTTCAGGGTCACCTCCACCATCACCAGGCTTACGCAACACTCGAACGGATAAAAGCACGGAGTAACTATAAAGCGCCGCACCGACCTCCACCAGGGGCGGACGATAAACGCCAGTTGCTCAAAACCCATAATTGGTCAGCTTATCGACCGCTTTCATAGCCGCTTTTGCCCTGATGCCTTCTTCTTTCGGCCAGGGTGACGCTATTACTGTACTACCGATTTGACTATCCCCTTGCTTATCTTTTCTCTTGTCTTTTCTCTTCTCTTCTATGGTTATGTGAATTCTGCCGGACTTTCTGCCTTGGAAAATTGGTTTTGAGCAATTGGCGCTTATCGTCTACCTCACCACCAAACAACCACACTTCAGTGGCTAACAAATTAATGCAATAATACAAATACCTACATGAGACTAGTCAACGTTATGACCATCCAAGCAGCCTGTCAGAAACTGTTAGTCCGGTAGGGCTCGTGCCAAGTGTCTCTCTTCTCCGCACGCAAGAGGGTTCGTTTAGGGTCCTGATCGCAGGTGCCGGGTTTAAGGAGAGACATTGTCAGCCACAGTAGGGTACCGTAGCACTGCGAGGATTTTATTTCTGGACTGAGCAACCACTGAGTACTGTACTGTACTGTAGTAAGCGGGGGGTTAGCCACATCGGCTAATTAACGAAGTAACCAATCCAGCGCGGAGTGTCGCATCTCTTCTAAAGTTAAGCAGAAGCTTCAAGCTGCAGTGCTGGGTTATTATCTGACTTGTCGAGGGAATTGAACCCCTAAACCATTTAGCAATATGACCGGTAGTTTAGTACAGTATTTATTAGCTGGTAGCTACCCCCATAGACTTGGCTAGACTATTTAAGTGCTGTGACTACTTTAGCCCCTAGACCCCTATCCTGTCTAGCCCACATTTCCCTATACTGTATTCTCTGTACTAGTAATGCACTACCTCAGTAACTAATATCTTGCAAGCTCGACGAGACAGCCTCGAGGAGAAGGGGGGCGAGATTGGGCTTACTACAGAGTCTGTGCATGCAGCATTGTGCAAGCACTAGTCCATTAACAGCGTTAGCTCCACCGGCGGCGCCGTGGGCCTGCGGAGCGGAGCCTGGCTTTTTTTTTCTTTCCCTGCAGCAGCCATTCAGGGACTCGGTTTGCAGACGAGCACGACATCAGATTACGAGTACTCCCTGACTGACGTTTATGATGAGGGTTAGAGATGATCAGCTAATAATTAAGGGCTATTATGTGCTATGATTTTGTACAGTAAGGTTAAGGGTGGATAATTGGAGAAATTGGAGATTCTTAGCGGTCGGATTAGATCGTTCCATGGAAGCACGTTGTCGTATCTTAGTAATGTTTCTATTAATATCGATACGACTGTTTCCCTACGCACACTCGTACAGTCAGTAGTATATTTTTCATAAATACAGTACAGTGCGGAGCATAATACTGCCCTTTGCTAAACGCTACGCTTTGTTTAGCCTGACGGTTCGTCTGGCTCCCCCCAAGGCCCGAGACCTCCGGAGCCAAACCAAACGCAGCCAAACCGGATGCTGGCGGCGCTTACGGAGAATTCCAATTACCCTATGGTGGTTAAGCCACATGCGGTGTTTAAACCATTCTTGGATTGTAGTGCGGGATTTGTAAGTTGGAAAGAGGGGGGAGATGTCTGTCTTTACTCTTGTATGTCAATGTCAATCCGTTTGGACGGTGAACAGAATGATTGCTGTCAAGTACGTACAACTGGCAGCGGTGACGTCGACTAACCGTTTATCTTCTGCACTCGTGTACCCGCTGGACCGCTGATCCAGATGTGGTGGATCGCTGGGAAAGTGCGGTAGATGACATCAGTGCATCAGATAGAGAGGCCGATCGGGTCTGGTTTTAATTCAGGGTCTGTAACGATCAATTCGGAGATACAGTTGTAACTCGATAGGGTATGATAGTAGTAAAGAGATAGTATGAATAAGTATCTGGAGAAGGCATCGTTAAATCATATCAGGAGTACGTGGTTGGTGTGGCTGAATGGGAAAACCGGGAATTGGGGATTTGGAGAAACGAAAAAAAAACAAGATGGTTTATGGTTCGTTCGGGATTAGGATCAAATCTGATTTCATTGATCTTCTCCCCACGATCTACCTAATGATGTAGTTGATTTGCACTCTTTCTTTGAGACTCTCTCCCCGAACAAAGCGATCAGGGAGTCCGAAACTGAAACATACTGAGGGTAATGAGAGTGGCAGTGTTGAGCGGATAAGGCCGGGATGGTACTGTATAGTATACTCTGTATCCTACTACACTATGTACTACTGTCTTATTGTCTTATACACAAGACAATAATCGGCTATATTGCATATTTTATTCCTGTCCTCAGAAAAGGCCCCCCATTTAATCTTTTATGGATCTTGATGGAGTTAGTCTCAGGGTGTCTTATTTGTTCGGCTCTAGACGCCCGTTCCTTGCTGATCCAATCCATTATCCACCAAAATCCACCCCCCCACGACTCTAGGCCATCCTCTTTCTCATTTATTCTTATATATGATGCTGCCTTGCTCGGGCGCGCCCCCAATCCCAACCCCCATTTTTACCGCTTCCCGTCATGTACATCCCGCTGACCTCCAAATAATCCCATCACCACCTTCGCTGTCGACACCACTCGCTTGATCGTACGGCTCTTTCGCTCTCGCCCTCGCCCTCGCTTTTCTTTTTCCTTTTTCCCTAACCCGCACTGGGCTTAACCGGTCTTCCCAACTTCCACCATGCGGTTTCCGCGCTGGCTGGCCGCGGGCTGCTTCGCTCTCAGTATGGCCCCGCCCGTTGCCGCCGAGAAGTTACTACAATCTCACGCCCTCGTTCCATGTTCGAATGATGGAATTATTTCGGTCAACCATTTTGATATCGTCTTTACACCCGGGAATATGAGTGCGACGATTAGTTTTGACGGAGAGGCCACCTACGCCGGCAAAATTCGTATCGATCTCGAACTCTATGTCTATGGGTACAAAGCCACCACCAAATCATTCGATCCATGTGTCTTGAATGTCGATGCGCTCTGCCCACTGCAAAAAGATACCGCTTTGAAAATCGCAAATGTCCCGCTAGACCTCTCGGGCGTCGACTTGTCTATTATCCCGAGTGAGTTGTGATCGTGGTTGTCTTATCTGATAGGAAACCGCTCGTGCTTTGTTAAATGAATATCCGGATCCCGCCGGATCATCCCCAAATTCATGCTTGACTAACCTAAACCCTCATAGGTATTGCATATAGCGTCCCCGATCTCGATGCCTTGGTCCGTCTCGAAATTATAGACGCCGAAACTGGCGGCAAAGTGACTTGTGTCCAGGCCTGGGTCAACAATGGCGTGACGGTCGACCAAATGGGCGTGGCATGGGCCATGGCCGTTCTAGTCGGATTAGGACTTCTCTCCACGGTCGTCGTATCGATTCTCGGCCACGCTAATATCGCAACTCACGTCGCTTTCCGCACGTTACTCTTCCTCGGCTTCTTGCAGAGCCAGGCTATGTGGGGTATGACGGCTGTTAGCCAGCGCCCACTGGTTCAATCGTGGACGCAACTCTGGCAGTGGACGATGGGGTTGGTGGGTGCTCCGTTCTTGCAGACCATTTGTACTTGGTTTCAGCGTTCGACGGGTGGTACCCCCTCCCAGATTCTCACCCAGACCGATGAGTATTCGGTGATTATGCAGAAGCGCTCGTATGAGCCTGGATCGCTGGTGGCCCGTACCACGGATATGACGGTCGATGGTGGAGAAGTCGAGGTGCGAGGTATCGAGCGCGTGGGTTTCCGTATTAACATCGAGCCAACCAACATCTTCATGACGAGCTATCTGTTCTTCTACTTTGTGACAGTGGCTTTCCTCTTGGTGATCTTGTTCCTCAAGCTGGTTGTGCCCCGACTGGCCAAGAAAGCGAAAAGCGCAAAGATGGAGCGCCCGATGGTCGCAACATCCGATTGGAAGGACTTTATGCGCGGCAGTCTATATCGACTGGCTTCGATTGGATATCCGCAAATATGTGCCCTCGGTCTGTGGGAGTTGATCCACCGAGACTCCGCCGCCGAGATCGTCCTTGCCATCTGCATGTGGCTCACGATGACCATTGTTCTCTGCTGGGCAATCTTCAAGGTCTTCCAACGCGCCCGACTATCACGAACCCTCCGCCAAAACCCCGCCTACACTCTCTACTCCGACCCCGTCTGCCTCACTCGCTGGGGCTTTTTATATGTCAACTACAGAGCACAAGCCTACTACTTCATGATCCCGCTCTTCCTCTACACCCTCGCCAAGGGCCTCGTCATCGCCTTCGGACAGTCCAGCCCCCTAGCCCAAGCCATCGTCCTCCTCATCACCGAAGCAGCCTTCCTAGTCGCCACATGCGTGATTAGACCCTACATGAACAAAACGGCCAACGTATTCGCCATCATCGCCACAGTCCTCAACTTCCTCAGCTCAATCTTCTTCCTCTTCTTCACAAACGTCTTCAACACCCCCGAACTCGTCGGCGGCGTCATGGAAGTCCTCTTCTTCTTCCTCAACGCCGTCTTCGCCCTCGCCCTCCTTGTCTTCTTCCTCATCGGCTTCTACTACGTCGTCACCCTAAAAGAACCCGCCGAACAATACACCCGTCTCGCCGATAACCGCTCCTCCACCGTTCTCGTCGAAGACCGCCGTATCACCGAGCTGCAGCCGCTGGAGAAGAACCTCGAAGTCGAGGATGGCCATATGACATCCCGTGGAAATGTCTGGGAACCTGTTTCTACCCGGTCAACATCTGAAGAGGATATCACTGAGGCACCGCAGCAGCCATTCGGTCACACCCTGCAGCCAACTCTACCTTCCATCCCGACCAGTGACTCTGATAGCTTACAGTCACGGCGGTACGATGTACCACGGCAGGAAGAGCGGTTGGTTTGAAAATACCCGCCCCTTCTATCTACCTACCTACATACGCCACCATCTCTCCTTTTACATGTCTATATCTGCATTCATTTTCCTGCATCTTTCTCCTTTCTGTTTATAGTGATGACCACCCTCTCATTTCCAGCCAGTTTCTTTGCACAGTTGCACATTTTTCGGAAGAGAAGCCCCGGGAGCTTCGATACATGGGGACCTCGGCGTTGGGCTCTGCATTCATTTTTTTTTCTTTTTTCGTTGTGTATATATGGGCCTTGGCGTTTGACTCTTTTCGACTCTTGACTCTGTGGATACTTGCACTTGCATTTACGGTGGCATTAGATACTTCGTTAGAGAGCCGTGGGCTTGATTATGGAACGTATGATGTCCTCGGGATGAATGAATGCCTCCAAATTGGAGAGCTATCGAATACTTTTTTATTTCAAGAAATGATGTGCTTGTATGTGCTTCATTAGACATTAGACATTGATGTAGAAACAAGTTGTAAATATGCAAAGTATTATACAGAAGTGTGGGTTTGATGCATGGACACTGTACTGTTCAATGCAGTCTCCCCACTTCTCGGTCGATCATGCTATCAGTCCAAACGTGGTGATGGGCTTGATTTGAACCATGGTTTTCGGGACGACCCAGCCCGTTTCGCTTCATGCAGTCCGTAATGCAATAATGCAAGGGCAACAACCTTATTTTCGACAATTGCGCCACAGTAGGCAATGCCAACTGCCAAAAGGAGTTCTGCCTTGAAATCTCTCTCTCTGAACATCAAGACTCACCAAAAAGCCTAGTGACCCTTAGCCACCCCATTCCCCTTAACAACTCCATTCTGACTACACCCAACCTCCTCTCCATCCGACTCATCCTCCGACCGATCATCCTTCTTCTCGCCCGTGGAAATAAACTTCCACGCACTGCGCAGCAGACAATACAGCCAGAAGAGATTGAGACTCTGCAGCATCGCCAGCAAAGCGAAGGTGATGATATTCGAGATCCAGCATTTATACTGCTGCGTCTCCCAGTTCAGCTCGTAAGGACCAACGGTGCGGAACTCGGTTAGTAGCGACCAGAGGATGCGGAGGTTCAGGTAGTGACGCAGATAGATCCATGTACCGACGTTGAGGGCGTAGAAGGGGATGACGAGTTCAGAGTCGATATAGTGGAAGGATTTGGAGACCTGTCATATAAGAATATTAGTAAACCGAGTATAACCAGCAGAGCAAAAAAAAGCAATTCATCACATACCGCAAGGAAGAAATCACTGATATCATGCGTGATATACACAGCAATACCAATATACGTAAAATGGAACCGATAACTCAGCCCAATCAACGCCAAAGTAACAATATGATGCGCAACAAGCTCCCTAAAATCCTTCCTAGGCTTCTCCATCCCCAAAACCATCACAAGCGCCTGCTGCGCCCAATACGCCGCCTCAAACAGATAATAAAACTTAAACGCCGCCTCATGCGTCAGATGCGGGAATAACTCATACATGCCCCTGGTATTAAAATACCACACCGGCGTCTGCCGCATAACATATAGTCCGACCGGTCCAGAGATGCCAAAGTATATCGCCGTGTACATCTGCTCCATGAAGCGCAGCTGTTTACCGCGGGATTTGATGCCCGAGGCGCGCGCGAGCGGGTCCAGGAGTTCTTGCATGATGAATTCCCGGGTGAAGGTTAATACGATCGTGTAGAAGGATACGAAGGCGATGTCCCACAGGCCCTTGCCGTATTGGGCCGGTGCGCTCGACCCTGTGGCCGGGTCCTGGCGGTAGGAGAGGAAGATGAAGTGGTGGATTATGTTGGACTCGGTCGGGTCGAGGGCGTAGAGCGAGGCGAATGCGACTAGGAGCAGGAGGGGGATGGACCAGGTATGCTTGATAGCGCGCCTTTTCAGCCGTCGCAGGAGTGAGCGCGGCTTCTTGCGCGTGCGGCCCGGTTTGACATCTTCGTGTCGTGCATGGCCGTTGGAAGCGGGTTCGGTCGGAGCTGGAGCTGTTGATGTTGGTACAACTTGCTCGGTCTTGCGGCGGCGGGTGGAAACTCCGTTGACGGTGGATCGCTGGGCAGCGAGGGTGCCGGAGTATGTGGGCGCCGCCATCTGGATGAGGGATTGGGGAACGGGGGGAGGAGAGGAATGTCCGCGGAGGAAAAGGTGAAGACGTGTTTGAATATTAATCGCCTTTTCCCCCACTCCTTTTTGATTTGTTCCAATCACCGGAGGAGTAAGGCTGTTGAAGGAGCGTTTCATCTTACAGATCCGATTTGTCCCCTTTTTGGGTTTAGTTGATTGTTGTGGAGGCCCGAGGCTGCGAATGAGAGGCCCCTGTTGTTCTCGGAGTCCGCGCATGCCGATGACCGATATTTTAATCGGGTAGGTGTATTGGGGGATTTCTATTGAAAATGTGTTTAGAATTGGAATTCTGAAAAACAGGCTCATCGATCAAGATAAACGTAGGGTTATACTTAATCTTGTTGATGTCTAGATATATCGGGGCGAGGACCCGAGCGGGTGCCAAGATATATATTCCTAATACCAGGCATGCTTGATGACATGGGTTGATATTGCTCGAATTCAGTAGAAGATTGAATGATACTTATTTATGATATTCAATGTAAGACGGTAGAAATCTTCACCAGAATATTGCTAGCGCATGAGTGTGTGGGACGGCAACGTACAACCTTGTGGATCGCGTGAATTCAGTCAATGCCGAACCAAGATGGGAGATTCTAGATTTGAAGGAAGTTCCCAAGTTCCGTTTGTAGCTTGCTGTTACTCAAATTCAGTAAAGAAGCACTTTAAAAGGCCGTTCTACCAACACAAAGGAAGTAAATCTTTTCTTTATTCCCCAGACCTAGTTCTATATCATTCCGAACCCCCCTCATACATACAGTATACTTAACTCTTTAGACATATATCCCCTCGTATATTTCAAGGCAATTTATATTCTACCCTGATATTTGCACGAGATGCCTACGAAAACCTCCTTGAGGAGTTCACTGGCAGCCCACCAGCATACCTGAAGCGATATGAGTTTGTCGAAGGCAACGAGGCGGATGTGGAATGGATATGGTATTGCGATTTACCAAGCCTTTCTCTCCACTGTTGATTTGTGACGCTAATTGATACTTTTGGTAAGTACAGACACTGAGATACTGGGCATGACCTGTTACTCAGTAAAGTTAGTTCAACTTAGCACCAGATACAACCATCGGGCTACCTTGAAGTCTGAAACCTACGCGACCCAGAACAGTGGGAGCCTGAGCACTTATACTCCAGATACGTCTCCTCCTTCGAGCAACACCATCTAGATCGGCAACTTGAACGACTTGGAAAACATATCCGTCGTGATACGAGCTCTGTGAACGCTCAACGACCCGCTCTTAAAACCGGGCCTTCTCTCTTCAGACCCCTATTCACAGGTATTTCCCGGCATGGAAAGCCAATCTCTGACGAGCAGATACAAACTCCTGTCGCTCGAGACCCGTGACCGAATGGAATCTGCTATGCTACAAGCCACCAGCCAGCACCCGGTCTACCCTTGCTGGGTCTGCAGCGAGGAGGAGCAGGATACTCGAACAGCTACTGTGATTACGCCTGTGAATATACCGGTACTGGTCTTACCAACGCGAAGCTGAAGTCTTCAGGTAAACGCAACCCTCCGGATGATCATCTACGGCGAAACATCGAAACATTTGCCCAAAACAGAATGGCTATTTTGGAATCTAGAAGAAGCTTGTCAGGATTTGATTGTGATATGTGACTGACATGCCGCACATATCATGTCCCGATATTGCTTCAGATACTGGATTTGAGGTATTTCATGTTGGTGCCTAGGCAGGCGCCCCAATCTATGCAAGGCGTAAACAGTGGGGCATGGGGTTGACTGCCTTACTGAGAGATCGAGTTACTTATTCACAAAGCCCGCATGATCGAGGATGAATTCGATGCGTTGGTGTGACTCTGTACCATGGAAGGACGAGGGGTTAAATTTTTGTCGCTGGTGCCTGAGACCTGGGGTGGTAGACCTTATCGCTGGGTTGCCTTGCATCATCTTACTCTGTGATCTTGACGGGCTATGTGAACATGTACGGGCCATTCAATTAGGAACATTAAAGCTAAAATTATTTCAAAAATGAGTTTCGCTTAGTACCGATAGGCATTGCAAGTTCCGAAGGTAGAATATACTTGTATGTCCGGATTGGAATAACCTCTAGGAATTTAAAAATAATAAACATGAAACTAGTAATGAATTCCCTGTTTTTTTGCTTATCGATGTGCATTGTGCTATCATAATTGCTTCTGTTGTGATAATACGCGGCGAGGGACGTTTCAAGCTCTCTACCTAAGCAGCTCGGACTGAATTTGGTATAACCGCCAACACGTGGGTGTTTAACAATCTCCTAAGAGCCAATTCGCGACAGAATCCCTAGACCTTGGTAAGGTTATAGTTGGTGCTCATATATTCCCTGATTCTTATCATGATAAAACCTAATAAGCCCGCAGTGATATCTTAAGTCTCTTCGTTTTCTTAAGACAGCGAGATAGCCGAGATTACATATGGGTCTACTGGCAGAAAAATGCCACGTAGTTTTTGCAAGACACCAGAGTCTTGAGGCTATGCCCCACCTTTCGTTGCATTTGACAGATTCTGCGTTGGTATTTTCAAAGGTAGCACTCCCTAGAGCTTTCAGGCCAGGCAGAGAAGTCGTGTCGTCATAGCTGTCCAATGAAATCTCTAAATCAGTGGAGCTAGCATTGCTCATCGTGTGGAGGAGAAGAAGCCCGATACGATGAAAGACAAGCAGCGGTCGATGCCCCAATTGCAAGGATAGCTATGAATACTGACAGCTGTTTACATTGGTACTTTTGATCATAAGAGGGGGGGGAAAGAGGAGAACTGTAGAGATGATTGACTCAAAAACAGCCACAATCTGGAAAATGGGGGGAAAGCCACGACCCACAGGGCTGTGTATCATCCGACTGACTATTTTGTACGCTATTTCTTGCCAGTGAAAGCCTCTCTGCTCCAGGGTCAAGTGACCTCAATTTGGAACTGAGCACATCGATAAAGGAGGCGAATATGTTCTGACTCGTCGAATGTGATCATAAAGTGGAGAATTCTAGTGCTTCGTGGTGGCCAGTTAGCAAGGATTCTTAGGAATTTGTGTTTTCTCCACTTTCCGAAATGATCATCACTTCGGTACGCCCCACACAAGGTGAAAGGTAGAGTCAATGATTATTCTCCCGACCGTTTCGGTTTCCTTCAAAATTGGAGATTCTATTTCGGGGATTGACAGATCATTGATAGCCGTGATCGTGAATCATCAAAAGGATTTAACCTTCAGATCTAGGGTTAGCTCCCGGTACTCATAGCTACCCTGGTCAAAAAGGCTGATATGAATTATGTCATTATCACATGAAATAGTAAGAGGCAATAAACCGTCCATTCGAAAGCCACCCTCGTCGCCAAGGAGATGCCAAGGAAGCTAGACTCTCGTACAACCCCGCTTCCGGGGGTATCGCGCTGAGTCGCTGACAGAGGAAGCAGGCAACATGATAACGCCCGCCCCTCTGGAGGAGCGGAAATCTGATCAAAGATGCGACGGAGCTGATCCATTTGCTAACAGGGCGCCTACACTCATAGAACCCATGTCAATAATACCGAGCTGACCCCAGGCCCTCCGCTCAAAACCAGATTCCTCCTACAATTCTCAAGATTAAAAGGCCTAGGGACGCCCAAGGAAACCTAAAAAGTGACCAGCATTCTTGGACAACCGACGGTTTTACGAGCCGCAGCAGCCAAGACAGATGGCTTCTACCTGCAGCACCCCGAACAATGCGGATTTCCACGACAAACACATCAAAGGAAGCTCCCCCAAGGGTCTTTCTCTTCTCAGTCTGCTGAAAAGGAGTGGCAATCATCTGCGCCGATCCAGCAAAGATGATACCCAGCGAGCGTCAGATACGGCTTATCAAGCGACGCCGACCGAGAAATTTGGCTCCGTACAGCACATTGATTCAGCAAGTCAATTACCTGACAAAGATGTGAGTGGGAAATCGCCTCCAGCAGTCAATTCGACCAAGAAGCCGCCCGTTTCAATCCTGCGAAAGAGCAATTCACTCGACCTCGATTCCATTATCTGGGATGATTCATCAAGAGATCGCCAGAATATGCAAAGATCAGTCAATCTGGACGATATGATCGCACGACTCCTCCAGGTTGGACACTTGAAACCATCAAAGAGTGTCTGTCTCACTAATGCGGAGATCATCGCTGTTTGCTCGAATGCGCGCAACCTACTTCTCTCTCAGCCGGTTCTTCTGGAACTGAATGCACCGATCCAGATTGTCGGTGATCTACATGGGCAATTCCCAGATCTCGTTCGTCTTTTTGATACGTGCGGCCATCCCCCCGCCACCAACTACCTCTTCCTTGGAGACTATGTAGACCGCGGCAAGCAAAGCTTGGAGACGATGTTGCTCCTTTTATGCTACAAGCTCAAGTACCCAGAGAATTTCTTCATCCTACGAGGTAATCACGAATGTGCCAACATCACCCGTATCTACGGATTCCACGACGAATGCAAGCGACGCTGTAACATCAAAATCTGGAAGACCTTTACCGATGTTTTCAATTGTCTCCCCATCGCCGCTATTGTTGCAGAGAAGATATTCTGCGTTCACGGTGGTCTTTCGCCGAATCTTACAAACATGGATGATATTCGGAAAATATCTCGACCGATTGAAGTACCCGAGTACGGACTTCTGAACGATCTTCTTTGGAGCGACCCCGCCAACATCAAGGATTGGGGACCGAATGACGATCGCGGTGTGAGTTGGTGCTTTGGAAAGGCGCCCATTGTTAATTTCCTCAAACATCACGGATTGGACTTGGTTTGTCGGTCGCATATGGTCGTGGAAGGAGGGTATGAGTTCTTCGGAAACAAGTCGTTGGTGACGGTGTTTTCTGCACCGAATGTAAGTCTTCCATACTTTTGTCCGAGTTTATTGTGTCAGTGGCACAAGCTGACGTCGTTGGTCCAGTATTGCGGGGAATTCGACAATTGCGGGGCTAGCATGTCCGTTTCGGAAGATCTTTTGTGCAATTTCAATCTTTTGAAACCGTTCGACGCGAAGAAGTTGAACAAGCAAATGAGGAGAGCGAAGGAGTCTACGAGGACAGAGAAAGCTTTGTAAGTTTCTACGGGTCCTTGGCTGTGGAGTCCCCTGTTTCGAGTCCAAGCTAACATCGTGAAAGGCTCCGCCAAGTATCGTGGAATTGATCTCTATCTGAAGCTTGCATGATCTATGAACATCATATTGTATCTGTGTAGAATATTCTGAATACCTTGTTAATCGCGTGTTTCAATATGCCAACGGAAACGAATAACGATTTCTATTATACTTCCAGTACCCAGCCAAGTAAGACCATTTATAGCATTCCAAAAACCAATCAATTGAGTGAACAGACACTTGCCTGCTCTTTTGTCTGAACCGAATCAGAGATTGTGGTACGAAATATGCTCAAAGTGCCAATCGCGCAGTGAAAGACTATTGGAGGCTGTATGAGACCTGGTCCTCTGCTGGGGGCTGAAATCATGCCAACATCCACACGGCAACCGAATGTTTCATTAAGCGAGCACAACCAATGGAAAAATGAATGCATATGCATATAACCAATACCCATTGCAAAAAATCGACGTGGCGCAAATTGATTGTCATACAGGAACATCTACGGTGCCATCTCAACAACCGAACAAGCCTTTCGTATGCGTGGGGGCGGGATTCGTGTATTCCTGCAGGCCAATCACAAAAGTCAACATCAGCTCCAGAACGAAGAAAAAGTGGGACCTCTCGCACTCTACCCTTGTAAATAGGTTGTCTAATTGCGCTCGGGCCTGGAGATGTGCATCGTGCTCTATGAGTTCAACATACAGCCGCCCGTATCTGGTAGAGCTAGTATTTCAAATGGAGGTACATTTCGGGCTGAAAGTAGAATTAGAGCCATTTAGAACTGTTAAACCAAGCTATAAAAAGATGTAACCACCCGTAGGAGTCCCATCATTTAAGAATTCTTCTAAATATTCACTTGGTGTACCTTCGATCTACATCGCCATGGGTAAAGGGCTCGCCAGATTGATTGGCTCGGGCATTGGCTTCACTTCTGAAGCAATCCATGCCGCCCGTCGCCAAAATACAGACTCTACATCTACCTCCAACTCCGAGACCCCTCGCTCTCTTCCTGGTACGGAGAAGGAGGATGACCAGTACGTCGTTGCCGATAGCGAGCGACCCGACGCCTTCCTCGACCGCGAGATCACAAAGCGATCCAACGAATCGAAGGTCCCGGGGTACTCGGAGCTTCCAGTCGACGACCAAACCCAAGAATTTGCCGAAGAACAGCGAGAGAGCCATAATGACTACGTAGATGGAGAAGAAAACGGCCCAGCCTACTCCAAGGGCGATGTAGAGCGCTCAATGGACGAAGATGAGGCCGCCTGGCAGCTGGATGAGGCCGCTGAGCAGTGGGGATTGCCGGCGTATGAGGAAGATGAATATTTTTCTGGTGATTCTGCTACTCAGATGAACCACGAGGTAAATCCTGAGAGTGAGCACGCTCCAATGACTGAGAATGACTTCGAGGAAACCAAGGAGAAGAAGCGAGATGCCATGGTTCGCGCCCTTGTACAGATGGCTGGACCACCTGGACCGGTGCGACGGCTCCCTTGTCCTGTTATCATCCCTCAGAGGAGACCTGGCGCGAAGAAGCGTGGATTCGTGCGTGCATATGCGCCTGTGCTGGCCGATTGTGGTATCAGCCAAGACGTCTTCGTGAAGTTCATTAGTGACTTTCACAAAGCTAGTCAGGTTGGTTGGCCCCCAATCACCTCTCTTTGTGGAGTTTCAAAACCTGAGACAAATAACTGACCATGTTATAGGCATCCTTATGGCTTCAGGTCATCGTTGTCGCTGCCAACGTAACCGGATTCTCCCCTTCATTGACTGTCGCGTTAACAGCAGCTGCCATTCAAATCGTAGCCGAAACAGCTATGCAATTCCAAATCCGCCACCGCACCAACAGCTACCTCGACAAGGTGAACCAAGAGTTGTTCATACCCCGTGGCCAATATGCTATGGTTATGAAATTCAAAGAACGTAATCTTAGCCAAAAGCAGGAATCTTCGGGTTCATTCTCTGATATGCTTGGCGGGCTTTTCTCCACCGAGAAGGTCGATGTTAGCCAGTCAGGTGTGAAGTCCGAGGTTGATCCAGCATCGACCCAGCCTACCACAAGTAATATATTGGAGTTCAATGCAGCCGCGACAATCTCAAAGTTCACTCATAGCGAGGAGCACCCGGAGATGAATGCGTGGACAAAAAAAATGAAACACTATCGGGATGTCAGCGGTAGGACTCATGGTGCGCTCGAGCTTCCAGAGTGCGCACCTCTGATCTTCCCAGACATTGATCGAGCTGCGATGCGGGTGAGAGAGGGGGAAGGAGCCCAAGTCGAAGTTCCAAAGTGGGAGGACTTGGGTTAGAGATTACATTGACCGAAAGTCGCAGGCAGAATTTGTGAGTATAATTTAGTTTCTTATGACTGAACTGAGTGCTAACAAGAACTAGGAAGCTGATCACAAAGGATCTGCTTTAGCGGTTTCCGAGTCCGGAAGAAAGGCCTTTAAGTCAAGATACAATGATCCCAGCCACCCAGCAAACAACGGCAAGCTCCTCTCGGCACTTACCGGCGGATTGTATAATCCTAAGCCTGGTCTAATCGAGCGAGCTGGAATGGCCATCAAAGAATCGCAAGATAAGAAGCGAGCTGCGCAAGGACTGCCGCCTAGTGAGCCCTGGAAGGATAAGTTGCGAAGGAAGAAGAAGGAGCAGACTGGGCGGCTTAAGATCCTCCAGGAGGATGTGATCTATCTGATGATTGTCAACATGCCTACGGAGGAAGAGCTCAAGGAGTCAGTTGCGGAGCTGAGGCATCTCATGGAGACTGAGGGGCGGACTCTTCCACCCGGACACTCTCGACGGTAATGGGTATGCTCATATCTATTGTCTCACGTAAAATCTTACTCTATGTGAGATTCTTGCATGGAAGCAGAATATTGAAGATATCCAATCTACCGGTTTAATGTGTTCCATTATATAATGAATTCTATTCTGTCAATGTAAAACAGCACTTGATCTAGGCCTCGTTGTTCTCCAGATTCAACACAAGTCTCCGCACGAAGCTTCCGACCTCATCTATATGCTCACCCAGCCATGTCTGGAACTTGTAATCTCTTGTCTTATCGCTTTCAAAATCGTACAAACCCGACTCTCCATCCGGACCAAAGCGCATGAATCTACCATTCTGGGAGAATGGCTCCCATGGCTGGTTTCCATGGGCAAAAGCAGTCCAGATTCGAGCAGCCTCCAAGGCAACCTCTTGTGTTGGTGGTGGGCAATTCGGCAACTCATTCAAATGCATAAGCATTGCGCAAAGACCGTGGTATGAGATGCCTTGAGTGGGACCCGGGAAGGGGGAAGGCTCCTCAAAGTGGTATAGGTAGACCTTGTCTCTCCAGGCGTCAGAGGTCTTGGAAGCCTTAGCAATGCCGACGTGTGAATAGTTGAACAAAGTATTTCCAATAAGAAGCCTGAATGCTTTGCGGAACTCCTCCTCGGATTGTGGCTCACGGCTGAAACCGAATTTGAAGTATAGTTGCTGGGAATTTTCAGCTGAGAAAGCCTCGTTAACCACTTCATGGAAGCGATCTTGAGACAGACGCTTGAGTAGACCATCAAAGATGATAGCTTCGACATTGGTGTCTCCCAAGATAATTTCTTTGCATCGCTTGTTGGAAACATTTTCATCGTAGGTCCATCCCGACTTGAGCAGCTTGCCGTCCGCAACGGGGCCCATGGCAGCAGGGGTTGCCTTTTTCATAATCTCATCGACACTCAGCGACCGGAGCTGTTCTAATCTTTCAGCTGCAGTTGAGGCTTTAACTCCCGTGTTCTCACACAGACGGTTCCAGTCTCTTTGATAAACCTCCGGCTCCTTGGGACTCAAAACAGGGGCTGAGCCCGACATCATGATAGCACGATCGAACAGAGCGTGCTCAGCAAGGAGATGCAAGTGAATACTGACACTCCCAGCGCTAACACCAAAGACGGTAATATTGGAGGGATCTCCACCAAAGTCTTGAATATGCTTGTTCACCCATTCAAGACCGTTGCGTTGATCGACGAATCCGTAGTTGCCAACGGGGTGAGTTCTGGAGCCGCCATTGACCTCTTCGGCCAAGTCTTCGGAAGCCGAGAAGCCCAAAGCACCGAGTCGATAATTTATTGAAACAAGGATGATCGGGGTGCCACACTTGCGTGCGTGCGAGACGAGTGCCTGTGGACGATACCGAGCGACCGAATTCGCACCGAAAGCAAAGCCACCACTAGAAAAGAAACAGATGTTAGAGTGGTCGTAAATCACACGCACTTAGGATAATACTCACCCGTGAATCCAGACCATGACTGGCAACGGCTTAGAATTCGAGCCCAAATCTTCTCTTGGTACGGCAACATTCAGATTCAGACACTTAAACTCATCATCTCCGGGTAGGGGATCATTGGTTCCTCCAGACACCAGTACCATGCCGTTCAGTTGGCTACATCGGTATCCAAGTTTCGTCGCGTCAAAGTCATTGTCGAGGGAGTGCAATGTCTCGCTGTGAGCCCAGCGCTTGCTCACGGTCGCGAATGGAATGCCTCGGAACAGAGCAATATCGTTCTCTTGATCTAATGATCCGACAATATTCGCGCCAAGGGATGGCGCGTTGATGGATATTTTGTCCCCGTTCGTCATTTGTCCGATATAAGATACAGTCCAGGGGTCGAGATGCAACCAAGGAGGAGTCCTCTTGAACAACTGACTGGAATCTACGAGGCATGGAGGGGTATATAAGTCCGGATAATCAATCTCTGCACCCTGCGGGGCTACTCATGTGGAGACGATTGTCAAGCTGCGGCTAAGCTTTATGCTGCAAACTCTTCTTCCCCAGGTCTTGAGCTTTTCTTTGATCCACATCGAAGAATTTTGGGCAATTCTGCTGCCAGAGTCGCAGGGCAACAGGACTTAAACACGCAGTGAGCAATATCATCACAAATTTGGTCTTTACGAGATGAGTTTTGCTATAACATTGGGATATCCCATTTGACAGCGAGGGAGAACACTTTTCCTAACAGCAAGATTAGTAAATTATAAGCGAGGTAATAGCCGAATCTACTACCGGTTGCGAGTGATGCTTCGGCTAGTGGCTTGAAGCCTGACCCAAAAGGATCTAGATCGATTCCTGGGGCCCCAGATAGCTGGCATTCTCGGCAATACTTCGGCTCCACCTCCAGCTCGAAATGCGGGGAGGAACTGATCACAGGGCCCAAGTTGTGTTCATTATGGGGATTTTCCGACGCAATATATATCGGATAAGCGCTATACCGCTATGCAAAGATTAGGCGAGATGATTTTGTGGCGTTCATAGCATCTATGAAACGAACATCCGCCCATGGGAGTTTTTTGTTAAAAGGCGTGGGTCTCTACGACTCCCCCAGATTCTCCAGACTCCCCAGTTTCTCCAGGTTCTTGCAAGCCCTGGGTTTTTCTATTTTCTGTCCTTACACTCTCTGTGTTTGACCAATTCCCAGAAAATGGCAGCACAAACAAACAAAGATGGCGCGGAGGCCATTGAGATGGAGAATCCACCAATGACCCGACCGGCAGTGCTTGCCGAAAAGCTCCCAGATGGAGATGAAGCCCTTCAGATTCTTCAGACTGAGTTCGTGGAATATAGCGCCGAGGAAGAAAGACGGCTGCGGTGGAAGATTGACCTACGACTGGTTTCGGTCATGTTGATTGTGAACGGAATTCAGTTTGTTGATAAGTTGGTATGCAACTGTGCCCAAGTAACCTACTTTTTTTCGAGATACTAATGTTTTAAAAGACTATTAGCTATGCGGCAACGTACGGCATGATCACCGAAGCCCACCTGAAGGGGCAAGAGTATAGTCTGCTGATCACTCTGTTCTACATTGGTTATCTTGTATGGAAATTCTTCCGATTCCTCCCCCACGCCCGAGTCTTGAAACTGACACTGGACTTTCATTGCAGGTTGCCCAATATCCGACTAATTACCTGATGCAACGATTCCCTACTGGCAAATACCTGACTGTCAATTTCATCCTCTGGGGTTCGTTTCTTGTCCCAAATCCAAATATGAAGCATCATCTAACATTTCCAAAAAGGTATCACGCTTGCTGCGACTGGAAGCGCCCGAAGCTTCGCAACACTAGCCCCTGCCCGATTCTTCTTGGGAGTCTTCGAGTCCTGTCTCAACCCTGGCTTCGTTCTGATTTCTTCATCTTGGTGGAAGAGAGAAGAGCAGGCAGCTCGTATCGGTCTTTGGTATAGTGCGAACGGATTGGCATCAGTCCCGGCAGGTGTTCTTTTCTGGGCTATCGCACACATTAATGTAAGTGCTATCGAGATCCTTGCTTATCTCGATCAGAATATTGATGAGAACCCTAGGTTGACAACATCTTCCCCTATCAATGGATGTTTATCATCTTCGGTGCCTTGACTGTCCTTGTGGGAGCCAGTCTGTGGTGGGTTCTCCCGGATACTCCTCTCACATGCCAATGGCTCTCAGACCGAGAGCGAATTATTGCTGTCCAACGTCTCAAGGACAACCGGACCGGTGTCAAGAACATCCACCACAAGAAGGATCAGGTTATCGAGACTCTCTCCGATTACCGCGTGTGGATGTTGCTGGTTGCTATCTTCTGCCACAACATGACCAACAGTCTGCAGACCAACTTCACCGGAATCATCATCAAGGGTTTCGGATACAACACTTATCAGGCTGTGTTGCTTCAGATCCCCGTTGGCGCTATTATGGCTGCCTCGATGATCCTCGTCGGCTTCTTCCTTTCATCAAAGTGGGGACAAGGCAAGCAGATCTTTACCATCATTGCCTGCTACATTCCAGGAATCATTGCATGCGGCATCCTCTACGGTGTTCCCGTGAAGTCATCTACTCTTAGCTCTCATCTCGCCGCCATTTTCCTGATCCCGATCGTTGCCGCAGCTGGAGGCATGATGTACTCGATCCTCGCGGCCAACATCGCAGGATATACCAAGAAGACCGTGACTGGCACACTGTTCTTCTCAGCCTATTGTGTGGCAAATATTATCTCGCCGCAAACTTTCCTCTCTCGGGAGGCACCCAAGTATACGACTGGTGTCTTTGTCACCCTTGCGGCTTTTATCATCAACATCATCCTGTTCTCGGTCTTGTATGTTGTCTATTCGAGGGAAAATGCCGCACGCAGACGCGAGATTGAGGAAAGTGGGGATATGGATGATGTGAGCGATTTAGCTAATGCGTTCTCGGATCTGACGGATCGGCAGAACCGCCGGTTGATCTACAAGGTTTGACCTGAAAATGGGTCAACTGGTGTCTAGATAATGAGGTTTACGTGATAAGCGAATTGGATTTGACTCGGAGGATGTAATTCATGATTCATAAATATTATAGCTTGGTTAGATGACATGAAATCAAGCATAATTTCAATACAGAAGCCATTTTAGGCAAGAATAGCAGATCGTCCCGTGATATTCTTGGAATATTGTGTGGACCTCCCTCCAAGTAAATGTTCCTGAGCGCTCTCAAAATCCCTCATCGACGCCGGAAGCTCAAAGTGTTTCTTGATATGTATGTAGTCATTCTGGTTTTCTCCGTGTGGTACGTTCAATATATTCACTGTCGGCCGTTCGTAAACGGGTTGATTCAAACGTGTCATCGACCGGACTATACGATCCAGTTAGCATCTTTCGTTGCAAATCATGAGTGGATCGAAGTACCATCGCTAGAGCTCGAGCTAAATAGCAACACGGGCTGACCCTGATGATCTCCTTCCTCTCTTTGCTCGCCCTTGTCGCGTAGATCCCACCGGCGCTTTGATGGCGGCGGTATAAACTCTTTCACGGGCTTCTCCGCCCCACTGTATCGACCTCTTGACGCGATACCGGCACCCCAGCGAAGCCGGATCTCATAGCCTTCACAGGTGACTCCTCTGGAGCTGCACTTTTGACAACCAGGCCGAGTCTCGTCGCATTGGATTCGTTTCCGTTTGCACGTCCAGCAGCCTTTATGGGAGCGATGTCGGGCGCTGGAGGCGTCTTTTCTTTTGGTATCTGAAGAGGCCATAGCTTTATATTTAATGGAGAACACGATGGAAAGGAATTTCGAACCGATAAACGGGACTTGTGTCCCTCATTCTGTTCATATAGCTCCTGCGAAGTATAACACCGCGAACGAGCTACGCGCTCTGATTGGCTGATCAAACGTCTCAGCCGCGAATAAATAGCGCGCTCTAAACCTTTCTAGGGAGTGCTTTCCGGTCGAGGTGCAAGGGCGAGCTTATATTTGGCTCGCAAATTCCCTCGCAATGTCGAGCGACCTGTGAATTAGCCTGACTTATAAATGAATTGCTCGCTAGGTCTAGAGTCGGTCCGTGTCGGCCTCCTCGGGGGATCGCCACGGGGAAGCGCGGCGCCTTTTCGCCTCGGCAACCCTTTCGGGAAGGTACACGCACGCACTACTGTATATTACATACATCACCCACAAGGGTCCACTAAATTAACTGACGATGCAGTATCGGCAGGGTGGACTAGGCAGATTAGGCTAATGTGTCGCTTGTACTCCAGGAATCGTCCGATGGTACCTTGTTTGGTGGCATGGTTGGGTTAGCTAGTGCGATCTACGGTCGGCTACCCCAGAATTCGTAGGTTGTAGCGAAAATTTGCAACACGTTTCGACCCATGAACAAAAAAAGCCGAAGCACTGGCGTCTCACGAAGCTGAGATATGAGGAGAAGGAATGTAATGTCAGCTAGCAAATTACAACGTGAATCTCACGATCGCGAGTGCACCTTCTGCAAGCCGCGTCTACCTTCCCAAACGGGAAGATTCAATCTTACGTGCACGATGTCCTATTGGAGACAATATTTAAGCAGAATCCGGAGAACGAGGACAATGCCTGGTCTAGTACCCAGCGGCAAGTCTAGGCTTCAAAAGCGCCAAGTGGGCCATTTCGGCGGACTCATAAGACCCCATACCCCGACTAATCGTGAAGCCGACTTGATACCTCCAGGTACAGGTGCAACTCCAATGGCATTATAACCTGCTCGAAGACTTCCCTCGCTCCATACCGAGCCTTGGCACCGATAATCCGGTTGGTACTTGGCAGCACCAGCGAGTATACCTTCTACATTGAGCATCCAAAATAACCCCCATTGACTTATTCACAAACTCATAGCATTTCAGATTAGGGTACTTACGCAACGCTGAAATTGGAAGGACTTAAATTAAACAAGGCCGAGTGCCCCTAGCGCAAATTCACCGCTTGGCTCGTTGGATTTGGCTTCCTGTGCGGTGGAAGTATATTTGAAATTTGAGCAAGATCACTCAGATGTGCTCATCAACGGGCGGCCAGTCTTGTACTCTGGGGGCGAGCCTTGGGACACTCTATAATATCAGTACCAACGAAAACGAGGTAGATAGAAGGTACCAATATTTCGATAGAGCGACTGGAAAGAGACAACCCTGGTGGATCGGCTGCAACCTCATAGAGAAACGAATTATAACCAATAATCAACAAAAATGTGATAATTTGCCATTCGATTGCAAGGAATCATCGAAACATCGACATATTTTTTAAAGTACGGCTTGACTGGTTTGAAGCGCCCTAGCCACCAGTGTGAACAGTTTTATTTACGTCATTCCACGACTACTCCCCACGTGGCCGATAGTGCCAAGGTGCTTAAGGTTGCCATAAGATATATTGATGGAAAAGATGGATATCTATATTCTAATGGGCTCTAGTCCAAATCACTACTATCTTCCTCTAGCATTAACTGTGATTTCCCAGACCAGCTAGATAAAAAGGAAAGTCTGATAGAACGATAAAGAACGAACTTCCTAACTACGAGATTTTAATACAATAAACCATCCAATATATGGTCTGACCATCTCTGTACCTAGTATTCATCAATGCTTAGACCAACGGCTCTTTTATAGTTCGCGATCTGCTGAGTTGGTAGACTTTGTTTTTATGATGAGCCAATCAAATGGCAAAATGTTAAATAGCTCGTCTTTATATGAAAGATATTTAACATAGCTACTTATATGGAGACTTACTATTAAATTTCAGCGACTACTTAGGTAGATCGTCCGCTATAGATTTTTATCGGCAAATCTATGGCCAGAGGGTGTAGATAGAAGGTGATCAAGTATAAAGCCTCCATTCCCATCCTCACTTTTAAAGATTCGTATCATTTACCTTCAAATCTTCATTCCTAAAGCCCACCACAAAAACAAACACTCTCTTGACATCAAAATGCGAGTCATAACATTCATTCTTACCTCTCTATTCAGTGCCACGGCTATCACGGCCTTGCCACTCCAAGATCCCTCATCGACTGAGGTAATCCCGCGTCAAGACAGCACGTGTGCTTCTGTAACAGCGGAATATAATGCCTTGAGGCCCAAAATGGCCCTGAAGCAAGCCGATCCAACTGCACAAAACCTGAAGGATCTTGCACTCGAGGCAAAGAAATTGGTGGTCATCACGAAGGAAATGGTAAGGATATTCGTACCACTTGAACAACATATACTTTACATGACGAGCTGGAATTTAATCATTTGAATAGAGCCTTGCTTGTGGTTCTGGTGATGCTAGTAGTGGTGGTGTTGGTTCTTCTGGTGGTGTTGGTTCTCTTGATGATAGTGATGCATGAACATATTACACCAGTTTCTTGCCATCATATACTGATACTGGTCTGGAGATTTGAATGCTTTGAGAGGATTGGACTGGGTTTACGTAAGTTCTTGTTGATCAATGTGGAGGACATTCCACGGTGGTATAAATTTATGATGCGTTATGGAGGGCGTTCATCCGTTAATTAAGACTGGAAAAACTGTTAAAATCCCAAGGAATGCAAGTATCATAATATTCCCAGGTATCCAAGGCAACAACCTTACGGTCGCCACTGTAGCTCCGTTACTATCTCTATGATAAATCATGGCTGTGCTTGATCTTATTTCAGATCGCGTGACCTCTAACGAGGAACCAAATTCCGTAAAATGTACAAGTATCCATTTTGATCAACCTATAACACAAAATTTCCACACAGATATATCTCAAAGCTTAGACCTCATGTTAACATGAACAGCCTTGATACTAGAATAAGCATCTAGACCAGCCTCGCCCAGTTCCCGACCGATACCACTCTGCTTCACACCTCCGAAGGGAATACGCCAATCACTATCATTGCTAGAGTTAATCCAGACCATACCAGCCTGAATCTTCTTAGCAACGCGGTGAGCGCGAGTCAAGTTGGTCGTGAAGAGGGCACTGCCAAGGCCGTATGTGGTATCGTTGGCCATATCAATAGCCTCCTCCTCAGTGCTGAAGCGAGCAATCACAACGAAGGGACCGAAGACTTCCTCCTGGTAAATGCGCATGCTGGGGGAGACGTCTGTGAAGATGGTAGGCTCGACAAAGAAACCTTTGCCATCGCCAACGCCCTTGAAGGGCTTACCACCATAGGTGAGGGTGGCCTTTTCGGATTTACCCACGTCGACGTAGGACATGATGCGGTCGTATTGGGCCTGGGTTACCTGGGGACCCTGGAAGGTGGACTCGTCGAAGGGATCGCCGACCTTGGAGACGTTCTTGACTTGGGCTTTGAATGCGGCCAGGAACTTATCGTAGATCTTATCTTGGACCAAGATACGGGATGTCGCTGTGCAGATTTGGCCCTGGTTGTACATGATGCCGATGTGTGCCCACTCCACTGCCTGTTCGAGATCCGCATCGTCAAAGACAATCAAAGGGCTCTTGCCGCCAGTCTCCAAAGTGATGTTCTTCAGGTTGACACTGGCCATCTTCATGATGTGCTTGGCGGTAGCGGTACTTCCGGTGAAAGCGATCTTGTCGACGTCCATGTGAGAGGCAAGGGCGGCACCTGCGACGGCTCCGTGGCCGTTGACGATGTTCACAACACCTGGTGGGAAGCCAGCTTCCACGATCAGGTTGGCGAGGAATAGAATTGAGAGAGGGGTCTGCTCGGCAGGCTTGAGGACGACAGTGTTACCGCATGCCAGGGCAGGGCCCAGCTTCCAGGCGGCCATCGAAAGAGGGAAGTTCCATCTGCAAAAGAGAGAGAGGTCAGTTGCTGCTTGCATTCTACCCACTGGTCCAATCCAACACTTTTGACCGGGTGAAAGACTTACGGAATAATCTGGCCACAAACACCAACCGGCTCCCGGACAGTATAGGCAAACTTGTCGGGAGTGGTTCCAATGACCTGTCCAAAGATCTTATCGGCGTAACCGCTAAAGTACCGAATAGTCTCTGCGGTCTCGGTCAAGTCGTCGTCCCGCGAGACAGTGTACGGCTTTCCATTGTCGCAAGTCTCGATAGTCGCGAGGATCTCGCGATTATCTTCAATGAGCTGCGCAAGGCGGTTCATCAACTTGCCGCGGTCGGTTCCGGGGAGATCGCGCCAGCTGGGGTGGTTCAAGGCCGCGCGCGCAGCCTTAACAGCGGTATCGATATCTTGTGCGGAACCAGCATAGACCGAGGTGATTTCCTTAGCAGTTCTATTGAATCGATAAAAAAAGGATTAGTTGCGCAAACTCTCCAAGATAGATCGCTTTGATCATCCGGCCCTATTGTAAACGTACGCCGGGTTGATGGTCGCGATCTTGTCGCCGTCCGAAGACTTGACCCATTGATTGTTGATGAACAATCCGGTCGGCTGGGACCAGACACGGCCATTAGGGGCGGTCAACTGAACGGATAAAGAGGCCATGATGTTGTATGATCAGATCAATTATTGAAAACTGACTTGGGAGGAAAGAACAGGCGATGCAGGACAACTGACGATGTGCAAGCTCTTAAGTCCGCTAGCTTTGCATTTGCATCGGTGGTAATCATTGATAACGGATTCGGCACGACATGCCAATTCGAGAAGGCGAATGAGATGCACGGTTACGGGCAATCTGGAGAGAGGCCCCACACGGCATCTCCAGAGTCCAGAGAATCGAGTCGGGGGATTTGACTGGGAAGCGTGGGGAATAGTTGAGGAGATCCAATGGGAATCAAGTGGCCACTGGCCACCGCAAAGTCGAGACGCTAGTCCTAAAGAGGGAGGTCCACGCAACGATAAGGATGGTCGCGATAACAGCAGGCGCTGCGAATCTCAATCTGCAAGTCCTGTTGCAGATATTTTATGGCAGAATACACCAAGTCTATCTAACACATAGTATTTTATTACATCGTTGAATCTACCTAGACTATATACTATTCGATATCTAGTCTATCCCTGAATAGGTCAAGAGTCTTAAAAAGTTGCTCTATGATGACCCAAAAGACTGCCACTCACGTGGTTTCCCCGCGAAAAGATAAGCTTGAATCTCAAGTCACGTTGTCCGGAGGCTGGAGAATCCTAATCTGTCCACGTTGTAGGGTCAACCTGCCCGATCGGCACAACAGTCTGTGCTTCTGGTGTTGGACATGCCGTTCGGTCAGGGTATCTCGACTATTCGCCTTCTGATTGGCTATCAATTCCGCAAGGCAAAGACTTACGAAACGAGAATTATGGAATGGCAATGCAAGAAGGCAAAAGGGATGAACCAAATGTAAGTTCAAAAAGGGCCTTCTCCAGGCTTTGACCAAACTGAGAAAACGGGAGGAAAGAATCCACCGTGTGGACTGAAGTGGACTCGGGAAGAGTCGCGAGACTTTTGGTTTCTGAACCAGACATCCTTGGAACTGCCCGATTCGGCAGGTCCTTGCGGACTCTATCGATGAAGATAGAGACGACCACTTGGCTATAAAGACCGGCTGGGGACGGCACGAGATATGGGATTTACTACACCTCTACAAGTCCTTCTCTTGTACTATATTCCATCATGGCTTCTGCCCCCGATACCACATCCATCCCGGGATACACGATCTTCCGGGAGGGAGACTACGAGAGTGTCGCTGCCACTGCGATGCTCCCGCAGGGTGTTCCCCACCCGCTAGGTACTGCCATTTGCTTTTTTTGCTCCCTTAGAAACCCGACCGCTGACTTATTATGTGCATACAGACCAGCTTACCATTCGGGAAATCCCCGATACGGCTCAGATCATCCGCGACCATGCCAGCCCCAGGACCGTCAAGTTCAACTGCATCACCCTGCGCGAGCCTCGCAAGGCCGAGTACCAGGCCTTCCGGGCCGGCAAGACTGCCGCTCCCGATCGCCGCGCTTTCGCCATCATCATTGAGCGCGAGACCCAACATATCGCCGAGGTCATTGTCAACCTCAAGACCAAGAAGGTTGAGGAATACAAGGCCGTGAAGAATGTGATGCCCACTCTCACCCTCGAGGATCTCGATGTCATGGAGCGCATTGCCCGCAAGGATGCTCGCGTTATCCGCGCCTGCACGGAGATCGGTATCAACGATATGAGCAAGGTCTTCTTCGATGCCTGGGCTATCGGTGTCGATGAGCGCTGGGGCTTCGAGCGCCGTCTCCAGCAGGGTCTGGCTTACTACCGTGCCTCCGAGTTCGACAACCAGTACGCTCACCCTCTGGACTTCTCCGTGGTTGCCGATACCGAGACCGAGGAGGTCCTCAGTGTTGACGTTCGCACCGTAAATGGCGAGCGCACTCCCGTCCCTCTCAAGGAGCACAACTACCTCCCCGAGTTCATCGGTGATGGATATATTCACGACCGCCTCAAGCCTATCGACATCACCCAGCCTCAGGGTGTCTCCTTCAAGGTTCGCGGCAATGAGCTCTCTTGGGCCAACTACAAGATGCACATTGGCTTCAACTACCGCGAGGGTATCGTCATCTCCGATGTCCGCTCTCATGACATGTACGAGGACCGCGAGCGCACTCTCTTCAACCGCATCTCCGTCGTCGAGATGGTTGTCCCCTACGGCTGCCCCGAGAAGCCTCACCACAAGAAGCACGCTTTCGATGTCGGCGAGTACGGTACCGGTCTTATGACCAACTCCCTGAAGCTGGGCTGTGACTGCAAGGGTGCTATTCACTACATGGACGGTGTCATGTCTACCTCCAATGGTGAAGCCGCCGTCGTCAAGAACGCCATCTGCATCCACGAGGAGGACAACGGCCTCCTGTACAAGCACACCGACTACCGTGACGGTACCGTGATCTCGGCCCGTGACCGCAAGCTCATCATCTCTCAGATCATTACTGCCGCCAACTACGAGTACGGCTTCTACCACACCTTCACTCTGGACGGCACCTACAAGCTCGAGATGAAGCTTACCGGTATGCTGAACACCTACACTCTGCACGAGACCGAGGTGGCCGCTCCCTACGGCACTCAAGTCGCTCCTCAAATCACCGCCCACAACCACCAGCACATCTTCTCCCTCCGTATCGATCCCGAGATCGACGGTCCCAACAACACCGTTGTTCAGAGCGACGCCGTCCCCGCCGACGCCCCCGTCGGCTCTCCCGAGAACCCCTACGGCAACGCCTTCCTCAGCAAGAAGACCCCTCTCCGCACCTCTCTCGAGGGCGCCGCCGACTACTGCCACGAGACCCAGCGCTCATGGGACATCATCAACCCCAACCGTATGAACACCGTCGCCAAGAAGCCCATTGGCTACAAGATCCTCAACAACAACTGCCCTCCTCTCCTCGCCAAGCCCGGCAGCACCGTCTACAACCGCGCCGGCTTCGCTCGCAAGCCCCTCTGGGTCACCCCCTACAAGGACTACGAGCTCTTCCCTGCTGGTGACTACGTCTGCCAGTCCACCGGCGAGGAGAACCACCCTTACAACTCGACCATTGTCGACTGGGCCAAGCGCAACGAGAACATCGAAAACACCGATATCGTCTGCTACCTCCAGTTCGGTCTCACTCACTTCCCCCGTACCGAGGACTTCCCCATCATGCCCGCCGAGCCTGTCAGCATCATGCTGCGCGCGTCTAATTTCTACGAGAAGAACCCCGGTCTCTGGGTGCCTCCTTCGGCGATTTGTGTCGATACCCAGTCGACGAATGCATTTTCCTCGTCCTGCTGTGCCGCTAATGCTCCGGCCAGCTCGTCAAGATTGTAAAGCATGAATGGGTCGTTCTGGTGTTGGCAACAAAACTTTGCTGTTTGGGTTTATGCGATGTGATGAATATTTTGTAAATAAGCCATTTTCTTGTTTTTGTTCATAGTTTGAAACATACATACATTTTTTCCGATTATATACAAACTCCCTTCTTCCACTACCAACCGGCTTGCCATATAGATACATTCCAAACAAAGAAACTATACCTGACGATACATAATATCAGTCCTGATAGTATACTTCGTCCCCCTAAACACCGGATCCCCACTATGCATTAGCCCACTATGCTGAAAGATCAAAACGGACCCCGTCCTCGGAAAGATCCGTAACTGCTCATGCCCACTCTTATAACTAGGAATAGGAATAAACGACGTCGCACCACCCAACAACGTCCCCATCGGATCGGGATTCACCTTCTTAGGCTTGTCCTCCGCCCTCCCCAACTCAACAAGATCCTGCTCCCCCTCCCCATTAAGATAAATTTGAATAGTATAAAACGAAACATCCCCATTCGGCGCCTCATACTGGCCATCCCAATGGGGTCTAAAATACTCACCCCCCTCATACCGAAGGAATCGCAACCGCTCATTCAGCGCAGCCAACCGGTACGATTTACCCCGGCCAATGAGCCCAGTAACGCTGGTGCGGTCGCTGAACGATTCGATATCAAAGTCGCGCAGGAATGGCGTTAGTCGGGCTAGTAGTTTCTCCGCGACGTCGTGGGTATCCCACATTATGCGGGCGCAGTTGCGGGCTTCCGTGGCGAGTCTTTGTTTCCCGCCGCCGATGTTGATCATGGCGCGTTCCCAGCCGGTGGGGGTGCTGGATTCGGCGAGGCTGATGAGTTCTTTGCATTCGGATTCGGTGAGGAAGTCTTCTATCACGGCGGCGAAGTGGTTTTTGTATTTTGGGAGAGCAGGTTTGGATGTTTCAAAGTTGATTTGGTGGGCTTGAGCTGTTGGGGGTGGTTTAGGTGGGAGGAAACCATTGCGGATTTTGACTGGGATTGTAGCCATGATTGTGTGGTTGTTTGTTGCTGCTGCTGCTGCTTTGTTGTATGTTGTTTGTTGTTTATGGGAGACGGCCGGGAGTAAGTTAAAAGGGAAGTAAATAGCCTCAACCTTGCCCTAGGCCTTTTAAGGGAAGTTGGCTAATTGCGGCTGAGCGCTCAGCCTCACATTTGACAAACAGGGCAAACATAAGCTTATATTTTAAGGTTATTGTTCCTACTTATTTCTCATTTACTTCTCCATATTTAATTAATTAGAAAAAGTTGACTTACTTTATCTAGAGCCGAGAATGGACGTCTTGAGTGAGCGAATACTTATCTACCGAAATTCAGTTAAAGATCGAAAATAAATCAAGGAAGGAGATAAACTATATATGATCGAACCTTCTATGGGAATCTCGTGAGAACTTTTTTATATAGATCTTTCTACCACTTTACTCTCTTCTTACCTTAACTCTCTCTGACTACTTAATACTTGAAACTTTTGGACTCTCTTTTTAACTTCTTAACACTCTCTTTGAGCTCTAGAGAGTTTCCACGTCTTAGGAATTTCAACCACTTAACTCACTCTTTAACTACTTGATTCTTTCCTTATCTACTTGACTCTTTATCAACTCAACTCTCTTCATCGACTCAACTCTCTTCATCGACTCAACTCTCTTCATCGACTCAACTCTCTTCATCGACTCAACTCTCTTCATCGACTCAACTCTCTTCATCGACTCAACTCTCTTCATCGACTCAACTCTCTTCATCGACTCAACTCTACTCAACTCTCTCGAGCCACGACTCTCTCTTCAGCTACGACTCTCTTGCTCTAATACGCCCGGTCTGCTACGATGATTAACCTACTGGAAGCAAGTGCGAAGGACTTTGCCAGAGCGTGAGTAAGCTGCTCTACTCAAAGGTTTTTTATTGACCAGTTATCAGACTTACCTCTACCTTCGGCGGTCCCCAAGTCACCATCCGCGTGAAATCCAGTGATAATGAATATCAGGTTTCGAAGGGTGTTATATGCCAAGCGCCCTATTTCTCGAAGATGTTCAACGGTCCATTCTCCGAAGGCCAGACCCAGACCGCCGTGCTTGAAGACATCGAAGGTGTTGTCTCAGAGCAAAGCCTCGAGGCGTTAATTCAGTGGCTTTACATGGGCCAAGTCAAGTTTCACATGACGTATCCGGAAGACCATGGGCTGCAAATCTCGGCTGCTATCGAATTCGCGAGATTTGCCGACATGTGTGGTGTGACTGGCCTGGAAACCGCGATGGCAGAGCAAATGGAGAAGATCATTCTCACCAACAAGGGTGAGTGGGACTGTTGTGTCGATAGCAACATCGAATGTCTTTCGGCAGAACACATCTCTTCCGCGGAGTACTTGATCACGGGACATCTCGTGCGCCGTGTGCTAGCCAAAGCCACAGTTGACGGATTTCTTCGCTGTCGAAATCACAAGTTTGCTTCTGAAACCCTTTCCTGTCCCAGGTTTTCAACCGACCTCCTTCATGAAGTGGGAAAAGTCTTGGAGGGTCTGCAAGACGTAGACGGGTCTGTTCGCTTTCGGGATCCCTTGACCGGAGATTGGTTTAAGTTCAACGATCTTTTTGGGTTGCGCCATCAGAAGATAGCGGGATGCTATGATAAATCTCTTCTTGGAAGTGAGGATTGAGAGTTCTAATACGCTGCAAATTACTTCTCGAGTTAGACTTTGCATATGACGAACACATGCATGGCTGATGCATTGAAGTATCGCCCTATTTTCATGAAAACCGTGTGACCGTGATCTTGTAAAACGAATTGTCCTCAATTAAGACAGAGAGCCTGACCTATTCGGTAGTTTGTAGGATAAAGCTTCCCATGAAAGATAGAGGACGTGTAAGGCTAGCTAATTGTTCGAATTGGATATTAGTAGATTAAACGGTAACCCTTTTATGTTCGCGACAGTAAATATGCATAGTGCTATTCTAAACAGACGACTTTTTCGTGAAATTCTCGTATATAGCCGGATGAGTAGGTACTCTACAGGGCAAGAGCCAGAGCAAGCACACCAGCTGCACCGGCAACGCCCATAGCGATACCACTAGTAGGAGCGGGTGCACCACCGGTCGACTTGGCAGACGAAGCAGCAGCAGATGAAGCAGACGTAGAGCCGGAGACAGCAGAATCAGCAGAGGAGGATCCAGATGAAGTGATCTGCGAAGCATTTGAGACAGATTGAGTAGCAGCTGCACCCGTCGTGACAGCATAAGAACCAGTCTCGGAAGCAACACCTTGCGAGGTAGTTGAGACTCCGAGAATCTGAGCATCAAAGTTCGAGCTCGCCCAAGCCTTGACGCTGCTAGGCAGCTCATTGTACCAAGCAGGATAAGTTCCCGCCGCGGCCGCACTTGCGACGGAGGAGCGGAATGCAGGATCCGTGAGAACCTCGTCCTGCCATGAGGCAGGGATGGCTGTCTCCATTACGGTCAGGATGGAGCTGGGGATCGCCGCCACCAGCGCGGAGGCAGCAGAGGCAGCAGACGCGTCGGCATCGGGATTGGTAACACTGCCGCTAGACTCGCCGCTGCTAGTGATTTGTGGCTGGGGAGAAGCCAGCGCTGAGACGGCGAAAAGAAGCACGGTGAAGAAGTTGCGCATGGTGGTGATGATGGACGAAGGAAATTGTGAAAATGTGAGGTCGGATAGAAAACGAAAAGAGAGCCACCCAAAGTAAGGACAGGTGGGACTGGAGGACCCTAAGGATTAAATATTCTTCTACTTTACAGTTTACACGAAGTGTGCCCCCCGAATGGACTCGACTTGTGCCTTGAAATCTGTCAGGGTCCGTGAGGCGAACACTTATCCCCACTCGCGGTAAAATCCGCCAATTTGGCGAATCTGATTGGACCATTTTGTCGATTTCAAAAGTGTAACCTGTGCTAAGCTCACGCGAGATTCTGGGAACTCTGTAGCGAGATTGCTTATGTTCCTCTAGTGGACTAGGCGCACGCCACATTGGGGAAATTGTCTCAGTCGAGTCTACTCGTCAATAACGGAATCACGGGTCCGAACCCCTTTTTTTCTACTAACCATGCCCTTTGATTTCCTTTCGCGGACGAGCGCTATAAATAAATAAGAACTCCTTAGCTATAGGGTTTGCCTCGTCACGGCTACTAGTATCCAGAACAAGGGACGTCACCCATTCGACCGAAGTAACACTATGTTCGCTGATTATCAACTTAGAAACAAGCAAAAATTTAAGACCCCTACATCAGCGATGGGAGAAAAATCATTTGAACAGAGCCATTGCAATTGTGTGTATCTCGATATAAACACAAACTAGCTATAAACACAAACTATACAGCATACAAAACAACATAACAGACGCAAAGCGCAAGACAATTTCGTAAAATCAAACAGAAAAGGCATTTTACAGCTCCTCCTCAACCTCCTCAGTTTGAACGAGATCAAGCTCCCAGGTCTTGAACTCCAAGCTCAGCTGATCCTCATTACCAGAAGCCTTCCCAGCACCGAACTTCTTGAGATCCCACTTCTCAACACCCTCAACACCCTTGAGCTCATCACCAAACTCAAGGAAAAGATCGGCATTCAATCGCTCGTACTCGCTGAAGTCCTTGGGCCAGGCACCCAGACGCTGGACAGCGAGCTTAAGTAGCTGTAGGTGCTGACGGACCTGCTGACCGTCGGAAATAGAACCGTGGGGGGTGCTATCGCCGAGGTCAAGGTCGTAGGTTGAGCCGTCCATGCTCAGACTGCTGTCGAGGCCACCCTCGAACTCGGCGAGGGAGGGGTCCACGAAAATGCGGAGCAGGTTCTCGTGAAGGCTGGCAATCTTCTTGTAGTACTTGTTAGCCATGTGCTGGCCACCCTTCTCAGACTGGTAGCGTTTGGCGATTCCAGCATACAGCTGGGACAGCAGGGTAGACATCTCGAGAGTGCTCTGGTGACGGGCGCCATTGACACGGCGGCAGTTGTACACAATGTCCTCGGCCAGGCGCGAAGCACTGAGAGCATCGTTGACCAGGTAACGGGCCAGGATGTAGCGACGGGCCAGCTGGAGGGTGACCACAGGCGACCAGTTGATCTGCTGGTTGCGGCTGTTCCAAAGGCTGGAAAGGACCCAGACAAGGTTCTTATAGTTCTCCTGTTCGCCGAGCACACCGATCAGAATGTTCAGGTAGTCCAAGTTGACCTGAGCAAGATTGATCTTCAAGTCACTAATGACGCGGAGGACCTCCTGGATGATGACAGAAGAGACGCCGAGCAGCTTCTTCTGGGTAGCCTGATCCGGCTGCGGGACAATGGTACGTCCGGTGATGAACACACCCAGAGTGAAGACAAACTTGACAATCGCGGCAGAGCGGTACACATCGTGAGCAGAGATGTACCGGAAGGAGGCGATAGCAAGATCACAAGCACCATCGTAGTTCTTCTTCTGGAGGAGATCAAGAACACGGTAGTTGCTGGCAATACCAACCGAACGGATAAAGTTGGTTGACTTGTGGGTGCTGAAGTGCTCCAAGATCGTAGACAAGAAGATCTTCACCTGGTTAGTCTCGGTCAACTTGGTGCGCTTGCCATCAGTAGCCAGGAAGTAGGCAACGTAGTCATCGAAGACGCGAATAGCAGCAGTCTGGCGGTTGTTCGAGAGCAAGAAGTGGTAGAGACGGGAGGCAGAAACCGAGACAGTGTGGAAAGAGCTGGTCTTGGAGGTGATGTGGCTGCGGAACTCCTCGAAGTAGACGTACTCGGTGGTCAGCTCGGCCAGGATCTCGGTAATGGTAGAGCTTCGCTGCCGAAGGCTTTGCTCAAGCTGAGCCAAGAAGATCAGGCTCTGGCGACCCTTGGAAGTGAGATCAAACTTGGTGGACTTGACGTTGGTCGTGTCCTTCATCACGACCTGGCGGTACAGCTCCTGGGTCAACTCGGTGGCCTTGGTCACTTGCTTTGTGGCAATGTAGCTGGCGGCGATGGTCGAGGCAGCAGCGACAAGGCGGGTGGAGGATGACTCGGTCTGCAGAATCTGCACGGTCGACTCCCTAAGCTCCGAAAGGACGGACTCAGATGACTCGCTGTGCTTGGAGTGGAAGGATATGACTTCCTTCAGCTTGGTCAAAGACTCCTCGTGAGCCCAGCCGTAAGTTTCACGAACGGAAGTGATGCGCTTGCGCAGGACCTTGGAAGCACGCTCAATCTGAGTGGCAGAGACCGACTCGGACTTGGAGGTAGCAATAGCAGTCTGCTCCTCGTAGATACCATCGAGAATGGCGGTGATCTCATCTCGGTCAATCTCGGTGGTCTGGATAGTGAGCAGCTCCTCGTAAAGGGCAATGGCATCGGTCTCGAAGCGCTTGGACTCCTGGCACACCTTGGCCAAGGTCACGGTAGCCTTGATGGTGATCGTTGCAGTGGCACCAAAGACCGCCTTGACCTTAGTCTGGTAGTCGACGGTAACCTTGTGGATCTTGGTGTACTCAGTACGCACACTGCGCAGGCAGTGGGTGTACCGGGTGAAGAACTCCTGAACGAAATCGGGCAACTGGAACTTGGCGTGCTTCTTAGGTTCATTCAAGAACGTAACGAAGAGCAGCGAGTAGTATTGCACGGCATCAGAGTAGCGACTCTGGTTCCAGAGCTCGGTGACCACGATGATCAATGGCTCGATGGCATCAGGGTGGCAATGAGGAGCATCCTTGTTCAAGGCACGGATGATGCGCTGGTAGTACTCGATAGAGATGGGGCGAGGACGAGTCAGCTCCGCAAGGATCCAGAGAGTCTTAATGACGGTGGGGTGCTCAGGTCCATAGTGGGTAATGTAGTCGTCCAAGAGCTCTTGGCGAGTGCTAATAACCCGGTCGGGCTGCGAAGAGCGCTCGTAGAAGAGGATCAGCTCGGTAGTGACGCGCTCGCGCAACTTGTCATCGACAGGCTTAGCAGCCCGAACAGCGCGGTAGACACGAATGCGGATGCCCTCCTCGCGAGTGAAGCGACGGCGATAGTGGTAACACTGGCTCAGACGCTCGGCAAGGTCGACACACTTCTCGACGTGCTGGCTTGGGAGGACAACATCCTGAATGGAGGGAGCGAACAAGGATGGCCAGAGTCCGAGCAGGACCTTCTTGACAACACGAGTTGCATCCTTCCAGCGGTGCTGGGAGACATAGAGCTCAACCAGAGTGTAAGTGGCAGTGAAGGAGCTCTGGTCAATCTTGGTGATGGATCTGGAAGCCTCGTAGACAATCTCTTCCAGAACGGATTCAGAGACGACGGAAGAAGAGGAGCTGGCCTGGTGCATGACCTGCTGGGAAGTCTGCTCAATGCTCTTCTGGATCTCCGTGTACTGCGAGGACTCAGCACGGTTGGTGCTCTTGTAGTAATGGGCACAGTGCTTGAAAATGCTCAGAGCTGCGGTAGAGAGTCCGACAGCAGTCATGACCTTGGCGATTTCCTGGAAGTGAGAAGAAGTGGACTCGGACACAGACAGGCTGGTGCTGCGGTACTCCTCCCAGACGCTGGACAGGATCGAAGAGGCCTCATACTCGCGCTTCTGAGACTGAAGGAACTTTGAGTAGACGGTGACCGACTTCAGCTTGATCTGCTCCCAGTACTCAGAGTACTGAGTGCGGCACTCCTTGCTAGCCCGCTGCCAGATCTCAACGTAGATACGCTCGGCCTCCGCAATGCGACCCTCAGCAATGAGCTTTTCGGCCTGCAGGAGGAGGGCCTCAAAGTCAAAGGTCTCAGATTGGTACTCGTCGACCTCGGTTTCCAAAATGAAGCGAATGCCAGTCTCGCCGTTCTGCTTGTGGCCCTTCAGATGAACGTGAAGATCACCACGAGTGGTGGTCTCTTCACCGCCATCGTAGCGAGTTCCGGTAATAGTCTGCACCAGAATCTCAATCTCCTTGATCTTCTTCTCCTCCTTGATAAGGCGGTAGTGCTCGATCAGAGTCTTCAGAGTAGTGACAACCTTCTCCGAGTTATTGCCGTAGTGAATCTTGTAGCACTCAACGATGAGAAGAAGAATCTCCTCCCGCTTGACCATGATGTCAGTCTTGGTAGTGGTGACCTGCTCCACGGTGAGGTCAAGGAAGAGGCTAGACATCTGCATGGTGATAATATGCTTGACAGTAAGCAGAGTCCGACTGATCGTAGTGATCTCGTAGAACAGCGGGATTGACTCAGTGATGTGGCTAATGTCGCGACGGAAAAGAGCCAAGGAGATGATAGACTGCAAAGTGACGACATGGTTTGTTGTCAGGATATGGCGGCTCAGGTTGCTGACAATGGTCAGGTATGTTAGGAGAGTCGGGGTGGTGATGTTCTGCCAGAGAGTGTTCTGGAGCAGCAACAAAGTGACAGTGGCGGGGAACAGCTTGCCAAACTCCTTTGCAGTAAGAGCATCTCCACCGGTGCTATAGACAGTGGTGTTCTTCAGATGGTGAGGCCAATAGCGCACTGAAAGTTCAAGAAGTGGGAACTTCTGGACAAGAATGCTGGTGTCGTGGCGGTCCAGCGAAGTCAGAGAAGGCTCATGCTGCTCGATCACAGTGGTCTTAATATAGACAAACAGCCGAGTGACAAAGTCGGCATGACGATCCTTGACAGTGGGAATCAGCTTGCCCTTGCTGTACACATCCAGAACGGCAGTACGAATGAGTCCGTGACGAAGGTAAACTTGGCCATCCTGGATGAAGACAACAGAGGTCAAAGGCTTCAGGATAGTCAAAACGTCAATCTTGCGGTCAGAGACTGTCTGCTTATCGAGCTGGACCGAGGCTAGAGTGGCTAGCTCCTTCACCAGAAGAGGACGCTCAGCAGTAGCAAGCCAGAGAAGCATGAACTTAGCATCCTCGCTAATCTCGGGGGAGGCAAGGACATGGGTGACAAAGTCAGTGACAGTCCACTTGCTATTCATCACGGTCTCAACAGTCTTGCGGAAGGCATCGGTGGTGTGCTCATGGCGAACATGCTTAGCAGCAAGCTTAGCCCAAAGGAATGAGCCATGGGAAGCTTCACTGATCTGGTCGATCACAGTCTCTCGCTCCAACTCGGACATTTCCCGGAAGGTGCGGCTACCCTCGAAAATGGACCGGACGACGGCCGAGACATCATCAGCGACACGATCGTCCGTGATAGGAACGGCCATCACATTCTCCTTGGTCGTAGGCTTCTCGGAACCAAGAGTAATGAGCCTGACGTTGACAGCGTTGGAAGTGGCGACAGTCAGTCTCTGGAGCAAAGCAGCTTCGCCGCCAGTAGACTCGTCAAGACCATCAATAACAATGACCAGCTCCTTAGCACCGCGGAGAGCAGCTGCCAGGGCACGCTCCAAAGCGTTCCAGACAATGTTCTCATAGTCCGCGGGACCAGTTGTCTTACGGCTACGCTCATAGGCATCGCCAAGAATGTGCAGGAGCTGAACATTACCAATGCGCTTCTCAAACAGTTGGTACAGAATAGTCTTGGCAATGGCAATAGGAGTGGTCTCGGCCGGGACGCGAGCGTCTATTTGATGGCCAAGTTAGATAAAACTCATAGCATGATATGATCGTTTGCGAGGTAATACTTACTGATTGGAACGAACAGAGTCTTGTAGGTAACTCCACCAATCTGCTCTTGCAGACGGTCAACAATCACTGAAGCAAGAACGGTCTTGCCGGATCCAGGCTTGCCGTAGAATGACAAAGTGTGGTCCTGACTCTTCAAGAAACGAGTCAAGTATGAGCCCAACCAAAGGCAAGTCATTTCCTCACGTTCGTGGGCGAGGTGGGAGGTGTTTTCGGCGAGGCGGCTGAGGACACGGTCTTCGGGGGCAAGCCAAGATCGGACAGACTTGACAACGGAAACTTGAAAGAGTCATATGTGATTAGCAACTGATAAGGATAGACACTGGATGTGGCATGATGAATTTCTTACCTCGTTCGGTGTCAATGTTCTCCTTGGCAAGCTGGTGCCGCCACATAGCCTCGGAGATCTTTCCGCAGCGCTCACGGAAGGATTGGATCTGGCCAGGGAAGGTATCATAGATGTTGACAGACACCGAAGCGGTGGTCAACCCACGGATAGCCTTGTGGAAGTGGGTGGACACACTGGCGACAAGTGTAACCAAGTCAGCCAGTGCCAGGATAAGCTGCTCTTTGATCTCCTGGGACACCGAGAACAGCTCGGTGCGCTCTAGGAGATTAACCAGAGCGGAGGAGGTGCTATAGAAGAAGCCGAAAGAGATCATCAAAGCTGGCGCATTCTCCTTGCCGAGCTATTTCAAAGAAGGAAATTGAGTCAGTCCCTATGATTCGACGAATGGAATTGCAATGTAACATACCTCGAGGAGCATAGAGCAATATCCATAGGACAGCTGGGCGGCAAGATAGCTGTCGCCAGCAAAGTCTTGAATGCCAGTGTCGAAGGAGTGCAGTCGTTCGACAAAGAGCTGGGCCCAAGAGAGAACTTTGTCATAGCTGCTGCCCTCTGGGGGCAGGTGGCTCATACGCTCGGAACGAATCCACTCAATAATAGAGTGGTAAGAGGTGTTCAGGAGCTGAGATGAAGCACCATTACCCAGCTCATCGCCGCTACGGCGGTGCAGAGACTGCACTACGCTGGTGATATTAGAATTACCGACGCCATTGGCCTTGCGGACAAAGCCAGACTCTCGGCGCGTGGAACGGCCATTCTGTGAAATGCTGTCGTTATCAAAGGCAGCAGAGAGGGCGGAGACCTGACGAGAAGTCCCGTGCATGGTCGAGTAGAAAGATGAGTTCAAGTTACCCGGAACAGGAGACAGGATTCCGGGAGCCATTGTGGATGTAGGAAGTACAATAGTAGTGTTGGCAGAGGAATTGGTCGTAGTAGTCGTAAGGGCTGGAGGTAGGGATACTGTTGTTGGAGTTTCGGTTTGAGGCTTGGGTAGGGGATGTGATGGGCGAGGAGGAGGATGGGGATCAGGTATAGCTTTTTTTGAGCAGCAGCTCTTGAAGCAACAAAATAGACGACACAAACCCGCGACGGAGTCAAAGATAAGGCTCTAAAAAAGTAAAGAAACATTCGAGGGCACTGGAGAAGAGAAGAGGAAAGAAAAATAGCTCCAGCCCGGGTCACAGGAGGCTTTTGTAGCAATCTGCCCCAGTAGAGACGAGCTAGACGCTACTTAGCCTCTACTATCTTTTTTTTTCGGTACGAGGCTGGGCACTGAAAGTGGCGAGGGAGCTTCACATCACCATTACGCCTTTCGGTATAGAAATGTGGGTATGATATTCAGCTTCTGTGGTTGTGAACTATTTCCTCCACCCCTCTCCACCTTGCAATCTAGTCAGAGCGGCGGCAACAAGCGAGACCCTGCCCTCTTAGCTTCCCTAAATAGGAAAAGAGATGCCATGAGACCCCAAGGCATCATGGTAGTTGACACTGCCTCCCACACCTCAATCACCCCGTAACTTTAAGACTTGCGTTGGTAACACTCGGACCTCGGTGGTTTTAAGGCATAGAAAGGCCAATGGGGAGATATGGAGGCATGCAGCTTGAACAACTCAGCGTATCGCCAATCCTGAATGGTAAAATCCCGTGTTCCAGCTCAATAAGAAAGAGCGTGGAGCATCAGAACGTGGAGACCTGCAAGACAGCCTGCATGGCGATGATAGTGATTGGCATTATTCTCTCCACCTCAGCCATTGCCCTAGTTGATTTGACAACAGGAAAAGAGCAAGGGCCCACGAGTCCACACCAGGTGGAAGCCATTGTTCACAGCGGCTGTTAACGTGAACAGCTAAAATCCGTTCGAGGTCCAGATTCTCGGAGAGCCCGGTTGAGAGCCAAACGAGTTGCCTGTGGTATCAATGAGTGTTTCAGTGTCGTACTTGTGTTGAATCCCCTCACCCTCGGATATAACCTGCAGAGTATTCGTTCTTCTTGATGGCTGGCTGGAGGACGGCGCTAGTTTTCCGCCACGGCGCCGTGGTGCAGGTCCTTAATGGGGAGGAAGATGGACCACCGGCCCTTCCAGCCGGTACCCAATGGATGTCAGGGTACAACAAGAACGAGGGTTTGATTTCACCCCTCGGACGAACTGTCGATCGATTAGTATAGAAACCAGCATGTCCTAGGCACATTGTTCGTGCTATATTGAGTGCGGGGACGGGATGCCAGCCATTGCCGATCGATCCTGAGCCGTCACGAACCATGCAGCATGACTGACGCAACACGATCCACTCAGGTTTCGAGTTCTTCCTCAGGATCAGCGCTGCTACCGCTCCTCCCGAGATCATCTCCCGGGGAAAGGAACTCTATGGAAGCAATGACTGGATGCCAGCTCGCTATGATGCTCCAAAATTGAGAGAACCCCCTGCTACTGCCCCTGGTAAGCGCAGCGCAGTTTTTAAGGCATTCATGCAGAGTGCCTCGTTTTTGACAGGGGGGCAGATCGGGCCATTGGTTGCGAAGTCGGCTATGCTTCCGGTGAAAGCCGTACAAGAAGCAACCAGCTGCCACATTCTCCTCTTGAGTTCCCCTCGTTTATTTCGAGGTGCATTAGACTGATGTGGTCGAACGGGGTTGAGTGGAGGAGATGAGGAGAAAAGATGGGAACCGGTTTGTCCGGACTCCGCAGCTCCACTTTCAGCTGAAGAAAGTTCCGCTTCGGCACGGGCAAAAATAGGCGGGCCCATCTATGGCTGGCTGGGTATTAGTTCCCTCTGTATGTACAGAGGGAATAATTACCTACGGGTAGCTCTTTTGGTAATTAATTAGTTTTAGACAAGAGCTTAAAGAAACATACTTTAGTAAAGTACTGTTTGTGCAGCAAACTATATCGAATTCTTCCAAGATTATATTATATTTCACTTCGCCTAGAAAAATGAAACTTTTGGTACATGTGTATGGATATTGTAACCGTAACTAGAAGGCCTCGACTTGAAACATCCGGCATCAAACAAAGACCAATTCCAAATTAACCCCTGTCACAGGCCTGGCCAGGTCCCAAGCTGTATTTTTGCCTAGCGAGCGTGTTTGCAGATACTCTAGTATCACCTAGACGTGACGTATACTCAATGCCTAGTCATTCCGCATCGGAATAGATGCAGATATGCCCCAGTTTTCACTGTAGCAAGCCGATCAGTCCCCGCTTGACGGCCCATACTTGTATCCATGATGCGTGATTTCTTCAAGATCGGAGACCCTCCTGCCCGGAGATCGAATTGTTCAGAATAATGGGTCATCCACGATGATCTCTTTTAACAGAGGAATGGGGACAGTGATTACAGGACTGGAGACATACTCGGTACATACCTAAGCCTCCTCCCCATTCAGGACTTGGTTACTGACTCGGCATCTATAGGAGTGGGGATACGAGCCAGTGAGCATTAGCACAGCCAAACTATGATCCGTGCATTCAGCCCAGCCACCATGTTGTGCTCAATGCTGCAGTCCCGTCACAGGTTTGGTTTGACGGTAACTTTGACAGCGGGGTGGCGTTCTTTTGTTTGCTAACTTATTATTGGTACGTACTGCATAGGCTACGATGCTGGGAAGTTTGGTACCGGCACCCATCATCGGTGGAGCCTGGCGGGTCTCAGATTCAGCCCGAGAGTGCGGCACGTGTGTGACACTATTCTATAGCTCCGATCGTAGTCCGATTACACTTTTGGGAGTGTACTGACGAGATGGTCATGGACTGTAGAGAGACAAATTTTGCAAAATATGAGAGAGTTGAAGCCAAAACTGTAAAAGCATTGTGATATGAGTTCTTCTTCCAAATTCACCAAGCGATTGATTTAATAAGAACTTCAGAAGCTCGATTGCTCCGGGGCAAAAAGGATAAAGATGGCGTAGCTCGATAATGCTCATGTCTTTCCAGATTCAGATAAAGAGCCTACATGTTTGGATCTCGCTAAGCAATTCGAGAAATTTCACGGTTATAACGGCGAGGATATACTCCTGCGTTCAAGGCGTGTAAACACCACGGTGGCTGTAGGGATTGTGGTAGCCGTCATGACCAACGTGTATGTGGAAACACATAAAATAGTGGTATTCCAAGAATACTGATTCAGAGACCAGAAGAATGACCAAGTTCAGTTTTCTTCATTTTCCACATATCGAAGGATCTTTCTAGATTCCTGCCGAGTCATGCCTTCTTGATGGCTCAGTATCATCATTGAACTGTTGATTATCTGGTGATGGATAAGATGTGTTGGAAAATCTGTCTGGGTTCCAAGCTTCTGGGGCTCCACTGCAATAGCTCGCATATGCATAATATTCCGAGATAAATAAAAACTCAATATATCCATCCAGCTACTATCTATGCAGGGACTTCAGTACCTCGAGTCGAACACTATACTGCAAGTATCAACATCCCCTCCAGTTAGAATGAGGCATATCTTTTGTAGAAAGGAGTCAGTGACACTATTGGAGCTATATAGCCATCCACCTAAAGTACAGAATATCCCTTAGAAAATGTCTTCGATGTCAAGTAGATCGAAAGCCCCTCGATGTCTTTGAGTTTATTTATGTTACACAACTGGAACTTTCCCCACGATTCAGGTGCATTAACATAAGATCAATACTGAACAACCACTAGCCGTAATCTAAGCCTAATTTTCTGTATCGCAGCTTCAAGCCATCGAGTTCCCTGCATCGGAAGAGGATCTCTTCTGCAAGTTTCACACTAATTGTATCCTCAGGTCCCACATGTATTGAAGGCTTGAGTGGAACTCTTCCTAGCAGCACATAGGGTTAGATGGTTCCGTTTTAGGTCCGAATCGGGGCTCAAAATATATAAAAAGATGTTTATGCGAATTTATGATTGGATAGCTTTCCGCCAGCCACATAGCCTGTCGGATATCCAGTTGTTCTTCAGGAATTTTCGATGCCTATTCTTCATTACTTTGTCCAAAACATAATCTCCGGCTCGTGAATACAATCCAATCATTGATCAATGCTTAATAATTTTGAACTGCAGACATTATGCCGGATATGGGTAGCTAAATACATCAGAATTCGAGGTTTTCTAGAGTTATAGACAGTATCTGAACTCTCTACCTCCATAAGACACGGAGAAATCTGAATAAATTGCTTTTTATCTCTTAAGTTCTCATTCTAGAAGTATGCAGATTGACTTCTTGGAGCGCTGTAATAAAAGTTGTAGAGTTAGTCTAGTCGATGATCACAGGCTTAACAAGCGTCTAGTCTTGGTTCGACTCGACTATCCGTTAGAGCGTCTTCTGCCTATGGAATTCAGCAAGGATACAAAATCTATATGCGCCAGAAGGAATCGATTTGCGGATCTAAATAATCAACTCATTAATCGTGAACTTCCCGACTAAACCCTCGGCATCGGTAACTAGGATTTAGACCATAGCTACAGGAAATGTGAACTGTTTCGTAACTATGGTATAGTAGTCAATATTAGTGCACTCTGGAATGTCACTGAAAGCGGCTTCTGTGCGTCCAAACCAATCAACGTGAAAGACAAATGTGTTAACCACTTCATTAATGCGGACTGGATAGTTGAAAGGGTTCCGTTCTCGGATGAATTCAATTTTCAGGTATCTTGTCTTAGAAAAATTGTATAAAATCTACTTCACACAAATTTCGAGTTCTTAATAACCACGCTTTAGTAGTTCTTAATAAGAGATATAAAGGGTTAGATAATACTATAGCAGAGGTATCGCCGGGCAGGACAGGGGAAGGGTAGGTAAGTAAGGGCAGCAGATTCGGGTCGGAACTAAGGGAAGAAACATGAGATAGTATTTAGAATAAGTATTAATAAAGATATAGACAACATATACATTAGGAAGGCTGACACAGCGGCTGTCAATGGCTTAGAAAGAGCCCCGTTAGGTGTTAGACTTAGGTATAATGTATCCCTCTTTCTCTCTTACTATACTCTATTTTAATAGCGATTTTTATAGGACGCCTTTCGAGCAATATTCACATCTCTCCAGGACTAACTTATTATTAATTATTCCACGAAGGGTCTTGGAAATTTATACTAGAAATTTAGTGGATTATTCAAATAGCTGCTCAGATTAGTTTCTACGGGTCTGAATACTATAGTTATTGAGATACTTAAACTTTATACGAAGTCTTTAATGTACAAAACCAGAGGATTGTTTAGGGGGCAGTACCGCTTAGGTGGTGGACCTCGCAGAAAATATGTAATATTTATAAGGAGCCAAAACTTTGTAGGTAGTGAGGAGAGACCAATATTTGCAAGTCCTAGCTAAACACTCTCGACAGATTCACAGCCAGCGCGCCGAGTGCGCCCTCAGTCAATCCACGACATAACTCTGGAAGATCACCTCCCATCGGTCTAAGCAGAAAAATCACATGGCAGAGAGCCACAGCAGTAACCGTGGCCAGCGTCCAGAGCACCGAGGAAATCAATGTTGTGGCATCCATCGCTGGTTCGCCACATCTTAGCAGTGAAAGTGTAGCCTCCAGCACTAGTCTCATCGAATCTGTAGCGCCCAAATGTTAGTCCACTCGATGAATTCGAATTTCGAAAGGAATAGAACTTACCCGACCGAGCATTCGTACGTCGTGCAAGCATTGAATCCTCCCCAGAGCATGCCCGAATAGGTAGATCCGGTGTTGTAATCCGTGAGGGTGATGGTCTGGAAAGTCGTACCCTCGTTCGAGGAAAGGGCAGTGGCAGCCATCTGACCGTAGAAGGCAGTGGCGTGGCCGAAAAGGGCAGCAGCGCTGAGCATAATGGGGAACTTCATCTTGAATATTGTGTATAGAGGATAGAGATGGAATTGGGGTTTTGAGGGAGATGATGGAAAGCAATTTCTCGAGGTTTCAGGGCCTTCTTATAGATTTTTGAAACTCTCGGAGTCCCTAATCGAAATTCTTACTTACTCAAGCCATTGGTGGAGCGTCTAAAGGCTTAGTTCTTACGGCCATGTTAGCTAACCGATGATACTATATTCTCACCTCATTCTACATTGAAAAGTAAACATATGGTAGGCCACATACTCTGCATCTCCAGAAAACAAGCATAAACGTTAGAGATGACACTTTAGTTAGAGGCATGTGAATTACTGCTTGGGTCAGCCAATAATCACGTCGAAGGAGCGATTGACTTTAGTTAACCTGAGCAGATCTGCCAGGAGATCGTTACTTCTTGTCCTTTTTTCTCCAGATCGATATATGCACACTTTTTGTTTTCCTTCCTGTCTTGGCAATTTCATAAAACTAGCAGGCGGAAGATTTGTGGGGCACCGTCAGCTCAAAGTGTTCGCCAACCAGTGCCGAAAGAGCCAAGACTTTGAGCAATACTAGATTAAGGCTTAGTTACAAGCTTAAAATAGGGGACTGGCTAAAATTGAGGTTGTTGTTCTAGTTCTTAGCAAAATAGGAAGTTGTACAACGGTCAGCTGGCCCTGCAGGTCCTAGCCCACCCCACTCTTTGATAGGTGATAGGTATGTTGATGGATCCACCCTAGAAGCGCTGTAGACTATTTTCTGTCAGCTAACTCCCAAGACATTTCCGAAGGCTTGTTACACTCCTGTTGCATAGTGTCATTCTCCCATTCAGCCAATGTAGGAACATCATGGAGTCCCGTCCCCACAATCAATTCTAATCGGGTAGTCTCGACGGCTTGGATTGCATGTGCTATTCAACTAGTTTCAGTGCTGCATAACGAGCGTTACATGCGGGTGCAGGGTCATCGTTGCATAACTTATAAGCAATCAAGTGTTGTCCCTTGAATTGCGTCGTGCATTAGCGTACAGGGACACCCGATAGTGACAGAAATCGAAAGATAAGGTTAATTTGGCAAATTTAAGTAGATGCCCAATTCCCGAGTTTGGTTCTTCGATTCACCAAGGTCTCGATGGCCACCTTGAATCCTATGATTGATTCTCAAGCTCTAGCGCATCTTTATACCTCTCGCCGACACAAGGAATAAGTAACAGCTTCTGGAAATCGTCCAGTTCTCCCAATACCCGACCATTTTCCCAGGCCATTGAAAAGTCTCCATATAGAACCATGTCAGATCCCGGCTGACTGGACTCGGCAAAAAACGCTGCGCTTGTTGTAGTGGTCCATAACTCAGATTTTGGTGTAAATGGCATCATGCTCAGTTCTTTGACATTCGCGCAATAACCATGTTTCAACGACGAGTATAAGCTATCGATCAATCCGGAAAAGATGACAGTTCTGCGGATGCTTTCCGCGAAGATCCATTCCTGCCAGGAAGCCGTTTGACTCAGGCTTTCGGCTTGAACTTGGAGTCGAGTAGTCCATGCTCGCAGTGTATCCATGTTGCGCTCCGCTATTGATCGTTGACGTATATCACCGTCGAATAGTTGAATGATATGGAAAAACATCAATGCTTGGACGGATGCGAGCAGTTCTTCTAGAGAAGTTTTCTGGTGGACTTGCTCCACGAGGCTCGCAGTCTTGGCTTCTAGAACACGTAGTGCCATATCCTCAGTCTCTGCTGTCTTTGTACAATAGGCTGCGGAGACTGCGAAGGCATCTTGGATGGCGTTGGGTAAATAAGTCTCGTACAAACGTTGATGGATGAAGGGCGTTCGTCTCGACAGTACGAACGTCCGTGGGAAGGATTTGATAATTCGCAGACACAGTTTCAATGACCATTTATCAGGAGAGACTTTGTCTGGGAAGAAGATGGCTGGAAATAGTGATGGAGAAGTAATGAGGGGAGGGCTTTCAGTATGCTGGGAAGCTGTGGCGCTTGAAGCATCGATAAAGAAGTCGCTATTCGGAGACCACGATGATATAATGTCCTCAAAGTTATGGTATAGCTCAGATTCTATTGGCTGCACGTCCGCAAATACGTTGTTTTGGTGCTTCTTTGCATACAATTCGTTGACGTAAGTGCATTTCAGCCCCCGACCGACACAGCGAGAGCACTGCGGAGTTTGGCGATTACAGCGCCTCTTTCCTTCCGCACATGCGACGCACGATTTCTGCCGAGAGCGAGTTTCGGAGGGTCTAGAAGGCATTTTGGAAGGTCCGTACGATATGTGGAGGAAAGAAGCGATTACGAAGAGGCAATGAGTCGAAGTCAATCTCACCAACGCCGCTGAAACTCCGCAACTCCGCAAACCCCCACCACTGCTGACGCCACAAGGCATCCAATAGCATCGCCCTATTTGACTTGAGGCCTACAGAAATGATGATGACCGCTTTGAAATCATTAGACCAACGGCAAACGGTCTATAGCAAGCCCGCAATTCGCCTTACAATATTCCCGAGTGTCTATTTCTATCTGAAGCGCTTACTGTACGGATCACATATAAAAGCATCATGAATCGCGCGAATATTTTAACGGAATCACCAACCATCTTCTTCTCAAAACTACAACTACAACTACATTGACCAAAAACAATGGCGATTACCGAACTTATCTTCCCCAAGATCAAGCCTGACCAGGCTTCACTTGATGAAATCGAGCGAGACTGGCCTATCATTAGCAAGAGATTGACCGACCCCAACCCTGGAGTGCTATGCGCATACCGTGGATGGGTCCTCACCGAAAATGGACGCAATGTGAGAGAGGAACACAGGGAGTTTCTACTATTTGGTGAGCTACCCAGACCTAAGAAGTATCTTACTTGAATTCTAAGGCTGATCCGTTCCGGATATGTAGAATGGGAGAAAATTGAATCCTTCCACGCGTTCATTGTCTCGGAGCAGTTCAAGAATTTTGCGGCCTCTATCAGACATCTAGTGACTGGACCACCGACGCTGCAGCTATTTGACACAAATCTCAGCCCCAAAGATGCTGCTTCTGCATCTAGCATTGAGATATTCCGCGTGACCGTTCCAAATGCTGAGAATGCCGAGACTGCTCTAAAGACCTGGGAGGCCATATCTCAAAAAGCCAAAGAGAGATACGGAGACAAAGTATCGGTCACCTACGGCAAGAGCCAAAATCTTGATGACGAGGTCGTTGCAGGTATCATCGGGTGGTCGAAACTAGAGGTGAGACTTAACTCTGATTCGTGAAACGTGACTGGTCACTGATCATTACTCTCTTTCTTGATAGGATTGCGTTCCTAACAATCAGGAGCCTGCGCTCGTAGACTCGCTCGAGTCGTTGAAGTGTTTGGGAGAACTATCAAATATCACTGTCGAGATTGAGCCCATGGATCTTCCGCCTTCGTAGAGCGCTTTGCCTAGAGGTGTTCGTCGTGTACACTATATATGTCTTGATGAATTTTGAACGTCTCTACTTAGCAATACAATCCATTAATTTACTTAAATTTTATGCATTGGTGTTTCGATCATCCGAGAATCAAGCTTTAGGAGGCAAAATTCCAACATAACAACACATGGTATCCCGAGACTAGCGTTGACTTTGCTCTAAGGTATCAATAGATCCAATAGTTGATTTGGTCGAGGAGACGAATTGTATTAACGTATAACAATCTCAATTGTTCGCTACCAAAATTCCAATACCTACACACTTCATCAATGAAACTCGACTCCCATCCCACATTTGACCCAAAAAAAAGCCTTGAGCCAACTTAAGCTCCACTGGGACAATCCTTCCTTAGCTTCCGAATACAAATAGTCTGGCCGGGTAGCAAATTTGTGCAATTGCGATTAATTTTCGGATTCCACTCCAACAGTTCTTTCATGGTGAACGTGTCAGGATGAGCCTCTCGAATTTGGAAACAGTCATTTCCTGTAGCCACACGATAGAACGCAACGCCTGTATTGTGTCAGAAAATATTCATAAAGAAATCGAGACTAGTCAAAGTTGTAAGACTTGGAGGATCACTCACAGCTACGAACTCTTGTATCCCTTTCCACGTTAGTTCCTTCGGAGTTGATGGTTGTCGCTAGTCCCGATGCTGCGAGGCCAATGGCCAGAAGGATGGCTTTGGAAGTAGAGAAAGTCATCGCTGGTTACTTTGTAGACTCACTGTGTCTAGAGTTGAGTGGGAAAGGCCGAAAGTGGACGTTCTGCAAGAGACTTCGCAGATCGAGATTGGCAGGTTAGAAGACTTCAGAGCAGGTATTTATATGCCATCTCATGAGGCTCTACTTATATACCCTCCAGCCAATCAAGTTCAAAGTTGGCGATTCCGAACTGCATCTAGCCAGCGTTAGACAAGCGGCTTCTCAAACTTGAAGAAACTTCCCGATTCCGATAAATCCTATTGATCCAGGAAGTTGATGGGTATCATGAGTGTCGTTGTTACCTTGTTTGTGGAATCGTCGAACCGATATCGCAAGGCTTCCCCAGTCACTATCTAACGACAGTATGACCGTTGCAAGGCGAGGTCATGGGAACAAGAAGTACGAAATCCCCTCATTTCACTCGTTTGAATGTTGAGTTGATCTAGCAGCAAATTGTGTAACTATGCCGAGGGCGACTTCCAGGATAAGGCGACAGGTCAAGTGCAACGGAGCTGCAGATTCCAATGTACCTTGTTTCTGCATCATGTGTCAACAAGCTAAAAAGTCATCACCAAAAAATACTCGAATTCTCTACTCATGGTCCATATATTCAGTCGTCAAATAAAGGCATTGAAAGCCGGCATGAGCACCGACTCCAAATCTAATCATATCTCACAGGTCAAAAGAAAGGTTTCAAGAAAAAAACCAAACAGATAAAGAGAAAACCAGCAGGGCATGCACAAGGAAGCAAAAGCGCCCTCTAGAAAACATAGGGATTACAATGGAGGAATTCATAAATGCATCGCCATGAAGTCCCGCCGCCCACTTCCATTTTTCTTCCCCTCGCTCATATCATAAGCGATGGCGGCCAGTGGGGGACACACACATACACACAATTGACATTCACACGACTCTCTGATTATAGGCGACAGAGAGGCGGGGTAATAAAAAAGGGGATAGTAAACAAGAAAGCGGCTTAGGACCGACCGTACCGGGTCTTGCCGAAGGAGAAGGGCACGTAGCGGTACTTGATCATGTGCTGGATTTGTCGGCGCACTGCAGATTGAAGGATGACGTTAGCATACATCCCTCGCATGTTTGATGGTTGGATCGAGTTAGCTTTGAGATACGTACTAGTCAGAACAAACAGGATGATCCAGTACATGACCAGGACGGGCCAGAAGACCGGGATATCGAAGATGGAGAACCAACTGCACACAAAGCCAATAGCGATAGCGCGAGTAGCCGAGTGCCAGAACTTGAACTCGGGCAGGCGGCGGATGAACGGGCGGAACTCCTCGTCCCGCTTGGTAGGGAGGCTGGGTGAGCCGGCGTCGCCGTCCTCCAGGCCCTCATCCTGGGTGAGGGAGGGGTCGAATTTGGGGGTCAAGAAGGCGAGGAAGAGGTTCAGGAGGTAGATGCCGAGAGTGTAAGCGACTAATGGGTGAGAGTATCATGTTAGTTCGAGTTCAGCTGTTGCGTCGCGTGCCTTATCTCCCGATGTCTTCCGGAGATCCTTCCCATAATGGATTCACTCTTCCATCGGATATATATACTGCCATAGCAGCGTTCGAAGTAGGTCCAGGTGGCAACGTACCAATGTACCATCCTTGCGCGAAGACGATGCGCAGGAAGAAAATGATGAGCAGAACACCGGATCCGACCCAACGATACGTAGTGTAAGGAGTCGAAGCATCGAGGTAGGCTTGGTATTGCTACAGCGATAATCATCAGCACAAGGTTTCCCGGGACAACCTAATCCCTGCGAACAAGGAATGGGGAGGTAGGGCATTGCGTTTGCGCTGGTCGCAATCGCCCCCCTCAAGCAACAAGTCAGAACTCACCCGGGTCAATTTGGAGGTATGCGCCGTGACGGCGGTGAAGGGCGACTGGTCTGGCTCGGGGACATCCATTGTGAAGGCGGAGGTGAGGAGGGTATGAGGAAGGAGGAGAAGTAGAGAACAAGACGAGCCCGGTGTATACGTAGATCCGCAGTGCTGAACGCAGTCGTTTCTGGAAAACAGGAGCAAAGTGTCCCCTGGCGCTGGTCCAATCAGCGGAGAGATGACTGTCCAGCCACGTTTGGACATGTGACGTGTGGCGTGGTGGCGGTGTTTATTATGTAATTCAAATCTTCCGACTTGGCTCTGTGGCTAGTGCAAATCTTGCCTGAGGTGTCAACATCAGTCACATTGGACCGAGGGACGGTTAACTTCGGCCCTCCGTCGGCTGCGGGGACCCCCATACATCATAGTTTCTCCCTTGTGTTCCGATATCAACGCTCCGCAGCCTCCTAGCCATTTTCGTCTTGTTTTCATTGCAGTCGATTTTCTACACATCAATCGCCATGTTTGCCCGTCGCTGCGCTCGTCTGGCTACCTCGCGGACCGCTGTCCCCTTGAGCTCCTACCTGGCCCGTGTGAGACAGTACTCCTCTGGCCCAAGCTATGAGCACATCCTCACATCTACCCCCAAGCCTGGAGTCGGCCTGAGTAAGTAAACAGAGGCAATTACGGCCAGAACAAAATCACCTAATTATGGACAGTCACTCTCAACCGACCCAAGGCCCTCAACGCCCTATGCAGCCCTCTCTTTACCGAGCTCAATGACGCCCTGACCAAGTACGACAATGACAATGGTATCGGCGCAATCATCATCACCGGAAGCGAGAAGGCTTTCGCTGGTACGTATACCACACTTTCCAATCTACACATCTCATCTCCACAATCAACCACAAAGACTAATCATCTTCCAGCCGGCGCCGACATCAAAGAAATGGCCCCCTAACCTTCGCCGCCGCCTACACAAACAACTTCATCGCCCCCTGGTCGCACCTCGCCAACACAATCCGCAAACCCGTCATCGCCGCCGTATCCGGCTACGCGCTCGGCGGCGGCTGCGAACTCGCCATGATGTGCGACATCCTCTACTGCACCTCGAACGCGACCTTCGGACAACCCGAGATCAAGCTCGGCACCATCCCCGGCGCCGGCGGCTCGCAGCGTCTCACCCGCGCCATTGGCAAGAGCAAGGCTATGGAGCTTATTCTGACGGGTAAGAACTTTAGTGGCAAGGAGGCTGGGGAGTGGGGGCTTGCGGCGCAGGTTGTTGATGGGGGGAAGGAGGAGTTGTTGGAGGTTGCGGTTAAGACTGCGGAGACTATTGCGGGGTATAGCCGGGTTGCTGTTGTTGCGGGTAAGGAGGTTGTGAATAAGAGTCAGGAGTTGTCGTTGCGGGAGGGTGTTGAGTTTGAGCGGAGACTTTTCCACAGTTTGTTTGGAAGTAAGGATCAGAAGATTGGTGAGTTTCATCCCATGTTTTGCCTGGGGGGTTGAGATTGTAAACGGGGAAACTAATATGTCTACAGGTATGACTGCTTTTGCTGAGAAGAAGAAGGCTGAGTGGTCCAACGAGTAAAGTATTGGAAAGATTCGGTAGAAGGAATTCCGAGCAAACCCTTTAATGTAAATGATGAGTCCTGAGTTGTAGAATCTGTCGTCATTTATATCACGTCAAATGTACATTGAATATGTACTTCTAGCCACGGCCAGCCGCAGCTTCATCGTCCAAACTGTCATCCACCATCGCATCCGGATGCGCATTGCCCGACGGCGATCCGTATTTATGCTGCTCCAAGGAACGATTGATACCGATGATACCCCACGCAAAGACAGCCACATCCCGAATGGTGTCCATGAGGAGATTTTCCTGAGGACCGTGAGACGATGCATCCTTTGCTGCAGCCGGGTAAGGCTGAGACGAGCTCTGCGAGCTTGTCGCTGGCGTAGCAGCCAGACCTGGCGAAGGATTCTCTCGACAGAGACTGGACGTGGTCTCTCGGTATGCTGGATTAGAAAGACCATCATGGGGATAAGTTGCTGTGCCATATGCGTAAACCGGTTCAAGAGCCCACGGCGCTGCAAAGATCCCGTTGGAATAGACAGGTACCGGCTGAGGCGGAAGAGTGGCACTGGGGATGGGAGCTCGAGCACGACGCAGAATGACGACCAATCCATCTGAAGTGCACGAGACGACGGCTTCCAGCTCGATAGGAGGCGTTGCTCGAGTGTACGGGTCTGTCGTGACACCAAAAACCGGGCCATTGTACCCGCCCATGCCCACATCTACATTGTCATCCAGCAATGGGTTGCGGAACCAAAACCGCAGGTACGCAATCGAATCATTGGCCTTGGCACTTTCAAGGCACCGGACGGCATCCCGTAAGCATCTCTCCTGAATACAATAGAAGAAGCTTTTGGAGATGAGCTGGTGCGGCCTCAACCCGAGAATCTCAGTCACGCCACTAGTGGCGTACATAATAGTGGCAGTTCTAGTAAAGCGATTGACGAAGAGAGCCGCGCGCGGTTCGTGAAGGGGCTCTGCAAGGCGTCGCGAGAATTTGTCCGAGATAAAAGTAAGCATATGGTAACGAGGGTCATTGGGCGAGGAGTCGAAGAGCTGGCGCACGATTGGAGCATCGATGGCACGCTCTAGAATATTAAAAATGTTAGCATCTGCACCGATAGTTTGGGTCTGATCTCTGAAAAAAGCTTACTTTGACTACCTCTCCCCCGACCGTAAACTGTGGTACTTGCGATCAAGACATCGTAAACCACTGTGAAGACGCATTCACAGCCCACCCACGACCCATTCTTGTGGCGAATGGAGCAATAATTCAGGACAGCAGCCTTGTCAAGTCTGACGCCACGGCCATGTACGCTGCGGGCGAACTGCAGCTCCTGCGGGTGAAAATAGTCCCAACACGAGCGGTTGAGTACCTCAGGTGGCTGGTACCCGAGTACGACCTGGATGCTGTCCGAGGCATACAGGATCGAGGCATCACGAGACAAATCTGCACGGAGGTTTATTAGCTTCCAAGTGACGAATAAATATCCACTACTCCAGTTGCACACTGCTATAGCCAGCAGCAGCAGCAGCAGCCGGGTACAACTTGCCGTGGATTGTGATGAATGTGACGTCCATCGCAGCTGCAGGGGAAAAGTGGAACCCCGGTTGTACCCCGCGTTGCAGAAGAAGATACAGACACGAGGAGATTCAAATCTCTCGGATGTGTCCTGGACTCCAAGGGTCTTGCCCCAGATAAGAAGGGACAAGGTCCAACTTCGCACTGCCAGCGGCTGGACGGGTGGACACCAACGGCTGTCAACCGTGGATCGCGGGGCCTACCGCACTTACAGGCACGCCGCTCGACTCGACAATGTCATTCATAGTGGGGGAGGCAAATGGACCAGATTTGATTATAAAGAAAAGTGGCACGAATGGCAATTAATATTTATTAAATGGCGTAGATACAGAGAGTTATGATTATATACATCCTGGGCATAGAAATGCAACGATAAGAACAAAAACCAGACAGATAGGACTGACTGGCTGGACAACAACAACACGACGGGGGTCATCATAGACATGAGAATTTATTACATGACATCAACATCAATTCATGCAGTGCCAGCGTCTTTCTCGACCTGGCTAGGGTCATTCGTGGCGTTCTTCTGCGCCCGGTATTCATCAATAACCCGGCCTTCGATACTCTCATCAAAGACGTCAACCTCGGTGGTCGCAAATTTGCGAGCGCTCACGCCGCGCTCGAAGAGCATATCCAATTCGGCAAAAGAACGGCCGCGAGGCTCAGGCACGCGGAAGTAGGTGTAGATAATACACAAGAAGCAGATGCCGCCCCAGAAGAAACCGGCATAGTTACCCCAGTCCCACTCGCCGGGGTTCAGCATGTACGGGGTGAGGACACCGCAGATAATGCCGACGACGTTATACAGGCAGCGACCGAGGACGACCGTCTTGATTTGTAGTCGTCGGGTGGAAAGCTCGGCCACGAGTGAATAGCAGACGGTTCCGACGGTGAGCTGGTAGAAGAGTGCCCAGACAAGCATCAGCGCACCGGTAGCCATAGACCCCTGGGTACGATGAGACTCCGGTACGAGGCCAAGGAAGCCCATGACCAAAAGCATGGCACACAGGCCACAAAGACCGTACAGACACAAGGTACGACGACCAATTCCCAGGGTCATCAGGAACCACGCTCCAAAGACACCGACCATGTTGATAGCGTACTGACCCATGGCAAAGTTGTAGGCATTGGAAGAGTCCAGACCAGCCTGTTCCAGGAAGTAAGTAGAATAGTTGGAGAACGAGTTTCCACTCAAATTCTGAATGGCCCAGACCATGCAGACAATCTCCGTCCGGCGCAAATCAGTTCCCTTGAAGCAATCGAGATAGCTGGCGCCCTGTGTGATCTTGGCCTCCAGGGCTGTAGTGTGCACCATCATTGAAATTGTTTCGTCGGCGTCAAAGTCGGTTTCGCGGTCTTTGCTGGTCAATCGTTCCAGGGCCTGCTTCGCGTCCTTTGTTCGGCCTCGTCGGACCAACCACCAGGGAGACTCGGGAGCGAGGAAGATGCCAATGAAGAGAGGCAGAGGCCACATCCACTGCAGACCATATGGAATGCGGTAGGCCCATTCGTCATCCCGGTTGAGCATTCCCTTGATCACACCAATTCCAATGAGCTGGCCGAGACCCCAGCAGAAGTTGACATAGGTGGTCAAGTACCCACGCAGCGCGACGGGACACACCTCGGAGGCGTAAGTGATCGTCAAGGTCTGGAACACGCCCCACGGAACACCACACAGAATCTCCGCCGCGAGGAGAGACTGCACATTCTTAGCCGTAAAGAAGATTGCCGTCCACGCGCTGACTAGAATGAGGCAGGCCATGATCGTATAGCGGTATCCAAAACGCTCCGAAGCCCAACCGTTGATAAATAGACCGATGATTTCGCCGACGGAGGCACCGTTACTCAAACCCGATTGCCACTAGAAACGTCTTTGTTAGTATTTGCCCAAAAGACCTTCAAACGCAAACAAGTTTGGGACTTACCCTGGCCGGTACTTGATATGTTCCATCCGCCAACTGTTCACCGTACTTGCGATTGAATTGATCAAAAGCGTAGAAGTTGTTGACCAAACTAATATCGTATCCCTCCATCGCAATGCAAGTCGAAATAATCACACTCCACACTACCGCCTTAGGATATAACTTGATGCCCTGTAGCAAACTCATATTCTGCTCCTTTTCCGTCGCCGCCTTGGCATTCTGAATGACCGTCTTCATCGAGGAGTCGGAGGACCAGCCCTCCTGACCCTCGTGGCCGTCAGAGGGGTAGCGCGGGGCCGCCTCCGCCGGCGCAATGGTGTCGTGCACCTTGGATTCCGCCATGCTAACGTCGCGTGGGTGATCCGCAGGTGTGAGACAAGATCGGAGGCACGTCGAAGGGAAAGAGGGGGGAAGTTTCGTGGGGTGGAATGGGTCGGAGGAGACGTTCGAGATTTCAAGCCTCGGAGAAGTGCGGAGGTTTAAAAGAAAAAAAAAAACTATCAAGTACCCACCCGGGGGAACATCGCACGCGAGCGCAACTTCAGGGGGTTGGGAGTCTTCTCTGGGCAACGGGCCAAGAGGGATAATGTGGGATTGGTAAAAAGAGGGCAAGATTTTCGAACGGACTAGACAGAATGAGGAGTGTGTAGCATTGGACTTTGCGGGGAACGCGGGCTCAAGCCTGGGACTGCAAATTTTCGCGGATGCTTGGCGAGGGGCCCGGGGTAAATGCCGATGGATGGAGAAGTTTTTCCTTTTAGATATTCATGTCATACAAATCTAGTGATTTAATTGAATATTCAATCTTCCATCTCTGCTCTTCTATATCACGCTTCGCACTCTAAAAACCATGTGCCTGTCAAACTCTCCGAAGTCGCCTTGCTTCGGAATGTGGCGTGCGGCTGTGAACCACCGGATTTGGGCCGAGATCGTCTCGTCGGCTGACTTTGGAGTTGCATCCATCCCGAGCCTTTTAACTTTATGGAAAGTTTATTGCTTGACTCAGAATACGTGGGGGTATTCGCTGCTTATCATTATTATTGTTATCATTGCACGCAGGTTCAAATCTATTCTTTATCTAACATATTCCCACCCCTCCATCTCATGGCAGAAACACGGGGTCCCGAATAAGCCGTTCCATATCCTCCGTCCGAAGATAAAGCGAGACATCGACTCCATGATCCGTCCAGTTCTTCGCACCAGATAATCCATCTCGATCCTTCGGTGATGGTGCATCCTTGATTAACACGTCTCCATCCAGCGTCGGCAATACTCCCTCGGCATAACGAATACCAAGAGACGAGTTCAGCCCAAAATCAATCTCATAGAGACCAGCCCGAGCCCAGGTCGTCACAATAAGATGGCGCCGACCGAGAAATCCCTGCCATATCCGTTGCGGCGTTTTCTCATATGCCACACTATGAAGATGAGAGCTAAGGGCTGCCTTATCACCGATCTGGTTGACAGTCTTGCGGATGCACCGTGCGATCGAGAGTCTTCGCTCATCCTCCGGGATATCCGGTGAAGCCAGCTCAACGCCTGTCATCTCGATGTTCATCATCAAAGTCGGGGAACCGATAAAGTTATCTCCGAGACCAAGGGCAGGACGTGTTCCATAGGCGAGATCGCAATGTACCAGGCCGGCATCCTCTCCTAGTTGACGAGCTCGAGTGATACATGACCAAATATGAGCCAAAATGGCATCGTGACGACTGATCCGATTGTCACCGGGATCATCACTAATTCCCTGGATGGTATTTTCATAAATTTTATCCACCTGGCTGCGATTCAAATGGACCAGGTAGTGGGACACGGGGGCATCAAAATCCCATTCTGACCAGGGCATAGCCGGGCCGATAGGCGTGTGCTCCTGGTTTCGAAATGGCTCGGGGATTTCCTGAGGCCATGGACACAGAGCTAGCGTGGCCCACCAGTCATACCGGTGCATAAGAAGACTTAGGGCCTGGTCGATGATAGTTTGATCCGGCTGTTCACCATTGATATCCCCTGCGGCCATTGAGTCCAGGCGTCTCGGGTCAAACAGAGGAGTCAATTGTGGTTTAGGGACCGGTGATCCTGAGAGAATCCATCGACTGATCTTTGTCCAATCTTGGACAAAATGCATGACAGATTGGATATCTGCTAATGGATGGAGAGTCTTCATTCCCAATGCATAACCTCCACACGCCAATTTCGTTAATTGAACCGCCATCACGGGTGGTAAAAAGCCAGCCTCGTTTACGGTATTAGCTCCCAAGTAATTGGCTAGGCGTAGAGAAGGAACAAGGTCCGTGAGCGATATCTTTCCGCGATCAAAAAGGGGGTACTCTGTTGTTCGTGATGCCGGAGAAAGCGTCTCGAGGGTAGCGTTGGTAGACGCTGTCACAAACTCAACTCCAGGATCTTCCGAAGTTCCATAATGCGAGTAGATCCGACCAAAGCGACGTGCATGAGGAGGAAAGCGAAGTTCTTCCGGGTTGAGTTTGGCAGCATCTAAAGAAGATATGCTCTTTAATTGTCCAGCCCAGTGGGGGTAAGCGTCGAGTGTGATTCGGAGGGACTGGCGAAAGTGGTCCACTAAATCGAATTCATCGCCAATTTTATCGGGTCGCTCGAAAAGCCAGATCGGACATGTATAAGCAAAGTTCGCTGTCGTTGCGTCTAATAAGGATAGTGGAACCGCATGTTCTGTCGGTGTGGTGTTTGGAAATATGCGTTCGGAGTGGATTGGAGATATCTCGATGGAAGTCATCGTGGGTCGGCGATTTGTTCTGAATATTTCCGTTGCTATTCAAGACAAACCGGGAAAGCATGCTGCCTTAAGTATAAGAAAACTATTGAGTATAAAATAAGTGATTTAGCTATCCACAATCGTTTATCTTGGCTATCATGATCCAATGTAACTTTTGTGCGCACACTAGACCAAAACCGGATCCCGCTATCACGGAGATGGAGCGGCTTGTACGGTTGTGGCTGAGCCACCATGATTCACAAGGAGTCATCATGGCACATCTTTGAGTGTGAGTTGCATCAAACAGACTAGCTAGTTTTCTCAATGCCTCTGTCTCTCCGACCCGTAAGTGCAGATAGCAGCCATCCGCGTAGACCGGATACTATGAGTAAGAGACATGGATTTAGAGTTAAGGTTAAAGTAGATGGTTTTTAATTAGAGGGAAGGTGGGTTGTTATTGATCTTCCTTGAGGCCAAGTCGAAGTGTCAGTCCTCCACCACTTTCTAGCACTGCCCTCATTCTCACTCCTTCCGCAATCAAAATGCCTTCCTGTGTCGTTATTACTATCTCCTTTGAGTTGTAGAGCAATATATTACTAGACCTGAAATAAGAACCAATATGAGTTCACAATCGATGAATAGCACGTGCTTAAGGTTCAAGAATACCTGGACCCACTCTTCGAGTTCCTGGTTCCTAAACAGGTATCCCCTCACCGCTCAGCATAGTCTCTGTCCTCTTGACACTCCATCAACTCTCGGCGCGATTGATATTTAAACATCGGGGCGATCAGTGACATACCTCGAGCTTATCAATTACGACTCGCGATGGACGAATCGTTTATACTATCCGAGTTCGACCGACTCCAGCAGTCTGGCCTCGCCCTATACGACGAGAAACAAAGGATAATCGAACACATCGACGGAGGACTCAAAGTACGCACCTAGAAACTCTCCACTTGTTACATCCGCTTCAATTCTAAAATTTCCACCACAGTTTCAATTCTGCCTGACTTCCGCTCTGGCCAAGAAACCGAATTTACAAACACCCCATTCTGGCACTGATAAGCGGCGAGATGGAAGCGATATCATCACCACGGGTTTTGAAATCGGCGAAATCGGCAACGCCCACCTTATAATAGCCAATAAGTTCTGCTGGGCTTAGCCACATTTTCTACTTCTCACCTCTGACGGGTACCAAAGGCAATACGAGTCCTTGAACGAGGGTGATCTCCAGGGAATCTGGTCCCTCCTCTCCACCATGAGCACAGACTATGTTGCCTTTTATAATTGCGGCCAAGATGGAGGGTGCAGTCGATTGCATAAGCATATGCAATTAATACCAATGCCAGAAGGCACGTTTGCATCCTTCCTTGACTCCGATGGAGAAGAACCCGAACCTACAGTCCCGTTTCAATGGTTCCATCATCGATTTGATTCGGAAGATACAACAGTGCAACATGTTACGGATATCTACAATAAACTTCTCAGGCAAGCTACCGAGATAGGTGGAGGTCTTTCCGAAAATGCCCATGCCGCTTTGCCAGGTGCTGCTTGTCCACATAACTTAATTATGACAAAACGGTGGATGATTGTCGTGCCAAGACTGCGGGCTGCCATCACTAAAGAGGTGGCTGCCAATGCAATGGGGATGTTGGGGTATATTGCGGTTGCTACGGAGGATGAGGTGGATAAATGGATACGTTCGGGACCGACGGATTCCCTCAAAGAGCTTGGGGTATCTAGATGAATGCTCATTGTATATGAACTTTAGCTATAGAATTACCTGACACTTGACGCGTATGCCGGGACTAATGACCGAGAGCTATACATTTGGTATATCACTATTAGCTGTCTGGATATCGTATAGTCTAGGGAGCTACAGCTGTAATCACACCAACAGCGGTACCAGGCCAGAGCTTTGGCCCCCACTGTTATCCATAGGTTAGCAAGGGGAACCAATCGAACGTCAGCAAGAGCTTACCTCGCAGGAGGCTGAGTCAGTTCTAGGGACTTCTGGTGTGTTTCTCATATGGTGATTCAGCCTCGCGCTAATGCATAAACTTTGACATCGTTATCTAGGCCGGCGGCTATGTTGGTTGGCGAGTCACTCCTAGCTGTAGCTCCGCTTGGTTCGACCCTAGCCAGCCATATCAGCCTTTGTGCGCCGACATAAGTGCGATGGATCCAGTAGCTTAGCAGCACGTGTTGTAACTGTTACTGAGAAGGCGGGGTACTAGATTTGCGAAGTAAGCTCCTAGCTAGTTCGCGCCCATCTTCAAGACCTAGTTATATATCACACTCTTTCAATTACAAGAGCAAACTGTCATGAGAAAACCGTAGATCTGCATCTGGATCCATATCGTATCGTTAAGACAGGACTTTCAACTGCTCCTCTGAAAGAATCCCGTCAAGGGCGTATCCTTAGAGAAAAGTTAGCGGACAAAAATGATTGTTTAGAACTCAGCAAGGGACTACCCAGCAACTCTATGTTCTCGGTAATTTTTCCAATCCATGACCTGAGTCTTCAAATATTCAAGATTAGAGAGTACCAGATGTCTATGGATGTCTCTATATTTGTCTTCTATCATTGTGATCTTGGCCCTACAAATATTCTCGTCGATACCTCGACAGGCTTGCTGGGTATCATCTATTGGGAGCTTGCTGTCTACGTTCCCATCGGATGGGTTAGAACAAAATCGCGACTCTCAGCAGGAATGGATTTCAACTATGGGGATGAGGACTCCAAAAAGGATTGGCGCCGCAGTGTTGCCCAGCATCTGGAAAAGATGGGCTACCGCGATGTTGTAGATGCATGGTGAAAGTTTCAGGATAGCTAGTAGAGAATGGTCTTAGAGTGCTTTTCCTTTAATATTTCGCTATCCTGAATCAGAGCGGCTGAAAGCCGGACCCCTTCATATTCCGTAAGGGAAACCAGGTAAGCACAAAATGGCCTAGGGTCTAGGCTCTAAGTAGCGCGTTGTTTTCTCTCATGATGTGGCGAACTGGGGGTCAGTGATTATTGTATCTGGATATTGAAGTTGGCCAGTTTTCCCAAACTCCCCGCAAGGCCCATACCATTACTCGCCAGCTCTACTGTTTCCAGTATATTAGTCACTTTTTAACTGTTCTCACTACTCTTTTAAACATGAGAATCCTAATGCGGGGTCCATTTATCAACCCTTTTGAGGACGAGGGGCAAAAGTACAATCTCGCCTCAAGGGCGAATGAGTATTCTAGATATCGTGGAGGAGAACTCTTGCGCAAAAAGGTCAATTGGTGAACCCTGTCATTGAGGGGGGCAACGGGGTCTGACCGGGAAGCTTTGAGCCGCATCCTCCCATGCTGAGCGCCTCGGGCTAGGGAATGGTCGAATAGTATCCTCACGTGGGGCTTTCTCTCCGCGACACTGTATGCATGTATCAGTGTATGCGCCGAGGGTAGATAAATCTGCGACAGAAGTAAAAGAGGCTCTAGGGCATAGAAGTGACTGTCAATGCATTAGCGTGATGCTACGGCATGAAAGGAGTCTGTGCCTAAATATGACAAAGTACGAGTGGTGCAACACCCTCATTTTCTTAGCGCTTGGCTCGCTTCTTTCGAGCAAGACTAAGCCACCTACAACGTCCTCGTCATGTGCGGGGGAAATTCAGGAGGCTCCGACATCATCAGTCTTATTGGTCGGATTTCAAGGGACGATCATCCGGATTAATCACTACATACCTATAGTTATAGATAGGTAAGATCTCTTTTGCTTATATTGTATGCAGAAGTATACCTAATAAAGGTAGAAAACAGTGCTTTGGGCAGGATTCGAGCCCACACCGATAAGGGTCACCGTGGTCTATTCTAGCTCGACCACCAGAGGTTCGTAAACAATGCTATCCCCTTTATCTGCCCAAGATAATCGTGTATTCAGATAGTCTCGGTATCGATTTTAGGTAGAATTTAGGTTCCTTAATTTCCTCCTGTCTTCAAGAATATCGGTCCCTCTCGAATAGTTAAAGTACCTCTCATCTCTTCTAGCCTCTAGGAGAGTTCTTGAGAAGATTAATCTAATCAATTCTTTATGTGAGAATTCCCTCTCTCTTTCTCCAAGATACCTTCCTACCGGCCCGAAAGGCTTGCCCACCACTAGGTAAAGCTGATTGATATAAAGGTCCCAGAAAATGCACAAACCACAGCCATGTTCCAAAGGGCCTCAAACAGCCCATTTAACCAGGCGAATTACCGGCAAATATTGCCTCCATGTTGCGGTGGTGGCCAACCTTAGAGGCGGCCTGATATCATATGTGTTTCGAGGGGCGAAATAACCAAGACAAATAGCACACAGATGATAATTCATAGAAGGCATTTTCCTCTGCTTACATGACTGTCAATCATCATATCTTCATTGGCCTCAAGGAATCGTCAGTCCTCTTTCCCCCACATCTCCAAACCTTCGATAAAAATCATGTCTTCCAGCGGGGAAGAGAGTAACAACGGTAAGTATAACGAAACCACTCCAAGGCAGATCCACATCTCCAGTCCAAAGGGTTCGAAATCATTTTCTACAAGCCTTATGGCGGGCTAGTCCCACATACTTACGCGGTAACTCGACCTAGTAAGAAAACGCTTGAACTAACGTGATAAATACATCTAGCCAGCGTGAAGGGCGGTCTCGGCGAAACGGTAGGCAAGACTTTCCAAGGGTCTACCCGGACATTTGGTAATGTCATGAGTGGTCTTGGGGCCACGATTGGTGGCGCGGCTGAAGGGGTAGGTCAGACCGCAGCGGGAGCTGCCGAAGGGCTTGGGACTACAACGAAGGGTCTGGGGCAGACCGTCAACAAGGGTATTGTTGGTGACAGATCTAGAAGGGTTGATGATGATGTGGAGAAAGATAAAGTCGATTAAGATTGTGTTTGTCTAACGTGAAGGTCATCAAAATGCGATCAAGCTGTGACGAAACAGCGATGCATTCCATAACATAAGATTCTCGAGATTACTTTGTAATAAACTATCCATTATTGTTCGAATTTGATAATCATTCTTAGTCTTGTGTATCTCTAGTATACCTGTCTGCCTGTTTATCTCCCCTTATATGGTTATGACACTCGGTTTTAGAGTTTGAGATCATTGAGCCTTCGAGCGACCCCGGGGGCTACCGATAGCGATTGAAGTTGATAACTAGGGAAGATGAACGTATACGTATAATTCTACTGACATCTTGAATCACCAATCGAAATTGCTCAAGATGCCGACTCGGAAGCGTGCAGGCCACTTCCGATCGGCAGGATCCCGCAGAGCCTTCCGGAGGCCGGAGCTTTCCGCGGGCGGCTTGAAGCTGTAGTGGAGTCCTGGCAATTTGGTGCGACAGACGATAGATACGCACACAGCAAGATATTACAATTAGTCCAGCACCCCTTTGGTTTTCTGATAATCATTCTTTAAAGAGTTAACCGGGTCGATTTCGCAAAGAAAGTTCAAATCGGCGATGTGATGGCTCTGGTCAGCTCCATCGGCAGGCAATCTTGATCTCTCGGATCTACCTTCTGGATTGGTATAGCTCGACGGTTTCTCCTGCCCGAGACAAGTCAACAATTCCCCCAAACCCTCGACACCCCGGGATTTGGAACGGTGTTTGGTACTTTTCGACCCCGCGGTCCGGATTGCACCGAATGATTAATATACGTCAGTCTCGCCCCGACTATGTTATAAGCAAATCCTTCGGAGAGCTCCTCCGTAACGCGATGGGCTGACAACGACTCGGCCCTGATTGGGTGGGAAATGTTCGTGTCTCGAGATGACGTTGTTTACATACAAAGCATGTAACAAGAAATTCGGATAGAACTTCCAATTCTTCAAAGATTCTACGTAGAATTAGTCTAGTTAACTGGTAGATTCATATTCTATGATATTAGGAAGGCCATGGCCGGGTTATCACTTAGCCAATGGGCCTGATATGATTCCATATCAACCTCCATCGTGTGGGTCCAACAACCTCAAACCTGGATTTTTCCCTTGTAAAACCCCCCGCCGCAGCTTTTTCTTCGCAGAGACTATATAACGTATCTTGACACACCCACAGTCTCTGCTCGTTTCTACGGCCATTTCTAAACAGTGCCTGAGTTTACCGCCGTTATGGGTAACGACGATCAGCCTAGTACATCAACCCTTCAATCATCAAACTGTATAGTGGTCTGATACTGACAAGCCACTCTCAACAGAGACCTATCGCTACAATGAGACTCCGGTCTACACGGCCTCCAATGGCTGCCCGGTACCGTCCATCGCCTCCTCTCTTTCCAATTCCCCAATCTAATTCGATACTTCCATAGGTCATGGACCCCCAGGCCGCCCAGCGCGTTGGCTCCAACGGCCCACTGCTGCTGCAGGACTTCCGCCTGATCGACCTTCTAGCGCACTTCGATCGCGAGCGCATTCCAGAGCGGGTAGTTCACGCCAAGGGTGCTGGCGCCTACGGCGAGTTCGAGGTTACCGACGATATTAGCGACATTGTGCGTATGACATTCTCGTACACAGTCGAAATATCCTAGCTAACAAAGCTCTTCGTAGACCATTATCGACATGCTCAAGGGCGTCGGTAAGAAGACCAAGATGTTGACCCGCTTCTCAACAGTTGGCGGCGAGAAGGGCTCGCCAGACAGTGCCCGTGATCCTCGTGGCTTCGCCATGAAATTCTACACCGGAGAGGGCAACTGGGACTGGGTGTTCAACAATACCCCCGTCTTCTTCCTACGCGACCCGGCCAAGTTCCCCGTCTTCATCCACACTCAGAAGCGCAACCCGCAAACTAACCTCAAAGATGCCACCATGTTCTGGGATTACCTCTCCACTCACCAAGAGGCTGTCCACCAGGTGATGCACCTATTCAGTGACCGCGGCACTCCTTACTCCTACCGCCACATGAACGGCTACTCTGGTCACACATACAAGTGGATCAAGCCCGATGGCACCTTCAACTACGTGCAGATCCACTGCAAGACCGACCAAGGTAACAAGACCTTCACCAACGAGGAAGCCACCAAGCTCTCCGCCGAGAACCCGGACTGGCACACGCAAGACCTATTCGAGGCTATTGCACGAGGCGAGAACCCCTCTTGGACCTGCTACGTGCAAGTCCTGTCCCCAGAGCAGGCAGAGAAGTTCCGCTGGAACGTCTTCGACTTGACCAAGGTGTGGCCTCAGAGCGAGGTGCCCCTGCGGCGCTTCGGTCGTTTCACGCTGAACAAGAACCCGGAGAACTACTTCGCGGAGATTGAGCAAGCAGCCTTCTCGCCCTCGCACATGGTCCCCGGTGTCGAGCCCTCGGCCGATCCCGTCCTGCAATCCCGTCTGTTCTCCTACCCTGATACCCACCGCCACCGTCTCGGTGGCAACTACGAGCAGATCCCCGTCAACTGCCCGCTGCGCTCATTCAGCCCGTGGCACCGGGACGGCGCGATGAATGTGCATGGCAACTACGGCGCAAACCCCAATTACCCTTCCACATTCCGTCCCTTGGCCTACAAGCCTGTTAAGGCCAGCCAGGAGCACGAGAAGTGGACTGGTGCCGCTGTTGCGGAGCAGATCCCTGTTACCGATGAGGACTTTGTGCAGGCCAATGGCCTCTGGCAGGTGCTTGGTCGCCAGCCAGGTCAGCAGGAGAACTTCGTGAAGAACATCTCTGGCCACCTATGCGGTGCTCACGAGCGTGTCCGTAAGGCCACATATGGCATGTTCCGCCGTGTCAACAAGGACCTTGGTGCCCGCATTGAGGCCGCCACCGAGGCAAATGTTGCCCCCTCTGCCCGTCTGTAGATGATGCTTCTCCATGAAGCAATTACTGTATACCAATATTTGTTAGCTCGGATATAAAAACCAACGACTTATGATCCAAACTTGGTCGAATCGTAGATTCGAATAAACGAGCCATGTAAAGAAATAGGGAACAAGGGAAGCTCTCGCGCTCACAAAGACAACCCTTATCGCGCCTTATCGGGTGACGTGCGGAGTTGAGCCGCACGTGATAAGCCCCCCTGACGCGCCATCTCTCTAACGCGGTTTCGTCGGAAGTTGGTAGCGAGCATCACGATGGTGTTTCGTCTTCTGATGAACACAGATTGATCTTGATTGGTCACTCCTCTAGCACTACTATATTCGTCTTCGAGCCGAACTTGCTTGGATTGCGAAATCGGGGAGCTCGGACGTTGATCTGCGTGAGCCTATCAGCTGGACCTGGCGGAGTCACTTACGTCTAGTGCCCTGTAGGGCCAGCTCGCCCCTAGAGTTAGACCAAGCATGTCCGGCCCCGCCGCCGACAGCTCTAATCAACCTCACCTACGTTCGACCCGCTCGTTCACCAGGATGGGGAGTTCGGACGCCCAACCTTCCGTGTCGGACAAGGCGACACCCGATCAGGCACAGGCCAGTGGCCAAGGTGTGTCAATATTGACACCGGATAATGAGAAACAAGAAGCTGGCCCGGACGTGTTCGAAAGGCGAGGCTCTGCGGATTCCGGGAATGGGGGAGATACGAATGGTGATGAGGGTTTCGTCCTCTCACGCAGTGTGCAGGATCCCTCGGAAGAGCTTCCTATCGAGCTCATCAGCTTGACGGATCGGTAAGTTGATGGATGATTTCGGTGTCGTGTGCTTTATACTAATACTATCATCTTGCTAGGTTCATCAACTCTTTAAGTGCCAAGGTGCACAACTCCCCTCCCACGATCGATAAAATCTCCTCCATGTTCCAAGTCTTCTACAGCCGGGCCGAGTCTCATATCGCTACCCATATATCGGCACTTGCATCCCGCATCAACCGCGATCCGCCACCACAGCCGCAGATAAAGTCCAGAGGAAGTGCACTGTCAGTTTTAGCCAGCAAACGTTCCCAAGATGATTTCCGACAGGGGAGTGGTGGTCGGCAAATGTTGACTGCGGAGGAAGTCGCCGAGAGACGGAAAGCTCGCAAGGCTCTCGAGTATAAAAGGGCGGCATTGGAAGAGGCAGCGGAACGGCGAGTATGTGAACAGGTCTATGACAAAATCTGGAGGCATAGAAGCACTCTGGATGATGTTCGAGATGAGAAACTGCGGTCCAAGACGGCGGCCTTGTTGCTTGTGGGCATCGATTTGAAGGACCTGGGTATTGACATTGATGTGTCTACCATCGCCGATGAGAAGCAGCAGGAAGCCAACGATTGCCTGGCTCAGGCTCGGGAGTATCTTGCCAAGATGAACGATCAGAAGTATCCGCTCGGCAAATTGCAGCATCTGGCCTCTGCTCACAAAGCTATCGTTGATGCCCTAACAAAGCTTCTTCCATCCTCATCGTCTGCGGATGAGATTCTCCCAACTCTGATCTACTGTCTTATCACCTGTCCTCCGGAGGGAATCAATATCGTCAGCAATTTGCTGTTCATGCAACGATTCAGATCATCCAACAAGATTGATGGCGAGACCGCATATTGCTTGACCAACCTGGAAGCCGCCATCAGCTTCCTTGAGAATGTCGAGTTGTCTAGCCTCCGTGCAGACGAATTACAAGAGGGGCCCATCAAGACCCCGAGTGAGGATCCAACCCCATCATCAGAACGAATCGATCCTTTCCGGCCGAAACCCGAAACCACAACCTCGTCGGTAACGACGGTGTCTGCATTGTCCGAAATTGCAAAGCCTGAATCTAAAGAGCCGGCCTCTTCTACCTTGCCTCGCCCTCGTCCATCCCCAGCACCACAGCAGCGACGCTTGAGCAATCTTTTCCAACCACCTGCCAAGGTCCTCGAGGCTGCGAACGGCGTCGTTCGCAGCACCGCAGACCAGGGTCTGAAGAATATCGGTGCAACTCTAGACAACAGCTTCAACTTCCTTTTCGGCCGTCTCAAGGAATTGCAGACTACTTCAGGACCTAATGCCGATGGATCCGAGTCCGTCCTGCCAAAGACACTGGCCGAAGCTCGCCGACTAGTCGCCAACCCACCAGCCAACAAAGAAAATCCCACAGCCGAAGAAATCGAGTCCCTCAACGCTCTGTCCAAAGAAGATGCACGCAATACATCCAGAACCACAGGTCTCACCAGCGGAGGTAGAACACCTCGTGACCGCAGCACCGACAGCGCAAGAACACAAGCAAGCAGCAAAAAGTCCATTGCCAGTTCTTTACGCGACGAATCTGCGCAATCACCAGCCCCGACATCCACCCCGAATCCCTTGGAATCCATGCGCAACTTTGGCAACACACTGAACCCCCTCAACCATATTCCGGGCATGATCAAAAACTTCGGCCGCAATGCGCCAGAAACACCTGGTCCTCGCGCGCTTTCCCCAGCGGCAATGGATCGCTTGAAGATTTCGCCTGCGTCCACGGATAGCACCGCGAGTCCACAGGCCCCGGCGTCCGTACGAATCGACCCCCCGATTCAACGATTCCTCGAAGTACAGGATGTGCGGGATCTTCGTCTCGGAGACGTGGCCGTTCTGCTTGAAGACTATAAGAGACTGGCATCGGCTCTTGCGAGGGTAAACGAAGGATCTCGCTGAGAATTGGCTATCCTGGGAGATATACTTACAGACACTGTTTCTGTTTGATTTTCACATTGCAAGCTACTCTTGGCGTTTAGCGGCATTTTACGGGTTGGATTTTTATTCGGGTAATAGTCATAAGTGGTATAGTTTGGCTTGGTCGTCTAAGCTGTGGGGGTTGTACATATCATACATTATAAGAGAGAAACATTTCTTCCGGAAATGGGAACAAAAACTTCCCCATCCATCCTTCCTCGTAGCAAGTGAGAACACAAAAGACGTAAAGGGTACAACATTAGGGGAGTATGGGTATTGGGCATATGGTGAATATCTTGAAAGTGTCGATCGTAATGACATATCGACCCGGGATATCATACAAAGGGTTATGCATATCAAATAAAAGCGAACCGCGAGACAAGCCACCTTAAATAAAGAAACGCAAAGGAGGATCATCAGTTCATGTGCTTCGACCCCGCAAGACCTCAGCACCTCCAGTTCTCATTTCGTTCAACTTGGTCGATAATTCCGAGTCCTGCGCCTCGACAAGTTCATGGCGGCGTTTGACTTCAGCTTCAAAGACCGCAGCTGTGCGGCGACGCGCGCGACGCAGGTTCTTCATCTGAGTGAGAAGGTGGCTGAATCGGTCGATCAGCTGGTCACCACAGTCTTCCCATTCATCGACGGACATACGCGATAGGTACGCCTGTCGGTCTTGGTCTGCGAGTTGGAGAAGCTGGGATGCCGTGTCGTCCGGTGAGTGGCTATTCGATATAAGCCTGTTGTTTGGGGGCAGGGATGGAGATTTTGCAGGAGGGGAGGGTGTAGGTGTGGGCGCTTTGTCGAAAGGTTCGGCCTGCAGGTCGGTGAAGGATTTTTGGTACAGCAGTTGTGGTGGGTAGTCTGCTTCTAGTTGGCGTTTCTTTGTCTTGATGACTGTGTTTCGACGACCACGCTTGGTTGAGGTTTGATGGCTGAGAAATGGGTCGTGGGTCAATTCGTCATCTTCGTGGTTCAAGTCGGACATGTTGGTCATGTCAAAGGCATGAGTGGAGTGTCCGCTGTGTCGTCTACTGCTTATACGAATGGTTTCGTCGATTCCATTATCGTGCTGACTGTCGTCGTCGGTGTGCTCTGCTGGGTGGAATGCTGTCATGCTGAGCATTCGCCCACCTTGGGGCGGTGGCTCGGAGCCATATCGCTCGGAGCTACGACGAGTTGGTGATATCTCGAGTTGCTCGAGGAGAGAAGGCTTCGGGGGACTGAAGCGCGTTCTCGGGGTCCCGGACATACTGTGCGGGAGAGTGATTTTTCTTGCCCCGGGAGGCGGGAGCATGTGGCCCAGTTTGCGCGGTTGAGCATCGGGGACGATATCCATAGCACCGGATTGACGAGCTTCTGCTTGGACTTGGTCAATGGACTGTGATGCTCTTTTGCTCGCCGACCAGAAGTTCTCCAGGCGCTTGCTGAGCGGCTCTTCCCCGGATCGGTGCTTATGTGGTAAGTACCAGCCGCCAGGTTCTCTAGGTTCAGTAGAAGTCATCGGTTCTTCAGGCGCTGCTGGCTTTGTCGGCTCTTGGATTACTTCGGTCATCTCGTCGTCTCCTCCGATAGACGAAGTGAGTTGGCTAGCAGTATCCTCGCCGTCATCAGAGGTGTCGAATCCGGCCTTTTTCATTGCCTTGTCTCCCAGGCCGCCGTAGAAGGATTCCCTCCCAGAGCGACGTGTAGGCCGAGGCAGGTAAGAAGGCCGAGGCGACGTAGTCTCGCCGCCAGCATTCACCGTGGACGGTGCTTGGGATTGGCGATCATCAAAACCAAACACGCTGGTTCCAGCAATAGTTGAATCATCAATTGCCTCGACGTCGGTATCAAACGCGTCCCGTCGACCCCCTCCTCTATTTGCAGGGGGTGGAATGTTTTCAGGGAGATCGCGAGATTGATCTGAGGGTACTGGAGAAGCTTGGAACGCTCTCGATAGGCCAAGGCCATTCATAACAGGTTCCTTGAAGTAGTTGTTGGGTACCTCCACCTTTGCTTGCTCAGCCCGGAGTTGGCGCTGGGATGGAGGCAAGTTGCCCGTTGTACGAGGCTGCCCAGCTTCCCTGGAGTGGACATAATCGCCCACCCCCATGATGAACGAGTGGAAGAGTCCTATAAGAGGGACCTAAAAACAAGACCTTTCTTTTAGCGAATAGGCTGTCGGGGTGGTAAGGATTCCTGAATAGGGTCAGATGCCCGACGCGAGAGAATCGCGTAGTCACGTGCATGTGCCATCCCTGTGGCACAAAGTTGATCATGAAAGAATAGAATGGTATCAAAGCTGACCATTCGGTACTCAGTTAACTAAGTTCAAATTTACAGTTCCTTGTACTTGAAAACCTGACTTCATTTTCCGTCTGGTCTAGATTTCCGGTTTCATGGGAGTATTCTACTGTATTGGACAGATACAACCAACCAAGTCGGGATATATTATTTTATTTCATACCGAATTTCAATGTATGTTTAAGTAGGATAGATAGAGATTCCATTACTTGGAATCTAATCAGAGGCCGAATCCTCATCAAGGTGGAGATGTTCCAGGTTGTACGCGACACCGCGTCCACGTTTCTGTGCTTTCTCGAGGAAAGCCTCTGATTTGTTGATCTCCATTGCCCTTTTCTCCAGAGCGAGCCTCCGTTCGTGTCTTGCTTCGATGGAGGCTGGTGAATCATCCATATGCATTGCATCTGGATCGAACTCGTCCGCAGAGTCAGGCAAAGTCACCAGAGACGAAACGAGCAAGTCACCAACCCAAAGTGATACCATGCCTCGGAGTTCCAGTAGCTCAGGCGAATCGGAGTACGGAGGTGTGGCAAGTAGCATGTCCATGCGAGTGGCAATCTTTTGCGCCTCCTCCAGTTCGCGCTTTCGTATACCAGCAACGAGAGTCTGTTTTTTATTTGACCCCCGGCGATCAAAATCGGCTGAAGAGCCCTCGTCGCCGGAAAGCTCATCAGAGGAATCCTCACTGTCGATGGTGATGTTGCTCCTAGCCGCCTGACTCTCCTCCTGGGTGACGTAGATCCATAGTCCAAACATCGCAGGATAAAAGCTCAACGCAGATATCGCATGCGGGGCACTTTTTGAATAGGGGTGGTTCAGAATTAGCCTTTCGTAGTATTCCTTAGCCTCTTCAAATCCCTTCTTAGTGAATGGCAAGGCTGTCCGTTCCTGATGGATGGATGGATCGGACGAGAAGCGAGAAGCTTGCTGCGACGCCTCTTGTTGACCGCGACGTAGTAGAATCTCAGCCCCAATCCCCCATCTTCCTTCACTGCGTACGTCCACCGAGAAGCCACGGAATTCTTCTCGTAAAATAAGCCCCCACGCTCTTCCGGCTCGAATGTAATCTCCTTGGAGGAGACACTTGTGCAGAATGGCGGTTAATACCGAGAGATGCTGGAGGCGAATAGTGCCTTGGTGTGCCGCAGACTGAGGAGGGTATACGGGGGTGGATAATGAGGACAGATCGCGGAGATGGTGGCTCAGTAGTTTCGCTTCCTTTCTGGGCTGGTCGCTCTTTGCTGGCCCGTGTGGGAAATTGCCTCCAGGCAGTTCCTGGTCAAAAGACAGACCAGCAATCCGGTATTGATGAGATTCATTTGGCGTCAGAATCAGCGAGGGTCCAGCAGGGCCAGACTCTCCAGCTGACGTGGCATCCGTTGTATATCCAGCACCATCACCCTCCTCGTCGGTCCATTCGTCACTCTTCTTGCGTTTTCGGCGATCATATTGCGCAACACGAGTGCTCGTCGGCTGCAGCCAGGAGGGCAGTGGCAGAGAAAAGGAGGAAGCCGACAGGGCGGGCGCCATATACTCAGTGAGGCGCGACTCCCATGCGGGGCTGCTCGAAAACTAGAAACACGCCAGGTGAAAATCAAGCAGCCGCGGCCGAGCAAGAATTTGGTAGATCGGGTAGATCGGAGAGTGGAGATTGGGGGAGTGCCAAATAAGTCCCAAGGTTGGGCTGGGGCAAGGTCAACTCTGACTAATTGAGAGAACCGTCGAGAACCTTAGGTAGTACAGTACCTTAACCTCTGTACTCAACGATGGAGGAGAAGTGTAAGGTTAATTCTAGCTGAGACCTGACTTGATGCCGATAGACCGATAGACCGCCATCAACGGGAAAGCAAATCAAGCAAACACTCCCCCGTTATCGTCATTCGCTATCGCTCACATACGTCTTCCTCCTCTCGCCTCCCACCTCTCACCTTCCTTCTCCTTACTTCTTTCGATTTATTCCTTCTCCTTATCCTCCCCCTCGGGCCCTCATTTCCTACTCGACCCCGCCGATCTCCTTCTCCCTTTAGGCGCCGCCGGGCCTTCCGATCATCTCCTCTGCCATCCAGACGCTGCTCGGCGGGTATATTGGGTACGGTACATTGAGTGTGGGCTGTGCCAGACGCTTGTCAGACCATTCGAGACCATCGGTCGTAGTACGCTGTGTTGGACAGTCGGCCCATCTCACAAAAACCGCCTCCTGACCGGTCTCTTCTCACATACCCGTCAGCTTTCCTTTGTCTCGATACTTCCCCCAGCTCCCGCCCAACCTCGACCCCGATAGTGCGCGCTACAGCACTCGACGTAACGCCACAGACAGGCTGATAACAAGGTAGTGGCGTGTTTGACTGAGGAAAGAGACTGAGGATTTCGCATTCAAAACAACTGGGTCATCCAAAGCGAACCTACAATCGGGCTAGGAATCGGGGTTGGTACGGTCGCGACTAGCGAGCGATTTGGAAATTCTTATGGCAGTAGACCGTTCATAACGCTCTCTTTACCTAGTCTTCACTATCGCAACTTGCTACTATGGGACAGTCGGCTTCGACGCCACGAGATCCCTCTGACACTAGCCATCCGGACTACGTGCCGTTCTCGATAGACCACAATTCGGTTCTGAGGGATGAAGATATGAACAACGGACGACCTACTGAGCAAGGTGGAGAGGCGGGCTCATCGTCCGGGATGGAGTCGAATCTACACAACGGGCAAGATCCGTCACCTGGCCAGCTACATGAGCTGCCGGAATCATGGCAGCAGCCCATGCGATACTCTGGGGGGTTCCCACAACAGATGCGAAGCATTGAAGAGGAGACCTCCGAACATGAACCGAGCGCGCGTGAATATCGGTCGGCAGCGATTGCGCGGATGGCAGCAAGGAGACAGTCTACTATGTCACGCCTAGGGTCCAGAATTCTGCCCAATTCAGTCATTCGCGGTCTTCTCAGCAGCCAAGAGGAGACGCCAGCGGAAGGCCATGCTCACAGGCATGGTCTGGTCTCAAGAACGCCCCCGCGGTCTGAAAGTGCACACAGTAGTGGTCGGTTTAGCCCTTTCAGTGCCCTGGGATCTAGAGGAGTCATCCGCCGCCGTAACACTCGGGGGCCTTATTTCATTCCCCAACGTGCTGACTCGTCGGCAATGTCGGATGGAGGTACGAGTTCCTCGCTTCTCGATTCATCTGCGGAACGATTGCCAGAGTCCAACCGCGCGTCCTGGCGGCGAGCCCGTCTCCAGCGCGTGCGTCATTCATTGTCAACTCCTATCTCTCATATGTTTGGACAACCTGCATCGGATATTCCCTCTTCCCACGGAAGAAGCTCATCGTTCAGTGGCGACCTTCCCAGTGCTATGGATACCCGCCTTGACTTTGGTGAGCCTCTGCCCGAGTTGGATTCAGTCGAGCCTGGTGTGCAACCAGACCGACCACTTTCGGCTCATCAGACGAACGCTGGTCTAGTGGGATCCCGTGCCCTTCCCAGTCTTCTTCGAGCACGAGCGGCTCGGGCCATGCGGCGAGAAGAACAAACGCCTCTCTCTCGGGTCCTGCAGCTCGCTGCAGCTGCAATCGCAGCGCAGCTCTCTGGCACCACGGGCCCAGCGCTCCCAAATATCCAAGCGCTGGGTAATGAAGGCGTAGATGGCTCGCTTGAGAACTTTATTCAAAGTTTGCAGCATGTCACGACCGCCCCAGCGCAGCAGTCATCGCCGGCAGAAGAAGGAGCTAGTCAGCCTGGGCCCGAAGCGCCAGCGGCTCCTGTGAACTTCTTACGAGTTTTCCGGTTTGCCAACTCCGACTCCCCTCTCGGTGCTGGGTCGCAGGCACGAGGTCCAAATAGTTCTGAAAATTCAGGTCCTCAGTCGGACGGAATGTCCATCGACGAGCCCTCGGAAGGAGCCGAAGGCCGGACGGTCACCCTGGTTGTGGTCGGTGTTCGATCAGTCCCTGCGGGAAATGGAGGCCATGGCGACGAGGGACGACCAGCTCCTGGTGGCGCAGGTTTGGATGCTTTGCTCGGGCTGCCATTCTTGCCACCTAACGCTATTCCACGACCTCCAGAAGGCGCTGGTGATCTCGCACAGCGGGCGGATGCGCGATCCAGATTGCACGCGGCTCGTCAAGCTCGGCCTGGAGGCATCCCTCTAGAGATCCCTCGCCAGCCGGGACCAAACATCTCACGAAGAATGTCGGACGCCGGACCTCGCCCTCTACCTCCGTTCTATCCGTTTGCTTCGGCACCCCAGTCCGACAGCCCACCTGGTCCGCACCCGCCGCCATCAACTCCCGCGGAGCCAGGCATGTCAGCTGTCTCATCGGGAACTTCGACCCCAAGTCGCAGGCCCTCCTCATCTTCGACCTTGTCGCCGACTCATTTGCCCCATCTTCATGAGAACCGGCCCTTGCAGCCAACGGTCGATCCTTCAGAAGAGGCAGCTCCACCTAGTGCCGCCAGACAGCGACGACGGAGTGATGCAGAGTTTGCTCGCCACCGCGCACTTGGCTCTGGATCCCTTCGTCGAAACGGCGTGGTTGAACCTGACCAACCCCCTCCAAGTGGTGGTCGAAGCTGGCTGATCTACGTCGTTGGAACCAATCTGTCGGAAAACCACCCGGCCCTGACGACGCCAAGTCTTTTCACTGATAACCCTACATACGAGGACATGATCTTGCTATCGTCACTCCTTGGCCCTGCCAAGCCCCCCGTTGCCTCTCAAGACGACGTCAACTCTGCTGGTGGTCTTTTCCGCCTTGTTGAGTATTCAGGTTCGTTGGTCGCAGAGTCTGTTGATGGCGCTGGCGCCATCCAGATCCAGGACGGCGAGCGTTGTCTGATCTGCTTGAGTGACTATGAAGTGGCTGAGGAAGTCCGAGAGTTGGCCAAGTGCAAACACGTGTTCCATAGGGATTGCATTGACCAGGTACGTTGCCTTTGTAATTCTATCTTTGATTCACTGGTCTTACTAACTTGGATATTACAGTGGTTAACCACGGGCCGAAACTCTTGCCCTCTCTGCCGAGGCCAAGGTGTTCAAGAGGCATCGAATGACGAGGGCTCAGCAGGAGTCGAGCCTGCTTCCAACCCTGCTCCTGAGGGCACGGCCATCTAATTTTCCGATTAGGGCCAGCACATATGTGCATCAAACTTCCCATCCTGAACAAACTCACCTATGGCCATCGGCCCTACATAACTCTACTCATTGAACATTAGCATTCCAGCGTCTGCTTATAGCCTTTACGAAATTTCTTCCTCGGATATCCCCACGGCAATTTTTTATTCTGTCGCGCCGCTTTCGGTCGTTTTCGTATATTGGTTGTTTCCTTTTCATTGGTCATCGAATCGAAGTCTAGAAGTTCTGCGGTTCTTCTGGAAAGCGACCATCTGCTTTTACGAGGCGTCTCGGTTCATCGCCTGCAATTACTGCGTCTTGCGTTCGTTGGTTTGACGGCCTCTGATGAACTACTCATTGGGAATTCCATCCTATTCTGTAATTTTCTCCTAGGACAGTCGAAATTACTTGACCAATCAATTCCTGTTATAGATCGTATCCTAGTTGTCCATTTGCTGTAATTTGTTCTCGTTATTCTTAACCCACGGTCTCATAGATTATCTCCGGAGTCGGCGATGCCCCGCTCACGTGATTGTAAATTTTTCCAGCGCGGGATGAAAGCTCGACATCACCAGAGACCACTTCTGCATTTGGAGCTTGTACAGGTGCGATTTTACAGTTCCATACTCTACCGAATACCTCAATTAGTCTTCTATGAGGCCAAAATCCCATCTTCAACCCGCAAACACATACCAATCGTGAACCATCAGCAACCCCTCCAAGCCCGCTCCCCGCAACGACATCCTCCCCCACCATCCCTCAAAAAAAACAACCACACTACCTACACCATCTCCCAAACACCCCAATCCTCTCAAAATGACCTCTCCAATCCGCACAACAATCCTCATCTCCGGCAGCGGCACCAACCTCCAAGCCGTCATCGACAAAGTCCACGCGGGCGCCCTAAACGCCCAACTAATCCGCGTCCTCTCCAACCGCAAAGACGCCTTCGGCCTCGAACGTGCCCGCAAGGCCTCCATCCCAACCGAATACCACAATCTTGTCAAGTACAAGAAAGCACACCCGGCGACGCCCGAGGGCGTACAGGCCGCGCGGGAGGAGTACGATGCCGAGCTGGCTCGTCTGATTCTGGCTGATCAGCCAGAGTTGGTCGTTTGTCTTGGTTTCATGCATATCCTGTCTCCGCAGTTCTTGTCGCCGTTGGAGAACGCGAATGTGCGGATTGTTAATTTGCATCCTGCGCTGCCGGGGGCGTTTAATGGTGTGGTGAGTATATCAATTCCTCTTTCTTGGTTTAGGGAGAGGGTCTTTTTTGCTATATTGGCTTTCGGACAGTGTTACTGATATGCTTATTATGCAGAATGCGATTGAGCGCGCTCATGCTGCATGGATGGAGGGCAAGATTGATAAGACTGGTGTGATGATCCACGATGTCATCTCTGAGGTGGACATGGGCCAGCCGATTCTCGTGCGGGAAATTCCGTTCGTGAAGGGTCAGGATGAGGATCTGGAGGTATTTGAGAAGCGGGTGCACGAGATTGAATGGGGTACAGTCATTGAGGGTGTTGGTATGGTACTCGGAGAGCTTCAGGCAGCTCGGAAGCAATGATTGAAGTTCAGGGTGGGTATACCATTCTATATACTTCATGGAAAATTGGGCAAGTGATGGGAGTATGGAGTTTGAAACTAGGCATTACAGGGCTTTTGTGCCGGGGCTCATGGATGGGGGGTGCTGTTGACGATGTTATGACTCAATATATCATGTATGAATCTTGAAAGACTACAAATTCTTGCATTTTGGATCTTTGATAAGCTTGTTTGCATCGGAGTGGAGGAGCTTGGGCCAACACGATCGAGTGCCTACTACGGCATTTCACTAGGGACTGCCGCCGTGTTCTACCGAGGCTGAAAAGCCAAGACACCGAGAATGATTTAACCATGGATGTATCCAATGCCTAGATGAAAATTGTACCAGGCATGAGTCTAGACCTTGGCCAGGAAGTACAACGGAAAGATATTAGTCCTTCGCCGAGAATGGCGATCACCCTGTACAATACTGGATACTAGCTTGTAGGACTCTGGAACGTCAAGATTGTAGCTTTGGGTCGTACCAAAAAACGGCTGCGCTGGGGCCGCGGAGACCTCGCAAGCATACCCTAGTCCAGTATTGTTAAGCCACGTTCTAGTTAGCACGTAGATGGTGTTATTAACTTATTCATTTGTTAAATTGATTGATTATTTGGTGGCGCCTGTGGCTAACAGACCGGGATCTACGACTTGAAGTACAGTACCAATTCTGCGAAATTGCCATTTCCAGTTATTTTTTCACTCTTGCATCCACCAGTCAAATAAATATGGTATCACATGCCCAAAACCCCTCGTGGGGCGGTCCCCCCGAGGTAAATCATCCAGTGGCACGCGACAGTATTCCGGTAGAGTTAACTGCCAAGGGAAGTTAATCAATCAAGGATTCCAGGGGAATCAATGTATTCTTGGAGTAGCCATATCTACTGTGGTAACAACAGTACGGGGGGGGAAGAGAACTCTACAGCCTGGCCAAATGGACAAGTGTCAGCCCGGCAATAGTATCCCAGCAGTCAGCCAAGGAGATGAAAAAGTACTTGGCTGGTTGCTTGGCCCTGCAGTGCAACTCTCTAATGCCGTAAGTCTGTCTGTCTGATGATCTGATCAGCAAAGTCGGCCCCCTGTGGTCGACCTAACTAAACAAGGAGGAGGAGGTTTAGTTCGCGCCCTCCGGGGTCTCCGGCGCCAACGGAAAGGTAAAATAGTGACAGCCCACCATTAGCTGGACTAGAGTGTCTCAAGATCGAACAAAAGGAGCCACCAAGGGCTTGCTCAATTGGGAGGGGGACCCGGTGGAGCAGTAAAGACAAAGAGAGCTAAGAGCTACCTAACAGCTGTACACAGCTTTTGCTCCGTACTGTAGTGGGTAATAGAGTGGGTAGACTAAGGGTAGGATAGGTAGAAGAGTGGATAACTATGATTGACGGTTTACGGAGTCAATGCATGGTCTTGTCCTGCACTGGTCCTGGACCACATCCCCCCAAACGGCCGGCGTCAACTCAATTCGCAGCAGTAACAGTATGTAGTTAGTCTAGGCAATCGTATCCGACGACTAGTCAACGACCCCCTGACGGACCGGTGGGATCTACTATGATGTGGGCACTGGGAGGAAAGTAGGATCGGCCGATCATGGCCGCCATCGTCACAGAAAAGCAAGTACGGAGTACCTGTACGAAGTAGTGCTGTAGTTGGTGACCAGCCTACCAGGTGGATGATGATTGTAGGATCGGAGTATAAATCACCCCGGTTGGTGGGATCGTCCGAGTTACGGTGGGGGCGGAGTTGGGTTTGGTCTCCATCCAGATTTTGGTTGTATTTGGTTTGTTGTTTGTTCAGCCTCATCGTTGTCCGTTAGTGTGGTTTCGTGGCTGGAGACTTTCCGGTAGAGTTTACTGGTGTTCGTTCAGGTGAGACCTTTAAGAATCTGATCATGACGTGGATTCCTTAGGGTGGCTACTTATCTCCGTTGTGAGATGTAAGTGTCCGGTTGAGATTCGGGGCTGCAAAGATCGAGATGGAGCATGAAACTTTCGATCTATGCTGTGCCTCTTGGGTATAATGATTGAGATGTATTGGGTGGAGGGATTGTCCTTTCAATGAATCTCTAACATATGTTGTTGGATCTGCAACAAGCCATTGTATCACATCTGAGTCCCTCACAGCAAAATAGCTGCTCTCGACTATTTCGGCGGATACCGATGAGAAGCGGGATATATTTCGGAAAGTTGAGACTAAGATTGTGGGATCTATGGCGGGAGGGACAAGTTGCCCGAATCCCGATGGATAAGGAATCTAAGCTTGATTAAGGATTTTCTTAGGACTTGCTACTGGACGTCGTTAGTGCCCATGGTGGAATTCCCACGTTTCTAGTCTGGAGTCGCTGTGCATACTTACTTAGGACCAAAACCCGGAACCAGCAACGCTAATACGAACAACTAGTGCAGGCGCCACTTGGTTCAACTAAGCATTTTCACGGGTACAACACGGAAAGTGTAGACGCCATCTAAAAGTCAAAATAATGGAATTCTATGATTCGAGTCTCAGATGAGGTGGCGTCTTGTCTTCTAGATTCTTCTGCCGAGTAGTTAGATAAAAGTATCAGCCTGGGGGAGCACCGTGAAACTCATTTCTGATGCCGTAATATTTCTATAATGCACTCCTTGACAAGATCAGAGTGGAGAGGAGATGTAGCAGAGTGGAGGATCATGGGTATGGCTTCCTGAAATGAGCTAAAATGATCCACATCAAGAATCGATCTCGTACTTTACTTCCAACAAGCACGAGCAGCAACAGCCAGAGTAGGTTGCTGGAGAATTCTTCAAGAGTAAACTCTCGTCAGTATGGCCCTCGGGGTTTGGTAGATTCCGCTCCGCACGATATAAGCTCTAATCTCCATTTCCTCTCAACCATCCGGGGAAAAGAACTCCGAGCGTGGGCACATATGAAAAAAGAAGCCTTCGTTACGGTCATCCTTGATAATGCTGATTACCGAATAATAAGATCCGGTAATTACAAGTTGACAGGGATAATGCATTCCTAATTCATGACATGCATTCGACCGGCCCGGTTGAACCTAACCTGAGCATTGATCTCGTATGGGCTTTAAGAGGGGTGTATGACGACAACGGAAGGATTCATTTATCCGGGATAAACACGATACATCACTCCCCATATCTTTTGCCCAGGAGTTGCAGGTTTAGTGATGTGGCGATACCATGACTCGGATCCTGGCTTCGTCGTTCCGTCGGCTATAACCGTTAGATCTTAATTAGAGTGAAACCTCCATGTCTCTTCTAGCCAGGTTCTAGCCGTTAGTCCAAGCCATGCTGCATATGAACGATTCCCCAAAGAACAATGAAAGAAAAGAAGAAGAACAAAACACGGCCATTGTTTAGAACCCCGGCTCAGACTACACTAAACAATATACAATAAACGCGCCACATTAAGATTATCATGGATGGCCCAGCTGCAAAATACCCAGGAAATCAAGGATACGAGTACGCCTTGTATACGAGAAATTAACCCACGCACCCCATTCAAAGCATGATACTGGTTGTTCAATATTTCCTTCCGTATCTGATTCGTGTTTGGGAAATATGGAAATAGAGCCAATATTAATTAGCTCACTCCATACCTACTGAATCGGGTATAGTAGCACATGCATGTGGGCTATTGACCAGTAGTGTTCCCCAATCTCCCGGGTCCCAGGGCCAGCACCTGGGCCATGGGCCATGGGGAGGGCGGGTGAGATCTTGAACGGAGATGTTACCTATCCTGGACCAGTGCAGGTGCTAGTCCATATGCCAGGACCGGGATCAGCAGAGCGTCATGATCCTGGGCTAGTGTGTCACTGTCGTGGGAGAGGCGGCTGCAGCCTACAGTGGTGTTGGCAACTTGGCTAACTTGTGTTTTTTGCGGGTGATCTCCAGGGATTGGGGGGGGAAATGTTTAAGTTTTTGTCTATTGTTTGTAAACGCCTTCTTGCCACTAGTCCAACAGGCTGAAGAAAGAATAGCAATGAATGGGAAAAAAGAAAGCTGAACGGTCCACATGGCACCAGAGTCAAAAGTCATGCTGTGTAGAAAAACGGTGGAGTCAGGATCCACCCCCTGTCAAGGAGCACGTCCATTAGTGTTTAGAACCGGGTCACATTTCACCCACATGGCGAAAAATAATGTCGGAGGGTCGGTGCGCTGTGCAAGTCCCGGCAGACCTAGCGTTCTGTTTCTAGTACCCATTAGGACTGGACTGGTTCTTCTTTTGGATCCAGCAGCCAGTTTACGCGCTAGACACCTTGCATGACCGAGGTAGACAGAAAAAGTTATAGCAAATTCTATAGGAGGGAAGAATACTGGACTTTAAACGGAGGACCTCAATACAGTACAGCATACTGTACTTTGTGAATAGTGAATACTGCTAGAACCTTTGAAAGGAATGGGACGTGTCCACGATGACGGTCTAGTAAAAAATCTCAAACAGCTGATAGGCTCCATCGGCAAAGTCAAGAACGAATCAGCGCCGAATGCGCCACTGGTGTCGTGGGTGATCCATCAATATTCCCTGTCGTTACCCACCAGAAGGATAATAACACTTCACCACGATCCAGGATCGTTCCTTGAGTCTTGACGGAGCTGCTGTACCACTACCGTACGGAGCTATGGGACATCGGCGCATCGGTGCTTGAAGGTTCCGGTGGAGTTGATCCTGAGCATAGAATTCCTTAATTATGTATTTTGTCTCGCAAGGATGGCGCTTTTCGAATTTCTCCTCAACCTCAACGTTAGCTCCTGGCTAGAGCGGCTCCACCTTTTTCTTTTTGTTCTGCCTGTCAAATCCCCGTCGATCAGGCACGCGGCCGATTGATAATATTTTTTTCATGAAACCAGAAAGGTGGTGGAAAGAGGGGGGGAAGAATATGAAGAAGAGGGAGGCTGAAAGTGGACCTAGGAAAAAAAGGGGAAGAGGGAGGAGAAAAGGACGAGGCATTTCAGCCAGCCTTAGGAATTTCCTTGGAATTTCCGTTCCCTGTCCTTTACCACCAACACATCACACATCATTCACCCCTTTCTGCTCTGTAGAAATATTCATACGTTCCATCTCCGACTTTGATCCTACATGAATCATACAAATCCCTCCTCGAACAGGTCTCCACACGGACCAAGTCACTAAAGTCCCTTTAGTCACTCGGCTCCACTCGCAAGAACCGATCTCCGTCACGAACAGAACGTTTTCGGCATTTTGCTCGATGCACCCGCCTCCAAAGGTTTCAGATTTGCCGACTGGCCCTGAAGTCGTGCTCCATAGTGTTACTAACTTACTCCGTACCTCCGTCCCATCTCCCCGTACTCGTGCTCGTGCTAGTGCTTCTACTAAGCTCCCTTGGTCATCTCGGCCGCTACTGGTAGACTCGGCTTCTGTCGACTCCGAAGCTTGACTTTTGATCGCCGAGGATGCCTTCTTGCCTTCTTGCCTTTTTTTTTTTTATTTCCTTTCTTAGTCTTCTCTCCCTATCGGAAAGAACTCCGTTGATATTCGAGGCTGTCTCCACTATCATCCGTGGTGATGGATCAATAATCTTCGCAACAAAATTCTCTCTTTGGATCCGCCCTGCGCCGGGACTACTGGTTCGATGCAGAGGATCCATTCTTTGAATGGTGGACGGAAAACAGTTCGGAGTACGGAGTACAGAGTAGAGAACTAAGGCAGCATAGCAAGAGCTAGGCAATTCTCGAGACATATAGCCGCCGACGGAAAATATCACGACCCAAGGCGCGTGAAGTACTATGCAGAAACCAGGAAAGCAGCGCAAGGCTAGCTGGGATTGATCAAGGCTCTATGGTGATGCTCAGCTCCTCATTGCCAGTTATCTTTTGGTTTCTTGATTATTAGCTCCTGCATGGAACCAGAACCACTACAGGTCTAACAGTCTAACAGCACTAATTACTAGGCTTAAGCAGCCACTCGGGCCCCTCCGAATTACCCCAAGCCCTAAGAAATTGTTGCATTTCCGCTGATTATCCCCCCCCCCCCTTTGGTGGCTTGAGGTGATCGTCCCCCTCCAGAACCACCTAAACCATTCGGCCCCCCTTTTCCAGAATCCAGAGTTCACCGAGACCCGAGGTGATCCGTTTCGCCCTCGGAGAAAGAGGATAAAAATATCAAAGTACTTAACTACTGTAGTACATATACTCCGTAATGTAGGATCATCCAGACGATCCCCCATGGAGTGGGGAACTGGGAAGAGGGAAAGGGGGCCGACAGTGCGAGGTGCTACATCATTGTTGCAATACTACCTTGGTAGGTATTTTTTTTCCCTGACTGCACATCAAATCCGTCATTGCTTATAGCCCAATCCGGATCGACCCTGGGAGGGCTTGGTGTAAATTGTAAATTGTCCAATGCAGCAAGATGCAGGCCCAGTTTGAAATGATTTCTTCCTTGATTGCGAATACCCTTTCTTGGCTCCCCACCCCGCCGGAAGAAACGGAAATGTTAGTAGTAAAAGAGGTTAAAATATCACTAAATAATTAACCCATTTGCTAGACCCTAAATCAGTATACGCCCCATCGTGATAAGTGGGTGAATCGGGGTAGACTATGGAGCATATCTAGACGCCCCCGTACGGAGGAATCCATCCAAACGGGTTAATCGTGGCGGATATAGTTCCTGGATCAGCCCAGGGATTTAGGATTTTTACACATCAATCGTTCTCCGAACTCCGTGGGTTTGCAAATCCTGGGTTCTTCCTTCGTGGTCCCTGGGTAGAAGTCTGTAGTTGGACTAGTTTAGTTGTTCCCATTCTAGCCACTAGTGACGGAGGATTTAGTTTTGTCGTCCTAGCAGGCTAGGATGAAGGCTCGTATTTGATACGGCGATCAGGATCGCTGTGTCAGCGGCACTAAAATAGAAAATGAGGAGCAATCAAAAAGGCAAAAGAACTGGATACACTCCGTAGTGGAGATGAGAAAAGACTTGGGATTTCCCAGTTCCTGCGTTATCGTAAGAAGCAAAGAAGAAAAAGTCAAAATCAAATCAAATCAGATCAAAATAAATTGAAAAAAAAAAAAAAAGAAAAAAAGGTTCAAATACAAAACGGAGTGTAAAACTGTAGTCCTAAAAGGTTTCCTTTTTTCCTCTCTGACACTGTGACTCGACTTGTTTTAATCTCCGCACATCCTGGTTCCAATCATCCGGGTCCAACCTCACCCCACCCACCACCCCTTCTACTTCTACTTCGACACTCTACTCCCATCCAACTTCCACCCTCCCCTTCATCTCCGATCGTCCTCTTTTATGCTGCAATGCAAGTTCCCAGCGGAGCTTCTGGCTGACTTTCATGGGGAATCCACGCGCCACCTAACACAGATAGTGACGCGCCTTGAGGCCGTACAAGAAACACCCCCGGAATCCCCATACTCAAGGTGCCTCCCGAAAACCTTCCTTGAATCTTTGGGCTGATCTCCACGATCACCCACCATATACAACACCCACACACGACCACCCACCATGGCGCAATCATATCATCAGTCCCAGGCAGCCCTGGCAGGCTTCCTCGACTCAATGCAACAAGACACTAGTATGTCCGCATACAACTTGTTCGGTCCCACGCAATATCCCGAGAGTGTCGCCTTCTGGCATGACCCTTCCGCGGCGCCGCCCATGGCCCTTCCCGCTCCGTCATACCCGCCCAAGCAACCGACCTTACTCCAGCCCATCCCGGACCAGAAGAAACACAAGCGCACCCGCAGCGGCTGCTTTACTTGTCGATCACGCCGCATCAAATGCGACGAGGGACGCCCTATTTGCGAGCGTTGCCGGAAAGGTAGTCGGGACTGCGTCTATCCCTCGCCAACCGCCCCTTCGGCTAAGAGCTCCCGCTCAAGTGCCAAGTCACGCAGTGCTCGCCCTCAGTCGCAGGGTAGTGACTCATCCGGCAAAGTGGACGTCGAGGAAATCAGCCCGTTAGAGCCTATCATCGACGAAGAAGAGCCCGAAGGTACTGATGTAGGGTCGGGACTATCGCCAATGAGCGGTAGCGGTACTGGCCAGTCACGACATGATCTGCATCGCACACAAAGTGGCCAGTCACTGCGGAAACGCAGCATCAAACAGCCATCCGAGGCGGGATCATTCCATCTAGAACCGAGTAGCTCTCCATCGACCGAGTCATCGAGATACGAGTCGATGAGCGTGCGGTCGGCCAGTATCAGCCAGTCTACGCTCGACTTGCTCAATAATAGTCGACTGTCGGATGATTTACGGTTCTATTTGGATTTTCATCAACAGTTTATCTCGCATGAGCATTTCTTTTTGAGACAGAGCAGCGCTCGTTTCATCCATCACAGCATTATCGAACTTGCACTGGGGTATGAGCCGTTACTGTTTGCTCTGGTGGGATTCGCGGCATATCATCACACCTTGCAGAGTGGAGGGAAGCTCTATGCATTTTTGAAATATTATAACAAGGCTTTGGTGCTCTTGCGAAAATCTTTGGAATCGGGCGAGGAACACAGTGAAGCAACGTTGTGCACAGTTCTCGTTTTGACAACGTTTGAGGTATTAACCCGTGGCGCCCCCGTCTTGACTGATTTTGGACTCTTTCTAATTATCATTCTTCCATATAGGAGTATATCGGTGATTGGGTGAATCTCATCGATCATCATCAGGCTGCACACGCCTTGATGCGAGAACTATTGACACCCGAATCCTCTAATTTGATCGAACTCCATACCAACATCTTCCTCTGGTACGCTCGATTCGACGTGGTGGCAGGCATTCTAGCCGGCACCGAGGCGATCCTTGGCCGTGACTGGTACATGGCAAAGGAGCAATACGATGCCGAGCAAGCAGCCCTTTACCCCGACGATCCAAGCAAACAGCTGGCCCTCGTAGCCTCGATCAATCGACGCTTTGGACTGGACATGGCCTCGTTATACGCCAAACTCTCGCGTGGCATGATCCCTATAGACCAGTTTGCCCTACAAAACGAACAACTTGGTCAAACGTTGGAACATGCAAAGAATATCCTCAAACAATTCGATGATTGTGAAGATACCGTGCGATCATATCCAAATCAGCAACCGCTAACGGACGACGATATCGTGGACCCGTACGTACCGGGCTTCATATTTCAGGGACCCCTGTGGGATGCAAATTATGCGAGAATCGATCTTCTTTCCACCGAGTTGATGTTTAAATATCAAACCATGCTTTCGTTGAAGCAGCCGCTTCTCCAGGATTTGCAACGGTTGGCCTTCGAACAGTGTCAGTTGATTGAGACGATATCACGCTGGCCAGACAGGGGCAACGGATATTGCATTGGCTTCAAGAACAGTATTGGTCTTTCGAGCATGTTCTTGCCCAAGGACTTGAAGCACCAGATGTGGTCGAGGCACAAGCTGGCCTTGATGGAACAAAATGGGTAAGTCTGCCCAGAATCTTCGTTCCTGTTATCCTAAAAGTTGGTTCAGTGCAAACTAATTCGATTTCTCTTTCTAGGTATATCATTGCCCCTCGATTCCGCGCCGCCATCGCCGCCATCTGGCAACTCCCCGATATTCACCACTGGTGGCTTCCCAATGACGAAGGCTACTCAGATATTATCCGCGAGGTCCGGGGCATGTCTGAAGAGCGAATGAGCCAACCTTTGGATGATTTCCGGGAGAATGTGCGGGACATGAAATCCCTCTTCTGGAAGCTTAGTGTGGATGATCAGGGTGAAGACCAGAGCCCTTCCAGTAGCCACAACAGCTATACGTGACGAGACATACCAAGTACCATCCTGTTCTGCCACACCAGAATAATCCCATCACATTGGGCTGCGATCACATCCATGCAACACAAACCCATGCATGTCGCCAGTCCATACCCAAGGTTTTCCAAGCTGCGTCCCAGCCACAGCTATACCATCGACAGAATCTTCATAGACGAATGCCCGCGACTTCTACATCCCGAGTACATATCATCATCATGACTACATCCACACCTCCAACCAGCCGATGTCATTCCCAGCCGGTTTTCACATGGGGAATCAACCCACTCTTGAAGAAACGTGCCGAGCCGCAGTGCCGCACACCCTGGAATTACCTGCCACATGTCCATATCCATATCCTAATCTCTCCCCTCGACTCCCTCCCTATCTCCTCGAGGCTTTGCACGGCATTCCCGCAGCTCATGACCTTATGTGTACACTCATCAGTCATATACCCTACCCGTTGATATTTCAACAAATTTTACATATCATCTTCACGTGTCATATTAGTGGTCATATTTTGGAATATACTTGAATGGAAATAGAGGTATAAGAATTCAATAGATGGTTGTGTATACTCACTGGTCATTGTTGTTGGGTCATTTCAATCTATTTTTTCTTTCATCGGAATGGCCCTTTACGTTGGGCGTGCTCGACTGCTGGTTCTCAGATAGGGAGCTCTAGGGTGGTACTTGATATGGATGTGACAATGTGAACAAAGCATACTGGAAATGACAAAGAATGCATTACATCTTTCTTCCACCGCAAATTCTTTATGACCCTCACAGCTCTACGATCCCTCCCGGAAATCCCGCCTGTCTCTCTGCTCATTCCTCCCCCCAACTAACAACCCTTGGAATCCACAATTAGACCTATACTGCAACACGACTACGTCCATCGATGGTAATTCGTGTCGAGGTAACGAATAGCCGTGTGTGAGGCGATTAGGACGGGTTAGGTGCGAATTTCTTGCAGGTTGGAGGATAGGAGCGGGCAGGGGAAGTTGTAGAGAGGTTGCTGTTCGAGGTAGATTTAGCTGTCAGTCTTCATAGGAGGTTTTCGGGGAGCTTGTGAGGTTGAGACGATGTATACTTTAGGAATTGAGTTTGAACTTATACATAGGATTGTATGTCGGAAGTACGATTATTCTAGTCGATATATCAGACTGGACTTTTTTTATCGACGATATGGCAAATGGAAAGGCATCTGTTTGCCCTTTCCGGAATACCAAAGACTTCAAAATCATTGCAAATGACTAAAGCATATCAAATTGAGTTCATGCAAGTCTCCGTTGTCCTAGCTAGAGGACAATTACTTCTTTGAGTATCTAACCCCATTGTCCAGAAACAAAGCGCTACATTTGAATAATAGAAACAGCTATTGCCTGCCGAGGGGTGCTATAAAACTAGTAGGTCACTCTCTTCAGTCCCGATCAGGTAAGAATACCTGTTCTAGTGTCCAAGGACAAATATTCGCAATCATATAGACTGTCCACCTCAAAAATGCCGAGCCTGATTCCACGGTGGAAGAAGAAGAAGCCTTCAACTTTCAGAGACTTGTCGCCTTCAGATAGGGATTACCTCGTTGGTATGCTTCAAGCTACACCGCCGAATCAGTCGGAAGCAAGTAGCCAACCCCTACAGCATCAAGAGGAGCCAGAATTACATTCCCAAGACGAACCAGCACCAACACAATCCCCTCCTACACCACCTCCAGACGAACCAACCATCCCAAAGCCAACCTTCGAATCATCCCTCCGAATGGCCAACGAAACCGTAAAATGCTGGGAAAGACGCGACACCCGAATCGCCAACTCGATTAAAGCAAAACTGGCAAGCAAATTTTCCCTAGAGATCAACTCTTACATGAAAGAGTACGCGGCAAAGACGAGGGCAGTATCGTCTCGGCAACACATTCATCGTATTGTTGAGCAGTGTGTGTTGGCGAGACGGAATTTGAGAGAAATTAGGGATTTGTTGCAGGATTTGCAGGATTATGACCCGGTTGATGATGTTACTAGAATGTTGATGGAGGAGACGTGGCGGGTTATGGTGAGTCTTGAGCATGATAATTGGATTGAGGTTGAGTATGCGCTGGAGAATCAGTAAGATGACTGCGACGTTGGAGCTGTGGAAATGTTTAATTAATGAGGGGAACATGGTGAATTGAAGCTTACAACATCGACACTGGCTTCAGTACTTTGCTATATCTTCTTTATGTGACTGTCTCGTCCGGTTGTAGTGTTACAAGCTTGGTGTTGACTTGGATGAGCCTGGTCGCCATTGGTAGATCGACTCGAATAAAAAATATTGACCTCTATGAAAAAAGGGCATAGTGTAAAAATTGATCACGATCTAGACGACAATGTATCACCCAAAAAAGAAACATCCGATGATTCGGATGATACTTCAAATGGTCCCAGAGGGGGTCGAACCCTCGACTTTGGCGTTATTAGCACCACACTCTAACCAACTGAGTTATGGAACCGTTGATGTAAGAAGAGGCGATAATTGGCATCATAGATGGAGACAGTGGAGATTATTCTGGAGCCTGGTGGAGCACGTGGACTCCTGCCTAAGGCGGCAACAGCCCGACCAGTGCATACATAAGGTCTACTAATTGAGTGGCTAGGATACTAATTAGGAAGAGTACAATAATTTCTAATGCCTTTAGTCTGTATATCAATATTATAATCATAATTTTATAAACTCCAGCGTTGGGATTAAGCTTCGTTTCTGGATGGCGATGTGCGATATATTTTTGGCCAAGTTCTTTTTAGGTCCACATTGATCCTTTATTGGAGGTTCATCAACGTATGCGAACTGACAAAGATCCCATTCACACACTAAAACTCACTGGGACCGAAGAAATTCCTAATTTCTATTCCAAGTACATCCTTAACATAGTTTCCACAGTATCCCTAAGGCAGTTTCAGCACCTGCATACTGACAAAGACCTAATCCCTGCAGGTCAAGAGCCCCCGGGATTAAAGCCTTTCACGATTTCTATTTGGAGTATATCCTTAGCACAGCCTCGACAGCTTCATTAAGGGGGTCGAAGTGCCTGCCAAAGAAGACAAAGGCACATGATTTCTTTCATCATCAAACAACTGCAATACCCTTATAGAAAGTCTGGCACGTACAGATATAACAAAGCCAGCTCGAGTATAAGAAGACCCCCTCATATCTGACATACGAGTCCAACAACTCTCCAGCCCAAGGCTATCCTCTTCAATCCCAAGAACCATCTGCAAACTCCCAGGTCAGTCCCAAACATAATCTTTTCTTCTAACTATCCATTAATCTCCCAACCATTAAATCATGGGCGATTATAACAAAGCAGAGTTCTTGAACTTCATTGGCGACTCCATCGTCAGCCTGCAGAACTGGAATAGTGGAAGAGGTGTACGTCCCCATATACTGCTTGGTCAGATGCGTGAAATGTCCGATACGATGCTTGCCTATTCCACCTCGCTTCCACCGGGTGAAGCTGCAACCGCTTGCGAGAAGACTGCTCGTTATCTTGTGGCTATTAGGGTCAGCCTTACGCAAACAGGGCTCACAGACACGATCAAACTCAATATGAGAAGGGCTTCCCATTTGTGTAGCCATATCTTGTCTGGAGACCTCCCTGTGGATTTCTCGAGTTGTCCTTGTTGCTGCAAGAAATGCGGTAAGAAGGGTAAGAAAGATACTGCAAACCATGTGAAGGAGGAAAAGAATGCGGCAGGGGCGAGCAAAGAGGTAAAGGCGAGCAAAGATGTGAAGGTGAGCAAGGAGGCCGAGCCCGAGGCAGAGGTAAGCGATGTTTCCGAAGCAGGCAGCGCGGCGGAGGAGAGCGATGTGTCGAAGGAAAGCAGCACGGCGGAGTAAGTAGAAGTCAAAGCTAGGCTTAGTTCATGGTGCTGTGAGGGGGTGAGTAGAGTTCGTTCTCGGTGATTTTCCCATGTCGTTCTTTATGATTTTCTTCTTATCCTGTCTTGTTTATCAGTCTTTAGATTCATATCTGGGTTTACCGTATCAAAGCCAGCACTCTCATTGAAAATCTCAATCAGCATTTTGATAACCAATTCAATTTTCGAGTAGATGTAACCAAAACAATTTAAAAGTATTGAGGAATAGTCGGTAGTCGAATAAACAACATTATAGTGGGAAGGTACACCCCCACCGATACCTTTATATTCATATGAATACTTAAACTTCCTATTCCATATGGATCATAGCCTTAATTACAGTCATAAAACAATTTTATTCCTTTCAGTCACCTAGGTGTTTTCCAACATATTTCATCTGTGTTATTCATTATTTATCTCGATATAACATTAGACGTATGGCCATAATGAATATCTGAACCTTACAAGCGACTTTCTCAATGGCTCTTTGACTACTGAAACACTGAAATGGCCATTGTCTATAGAACAAAGAAAACACCACAGAGTGCCATAAAAAGAACAAAGTACAGACAACCAAAAGCACTGTCCCCATTGTTTCATTTTACACAAAGGCCTTCAGACGCATACTAAATAAAGGCTTCTGAGACCTCCAGAGCCTAGATATAAAGCTACCTTAAGTTGTTCTGGTCGGCTAAGTGCGTTTGTTCCTCCCTGAATAATCTCTTTCCTTCTCATCGCTCTTCTTTTACCCTATTCACCAACAATGACTTCACTGAAAGCCCTCAAAACAAACCTTGAATACTCCATAAAACTGCTCACAACATGGAATGTTGGCTTCTCCCTATCACCCTATTACCGCATGGCAAGCACAGTGACCGACAAACTCATCAAGGATCTGACTAAATACCTGGATCAATACGCAAACGAAGCCAGTAAGTCATATCCGCATTATGATTATATCGTTTTCTTTGGCAACGAGGTTGAGAGGTTGCTTCTGGATGTCACAAAGGAGATGCTGAAGTCCTGTGACGAGGTTTCAATGGGACCACCTGGTCTTAACCCATCCGTCAAGAAAAAGTTGGAACTTGCTATCCAACATATCTGGGTGTTAAGGGGGATGATTCGTCGTCAGCAAAAACCAGAAGGGCGTGATGTGCTAACTTCTCGTCGCCGAAGGCAGCACTGTTTTTCTTAGTCTCGCGAAGATGAATTAACCAACCCGAGAAGAGAATTCGATCAATCTTACAATAAACAGGGTAAGATTCTTTGTTACATTGCTACATTCTAATTCGATAATTAATTGGAATTTGGGAATTGCTTAATGGTGATATTGTTGGTCTTTGTAAATCGCCTTACATTTTTGACACTCAAATACACAAAACCTGAGTAGCTACATGACTGGGACTGACGAGTAGATTAGAACCATAGTCGTTCGATATGTAGATGAACTGAGACCTGTGATGGATACGACACGTAGCTTATACCGTAGAATGAAGTCCAATTGCACTAGTTCCTTGTATACATGAACATGTATGCTTTAATTTGTACACAATAGTCGAGTTCCGAGAGGATTTGCACACAATAATCCATGACTTTAGCCGCCTGCAGCAGGGAGTGATCTCCCTATCAACAAGGAGACGGGTAGAACAGGCTTGTAGCCTGCTTTACCAGGTCTCCTTCTCATCTGGGCCACAGCCAGCCTTCCAGGGGACGTCCTTGGCTCTCACAACCGTCTCCCACCCACCAGCCAGTTCCCTACTACTGCCAACACCCAATTCCACCCCATCCACATCCTCGCCCCAAGGCAAAGCATCAACATCGACCTCCCACCCCAGCAAACAGCGAAGTATAACACCTGCACCAGCCTTGCTCATAACAACGTTCATCTCCTTACATCGCTCATCACAAACGCACTCGATGCACCCCTGGGGCGAAAGACAAGAACAAGATTCAATACGAGCCACCGCGCGTCTTAGCAGCAATCCGATAAATTCGAACGCCTTGCTCGCAATACCTGACCCGCAAGATCCGCCCTTCGCGTCGTAGAAGGTCAACCGTGCAGGTCTCTGGCGTGATGGGGGTTGGATCTTCTTCTCAAGCTCTGCGTTAGACTTGCCAGATGCATTGGCACGACGGAGCCCGCTACTAATCTCTTTCTTTGCGACCTTGCATTCGGTGCGAACGTCACCGGGAGAAGATATCACAAAGGATGGAAGGAGTGAGAGTACGGCGTGTTCAGCGGCGTGAATAGCGGCTGCAACGTTGAGTCTGTGCGATTCGAGGATGTCGATGGCTCGGGAGGGCACGTTTAGCCACATACCCTTTGTGAACAGGTCAATTGGGGGATTGTCGACGGCGACGGCGTCGAGAATACGGCCACGCTTGTCAATCTTGAAGAAGCCGTATACAACGGCGTGAATCTGCACGGCTCCGAAGAACGCGCGGCAGGAATCTGGTCCGGTGCCGACAAGACGCATGGCCTCGGTCTCGATGGGATCAATATCTGTGTAGTCACGCTGCATAGTGCTCCAATCGACGTGAACGCGCAGGACGCGTGCAAAGTGACGCTCCGGGTTGAGCTCCTTGACGATGTATGTTTGACCTTGATGTAGGAAGATGCCGCCTTCATAGATAGTGAAGAATGCACGTGAGGCTTCGACTTCTTCGAGGACGACATTGCGATTGTTCGTTGTGTCAACCACGGCAAAGTGCGTGTCCTCTGTGTCACGAATGTTCACGCACCGCGATGGATGAGGCCGGAAGCGGTCGTGGCAGTGATAGAAACCCATGCTATCCTTGATCAAGCGAGTAGCAGCGAGGGCAAATAGTTGCTCGCCGAAGTAGACATGGTCTTCATCCGGGCGAATAGGCATCTCGAAGGCGGCACACTGGACATGCCCTTCCTGGATGAGCTCGTTGGACAAGTCGACTTGCAGCTCGCAATTCGGCCTCGTGAATATTTCATCCGGATTTTGCATGTAGTGCTGGTCTGTTGGGTATCTCTCCCCAACGAGCACTGACAGGGAGTCTTTGTTTCGTCGACCAGCACGGCCACTTTGCTGTCGCAAATTGGAAATCGAATATGGGAAGCCAAGCGTGATCACCGCGTCAAGTGAGCCAATGTCGACGCCCAGTTCAAGTGCATTGGTAGCGACAATTCCCATCAACTTTCCCTCGAACATTTCCTTCTCAATCCGTCGACGGTCTTGGGGACTGTATCCACCTCGGTAGCCCATGACCATCTTGCCAACTTCGGGTCGTTCGAGAGCTTGAAACTCACTGTGAACCGCTTGCAAGAGAATCTCACATAGCTTTCGTACGCGACAGAAAGCAATCACTCTTACTCCCCGAAGGACCAATTGGCAGAACAGGCGGGCAGTCTCCGCGACGCTATCACCGCGTCCAGAGGTTGGATCAGCCGGATCCTTGAATGGAGTATTCCAGCAGACAAATTCCTTTCGGCCTGATGGAGATCCATCATAATCCACCAATTTCACATCCCGCACGCCAAAAATCGATTTCATGTGCTGCTCTGGGTTTGCAACTGTAGCAGAACAGGATATGAATTTCACATGTCGATTTCCTACTGCAGCACAAATTCTTCGGAGTCGGCGCATGATGTATGCTACATGGGACCCGAACAAGCCGTTGTACACGTGCAACTCGTCCACAACCACGAACTTCAAGTTCTTTAAGAAAGTGCGCCATGCACTTTCCTGTGGAAGAATGGTAATATGTAGCATGTCGGGATTTGTGAAAATTATGCGAGCCTCATCACGGATGAGGTTCCGGCTACCCATCGGCGTATCGCCATCGAATGTCTCAACTATTGTCTGCTGCAAGCCATCCATGAACCGCAATAGATCCATCATGCTGCGTCGCTGGTCCTGGGCTAGGGCTTTGGTAGGGAAGATATACATACCCCTACTGTCAGGATCCTTTTCCAGTTCGTGCAGCATGGGAACCTGGTAGATGAGCGACTTTCCTGAGCTTGTCGAGGTGGATACAATCACATTGTGACCTTCGTATAGATGATTGATTGCCTCGGCCTGATGAGAGTAGAGCTGAGTGATGCCTTTCGTATTGTAAAGCGCATTGACAAGGTCTTGCGACAGCTGAAATGTCAAGTCACCGTATACTGGAGATTGAGCATCAAATACCCGATGTCCTTCCGGAACGATCTGAGCATGATACCACTCCATTTCCCGTATTTCGGCAATAATTTCTGCGATAGATTTGCGTTCTTTCGGTATCGTCGCAGGTGCCTTGGCAAAAGCGGGAGTGTTTACCTCACTGCCAGGAGGCGTAGGCAGAAACGCAATTTTCTCCTGTTCCAAAGTCTCTATCGGTTCCAGTCCTTCATCTTCACAGCGGACGAGGAATGCGTCAATCGCATCGGTAAATTTGGTGTTTCGCTTCTCGATAAGGGCAAGCATCTGCTTTTGGCTGTACACTGGCATCTTCAGGTCCTCATCTTTCATTCGGCGCGTGGGTTTCGACGGCTCTCCAGTTTTTGGATTCTGCACCTCCCGCTTGAGGTCGCCGTCCACAAATTCGAAAAAGAGAACGTCTTTCCTTCCATCATTGTGATCCACGCTATTATCGGGCAGATCCTCGGTAGTGAGTGTGTCATGACCCCTTCCTAATCCGTAGTCGATGCTTTCTCGATCGCCAACCGTCATGATCTCCAGTCGGGCTTCATCGACATACTCGAATCGCACCGCCCGAGGGACGAGCACCTTGACCCTCGCCACATCCTCGACTGTGAGTTCTCTCCCTTGGCCAAGCTGCGCCTGGACAGCCTTTTTGATATTGTCAAACGTCGTGATAAAGTGTTTTCGCGTGCAGCAGAAGGTATATACGAGGTTCAGGGCACGGTGAGTCTGGGAGAGGCGTTTGAGTTCGTCTGGCCATGGCGCAGAAGGGGTTCGCTTTTTCGGAGCTTTGGATCGTGGCTTCGAGGTGGTTGACTTCTTCCCTTGGCCCTTACTCCTCTTTGTATTTTTTCCACTCTCCGTGGCTTGCGAATCTGACGCATCGTGAATGGAAGCGGTCTCTGCAGCGTTGTCGGTGCCGCCTACTGACGCGTTCGAGGACGGAGTGGCGGCGCGGCTAGCGGTCTGGTCGTCGCCATCGTGGCCTTGTTTTCGTTTCAAAGTATTTTTAGCGGGGGTTATTGCAGAGTCCGTCATGTCGGTGCCCCATCACGATCGTGCATATGGCCCGAGGGCGAATTGCGAAGTGCAAGAGACCGTCGCGGGTCGAGAAACAAGGAAACGCGAGGTCACGTGAATCGATATAACCCAGTATGGTATTGCACCTGAATCGATGGGCATCCTCAGAGTGTCGAAAAGGTGAACTGCAAGGGAAATGATAGTGTGTTACTGTGGATGAAACAAATTAATTGTTCTAGTTCACCATGGTGTTGTTATGACCTCCAAGCAACTTCCACAACGCCCAAGGTGTATAAAGCCTTGACAGCACCTGAAAGCATTTAGCTCATCGAGTTTTGCTCAATTCTTCAATATTATAGACATGAGATAGATTTCTATGTTAGGTTCACTCTTTAGCCTTGGAGCTCATTCCTCGTTTTGGATCCATGCCAAACCATTTCTCTCAAAACATCCACACGTCCACGCCATGTGTAAACCTGAGCAGCCCCAACCGATACTTACGCCACCATCAGAAAAATCGGATCGACGATTACGTCCAAACAAGCATTGGACGCCGTTTCTCGCTCTTTTCGGACCCATTGGCCTATAATTCTAATATTAGTGTTGCTAGCCACCTTTCTAACATCATCATTGTGGATGTGCCGATTATCGGCACTTTGGTCAACACTTCAATTCGGTCATTTCGCCGAGCCTCGACCTCATTTGACCACCGGTCAGCATGATCAGACTACTATGAATCATCCGAAGTAGCATTGAATTACATGATCATCAGAATTTGATCCGAACGTAGAAGATGGTATAGTACCAACTTCATCCTGATTGCTAACACCCCAACCCTTGGGATCTGCGCTCCAATCATAGTCGGCGCGGGATGACCGTATATAAGACAGCTAACCACCCCAACTATCCTTCGTTCACTCACTAAATACCTTACCTTACCTATCCGACATGTCCATTCATATCCAACATTCCACCAGAAGACTATTTCGCTTGTCCCAAAGTACCTTCGCGGGACTATCAATCAGCCACAAAGCAATGTCCACCGCCGCAGGATCGAAGGACTGGAGTGCGGCACAGTACCTCAAGTTTGAAGATGAGCGAACACAACCAGCTCGCGACCTCCTCGTCCGCGTTCCTCTCCAAGCTCCTAAAAGAATAGTCGATCTCGGCTGTGGACCGGGCAACTCAACCGCAGTCTTGGAGTCCCGCTATCCCAATGCCCATCTCGTAGGGATGGACTCATCCCCGGACATGATCCGCAAAGCCAAGACGGCCCTTCCACACCGCGAGTTCACAGTTGAAGACTTACACTCGTATTCACCGGAAGGACCTGTTGATCTCTTCTTCTCCAACGCCGTCTTCCAATGGCTCGGGAAGGACGAGCGATTCAGTATTGTCAAGAAGTTGATGGAGAGTCAACCCTCAGGCGGCGTGTTCGCTCTCCAAGTCCCTGATAACCTCATGGAGCCATCTCACGTCCTTATGCGCGAGACTGCAGAGAATGGTCCTTGGGCTACAACTCTCAAGAATGTCGGTCGTGATACTTTCCAGACACCGCAAGAGATTTACGATCTGCTCAAACCGGTCTGTTCGAAAGTGGACATTTTCCATACCAGTTATTATCACAATCTTGAAAATCATGCGGCTATCATTGAGTGGGTGAAAGGGACCGGACTGAGGCCATACGTGGACCCCTTGTCTCCCAACGAGAAAGAGGGTTTCTTGCGAGAGTATTTGAAGCGCTTGGAGAAAGCCTATCCATCGACATATGATGGCCGGGTATTGCTTCCTTACCCCCGGCTCTTCGTTGTTGCAGTCAAGAAATAATTGGCCATGAAATAGGGGTGCCTGAAATTGATGTACATATCGTTTTTCTTCACTGTGATATTTTGGCATGTCCTGCTTTGTGATCCTAGTCCTAAATGAAGGGTAAATTCAAGAGTAGAAATGGGAGACATGATATGACGATGGTCAACGGCAGAGGCATACAGAGGAATCCATGCATCCATTTGCTATAATGTGCTGCATCTTTCCAGTTAGAATTATAAACAACCAGAGAGAGAAGAACATTACTTCGCGTTTCCCTAATTACTGACTGTCATTTCTACGCCGCTTAAGCAGCAGCAGAATTTGCTAGGGGCTTGCTTAGTCCTTGTTATGTATCCCACTTCCGACTATCGCTCAATATCTCACAAACTTCTCTAGAAATACCCGCGAGAGACAACAGGGACAGTGAGTGGTGTCATGGGATCTGTATTAGCTCGGATCCCTGGACCCTGTTGGGCGGCTTCCACCATCAGGAGATCATACCTATCTACTACGTGTTAGCCGGTTCGAGACGTGTGGAGCCTTCAGGCCATGCAACCAAGGTTGCTCAATGGTAGTCTGCTTCTCTATTAGTCTATCCGCCTTGTTGAAGTACAACCCTGACACATAGCAGAATAGAATGCAGCACCGAATATTCACAAAGCACTTTCAGGAATGAAGAACGATGCTTAATCAAAAACACAATGACAGAAGTCAAAAACAGATGGGATTCGTAAAAGACCAGACGCTAATAATCACAAAAGCCGCTCACTCATAGTGATAGCGGTAAAAACTCCATGTGCACCGATCCCCAATTCCCCATGTCCTGTTTGCCGAGTCTATGTTAGACCACAGCTTCTATGGTTGGTATCATGTGCTTGTCTTTTCCGTATTCACTCGCCGTCTAGGAGATCCTTGATGACGACATAGAGATCCTTCGCAAGGGCTTCGTTTCCAACCTGCATAAAAAGAAGTTAGCCAATATATCATGAGAGGATGTCTGTGTGGGTGAGATGACTTACGCGCAAGAGCAGAGGCACGGTGCGGCCTTCTTCATTGCTGGCGAGGAAGATCTGCTTGGAGGTCGGTTCTTCGTTCTTTGAGTCACCGAAAGTCATACCCTTGAAGACAGGGCTGTTCAGCATGACACGCAGAGCACCGTCGGCACGCATAATCATGCGACCATGTTGCTTTCCGGTCTCGCTTGTGCGGGCGTTGATCTTGAAAGTTCCCACACCACGCTCTTTCCACTCGCCGTTGCTGAAGTGGAAAAGCTTGCCTTTGCAGGCGAAGAGGTTCTCTTCCTCTTCCTCACCAGTTTCAACTGTGTCAAAATTAGCATAACTGATTAATTGGAAGGGATCTGGGAGGAAATACGAACTGGTCTGTTCATAGAAGCGCTCGTCGGTCTTATCGGCCTCGAATGTGGTGGTCTCTTCGCCATCATCATTGTCGCTTCCCTCGTCGCCAGACTCATCAGCGCCAATAGGCTTCGATGGCTTGGACTCGCCGCCAAGGGTCGCAGGGGCATTGGGAGATGCGAAGTTTGTCAAGCCGCCGGACTTGGCAGCAGCAGCGAAACCACCGCTCACGCCCGCGAATCCACTTTTCAGGGAACCGAAGCCAGAAGTCGATGAAGAGCCGAAGCCAGACATTCCGGAGCCGGACTTGAAAACTGATGGTTTTGAGGAACCAAGGGAGCCGAAAGGAGAATTATCGGAACCAGCGAAGGAGCTGAGAGCCGAAGAGGCAAATGCCGAGGTCGATGCGGGCTTGTCGGCAGTTGAAGTTGAAGTCGAACCACCAAGTGAAGCGAATGGCGAGGAGGCAGCCGTGTTTGCAAATGCACTTTGAGCAAAAGCCTAGAGCAAAAGAGATGAGAAGCTGACCGGGGATGACCAATGCGGGGAAAGGAAAGAGCGAATAGAAAAATGAGAAGTTTGCTTTTAGAACTTACATTGGCTGTTTGGGTCTCACGCTCCTGCGAATTATCACGGTGGCGCTTGTTCTCAGTCTCCTTGGCCTCCTTTGAGCCTTCTTCCTGCAGCTGTTCTAAGCTTCGCTTCTTCGTCAGGCCCTTAGCGTCGTCGTCGGTCATCGCGTCGGCATTGTCGAGTTTCTTGGGATCCTGTGAAGATGTGTTGGTGTTATCACTCTCAACAAAGCACCAGGTCTCTTGGTCACTAGACCAGCCACTGGATGACGCCTCACTCGGGGAAAGAGCGGGGTGTTCAATCTGCGCCCCAGGAATCTCTAATTCGAGCGTGCTCACACGAGACACAGAGGACTCAGGCGACTTGAGCTCTGCAGAGTCAAAGCCTCCTTCTTGGGTGTGAGTTGGCGCTGGAGTCCGAGCTTCCTCCTCGGATTCAGATTCCGAGTCCGAGATGGAAATTACCTCGATAGAATCGGGCACTTCTGCAATCTCCGGCTCAGACTCAGACTCCGAATCTGAGAAAATCTCGATGATTTTGATGATTCCTGGGGGCGCGTTGAAATCCTCGGGCTCGGAATCCGAAATGACAATGACCTCAACGTCGGAGCTGTCGAATGTTCCATGGGAAGACTCATCCGTGGCCAGGTCCTTGGGGGTGGCAGGCACGGGGTCCTTGGGGTCGGGCTCACTCACGTTGTCTGATGCAGGCCCTGCGGCGCTGCCCTTCTTCGCGTCTTCTGGTGTGCACTCGCGTGATCGCTTGCGGGGCCCGTCGCCGTTCTCGATGGCGTCGTCGGTGTCGCCGCGGGCTTCTTCGAACGATCGCTTTCTGCCGCTGCCCGGTTCCGGGGCCGATGCGGCGAAGCTCGAGTCTCCAGAAGCAGCCATGTTGGAGGAGGAGTCGATCGATGTCTCCTTCAGCTGCTTACGGACGGGGCGCTCGTCGGTGTCGGAGGGCGGGGAGCGGGCGTCTCCACTGGTCACTGCCCAAGGAAGAATTTGGTCAGCTCTGGAATTTTGAAGCGAGGGTGTGGAGGTTGATATAATCATGGAAATAATTCGTAAAAAAGACACAAGGGGCCAGCCACCTATCGCCCAGTCACACTGATAGCCGCTGGGTCTGCAAGGTTGCTCTGGTGCTTCGACGGGGCTCCATGCGATATCGGCCAGTGTGCGAACCGGCTACCATTCATGCACTTGCGCATGAGGCGCATAGGGGAGGAGACAAAGACACTCACCATCAGCAGGAGCCTTCTGCTCATCTGACGCGGAGACCATGGTGGAAACTCCGCGAGAGCAGGGAACGTTGGGCGAGTCCAAGTGGGTAGGTGCAGCTACCCACGGGGAACCAGCTGTGAAGCTGGGATAGGATGAGAGGAGGGAAAGGTATTCGAAACCGTGAATCTAAGTCGGGGGATTCAGACCAGCCGAATCGCGTCGAAGTCGAGGTCACGGGTGAGGATGTGGGTTGATTGGGAGGGGAGAAGGTTCGAGTGAAGAAGAGAACCGCCGAATATAAGTGTTGTTGTCCCGGTCACCGCTCCGCCCCGCAATGGCCCATGAGCTAGGCATCGCGGAGAGAGCTCGTTACCTACATGTAGGCTGAATAAACATTAGTTGAAGCCTTTGCCTAGATCTCTTCCTGACTTCATGTGAGATCGTTGCCTTCATCTAATATGGCTGTATAGTCTACTACCTCGCATTCTGCCTGGAGAAGATAATCTTTGTGATTCATCCGATTCTTAACTTATGCTTAAATGGGGAGTAAGTGTACAAAGGCTACCATTCGTCGCAGTAAATTAATTGAATGCTTCTGAACTATATCCCAAGCTTGGGTAAGGCACCGATCTTTCAGCCTTCACAGTTTCGTTGAGGGTAGTATCTTTCAAATCTTCCATAGCTAAATTCTCTGCCTCTGTCTCTGCCTCAAAGGCCCACGACCCTTCTACTATCTTCAATACAGGCACCTGCTGGCCCTGCTATCTATTCTGTATGGTTACCTACATACTGTGTAGTCAAGCTGATTGGATAGAAGGTGCCTTAGTCTCACATCTATCCTATGGCTGGAGTCTACCCATCGGAAATGTTAGCCTAGACTTGCGTGGTATAATCGAAAATGACTGCCCTCCACGACGGATAGCACACGAAAAATGACGATAGTAATAGGATTGAAGATTGAGAACAATTCAGCAAGGTTAATGATGTAAAAAAAGGAAATACTGGTATTTTGAAAAAGCAGCCGCTACAGAAAAAGAAATGTATACACGCATCAATCACAATTCACGCGGAGAAGGCTTGAGTTCGATCCACTGGATTTTTGAGCCCAACATGATAAAGCGCAAAATTCCCTCGCTCTAGGCGAGGGCACGGAGACACTTGCACCCTTAACTAATGAAACAGAGGCATCCAATCGCAATATAAAACACAAACAGCGGGTATACCGCGATGCCGACGCGGTTGCGCACCACACCCGAGCCACCCAGAATACTAACGCCTGCAGCCAATGACCATGCCACAAGGACAAGATAGACGGGTATTCTGGCAATTGTCGGAAGGCCCAAGGCACTGAGGAGTGCGGCAATGACCAGTGGGAAGAGTGTGTAACCGATGATGCAAATTGACTGGAAGAAGGAGCTAGAGATTGAGGCGCAAAGGTTAGTATAAAACAGGGAAGAACCAGTTAGATTCTGGCACACATACATCTTTCCGCCAAGAAGCTTGATCTGCAGAGTGACAGCTGCCTCTCCGATCCAGACGATGCAGAAGACACCCGAGAAGACCAACGAGGCCTGGTCGCCCTTCGCGACGGATAGGAATAAACTCAGAACCAAACAGAAGACAAGCGGGCCCCTAGAAGAACCGTTAGTCCCGAGAACCACTCTCAAACTTCGAGTACTGTGATCCATGCAACGTACCAAAGATCCCAGTCGCGCAACCCTTCACTCATGCCACCCTGCAGAACCACATCGGCATCTGGCCAGCGACCCACGATCCCGCGCAGGTTGCGACCGAATCCAGATGCCTCGCCTCGTTCGGCAGCATCACCCATACCTCCTCCACCGCGCTGCATCATACCGCCCAGTAAGTATTTGGGCCAGAGCACCTGGCGCATCTTTTCCCAGACGGCGATCAGGTCGCGCGATAGGGTGGCCCAAACAGTCTCATCGATGGTATTTTGAGTCGCGCGGCGATCCTCACCGGGAATCGAGGAGGTCAGGTAGTTGCCATAGCCGTCTACGCGGCTGCCTCGGGAGCCAGAGTCGGATGCGATGTTGCCTCGCAGAGGGGCTGTGTCGGAGGTGTGTAAGGGATCATCGGCCTCGATGTCTAGCGAAGGAAAAGAAGTTAGCAAGTCAAAACCCAGATAGTATCAACGGTGCAATTCTTTGTCGTGAAAGGGGAGGGCTACCGTGGTCGGCTTCAATCAGGTCATCGTCAAGGAGCGATTCGTCGTCATGTAGGTCGGCATGAGAATAGCCCGGCTGCACGCTCGCCATTTTTTATGAAGTATTAATGTCTTTTGGTCGGGAACTGTGTATGTTTACTGCAGTAGCATCGCTTCCCGAGTGCAAGTGGAGAGCGGGGAGTAGAGACGAAGCAATGTTGATGAATGGTCAAGCTATCCTGGAAAGGCGAGAGTGGCATTACGCCGCGCGGGCTGGCGTCACCGCCCGGACTATAAGGCGTGTTATTATTAGTAGTTCACTACATTCTCAAACATCTAAGATTCTCAGGATGATATGATATTCCTTTTCGTATTACGAACCCGCCATTTCCTTTTGCCATACTCTAGCCTTCCACATATGGCTGCTCCTCTTTATATACATCATAGTTATATCGACTGCCCTCGTGGTCATCCCGGAGCTCCTTCTGGCCCTTGCCATAAACCTTCTCACGAGCAGTGAGAGGCTCGTCCGTCTCAGATGGCAATTCCGGGTACAGACCCCGTTTTCTCAGCTCAGGAATGACAAGGTCAATCAGATCCTCAAAAGTGCCCGGCGTGGTCACATAGCCAATATTGAAACCATCCAGATCAGCCTCCCGAATCCACCGCTCCATCTCATCCGCAACGGTAGTCGGACTACCAATGGCCACTGGTCCAAGACCACCGATAGCAGCTTTCTCAGCGACTACACGGGGTGTCCACTTCGGGACGTCCTTGCTAGTCTTGAGCAACGAGTCAAGAAGACTAGTCACTTTGCCCGCTTCGAGCGAATCCGCCTCCGTGATCTCCTGATCCAGAGGGATCTTTGAGATATCAATGCCTGTCCAGCCACTGAAAAGTACCAAGCCACCAATGACTGACGCGTATTTCTTTAGCTCTTCGTATTTCTCCCATGCTTCCTCGTCGGTTCGTCCCACGATCGGCGTAAAAGTGCCAAAGAACTTGATTGACTGCGGATCCCGACCGTTTGCTGCAGCCAGCTCCCTAATCTTCTGCACTTTAGGGCGAAGCACCTCTGGGGAATGGGAAGATACAAAGATTGCTTCGGCGTGAGTCGAAGCGAAGGCCGAGCCAGCTGGCGACGTACCAGCTTGGAACAAGAATGGCGTTCTCTGCGGCGATGGGTCGACGATGTGGCGCGTGCTCAGGGAGTAAAACTTTCCCTTGTGATTAATCTCGCGAACCTTGTCGGGGTTTATGTATGAGTCTGTCTCGGGGTCTGGCGAAAGTGCATCCGAGGCCCAGGAGCCATTCCAAAGCCTGGTTGTGGAAAAAGACAGTTAGCCTCAGCCTTTGATCCTGCCCGTCATCAGGAGGGAATTCTGCGTACTTATATAGGACCCGCAGATACTCATCTGCTTGGGCATATCGCTGGTCATGCTCAATGGGACTATCAATTCCAATGGCTTTGAAGGCAGCCTTCTTGTATGAAGTAACAATGTTCCAGCCTATACGGCCATTCGTCAAGTGATCCAGTGTAGAAAAGCGCTTTGCGAGTAGGAAAGGCTGCTCAAAGGAAGTCGAAGCGGTGATGCCGAAGGCAAGGTTCTTGGTCACAGCAGCCATGGCAGTGATGGGCTTTATGAAATAGTGTCAGTCATTACGCTCACGGGCGATCATGTCGTCTGCTGCTACTTACAATAGTTGGGTCCGTGACCGGCCACTGAGCTGCTCGGCGAATACACTCATCCAGTTTACCCTCGTAGGTATCATGGCCTCCCGTAGTATCCGCCAGAAACAATGCATTAATGCCACCGCGCTCCAACAACTTGGCGAGTTCGATCCAATATTCGAGTTTGCGTTTGGTTGCCGACTTGTCTTTGGGGTTCTGCAACTGTCAGCATCTACTCTATTATGCATGGGAATCGGAGACTACCTTCCACTGCCCAGGAGACAAATGTCCCACTGTGGACATATCAAAAGCATTGATCAAGATCTGTTTTTTGCTGCTGCCATTGGCGGAGCCATTCTGGCGATTGGCTGCACTTGCATCGCCCATAGCGTGTAGAATTCACAACCAGATCACTTGGTCAGTTCCAGACTCTGATTTAGCTATACAATAATGTAGGAGTTCCCCAGTAGGCCTGTATAGATAAAGAAGTGATTTTGAACAGCTCGGAGAGAAGTCCTGTGGTGATCCCCGCACCTCCCAAGACAGCTTTTGGCCATTTCACGCATCTCTCACGCCATCAATTCTGACAATGACTGTCGGAAACCCTCCGAGATATTGATGTAAATAGGGACTCCAATCGGAGGGTTTATTATCTCTAGCAAGCTGATATACAGTATTCGCCATCATCCCCACAAAAAGCGCAAAATATGGCCGGCAGCCAAGGCACGGTTGTGTTTGAGCCAAGGTTATGGAACCCGTATCTCTCTCGGCATTTCATAGTGCAAGCAATAGTAATTTGTTAATGGATGATGTCCTTCGAATGCCAATATGTTTCGTGAGGGGTTGAACCCAAGTGCGGGCAGAAATCATGTCGCCATCAAAGTTGATATGACGTGACGCTTTCCCTGCTCAACAGAGTCAATTTGACTCGGGCGAGTAGGGCTGAGTAACATTATGAATCGAGCTGAATTATACATAGTTTATCGTGAAAGTGAAGAATGAGCCTTCGCTATAGCTATGTTACCAATGTCCAATGTTAGACTCGAGTAGAGGAAGGCTAGACTTTGACTATTTGCTAGTAGCTAGGCCACACTACATGATTCACCCGTAGCTATGAAAAGATAGACAGACCATTGCTAAAGCTTATGGTCATGTTTTCCGATAACATTGGTCTCTTGTGGTCCAGACTCCAGGTTGCTTGAATCATCTGCAGTGTCTGACCCAGAGATACTGCCACCTCCGGCCTTTGCCCTCCTAGAATAACGTTAGCATTCATGTGAGATAAGTGTAGTTGATCAAGTACTCACTCCTCTCTTTTGATGAAAAATTGAACAATATGCGACAGCACAATCAGACAGATCGCATTCGCAAGAACAAACGAGTACCCCTTCGTAAATCGAGGACCCTCAACTGTCTTGAACACGAGCAAAGGCGTCCAACAAGTCGTTGACTGCGCCACAGTATTGACAATAATAAGCGTCAGAGACCGTTCTACCGGCGAATAGCGCATCTGACTATTGATCCACCCGTACAAGACACTCGACATGGCGACCGCGGAGTAAGTCGTCAAGAAAGCGAACCAGAGCGCTGACTCGGGGACTTTCCAGATGACCAGGATTGTAAGGCCGATGATATTCCAAAGATGAGAGACAGTGATTGCCCAAGCGGGTCCAAGTATCAAATCCGAGGCGAAGCACACGAACAGCGTGTAGAAGATACCCAGAGCTGGAGAAATGGCAGCGAGTTCGTTGAGTCGGCTTGTGGAGAATCGCTTCAGGCTTTTAAGCCATAGCAGATAGCCGCCGGACGAAGTATTGATACAAGCATTCCAAAAGAAGATATCCACCCACAGCAAGGCCCAAAATTTCCAGTTGCGACCGACCTTGATGAAAGTGCGCCATGTGAGCGGTTCCTCCTTGATGGTGTGAGATGCGCGCTCCAGACGTGCCTTGGCGAGTTGGACGTCCTTCTCCTTGAGAATGAGTTTATTCGGCTTGTCCGGTGTCCCTGGGAGAATGAAGTAACCCAATATGGCGACGGGAATGGTGATGATAGCACATATAATGTACATCCATCTCCAACCCGCAAGTCCGTTAACGCCGTCCAGACGGCTTGATGCTCCAGCTTGAATCAGGCTTGCAGTTAAAGTACCCAGTGTGAGACCGACGTAGAAACATCCCCCACGGCGGGCGATTTCATCGCTTCGATACCACGACCCTGCAATAGGTTAGAGGCTTAGAATTGACAAGTTGAGAATCGCTCTTACCGAAGATATAGTGCATTCCTGGGAAGAAAGCCGCTTCAAACCATCCAACCAAAAAGCGATACGCAGCTAACTCGGCAAATGAAGTAGCACGATACTGAACCAGTGTGAAAATACCCCATGCAACATCCATGAACGGGATAATCCACGACATTGGCAGCTTGGTAAACAGATATGCAAAGGGTAATTGACCGAGCACAGCACCAATAGTGTACATGGTCTGAAGCTGGACGAGCTCATTTCCATGGAATCCGAGGTCTTCTTTCAGACCAGAAACGTAGGCATTATCTGTCGTATCACAATCAGCTTTGAGTTTATGTCCACAGACCATCGATCTATAGATCCATACTGATATTCGCCTGGTCAATATACTTTGTCCAATATGCCAGGAATGCATAAGGGACAATCAACAAGTCCAGCTTGAGGATGAGTCGCCTTTCTTCTTTGGTATCGCTCTCTGCAAACCACTGTAGCTGCCACCATTTTCGAGGTTGTTGGCGAACAGTCATCTTGATCCCGGCCCTTCTTCTTGGGTGAGAAACAAAAGGCAAGCTTGATCAAGTTATACCTTTTAACGGTCGCAAAACTCGGCACTCGTATCTATTTACTCCATCCCGCCTACTTGACCTGCAAGATGTCACTGCACAAGGCAATGGCGTGACGAAACCAAGGAAGAAAATCGGCCAAACACCGAAGTCTCTCAAATGCGCCTCTAGCAAAATCAAGAAGGAATATCTTCCGAGATAAGCAAATAAGGTTGTTTGTATTGCATGTCATGCTGCAGTCTTTATGCGCACGCCAGGGCTTCCGTGTTCCAGGCGTGGTGGCCAAGGGATATGTCAGAAAGTGGAGCGAAGACGTGCGCAAAAACAGTCTTCGCCTAGTTAGTTTGGTCTCGTGGTGATGAACTTGGGGTCAATATTTGAACTAATTGTGTCATCCGAGGGGGTTCCAAGTCTAACGCGAAGGCCAACTCGGCTGTTTACTTGTAAAAATGCAGGACGCCAGAAAAATTAAATGGGTGGTGATGTACATTATAATACAAGGTGATCAAGGGCCACTTAAGGGCTCCATATTCACAGAAGGAACGCTTGAGAATCTCAAGTCTCACGTTCTTGCTTCACGTTGTCCGAGGAAGTTGGCTCTTGAACCTCCTCCGACTTGTCTGCCTTGCGGCCCTTGCGATCAGAAGCTTCATCGGCAATATCCAACTGTCGCTCCCTGAACGCGTTCTTCTGCTCAATACTAGGATAAACAGACAAATTGCCGAACTTCTTGACAGTCTCTTTGTCAGAGTACGTTCTCAAAAGTTTCGACTCTGACTGCAGGCCCTTACGGTCACCCTTCGGGACGAAAGGAGCATACTCCGCCTTCAATGTCTCGTCAATCACGGTACGGACTCGAGCCATCACCTTCACAGCCAGAGAGCCAGAGATATTGCCAGAGCCGTTCTTCAACGTGCCCCAGCGGCTGCTCCGACCGGGCTTGCCGTTTTGCAGGGCCTCGTGGAGCTGGAGAACCTGGGAACGCAAAGCGGTGATAGCAGCAAGATGCAAATCTGCCTGCAGTCTCTTACCTAAGGCCTTCAAGTCGGTGATCTTGCTGCGCTCTTCCTTGGGCAAACCTCTCAGATTCAGGAGGACATGCGGAGCTTGGGAGAGAGCCTGGACCAATTCCAGGTATGACTCGAGGACTCGTGGGTCGGGCAGGACGAGGGCTTTGTGCATGGTGTCGAGGAGTTCGTTTGCATGCAGGAGCACGGAAGCGTTGTTGCGGTCACGGCGACAGCAGGCCATGGCAAGATGGAACAGCTTCTCATTCGCGTTGCCAGAGGGCAATGCCTGGTTCTGCAGAACCTGTACAGCCCTCTTACTAGCTCGTCCAGCACGAAGAAGACGTAGATACTGAGCATAGGCGATCGCATCAGGCTCGAAGCGATTTTCAGACTCGACAGTCAAATGGTCCCAGTAGGAATAACCTGCGGCAAATCCCTGGGGCAGTCTATGACAGACATCCTCGATAAAAGTAAGCTCCTTGCTTCCCGGCTGGAGATAAGACAGACCCTCAGTCTTAGGGACGACGGAGTCAAAGATCATGTCGAAATTCTCGATTTCCTCCTCAGCCTCGGCTTCCTCCATATCCTCTTCCATTTCGGGCTCTTCTCGCAAGGGTTGGTTGTTCTCATCCACGAACGGCACGTCCTCAGCGGGCTGGGACACAAGCTCCTGCGATCTCCGCAAAAACGCCAAGCGGAACAATGTGAATCGAGAACATTTTGTTGTCTCAGCTGGCTGCTTGGCAAAGATTGGGATACCCATCGTTTGGTGGTAGAGCGCGAGAACATCGTAATAATCTCTCTCGCGGGCACCCTCCAGCAGCAGACTGGCCATGGCGTTCACAACATGGTTGTCAATCTGCAGCTGGTCTTTCGTCCATCGGTATAGAACGTCCGCCCAAATCCTCTTACCCTCCATGACCATTTGGTCTTTACGTTCGACAATCTTGTCCGTTTCATGAGGACTAAGTTTGTCAATGTCATGACGCGCCGCGTATTGAAGAGCACCTAGAATGATGGTATAGGTCCTCATATCAGGTGCTTGCGGGCCCTCTTCCGGGAGGTCTCCAGCAATGCGCCATAGCGATTCCATATCATTGTGACGATCGCAGACTGAGAGCATGGCATTGGTGTGGATGATGCTGGGCTCGACCTCGGAGTTCTTAATCGACTTGTAAATAGACTCGGCCATCTTGACGTTGGCGGTAGATTTCGGAGCGTCGGCGAGACCCTTGAGCATAAGCGTATATGTTACGGAGGTAGGCATGCGGCCTCGTTTTTTCATCTATCCAGTAAAACCTGTCAGCAAACACAAGTCTCTTCCAAAAGCAAACTCCAGTCTGATAGCTCAAACACTCACGTCATTATAGAATTTAAAAGCCACTTGTGGGAACCCCCGCTGCATGCAGTAGCTAAGAAGATGATTCCAAGCGACATCACATCTCTTGCCCTCCTTCTGTGCCTGGCGAACCAGAGCTGCCGCCATGGCTGGATCACCACTCCGCAGAATGCGCGCAACCCGATCCGCCAGATCACGGGGGTCCTCCAGCCATTTCAGCTCCATATTGATCGTCTTGCGATTGAAACTAGCTCCACGAATCTCATCATTTATCTCGCCATCCGCCGCGTTAGACCCGGTAGCGATTGCCATCAACGCGCGCTCTTCCTGTTTGCGCATCTCCGTGTCGACGACGGGCTTGTCGCCGCGTTGTTTGCGACCCCTATTCGCACCATTGCGGGTGAATCTCGCGGGTCTCTCGGAAACTTCGCTGGAGGGCTCGGGATCGTTATCGATGGGGGTTTCTTCAAGGGCGTCGTTCGCGTTCGAGTATGATCGCTGAGCTGAAAGCCGGGACCGCAGTTGACCAGCTTGAGCACCGGTGGCAGCGAGTCGTTGCCGAACGATTCCACTGCGCAGAACCCTACTCAGCGCTGACCCAGGAATCTGAAACGACATGACCAAATCCTTTTAAACCAAAAATAAAAGGCAGGATAAGCGGTCAGACTCGATGCTATTTTTTCGATCACGTCGCGCGGAGTCCGCAGCAATTTCTCGGAGATGGAGCTTGCGCTAACCCAGATCTGGCTAGTCATTTTACCCTTATCATTCAGGCAGCCTGCGGACAGGGAAACACTGCCTGAGGCCAGCAACCACATGGCCCGGCAGCACTAAGCCTCAAATAGTTTGGCGTGGTGATGGAGCTGCGGGCCGCTAGAGCATATTTCTATCGCATCCTTACAGGGAACCCGTAAGTACATACACTCCGTACTAGTTCCCGAGGACCTCAACTTCGGTACGCCATCGCCCGGTTCCAGATCTGCATTAGTCCCAGGACTAGGGTCCTGCATCCTGCACACAGTTGGCCGTGCACATGGCTAAGTCTTAATGTGCTGTTAAATGCAGGGCCTCGAGATGATCAACATCTTTCCTGTTTGATGCTAGTGCTTTTCTCGATTTGGTACTCTGTGCTTACGGAGACAAGAATTTGACAGTTCTTCCAATGCGTGTTTCGCTTGATTATTTTCCGTCTTATACATTTCACAAGCAATATCTATCTCCCATCCAATATTACAATGCTGCTAAAGCAGACCCTTGTAGATCAAAATGATAACCGGCAGTCAATGTGATATACTAGAAATACGAGAGACCTCATGATACCTGCTTACTCTTCCGCAGATCCCGAAACACGGCTCCCACATAAGACATACTAACCAGAAAAGTATAGTACAAAACACCAGCTTCCAAACAGACTGAAACAAAGTCACAAACCACCTGCCCGAGACATAAAACACAAGTTCTTCCATACCTCAGCATTTAAACACTCATCTTCTCTTACAGGCACGCCCTAGACACCCTATCAAACCCAGCAATGATTACGAATCAAACTCAAAACAAGCCCAGCGAGTCAGACACCGATATAAAACAGCCCTAGTGGTTTGATCTGCAGGGTACACACTTCAGCCCACGTGGTGGTCGGAACCACTAACCCTAATCAAGTAGCAGTTCGACCAGACCATGCAGGGATCCGAGGGCTCAGCCACGGTGTGATACAGTGCAGGGGACCCTGAATCATACGATCACGCTAGTACTGCCTAGCGAGTCATATTGATGTACGTTTGTATACTTTCTGATTTAAGTACGGGTCTAAACGTCCTGGGAAACATCAGTATTGCTGAGATACATACGGAGCTACCACGGAGAATAATCTTTGGATGACTTCTGAAGAGTATGTAGACAATAAAAAGCCTTCCTATTACATCGTTCTTCACTTTATTCCTCCTTCTTGGCTCCCTCTAACCCCCCGAGCCATCCGATCACACCCCAAACAACCCAGACTATACCCGTGCAGCCCCAATCAAAATCAAAAGCAAATCCCAAGCACAGAAAATCCCCCCAAAAAAGCAATCATACCCTTACCACAGCAGTGACAGCACACCCAGGCTGTCAGCACCTTCAAGTAACTAACTTGACGTACCGTCCAGTCCACCCTACGCCCTACCACACTAACCTCAGCCACCCCGTCACACACCTCCTACCACCCCCAAGTCCCAACAGAAGCAAAAAAAAAACCAGCCCAGCCCAGCCCAGCCCAGCCACTAACACACCCACACCACAGCCAAGGAACGGCAATCCAAACCGAAACCCAAAACGCAGTGGAGCACGCCAGCGCGGGCCCTAAAAAAATGGCTATAAGACGCTAAGGGCTAACGGCTAAGCTAACCAAGTTATGTAAGTACAGCATGTACCAAACTAAAATATTCTCCGAATCTCCGGGATTTGAACATTCCCTAGCTTGGCGGGAGTTCGGGGGACCCCCTAATTAACCTTAATTACTAGCTCAAAATTACACAAGCCCGCCGTCTGACGGGGGTTCTGGTACACGCTACTTCACTAGCTAGTACTGTACCTAACTAGCCAGGGCCACAGTGGCGATATTTTTTTTCTAGATTGTGGGAACTGGACGGGTGACGTCTGTGGGGGGTTGTGGCGGGTTTATTGTGTGTGGATTTAGGTTCTTGTTTAGCGTGGATTTTACTTAAAATCTGTCTAACATGTACTTTGCTACAGTGAGGTGGTGGGTAGCCTTATAATAGGCACACCCCTTCTCTGACACAACAACGAAATAGTCCACTCCTCTTCTAACTCGCCAAATCAAGTACAGCACACTACACATTCCATACTCGATGACTCGACAGCCAAAAGAACAAGATACAAATCGACATAATGCACAATACATTCTAGGCCCACAGCCCAGCACGGTATAATGTACGTTAAGTAAAATAGAATCAACTCAAGGAAAAGGTTGTAAAAAGGAAAAAGAGAGAAAAAAATGTGCAAATAAAAAAAAACACCATCCGCAAAAAGCAAGATTCCACACACAGCAAAAAGAGACATAGACAAAAGACGCAAAAGACGACAGAAAACAACAAACCCCCCATAAGAAAAAAAGGATAAACGTGAAGCGTACAAAGAGGCATTCATGCAAAAACAATAAGACGTGATCCAAATAATCCAAATCTCCCGAAGAACGGGGGATTTCGATTCATTCACCCATTCCAGGTCAGGTCCAGGCCCAGGAGCTAGGGAAACATAGGGCGGGATCAGCAGAGCAATGGCTAGGCTGGAAAATAATTCCCAGGTCCGCAAAACAAAGACAAAACCAAAGAATAGCACACTCTTTCTTTCAGACAGAAAAGAGGTGGAATTTCTGCTCTAGATAGTTCCCCTCAACAAAAGCCGTCACGCATAACTCTAATACAAGAGAGGAAAGGGGGAGAGGAAAATCGGAACTTGGGGACTCAAAAACTCGAAATTCAGTCCTGTTCACAAGAAACAAGGATAGACCAGCGAGGAGGACAGGAAATGTCGAAAAAGCCACTCTTGAAACTGTATGGAATTAAAGCCACAAGAGGATGGTATCATGAGTTAAGAGAAAAAGAAACATCGGACCACACGTAATGGGTTTGATATCCGGAAAGACACAAAAAAAACAATCCGGCGACGACATGACATGAGTCAGGCAATGGGATATCGTGATTAAGAAAAAAAAGGAAGACACAGAGCGGAGCATAGCAGAGCAGAGAGCAGCAGTACAGTTGAACTGGAAAAAAAAATTCGAGGCAGCCACACAACAAGCAAGGAGATGGATGGGATGCAGGTTTTCGGTCCAGCGTTGGAGTGGAGGGAAGTCATGAAGCATGGCTAGACACGGGCGAATTATGTAAAAGAATTATTGCGGGTAGCTGGGCGAGTGCGTCTCTGAAGTAGCCGTAGCGAAGAGTAATCAGCCGATCGATTCTTTGCGAGAGAGAAGATGGATGATGACAATGGCGAGATGACCGAAAGGGAGAAAGACAAAGATCCAATCCAGTAGAAAGGATAGAAGGATCGGTCGTTGGCAGAGAAAACACAAGGTGGCGACGCTGGCTTGCTTTTTTGCTTTTTGTTTTGTTTACTCACGTTGCTGGTACACGGGACCGCTCTGGTAAGGGGAGTGAGGGTAGTTGGGAGGGTACCCCATCTGTCCGTTGCTCTGATAAACCATACCACCACCAGGGCCGCCATATTGGTTGGGAACCTGGCCATCGGCAGGCTGGTAGCCGATGGGAGGCAACTGAGGGCGAACGCCGCTGGCGTAAGCGGGAGGCTGGCCACCTTGAGAGGGGTCAGAGGATCCGGGGGCATCGACTTGACCGGCCTGGGCGGCCTGGGCAGCAGCTCGCTCACGTTCTTCAGCAGCCTTGCGCTGAGATTCTTCCTCCTTTTTGCGGGCCTTCCATTCCTTGCGGATCTCCTTGAACTCTATAAAGGACAAAAGTCAGTATGTGGGTGACGACAAAGATAGAAGAAAAACTTCAAGAAGGGTTCAAGGTAAGGTGGGATAGGGAGGTGATATGGGCAGGGTCGACAACGAGGTACGGTGCGAAGAAAGTGTCCCGCTAGTGTGGAAGGGATAAGTAGTCAAGCTTAGACAAGCTTAACCTCCACGCCGTCGGCCACGCTACTGCGGCCCCGCGAAATCTAGTGTAACTCACTAGCGCGTAGCTGCCGGCGCTAACCCAATCTAGCCATTTGCGACAAGACTTCGAGATCGCGCGGCCCTCGGACAACTCGCCGACGGCGCGAAAACAAAAACACGGGGAAGCAGAGAAAAGAAAGTATTGTGCTCACCTTCGGGGGTGCGTTTAGCACCGTGCGACTGCATCGTCACGTGTGCATTCAAGTGGTTGAGTGTACCGTACGCCTTCTCGCAACCGTTCCATCCACACTTGTACATGCGCTCGATTTCCTCGTACCGACGACGGGGGCGCTTATGCTGTTGAGCACCGGGAATAGGGACGAAGGAGTAGACCTGTATAAGCGCACAAAAAACGCGTTAGCGACAACCAATTCCGCAGGGAGCGACCAAACCAGCAGAATCTCAATTGCAGCCCAAAAAAGCACAGGCGCTGTTTTTTTTTTTCGACGATCCCTGGGGAGAAAGAAAGTGGCGAGTTTCGACGACTTTCAGGAGGCGAGTTGCGTAAAACCCAGAGCGCGTCCCAAAGACCACGGCAATGAAAGATACAGATAAGGCCCGGAAAATTTCCCCCCAGGAGATCATCAGAAAAGAAAACATACCTGGCCAGGGCGCGGGCCTGCGGTCGCAGCAGGGGAGGCGGAACCAACCGTAGTAGCAGCCGGGGAGGCATAAGGTCCCGGCAGACCGTGATGTTGTTGTCCATAACTATGCGGCCAGTCCGGGCGCGCGTACATCTGGTGAGGAGGAGGCGGGTGACCCTGGTATTGAGCCATGTCGTGACCCTGAGGCTGGTGCTGGTAAGGAGAATAAGGAGGAGGGTAGGTGGGGCTGTTGGCCGGGAGCGAGGGATCTAAAGGGACAGCCGGGTCAGAGGTGAAGTTGGAGGAGGAGGAGGGAGGTAAAGAAGCAAGAGCGGGATCGAGGTCAGGGCTGC